AATTGAGGAAAACCAAGCTACAATATATTTTTTTAAATGGTATCCTTTTAATTTCTTAATTTTTGTCTGTTCGTATGATAGATATATTGACAGCATCACACCATTCTCCTGTTTATAATCTTTGTTCCTATAGAAATAATTCAAAACAAATACTAATGAGTGGTGGATGGAGGGATTGTAAATTTATGACTCGAGGATTATTATTTTTTATAAATTAATATGAGCTGACATATTATAAATTGTTTTTGAAGATTTATTTGTGGAGTTATATCTCTACGAAGGTCACCGATGTCTTTCGCCTTTTTTTATATGAATTCGTCTGTATTTTTAATGATACGCAATTATATCGTCAATTTTGATTTGTGTATTTTTGAAATCAATAGTTTGATTCCATTAATATTGCCATTTTTATTGTAATGTAAAAAACTGCTTGCTAGGATACAAAGCCTAATCCAAAAACACATGATTCTGCACTCCAAATTTAAACATACGATACATAATAATTTTGGTACAATCGAAGTCTTTTTTATTTTTGATAGGCTTAATTTACTTGTACCTGTTGAAATTTTTCCTTATATTAAATGTCTTACACTTTATTTCTCGAACTGCGTTCCGAACTTGCTAATTCATTTCCACTTTATTCAATTACGACGATTCTCATTAGTCGAACGACCTAATTGAGTATAGCATCGTTAGATAAATTTACGTAGCTAAATACAAGCTATCTTCTTATCTGCAGAAAAAGAAACTTCATCTCTCGTGTAAAAGTGTTATTAATAATTAGTAGAATCGAATTAGTTATATCTAGAATGTACATCTAATCCCCAATGAAACATATATAAAACCCAATCAATAGGATAAATGTTTTCTAAAAGAAGGATGTTCTCAATTCGTCTGAATTTTTTTGGCATGTTACGCCTTTAGATTATATAGATGGAATGACTCCATACAATCATTTCCCCAAATACAGGCCAAGTTTCTTATCCATGTGCGCAGATTAGTTACCAGTACACAGTTAATATTAAGTGTGTATGTATATATATATATATATATGAGAGAAATTTGTAAGGTTAAATTAAAAAATAATAACGATTTGAAAGAACAAGATAAACAGTGCATAATGATTCATAATGATGCTTCTATTTATTGATTACTTAAATTTATACCTAAATATAGACAAAATAATTCCTTTTTTAAATTATTGAAGATGGCTGCTATTTTCATTATTAATATATGTTTATATCGGAAAAAAATTGTTCCAAATTCAAGTTTAAAAAATCTACTTGATCTGGAAGACTTTCAGATTATATCTGTTCAATCTAATTATTTGCAACTAAAAAAAGACGTTATTTTTAATAAAAAAAAAAATTGTCAGCCCAACGGCAAATGTAATACATGTCAGAATTTAGTCCGCTAACAAAGGCGTTATCTAAAGTTACGCCATTCCGTCTTCAATTGTGAACTGATTTGAAGAATTCTTTTTATAGTCTACTATAGTGTTTGGAGTTATTATGTTAGTGGTCGTCACTCCGACCTGAAATGCATTGCAGGAAGTCAGTGGGTGCAGGTGGCTCAGGACTGTTCTTTATGGCAGTATATGGGGGAGGCTTATGTTCAGCAGTGGATTGATAATGGCTGAAATGATGATGATAGGGTTTATTGTCTTGTTCTGTTCCATTAGCCATTTATATTTACGTATTAAAAATCTGTTTTGTAACAATACAGAATTCTTTTATATAAGTAATTCTTTGTTCTAAATTCAAATATTTTCAATAAAAGGTATGCTCGAAATATTTCGTTGTTTATCGGCGTATCAATGCATTCACGACTTACAAGTTTCTGAAGTTAATAGGTACATCAAGATTTCGGCACTATAGTCACATATCGTCATAGTTGTAGAATACTGACGGATCTGACAAATATTACATATAAAGATCCGTCAGTATTCTACGACTATGACGATATAAGTCTATAAAACAGCTAAAAAATTTTTTAAATTTTTCAGCGCATGTTTACGTTTCTGTTTTTACAAAGAATTATTGGGAGAGAATATAGTATTAAGCCCGCCTCTTATACCAAACATTTTTTGGTATGTAATCAGTAAAGAATAAGTAAATAGCTATAATGTATAGAACGATGAAAAGGTCCTCATCTAAATAAGTCTCTTAAAAGAGAGCACGATTATTATGTAAATGCCGCAGTACTTATTTAATTTACAATACGGCCTTAATTACTAAAAAATTATACGGTAAGTTTTCAGTATCAGCAACTGCTAGTAAATGGTGTGTGGCGTGCCGTGTCTCTGTTGTCAGCTGCCAAGGTTTCTCAACTTGGATGCGACCTTCACGTTAACGATTCAGCATCCGATCAACTGGAACAATTTGATGTTTTTAATACATTACTCCTATAGAGTCCTATACAATAAATTCAATTGTCAAGATAAACACTATGTTGTACATAGTTCATAATTGAGTAACATGCTACATCGATTCTGAATGTTTATTCTCTTCTTCTATCTTTAACTGTAAAATTTCTGTTTTCGTGGCTTCAAACCATTAAATGTAATAAAATTATAAGCAGTCCGTCTATGTATGAGAAATGTTAAAAGATATATATGAGGTGTCAATTAAAATCAACAGAGACTAAATGGATATTTTTTTAGAAATTTTAAATGTATGTTTGTTCTGGCATCACGCAAAAACTTACACCAAATTGCTTGCGGTTTTCACAGTCGTGTTCCTGAAGATGTAACTTAAAAACTGGTGTACGTTTTGTCTTGATATGCCATCTAGAAGTCATTAGTTTTTTTCTTCTGAAATTCACGAGTACGAAATAACGGGCAAAAAATTTGTTTTTGATAAACAAACAATTTAAATGTAAAATTTGGCATCTAAGAATCGGTTCCATTATCTTATTTTGTAACACTGGTATGGAAATAAACAGTATTTACTCGTAATGCATGAAATTCCAAGGCAACGAGATCGATAAAATCTAGATCACAATAAAAAAATCAATTTATAAATTCCAACTAGATTAGAAAATCGATTCTATAATGAAGTTCAAGAGAATTTAACATTGTTATAATAACATTGATTATGTTTACAAATCCGTCATAATTATATTAGTTGTTAGAATGTAGGTATAATTTTAATATTTGATTATGGTTATTAGCTGTACCGCTCCCCCGTTGCCCGAAGTATCTCCTAATTTCTACTGAAACAGACCGTACGATGGGCCAATGAATTATTCAGCTGGGCCCCGTCTCTTCGGCGTCATTACCAGAATATTGCTGGAGAACGCGAGTATTTTAGTTAAATATTACCTACTTCATTGTTTGTTAACATAAAATTTGGTCCTGAGTTATATATAAAAACCCTTTTAAACTCACTTAGAATTTGATGTTATGAAATTTAATTATTCCAAAATTAAAATAAATTTATCATTAGTTGAATTGGTTTGCAGTTTGTTTACTGTAATTGAAAAGTATTGATATTCTGTTTTCTTTATTACACTTAGATTATTTCCATGTTTCGTGTACTGTTAGTTATAGACTGCATAAAAGAAAGGTATTAATTTTTTTTTAACCTATACATTTCGTAGTTCCTGAGCTTGTTACTTTGAATATTTTTGCACTTATTCTCGTGTTTTTGATCATTGCGCATAAAATCATATTGCCAGTAAAGAATATACCGATGATATATAAATGATTATTTAGTATTAATTCATTTTCGTGCGCCTATTGGTTCACATAGAATATGTCGCGTGTTTGTTCCGTTTTCCCTGCAAAGCTTCCTTTTCATATTCGTCACACGACCGGTCACGTATTGGTATAAAATATCACGCCAAAAATAGTTCAACAAAATACACATTTTTGTACGTATGGTGTGGAGAGTAAAGGGCACCACCGTTTTGTTATAGGGCTAGAATTTTAATATCATAGCTTTCTATTATCGTTGTGGTGTCGTAAATCAATTTAACTTTGTCGACCTACTATGAAACGCTAGGCAACTTTGTTTTAGAATAACGAATCCAGGTACTCTTTTAAATTTAAATTAGTCAATAACAATAAACTTATATTACCACGATGACCTGATGTATGGGGGTTTATTTTAAAATTTCCTTTTCCTGAGCTGCTATAATGTAGAGTTTCCTTAGGCGATTCTTACGTCATTATGAAAATAATTAAAATTTAAAACTCGTCTGTTAAAAATCACACCCTGAAGAGTATGAAAAAGAAAATATTGTCTTTCATTCATTCAATTATAATTGTTATTTATAAACTTCAATTTTTATTGTCTACTAAATATACATCTTCTACTTCATTTATCAAATTAGGATAACTAGTTTAGAAGTTATGAGGGAACAAATTACTACATACGGATTAAAATAATAGCCCTCCTTTTTGCTTCGCAGTAGTCGGGTAAAAAGTAGTGATCACACGTAATTATGACACCGATAGCTACTACACGGAAGTAATGTATAAAAATTTCTTATAAATTTTTTAAATATGTGTATTTGTACCATAGCTTTAGAGTGCCAGTGGCCTCTTTTTAAAAATATTATTATAACTAATCTAAATAAGATTAAGTATGTAAAAGAAATGATTCATCTTTTTGGTTGTTTCTTTTAAAAAAGTTTTTTTTTTTTTTTTTCAAGTAAGTTGAAGTATTTTTGAATAGATATTGTGTATAAATATACACAGTTCGAAATGCAATTCCAACTAAGAAAAATAGACAAGAAAGCAACAAAGCTATATTGTTCTTTAAGTATTTATTTTATATATTATATTGTGCTTTATTACCGATTATACCAAACTATCATTGTTATGGCACGAGTACGTTTTGATAGAAATAAAGTCAATAGAAAACTATAAATTTATTTCACTATGTCCGAGAGCATATATAGCACGTCACTACATAAATAAATCATCTTTGCAACTTTTTATCAGTATTATGTTTCTTTAATTCTTAATTAATATAGGTATATGATTGTTGTTACAGAACAACAAACACGTGGAGACCCTAGACGACGGACAGCTGCGTGCCCTCCTAGATGAAGCAATCCAATACAAATGCCCCAAAGACCGCGAGGGTAAAAGTAGTCTCTTCCAGGTGAGTCCATAGGCTGTTTTAATAGAACTTAAAAATGGAAACAAATGAATAATTGATGTAACCACAAGACAGTCTACTGATATCCAATAATATAGTACAAATAAAAATTTTTATGTTTAGATTTATTACTAATTTCACTTAGGAGGTGTTTATGGGACAATTTTAATAAAACTTAGCATATTTATATATACATATACATATATGTACAAATAGATTTATACAATAGGTATATATAGCCTTCATAATAGTGTTAATTTATTTCAGCCATTAACTGTCCACTGCTGAACTTAAAGGGAGTTTTGCCAGTAGTTGCCACGTTTGGTAGGCGGGTTGCAACCGCAGTTGGGCTTTTTAAGATGTTTTAAGAGGAACGCTTTTACCTATCACTCTATTATTAAGTTCCCTTAGTCTCATCTTACTACACTCACAGGAAAGGACAGTGTAATCTATTCTATGTTGGAACCACACAGTTACATAATACTATTAAAAATATTTTATAACTTTAATTAATTTTTATACATATACAGTGAAAATTCTATATAGTGAAATCGAAGGAACCGGATATTTAAATGCGTTATAAAGAGTTTTCGTTAAATGGAGAGTAAAAATAATTGTAAATAAGTACTTTTTAATTTTGACTAAATTAAGAGAAAAAAAAATACATAAAGTTATAATCAGTTATCTTTGTCGTTTTTTACTATGCCTATATTTTAAATGTATCTTTCGTTGTATTTTATTCATATCTTCTGATATAGTGGGATAATCTTCGTTAAATATTTTTTTAAAAAAATTAAATATTTAATATACTTTGTCACTATTGTGTTTGAAGGTCAGTGAAACTAATGTTTATTGGGATCTAAATAACCATGTCTCGTTTTGCTATTGACAGTGGGTGCAATGCTACAAAGAGTGTTTCAATATAAGGGTAACGTTGTAAACCAAACAAAACTTAGCAATTTGTACATTTTAAGGAGTTTTACGTTAAAAAGAAGTTTGTTATATAGAGTTTACACTGTATAACGAATTTAATGAACTTACTATTATATTTGTTTGGTGAGACTTTACAAAATTAGCAACGTCAGTGCTGTACGCAGTCTGAAAAAGACTTTCGGATAAAATCGAAACAATATAGACCACTTAAGAATCTCCTGCTAAGGATTCGCTTAAAAATATCATCGTATCGAAAACCTCCATTTTGTCGTCGCTTAAAAATAACTCACTAGGCGACAAAGTTCCGTTTTGTGCAGATTCGTGCTTATTTTAACACGACTACAGTCTACTACCACAAAACGTGTCTGTTGATATCCAATAGTAGAATAAATACAATTAATATAATAAATGCGAAAGTTTATAACGATGGGTGGATGGTGTTTGTTATTCTCTCACGTAAAGCTACTGAACAGATTTGAATGAAATTTGGTACACGAGTAGATAATATCCTAAAATGAAAAGATAACATTATAGTCATTATTACGTTTAGCACATTCAATCACACATATTTATATAGATTCACGCGGGCGGAACCATGGTATACACCTAGTCAGAAATAGGTTTCTTGATTGAATATTTCAATTGGTTACAATTTCATTAAGACAGTGTTCTGTAATGATTTTAACAAAACATTACCTTTTTTTTCTTTTCTTGACGGCACCTTGTTACATTGTTTTATTTAAGTCTAGTGTATAATTTATATTATCTGTGGTTGAGGCAATAAACTGGACTCTATACGTTAAACCTATCTTTTGCCCCTTAAAGGTAAATAGAAACCACTGATAGCTAGTTGCATATAGATAGATAGATAGATACTCTTTATTGTTTCCTCCAAAAGATTACAATAGTAAACTTATTATAAATATAAACAATTACAAGAAATAATCACAATGAGAAAACAATGGGCGATATTAATTTGTAATTAAATATAATTAATAAAGTGTACAAATTATAAATAAATTGTGTAATTAGTACACTGTGCGACATTGGAACACTATGCTAGTCATAAAATCACTGACTCGTGTTTAGTTTAAAATTCAGCATCTACGGTGAATTTACTGTCTATACGACTGACCATAATGTCCCATTTTTTGTACTCTCCCACTTTCTTCTCAAAGAATTGTTATTGCCGTCTAGTGAAATAAGGTTCATGAAGTCGATTTGGTTCTTGGTACTATAATGCTTGTCGCCGATCAAATCAACAAGCGGTCTATTTGCAACGAGCTCTTTTACTCTGATCAATAAATTTGTCATGGATGTCAAAAAAACTGCATTTGAATAAAGGCTCTGACATGGCATAGCGCAGTGTATGGAAAGAAATTTCGCTCGATTCAAAATACTTCTAAACAAAAATTATGAAGTGTTGAGTTTCATAGTACTGTAATGTTTGAACGCATCAGTACGTTTAATTGTACAATATAGCATTAATGTTTAACACATTTTTAAAACGTTCTATTACGTAATTTGCCAATAACCCTTGATTATAATTAACCTAGTCATTATTATAGTAACAAGAATGTTAACATTTAATTCTAATACCACGTTCGTTGCGTTCATGCTTATTTCACTTGTATTTGGTGAGAAGGTTCGTAAAATTATTACTACTTACTAATATAATAAAATTGAAACCAGATGATGTCTATACATGAGAGTTATTTGAAAAAAATATATAAAAGATCTTAATAACATCATCATAAATGCCAAAACAATATTTTTTAGAATATATGTCTATCTATCTGTCTGTATGTTTGTTCCGGCATTACACAAACACTATTGCATCAAATTGGACACACAGTTGTGTTCCTGAAGATGTAACTTAAAATTTGGTGTATGTATGTCTCGATAAGCAATCTGGAAGTGACAAGTTCATTGGTTTTCGTACTTTTGAAATCTACGCGTTCGAAGTTGCGGACAAAAGCTAGTTGATGAAATATTAACTATCGGTATATTGGTGAAATCATCAGTCTCCTGACTGAGATACAATCAGAATTTACAGGGTACAAAGGAATAACACCTGAATCCTTAGGAGAGGCAACACATGTGGGGAGGGAGGGAGGGAGATCATGGGCGAAACAGTATATTATCTTATGCCCATTGTACTACTGCTGTTGCTCATGTCTATAGGCGACGGTTACCATTTTCATCAGGTGGGCTGTCAGCATGTTTGACATTCTAAGTTGCATAAAAAAATGCATTATGTACTTCCAGATGCTTCAAGGTCTTTTTTATTATTTTGTGATTGAAATTATTCTTACTTTCATTCCGATCTTAGTTTGGTCGTCTCACTTGTCACACATTTATAACTTGACTTGTATATCTTATATCATTTTTAAAGACATCATTCTTTTAGTAATAAGGCACTCATTCCTCTATCCCTTCATATTTGTTATTAATTTCACTTTTGGTTTCCTATGTATATGCTTATTCCCCACTTTGTTATTTCTTACCCTATACAACCTCGTCCTTAAATAAGTATGCAAATAGCTGAGGCTTTTAGAATAAAAAAGTATACATAATAATTAACTTTTATATATATCCTGTGTACATATCCGTGTTGGCAAAATGAAGTACCATAGATTCTAGAAAAAAAAATTGTATCCCAAATTATTAAACATGAATGGTTACGAGTGGAGAAGTACAGGAATATAAAATACTCGTAAATTAGATTCAGATCATTATTGTACCAAAACGGGATCATGTACGGACTTTGAATACTAATTTTATCCTTTTTTCACTTGCTGGCATTGCTTTCGTTATATTATATCAAGATAAAGGAACTTTTATACTTTCTGATCTCTTGCCACGTTGGATTCTAATGTGCTTGTAATATTCGAGTGAAATGTCGTTAGTTACATTCTGTACAAAAGTCGATCAATACCTACCCCTTTAGCGATTATAGTCGTAAGCATTTTTTTTTAAGAAACTATGATAATATCGTGTGTAATTACATACGATTGAAATTATTTTAATTTTGCTAATAAAATATTTTTAAATACACTATTTAGATTTACTTAGTATTTGAAATAGTAGATTTTATATTAAATTCTTCTATTACTATTATTATTCTTTATAGTTACGGTGCCGTGTAATTGCCAAGTCATTATAATTACTATAAAAATAAAGATTTCTAATATTGATAGTAGTTGAATAGGCACTTTAATAGACGCTAATATTATTATTTATACGACATTATTCGTGATTCTCATGAGGCCATGCTTCGCGCAGTATTAATAATATCCTACTCAAGTGTAAGGGATTTGAATAAAAGGAAGAGGATTGACACTTCCTTTTATTCAAATCCTTTATTGTCCAGGGAATTCGCCTGTGGAACTCACTACCTGCCTCTCTGCTCATCGAGCTCAAACTCACGCTAGCTTCAAAACCTCTGTTTAGTCGTACTATCTTAGCCTTTAATTACTATTTCCCTATGTTCTCTCTTCATCGTCCTCCTTCGTTCTCTCCTGTTGCGTGTGTGCTATAAAGTGTCGCCCGTTAATTTTCTACTGCTGAACGTAGGCCTTCTACCGGGGGCTTTGCCAGTAATTGCCACACTTGACAGGCGGATTGGCAACCGCAGTTAGGTTTTGGTGATGTTTTAAGAGGGACGCTGCTTCTTTTGTCATTAAGTAAACACATACTTAATATTGTGTATATGTTTTACTTTTTTATATGTGTGTATAAATATATATTTGTATATATCAGAATCTATATAATAGTGCGCCACTTTTTTTTTTATCTTATAATTTTGACGATCGGTGAGTGTATAAGTGACAAAATTATAGAGCTTTAAATAGCGATAATTCATAACCTATAAGGTATAATTATTAGCTATATTCGCAGTATGGACAGTTATATTATTTCCTGTTGATCGTTAAAAATTCAAACTTCTTGCTTTATCCAAAATGAAGTACAGGGGGGATCAAAAGTACCGTGAGCCGTTTCTAGAAAAGGATGGTACAGCCGTGCTCGCTTGGCGGAGACACTGCCGTACCATCTAATAAAATATTATAGCTATTGCTGTGTTCCATCTCTTTCTATCGAATTAAATTCTCAATGCAACATAAAAAAAAAGTTTAGTTTAATTCCTATTAATATAAATGCGAAACTTTGTAAGGGTAGGTAGATAGATAGATGTTTGTTGCTCTTTTATGCTAAAACTGCTGAACACATTTGAACGAAATTTGATATATGGGTAGATTATATCTTAATCTAACACAGAAAACTTTATAGTGATTCACGCGGGTGAAGCCGCGGGGTACGGTTCTTAATTATAACATCAGTCGACACCGAACACATGTAAATTAATTTTTAGCAGTTGTTAGGTGTTTAATTACCTTTAAAGCGTGTCTGTATGCAAATTTTTGTTTTACGTATTTATTTTAATATACCGTAATGCCTTAAATTATTCGTACATGAAGTGTCTATCAAATTTGTAATATATTTGACTTATTTTTAAACGATAAAAAAATAGTGATTCTCGTAACGACTTCACATAAATTTTTTGCACCAACTGTCAACCGATTATCATAATACTTCTTTTAAACAAAACTGTGTATTCCCGTGTTAGATCCCATATTAATTTAAATCTTAAATATTATTATAAAATTACAGGAGCTCCTCGAGGAAGTGGAGCAAGACGAGGCGTGTGAAGCAGCCCGCAGTTTCGGTCCCCGGGGGGTAGTGAGGGACGCGCGCGGGCGGCTCGCTCTGTCGCATGCCAACTCGATGCAGGATCTGGTGGCGGCCCTGGCGGGCGAGTCGGCGCAGCGGCCCGTGCGCCACCAGCCGCCGCAGCGGGCCCATGCCTCGGTTTCGGAGCGCGCCACGCACGGGGGCAGTCTACCTTCCGGAGTCGATACTTGTATGTATAGTTTCAAATTATGTATTTAATTACACAACTGGCCAAAAGAAGGGAGGGGTGTTTTCAGTGTTTATGTATGTATGTGAGATGATTTATTCCTCCATAACTACTAAATATCTAAACAGATTTAAATTTATGGGGTATCGATAGAATCCTTACATCATTTCCAGTGACACAAGCTATATAGTTTTTTATTAGTTCCGTTTTTGATACAGCAGTCTTGTTTTTAGGGTTCCGTACCAGAAAATTAGTACCGATACAAAGGTACCGTTATGGTACGACTTTGTCCGTCCGTTCGCCCGTCCTTTCGTCTGTCACATTGCAATTAGTTATGCGGTTTAGTGTTACCAAGATTATCGTCCAAACTAAGAAATTACGTATTAATCATATCAATAATAATAACTTTGTATCTATTTCATATAAGAAAAGCAGTATAGGTAATTGTATTTCTAATGTATTCATATACGGTACTTTTGGCGAGTGAGTTTAACTCGCACTTGACCGGTTTTTTTAAATTTGCGGAACAAAACGGATTTGTTAACTTTATTTTTTTACAATGAAATATCTAGTGCACATAAATCTATTCGAGATAAGCTCGCCCTTGTGCACTATTATGTTTGTTTTTATATTTCAATAACCTTTTGTGTACAATAAAGAATAAAGAAAGAATAAATCGGATTTAGTGCTATAGGAATTTTGTACAAGTTAACCTTTAGAGAGTAAGACTTACTCAATAATTGTTTAACATCATAATCCGTTGTCTACACAGCTACATCGTTTCCTTGCCCTTTTATACTATAGATAGATAGATACTCTTTATTGTTTCTTCCAAAAGATTACAGTAGTAGACTTATTATAAATAGATACACACAATTCCAAGAAATGTTCACACTAAGAAAACAATGAGTGGCCTTATCGCTAAAAGCGATCTCTTCCAGGCAACCTTTGAATGTCTATATTATTTGGTATCAGCATTTATATGTTTCTCTACCATTTATTTGTTCGAATCATCATATTCATTAATAACGTAAATGTTAATAATTTTTTTTTTTCCAATATACATTACACATTTCCGCGAATGTGCTAACGTTAAAATTTGAATCAGCATATTGCGAAATAATTTACCTAGGTAATCCAATACACTGGTAGGTACTTATTTAGAATTCTCAAATGAATGCGCTCTGGTGTGTGTTTGTGTGTTGATTAGTAAAATTGTAAGTAATAGATAGGCCTCAACAATTTTGAGGTATCTTCTAGCATCATTATCAACAATAGTGCTTATCCAAACATTCCGTAAGTAATTGTGTCCATTTGCTGGTTTCAGCATTCCATTCGTTATCGCTTGTACTTTAAATATCCGTAACAGCAACCCGTGGAGTTTTTACGACTTCAAAAATTAAGATTTTATTATGTGATGAATTTTTGATATTTTCTTATTATGTTAGTCGAAGTCGTTATTTTTTTACATTGTCAATTCAATTACATGTATTTTTCATATGACAACATTATTTTCATTTATTTAATAAATGCATATTATAATTGTGTAATTTTCCACAATACCGTTTTAGCATCAAGAGCTTGCAGAAGAAATTCTATTTATTTTTAACCTACTTCAAAAAAGGTTATTTTTTTTAACTGTAACTGTATATGTAACTATATTAGGTATGTCCGCCCATTTCTCCATCAATTGTATACCGATTTCAGAAATTGTTTTTTTGTTCGAAACAGTATAATCCTGAGGTATCACCTCAACAAGTCACCAAGTCAGGATCTGATGATCGGGTCCCAAGGAAATCGAGGGCAATCCTCAAATTTTATAGGCCTATATATGGTGTTCATATATTTTTTTTTTTCAAGATTTATTCAAATATTTGCATCTGGTAGTCATCATCTCGTGTGATTGAGGAGGTAGAAGATAATTGTATAGGTACTACAGGCACATAGAGTCTTAGAGTTTTACTCCCTTAAGTTACTCAGACGAGCTAATGATGGAAGGTTTAACTTATTAACAATTAGGAGTTGGGGAGCAATTCCTTGAATAATATAAGCACGTATAGATAGTTTCTTAGGCTCAATTAAGTTATTTATATCGTTTCATGCTGCTGAAATGATGATGAAAGCATAACTCCTTAATGGTAGGAGTTAGAGGATAATTCTTTAAATACTATAAGCACATATATATATAAAAGTTGTTATACTCTTTTAAGTTATTTAGATGAGCTGATAATGATAGATTTGAATCCATAACAATTAGAAGTTAGAGAATAATTCCTTCTTATTATCATATAATTATGCACGTATAGGCAGTTTCTTTCAGTTTTTGTTTCATCTTTTTTTAAGTTGGTTTAATTTTTTTAAACTTTATTGTTAATTTGTTTAATAATAGCATGAACACCCACTAATAATGAAAAATATCTATAACAAGTAGCATTGGACTTTATTGCAAAGCGCCATCTGTTTTCAAACTTAGTAGAACTTGTGCTATGGGTACTAGACAACTGATGTAAACGCTTTCTTTTTTTTTTTTTTTGTATAATTTGCATAATTTCTAGCTGTTTCAGTTTGAAGGGTGGGACATGGCAGTCAATTTACAGGGTACAGAGGAGTAACACTTGAGTTCTCAGGAACGGCAACGCATGGGGGGAATAATGGGCGAAACAGTATATTCTGTTATTTCTGTGCTACTGCACATGTCTATAGGCGACGGTTACAACTTTCCATCAGGTGGGCCATCAGCTTGTTTGCCATTCTAAGTTGTATAAAATAATAATAATAAATTTCTGCAATTGCGGTTGATGATAGTTAAAAATTTAGTATAATAATGGTAACTGGGTGGTGGTTGCAGCGTTCCACGCGGCGGAGGAGCCGGTGACGGGGGGCGGGTACCTGGCAACGGTCCGCTGCGTTAACCCGCCGCCGCTCGCCGAGCGCCGCGTGTCCGCCAGCGACGCCAACTGTCCCGCTGAACTCGAACTGCTCAACAAGTGAGTTCGTGTTCGCAGTGCTCACGCTGAATACCGGAGTCGCTGGCAATTTGTTATTTTTTTAACGATTACTAGCTACATCTCGCGGCTTTGACCGCTGAGCTATCCGTGTACCAAATTTCATTTAAAATCAGTAGGTTTTTCGTGAAAGAGTAACTAACACATATGCATAAGCCTTTGTAAACTTTTGTGTTTATAATAGTAGTAATATATATAATAATAACATTAGTAAAGGCTATTAAATGAGGATGAAAAGTCAGTTAGTCCATCACGATGAATCCATCAAAGATTAATCACGATGGATTTCGGAGAAAGCTTTTTTTCCGTGGAGATTGTTGTGACAGGGTGTATCGATAACAATGACATCATTCTAACCCATTACTCCATTGTGTGTATTATTTCTGTAGTGTAAACATAAGAACAGATTCATTCGTGGGTTTTAAGGAGAGCGGAATTGTCCCCAGGAGAAGTAAGACGACGTTCCCGATGTACACGGCGCGCGCGACGCTCGAGATCGGCAGCGGCAGCGTGTGCTCGGGCCGCGCGGTCACCACCACCACGGCGTCCAACCAGGTGCGTACGGCTCACATCACGCCGCCCCCGCCACCCCTGCCGACCCCGCGCTTCCCTCATAGATGCTTCCGCCATGCGGCTCCCGCCCAATATTCCAATCAACAAAAACTACTGATTGCATTACGCCCAAAGAAATGTGATGTCGAAAACTGTGACCGTGGTGGCTGTTACGATGATCGTAGTAGTGACCGTAAAGTAGTAATTAATAAACCGCGCGGCCCAAAGAAATCCTTTCTTGAAGCTAATTACAAGAATTTAAAATCCGATCTACGTCTGAATGTTACTACCGAGAAAAACTCTGGTACATATGTTAAAAAGATAGATATTGAAGTGTTTCAAAATAGTGTAAACAAGTGGTACGACGGGTTGTCGACCATCTTTAAAGAACCAAGTTTTCAATGTTTGTCTAAAATGTGCAAACAAGATAATCCACATTTAAAGAAAGGCACTAGCTCAAAAGAGAATCAAATTAATTTCAACTTGAAGGACAATCATTCTTTAACTGTTCCTAATATTCATAATGCTATTGCTCTGGGTGCAAGTGAAATAAATAAATATGAATATGATTCATGTTCCTCGAATATAAATAATAGTAATCTAATAAAATATGAAAAGATAGAAAGAACCGTTTTACAATGTTATAATTACCCTATTACTACTTGTGTTACTCTTATTAAATCGGATCGGCTGAAAACCACCCTCAAGGACGATGATGATATAGTCAATGACATCCAAAAATACAGACAACGTGTAGGCAAATTAGAACATCACTCCATATCGTCATTCAATTCCAAAAATGTTAGAAAGATGACAATAGGCAATCCCATAGATTTTGATGTTTCTAACATGTATAAAACGATGAATATTACAGATATAAGTGACGATAAAATTACTAGGAAAAATGGAAATATTAAATGTGAAACTACATTAACAAAAACTGATAAAACTAAAGGATTTAAGTCAGAAGGAAGGATAACTGATATTAACTTTAATGATATTTCACATATAACCGTTAATATTGCTGATTTAAAAGACGGTAAATTTTTTAAGGAAAATGAAAGTATTAAATGTGATACTGAATTAACAAAATTTCACAAACCTAAACAAATTAAGTCAGAAGTAGATTTTGATATTTTCCAGAATTCCTGTAATTATAGTGATAATACATATACAAAACAAAATAATGATAAACTACCTGGAAATAATAGTATAGAATTATTAGATATGTTAAATTCACTTAGGAATGACGACTCTAGTCCAAATTCATTTTCCAAATATTTAGCGGAGCAGCAAAATTTACTTAAAGTTTTAGAAATTGCTAATCCGCCAGTTTTGTGTGAAAATAATTTGATTGAAAAAGTAGAAGATGTTGTCGAATTAAAGAATGAACAAGAGGCTACAAATGTGAAAATAGACGATATCTCTATACAACACTCTGTAAATGTTACAAAAGACGAAAATAATTTTCAGAAAGACACAGAAAGTCTGAATACACAATGTAGTAACGTCATGGTACACATAAGTGATAAATCCAAAGATCAATACTTGTTAACTAAAGTAGATACTAATGCTTATGTCTTTTTAACATTTCCCAAACGCTTACTCACAGATAACAACGATAGATCATCTGTCCAGGTACATGAAATAGATAACAATGTTGATAAGCCATATGTGCCAGGTACGAATGGCACATTAGGATATAACAAAGCAAATAAAGACAAAGTATCACTTACTGGTAAAAACAGTAAGAAGAAAGAAGTTCTAAATAAGACTGCTTTAAAATTTCTGCTGTTTGAAAACCATTTAAAAAGAGATAAAAACAAACCGGTAGTAAGCCGACTGGGGCACTCTACTATCAACGCTAAGGAGGTAGGATGCCCTTACAATAATAATATATAATAAATATAATAATAAACATTAATTGAACCTCCTCATGAACATGCTTATCACATTGTACTTTTACAGGTTGATTCTGCTATACCGTTTAGTTGCATCACAACACCAGAGGTTGTGACCAGTTGCAACACGACATCTTCTACTTCGCAGTCTGCAGTTGCTGTCGATCCAAAGGTTTGCATTCTAATTATTATCTAGAATAAATTTATATTTTTCTAAACTTGAATTTGTAATACGATCTACACCATTTGCATACTTTTTGGTTATATTTCTATTATTAACTAACAACCAAACCTCTTTTTAAGCTCGATAATTCCCACAAAAAAAATCTACTTCTTTTGTGACAAAACCAGTTATTTTGATTTAAAAACTAAACTACTTAACCGATTTTGATAAAATTGGTCCCCAATCTGAAAGTATATAGTTTCAGAAAGAAAAAAAGAATTTTTTTAAATGGTTAAGAACTGACGGAGTTATGAGGTCACAAACATAAAAAAAAAACCGAATTGAGAAACCTACTTCTTTTTTAAGTCTGTTGATAATAATTAATAGAATTAGTATAGAGCGAGTCTATTACGATAAAATTTGCGTAGGCAAAGTTTTAAAACGACATCTTGAAGTAGTGAAATGACATATGAGTGCAACATATAAGGAAATTTCACGGGTCAGGTGCAGGATTAGTGGTATTTAGTGAGGGGACGGGCATAGCAGTACTGTAGTGTAATATAATCCATATAGTTGACCAACCAGGTTTAAACCAGGATGTATTGACGGGTAGCTACAGTGAGAGACTTGCGAGGAGGTGGGACCCCAGCCCACTACGCTACGCAAACAAAGCAGATCTACTGTAATGAACGCATCGTATAAACTCGTGTGTATCTAAAACAACGACGGGTCAGCGCAAACCAACGTACCGCACGTCTTAAAGTGCTGTTAAGTGACTCTTGAACATGTTCAGAGATGAACGTCAGCATTTTAAGTGGCAAAATGGTGGCTTGTTGAAGAGCGAGAAAGAGAAAGAGTTACTTATGATACGCCTGTTTATAGTTCTGCCCCGCCTTTCTGTCGGTTTGTGTTGACCCTACACCGCCAGCGATATCGCCTAACGTCAATAGCATAGCGCTGTAGTACTGTAGGGATGGTATTGTAATATAATGATGCTACTGAGAGTTATAATGGCACAGCCGCTGCAGTTGGGCTCCTGTTACCGCGCGGTGGCCAGCCTCACGGCCGCGCTCCCCACCCCGGCACCCGCCTCCGCTCCTGCCCCCGCCTCCGCTTCCGCCTCCGCCTCCGCCACCGCTACCGCCACAGCCGCCGCCCGCAGAGAACAGGTACGACACGCTCACGCACGAGTTTCATTCACGATCTCGTTGCAGTAAACATATTGTTTAACAATTACATGCTCAATTGGATATATTTTTGTAAATTTTAACTTTGGAATTGATTGTAATATAAAATTCAATGCGATAAGTTACTATTCTCATAAATTACAACCGATTACTACTATAGACTGTAGACTAGATTCTGTTTAATAAGGTATCAATTCCAGATAAGATTTATATATAAAATATATATATGACTGTTTCATATAGAATACATAATGAATGATAAAATCGTTTCCTAGTTTTCTAATGTGACTGATAATACCAAAGCTGGCCACCTTACTTATATATGCAATACAGTGGAATATAAAACTGAACAATTTTCGCCGAGAGGTAATTTTGTTTTCTAAATTTAAATAGATAGTGTGCGGTTTATGTGAAGATTTTTTTTATGTTTAATGATTATTTATATACATGGTGTGAGCTTAATTGCTCTTAGCTTTATAATAATTTTTTATTTATTTTACAATTATATGATTTCTTTTTCATTTTAAATAACTTGATTTTAGTTATGTATATATAACAGTTGTTTCCAAAAAAGAAATCTTGGAAATAATTATTCTTTTATCTTGCTGTATACCTTGAAAAGTTTGTAAATGGTGTGAACGTTTTTCGATTGGTATTTAATAAATTCAAGCTGCGAAAAATATAATAGCCAAAATTAATAAATATCTAATTTGATTAAATGCAACTGTGTATCTACACTAGCAAATACATAAAATTCGCTCATTGTCACTGCAATTTGCATTTTTTTAGTACGTTACATTGAAGTAATTTTTCTCTTTTTATTACAAATGATAGTTTTATTAATTTTTTTTTTCATTACATTGGTACAGCCTCGCAGTGTAATCGGCTACAACGGTCTCTCGGGACCGCGGCAGCACGGGTTCATTGTCGCGTCCGCACCAGAAGAACACAAGGTTTGTTGCGTAATGCTCATGTTTTTGTCTGTGCATTGCCTCTTTGTGTTTTCATTTATCATGTTTAACGACATATTGTACATACACCCATCGCAACACCTGCTTGAAGTTGGACGCACAACAATTAAATGACTTGCATTAATTTTTTTAAGTCTTCTAATGCGTGTTGTTTTTCCTTCCTATTCAGGTGCCTATATTCACTGTGCACTACCGTTTACAGAAATCTCTAGACGAAAACGGCAACGCAGTACAAGGAATCAGTTCTCCCAGTCTACACAAGAAACCTAGGAGAAAAAAGTCTTCCAAGAATGAGACAGTTATCAACTTGCATCAAATAGACGGCTACCAAGGCAACAAGGACTTGAACGAGCTACTGCGCTTTATAGAGTCGAACGCGGACAACGGTCGCGGCTCGAAGCTCGGCCGGACCAAGCACAAGGACGACTCCGACGACAAGGGTGGCAAGAAGCGCTCCAATGAGCGCCGCAAGGAGAAGGAGAACAAAATGAAGCGCGCCACCTCCATGGAGGAGCTCTCGCGGACCAAGCTCGAGGACCTCACCGTCGAGGCGGAGCCGCCGCTGCGAGCCGACAAGAAGGAGCGCAGGGCCGACGTCGCGCCCGCCAAGGCCGAGCGCCGGTCCTGGGGCGACGACTCGCGCGACTCCTTCTACTACCGACCCGCCGAGCCCGAGCCGGCCCCCGAGCTCGCCGCCGCCGCCACCGCCGCCGAGCTCACCGAGTTCCAGACGGTCACCAAGCGGCGCAAGCCTCGCAGGCGCACCGACGAGCACGAGCGCGACGTGGAGCGCGAGCACGCGCCGCGCCGCCCGCGCCCGCCCTCGCCCTCGCCGCGCCCGCGCCGCGAGTCCGCGCCGCCCTCCGACCGCAGCAACGACTCCAACGACGACATGGACTCCGTGCACTCGCTGCCCGCCGACGCCACCGCGGGGCTCGCGCGCGCCGCGCCCGCCGCGCCCGCCGCGACCGCCGCCGCCACCACCACCGCCGCCGCCGCCGCCGCCGCCGCCGCCGCGCCCGCCTCCGCGCCGCCGCACGCCTCGTACGCGGACATCGCCCGGACGCGACACAACATCCCCGACCTCATCGAGTCGTGTAACTTCTACACGGAAGGCGGTGAGAACGGGGCCGAGCCGCGGCGGGTCGAACCGGCGGCGGTGCCTGGCGACGCGGACGGTTACCCGGCGCTGGAGCCGCGCACCGTCGCCGGCGGCCCGCCCGCCCAGCCTCGTTCACGCCTCGCGAAGCCGCCACCGCCGCCGAGTGTGCCGCGCCGCGACCGGAAGGAGCGTGCCGCGGCCCCGCCCGCAGAGTGCCCGGCGCCGGACGTGGTCGCGGACCGGCGGCCACCCGTCATCCTGCTCGACTCGGCGACGCGGCCGCGCGACATGGACGGCGTCACGTTCGGGTTCGACATCAATGAGCAGCTGCTCGGCGCGCCGACGCGGCGGCCGCGCTGTGACCTGGTCTGCGATGCGCCCGACGCCGAGCCGGCGCCGGCCGCGCCGCCCGCGCCGCTGGCGCCGTCCGCGCCGCTCGCGCCGGCGGCGCCGCTGGCCGCGACCTCGGTGGCGGTGCGGGCGGGCTGCGCGGCGCTGCGGTACGTGCCGCCGGAGCCGCCGCCCGACACGCACCACTTGCACCAGATCATCGACTACGTTGGCACTGGTAACTGTCTATACATTATTTTGAACCATTTCCATTGTCCTGCATACGTGCTACTAATACATACTCGTATTGTACACAACGCTCTGTTATCGTATTTTCCTTTGCATTCGTAGAGATCGGATACCGATACGTAAATCAATAGCGAATGTTTTTACACACGGTTAGGGACCATGCGTTCGTACACATAATAATGGTCTCATCTGAACGTGTTATTAGTCGTGACGCGTAGACCGCGTGCACAACTACTACTAACGTAATCGACACCAGCGCCTTATAAAAACCTATAAGATGCGAGTATTACCTAAATCTTCTTACCGAGCCGATAGTCGCCGTGTGTGGTCCCGGCATAGAATTGGTCACCCCTTCCTTACCCATGGGTGTCGTAAGAGACGACCAAGGGAAAGCGAAGGATAGGCGGCAGCATCCCTCTTAAAACATACAAAGCCTAATTGCGGTTGTCAACCCGCCTGCCAAGCGTGGCAATTATGGACAAAATCTTTCAGGGGGGAGGCTTATGTTCAGCAGTGGACAGTTAAAGACTGATATGATGATAGATGAGCCGATGGTCATGTTCGATGTGTAATTTGCTTGATACTAAAAACTACCCTAATATTACTGATAAATGTAGTATTTCACGTTCTGTACCTAATAGATTCCCTTTGTTTGCAGCCTGGGAGGACGTAATCCGATGCGGCAGTGGAAAAGTACGATACTTTAGCGAGTAGCCACGAACGCTCGTTTATACGGAACGGCGTCGTCGCGAGTGAAGTGACGTGCGGTACGTGCCGAAAGACAATTGTTCTGTGTACTGTGTATATAAAACTGCTACCGCCGGAGGTCGCAGCGGTGCGTGCGCTCGGTCTCTGCGTACACGAAATTATTTATGCGCTTCGTCATATTTTAGTGAAATGTAATATAAAGAATCTTCCATAGTGCCGCGGCGGTCTTTGTAACGGACGAGTGTGAGTGGATAGTTTTGGTGCAGTGCGGCGATGGTGGCTCGTCACGCTTCTGCGAGCCGGCACCAGTTCAAACTTAGCGTTTCTGCTGTGATTAAATTGTTACATAGGTGAACTGAACGAGAGCTACCTTAAGCATTTATTCATTAAATTTGCACTTGAAAAAACCTAAAAAAAATATTAAAGCTGTTATATAATAAGTCTCATTTGGATTTATACTTTATTATACATGTTTTATGGCCTAGTGTGAGGACTACTGGGAACGGGTGGGGCTGATATTGGTAGTATGAACAATTCTGGTCGCAACTGCCAAACATGGTGAATTAATAAGAAATTAGGGTAAAGTGTGTTTGTATAGAACTGAAAACCGTAAAGTATAGAAACTACAGAGGACTTTTCAATGGTGTGTTTGACTGAGAACTGGGAATGTCCATGACAGAGTAGTTCCAAGCGATTCCTCATATTGGGTCTCCACAGAGATGTTTTGATTTGTGTTGATGGAGGCATGTAATAATTTGTTTATGTTGATGTTGATTGTGCTTGAGTTTTGTTATGTAATCACAAATATTTAGTAGATTTTCTCTAACTAGACACTCATTACTATTTTGTTATGTATTTTTAAGTTTTACCATTTTGAATTGTAAATATATAATAAATAAAGATCTTTTAAGGTGTAACTGGCCATAATTGACATGTGCTGTGGTGTCGTCCTACTTGGTCACCTTCTCATTAGGCTATTTATTGTTATTGAAGTTATATCAGTTACATCACATATGTTTTTTTCCTATAATCCTAAGTTCAACATTTAAAAATAATATCTCCATTTAAGAATTTCCTTTTGTCGGTACAACTAATTTGTGCATCTTCCTCCAGCAACCTCTATCACAGGCCTTATCCTTTATACTATACGACATGACGCATAGTGTTCCTTTTAAAAATAATATAATGGAATATTATAATTTACTTATTTAGTATCAATTAGTATGAGAAAAGAACCACTTTCTAATTAAATCCATTGATTGTAATGTATTACTCAATCAGATTAATTTGGTTTTCCATAAAAGTTGTAGGTTGATAACAGTGGCTGACTGTGAAAGTTGATTATTCTTTCTTTTAATATTTCTATTCCATTACAAATGAGAATTTGGCCAAATTGGATCGTATGTTTGATGCTAAAGTGAGAACTTTAATAATACTAATAAATGTAAGTGTTGAGTGTAACAAATAAACCTATATGCAGCAATGACGCGCTTCGCTAATAACATAATACCGCGCATAGGTGTTTTGTTAGATGCCAGTGTAAGAACCTTTTGTCAAAGGTTTGACCAAACTGCATACTGTATTGTATTGTACATAAATCAGTCATCGTTGTTCAATACAAACGCAATTTTGCGCGTGAGTCGCATTTACGTGAAGAATGATTGTGTAGTTTATAATGTTTGCTGCAAACTAAAATATCTAGACGGAGGCAAGTACTCTCATTTTACTTATCTAAATTATGAACATGAAATGACAGTATTGTGCGAGTACAAGTAAAATGAGACACTACTATATGGCACCTCGATCATTGAATTGAATCTCAATGCAAATTGTACTAATTTTACTTTTTATTTTTGAAATATTTGTGCCAATACTAGGTGGTGCTTTTTTTCATTCATTTTATTGTAAAAGAGAAATGGCGCAAATTTTTGTAGGATCAGATTTACCATAATAATACAGATGATAGAGTGAGCAAAAATTTCTTTAGCCATATCTCTCTCCGTCTAGTTATTACTGCAATGTAAACTTCACCAATACATTGTCCATACATACAAAAAGTACCATCGTCTCAATGTTGGGTGAGTTATCAATATTGATTGACGGAAAACTAGTCGAAAGTGTGTGGAGAGCATATATTTATTGTACTAAAGAAAATCCTATAAATATATTTGATGAAAAGAGATGATCAGATATGATGAAAATTATTGTAATTTTATTTGATTTTTTGTTTGTACATGTAGAATTTAATAAATGTGGTTATATAAATGAATGTAGTCTGCCTAGGATCTTAAATAATATTCTCGGTCTGGTACTATTCGGTATTCATTTCATGGTGTGACCATATTGCGGCAAACTTGTGAACTCTGTACTGGATTTTACAGATATATTATTGTTCAATGGAGTGGGAAATTTCTACTTCCCGAAATAACCTCTATCTATTAAAACTACTCGAATTCTTATCATTCTTCCATTTTTTTAACTGAAATAAAATGATACGTTTGTATCTTACATAGACGTTATCAAGCTAGTATAGCATACGGATTTGTACATCCTTTACCACCTGCATCCAATATTCAAGTCTATAAATACTTTTATGACCATTTGAGATATTACATGTATATTTGCAAAGATAAACTCGCCAGCTTACAATGCGCCTTCAAGACACTTGCGCTTAGAGTTTAAAATATGTCCATTCAGTTTCTTTACAAAGTGCTATATACACTTATAGACCACACTTATATTGTAAATATATTGTATATTAATTCATTTGAATTCAAAAAGATTCATGTATTCATTACATTAATTATTTTGAGTAGACAATGCTGAAAGGACGCTCATATCAAAGGTATAGAAATATTATTTATTATTTCTTTTCCTTGTAAAATATGTAAATAGATATGCAGAAATCTTATTGGTTTTTTTTTTTGTCGTTCTTAGTTTATATTAGTCGTTGTAGTTGAAAGATCTCTGGATTCGTACGACAATATTTAAAGGAGCCATTTATTTAGCCGGCCGGCTTCATCCGTATATAGGAGCGTGATTGCAACACCAACGACAGTATGGGTTTCTATATTATATCTTTAATTAAATTAATCGTTTGATATATTTTGCTTACAGCTGCTTTTTAGCTTATGAATATTGGAATTAATGTTTATTGAACAATATAAATCCAATTTTGATGATAATTCTCCACTTAAATGAATATTAGATTGTCTTTAATAATTTTATTATGTGTACATAATTTGAGTATTATATGAAAATGTTGACTGAAAATTACATCTGCTAATATTATAGAAGTTCAACTCGGTCATGCAGAGGCGTTACGTTAGTTGATCTTCTTCGATATACCCATACTGGCGTGTAGATCGTTCGGACGGTTCGCTAAGCTAATGCAACCATCGTGTAGTTATCCCTGATACATCGAGTATTCTTTAAACTAAACAGCGAATTGGAAACTCGCTCTTTAGATTTATTTTATTCTATTATTTAAATGCTTATAAAAATGCTTTGACATTTATAAAACAAGTCAACTTCCTCCAGATATATAAAAGTATGGATGAGCAAACGATTTTTTGCGATGCAAATATTTTATTTTGGTATACCAGAGTGATGTTGTTTAGTAAAGCTATTTGGCAAAGTGAAGTTTTGTAAATGTATAAATAAAAATAAAGCTGAAAATATAAGTTTCTATGATTGTCTCATTGTCTGAATAAATCAAATTGATAATTTTTAAGACCTTCCATTGAGTTTCAAAGTAATTGCCCCTATAGATATAATTCACATATTATTTGTCTTTAAGATATATAATATACATATATATCCAGGAAATGAGACAATTTTTTGTATTATAATATATATATATAATATGAGGAATTATTTATCTGCTTTATCGTCTAACTGTTTGTTAGTTATATTTTTACTTTGTTCTAACTTCAAAGGTTCAATTTATTATACACTTTCGGTTGTCACAAATTTCTTTAAACAAATAGCACATAGCAAATATAATAATCTGCTAACAACTTATTAATTTGTTTTTTTTTTTTTTTTTGTAGATAAACCAATTTTATGGTTGTTAGTTTTATATTATATGATAAAAGATAAGGACAAAGTAAAAAAATAGTAACAATTTTAACAAACTGCAATTTACAGTTATGTACTTTTTCACTGTTTCCGTTTTTCTTAATAAAATGTTGAAAATATAATTCTTCGTTTGTTTTTTAAATATCATATAAAATTACATCAAACGCCTGAGAATTGGTCGATTCCTTTAGACGATGTATTTAAAAAATACATTGGCAAGGACATTATATCCCATTTTAATATGCATTGTTTAGAAAACACTCTTATAAATTATTAAATATAGCAAATAGATGGCTCCAGGGATATATTTTTTTTTAATAAACGAATGAAATAGTAATCCTACCTGCAGTCTCAGTATACGCTGGCAAGGCACCTGAGAAAGATGATAGGTGAAAATGAAAGCAGGACATCTGGCTCCTCGTGACGAATTTAACAATAATTAACCATGCTTGGAAAGAATAAACCATTATTGCTAGCAATAGTGATCCTAGACCCCCACGTTACTAATAATCCCTTCTCCCGCTATAAGGATATTGGATAAATCGGTGAAATCATTAAGACTCTTTTTAAGGGAATGATATACCAATGAAACAATATATTCACCAAAAGAACGAATCGTAAACACAAATTTTAAGTCTAATACCATACTAATGAGTGAAGTACTCGTACATATGGCAAGTCGAACTGTTATAATTAATAATAATTATTTATTCATTTGCTGAAAACGGTATACAGATGCTAGTAATATGTTATGAACATGCGTGTTTTGCCAAAACAATGGCATGCAAAATTTTAGTATTTATAGTAATTTTTTATTTAATAATTATATAATTTAAAAATATAAATTAATAATTAATTTTAGTATTAGTATTTTTCAAATACTAATGAAGTTTCATATCAAGTTAAAAATAAATTTACAGGGTACAGAGGAATAACACCTGAGTCCTCAGGAATGGCAACGCATCCCCCCATGCGATATGATACCCCCCTGTCATGGGCAAAACGGCATACTCTGTTATGTACATGGTTTTGCTCATGTCTATAGGCGACGTTATCACTTTCCATCAGGTTGTTTGCCATTCTAAGTTGTATAAAAAAAAAGTAAATCCTAGATTATTTTTATTTATGTACTCTAAATATTATTGCCATGCGGTCCGTGGGTGTCGTTAGAGGCAACTAACTGAACTTAATTATTGAGGGATAGCAGCAGCGTCTCTCTTAAAGCATCATCAAAGCCTGCGGTTGCCAACCCGTTTGTCAAGCAAGGCAACTTTTGACAAAACCTCTTTTATTAGGGGGAGGCCTATATTCCGCAACGGCTATAATGATGATGCTGAAATAATGCAAGGACTCTATATTTAGGGATTAAACGAAATAAATCTTCAATGCGATGCCATAGGTATTGATGTGCCAAAATTATAGCATTCCTACAGAATAAAGTATTCCAGCATTCCTAGTGGGTACGATAAAAATTGGAAAGTTGTGTAAAAAAAATAATAGAAATGCTTACAGTGTAATAGGTAACATTAATTGGATAGTCAATAGCATTTCTATTCTTTTTTTTTTTGTTTTAATATCGTATATTAATTAACGTAATATTTAATATTAATAGTAAATATAAAAAATTAAACCATGGTGAGGTATTGGGTAATCATAAATAAGAAATCGTTTAGCGACATTATATTTTATTTTCATAATAATCATCAACATGATACAGATGTTATGGCTTTGTATTCAAATATCATTTCTATTATTATAATAAAAATATTAACAAATTATCTTACATACACTTGAAAATGTACAATTTGTAATAGACCTTACAAAATATTCTAGAGCCCTACAAGTTGATAACAACAATAAATCAATAAAAGTTTTAACTTAAATTTATTAACCTACAATACACATCTTGAACAAAGGATGCGATTACATGTTGATATCAACTCGTAATAATTTTTAACACTTACAATGATCGCTCCATTGTTCCTACGATAAGGCATTAAGAATAGTTTTACGACATGTCATTACCTAATCGGACGTAACGGGCTACTTTTAATGCCTAGAATAGAAATAAAATATTTTGTCATACCCTAAATTAGTAGCGTGACGAAGCTTTACAAATGGAAACTTGTTAGAAGCACCTGACATATCAATTTCTAAGTTTATACATTCTCAATAACGCTAGGTGCGTTGTCTAGGCATACAGCGGAGTTGCGCTGTAGTGTTGGCGGCTAGTCGAAGAAGAATTTTAGGGAAACAGACGCCGATATGGTAATTATATCTGGTAATTGTAACCTTACAATATTTCTATCCCCAGTCTTCATAATATCATCAAGCGAAGTGTTTCTTACATTATTATTAGACTACAAAGCACTTATGATTTTTTTTTTAAATTACGCGTGGAGATACATATTATAATTATGCTAACAATATGCCAGCGAAGTTAGAGAGTGAAGAACGATTTCGTTGTTATTTTTATTTAAATATTGTTCAATACATATCGGCTAAAATAAGTTGTTATTTTTAGTCATTAGGCCACGACAGTCTGCGGTAAATCGCTACTGAAATAACAATATTTATAAATTATAATTATTTACACATATGTATATATTTTGTATTAATATTAAATTTTGATAACAAATAAATAGATCAACTACAGTAATGTAACTATGGAATGACTACCGTGTGAATTATCGAAATAAGTTAGTCAATCACACGATGTGATATGAATGAAATAAGCTGAGACTCGACAAATAGCTAGCGATTACATCAAATATTAAACAAACGACATAGGATGCTCATAGATTAAAAAAGCAAAAATTAAAAAGAGAACCGTAGATGGTCAAGTGGCTTATATCGAAGGTGAATATCTTTCAATTTGTAAAATTGCACCATCAAGCCAATAACAAGGCATGCGTCAAGTTACGTAATTATTTTGTTTTTAACTTCGGACAATTTTAGATAAGAAACTGCAATGCGTTTGTTATTTTGCCAACAGATGTTTCTATCACAATAGCGATACGGTCATTCGGGTTTGGCGTTAATTGTGAGTCAAATATCTCAATGATTTAATTCGATCATTAAGAAAGCATTCGAGATATTCGATCACATTTGAATAACCGAAACATATATGATCGATTAAAGCCACTCGACCGTGTACAGTTGTCTCTGAACGGACAAGGATAAACCTATCTAGAACGGAAGTCAACAGGCGAGATTTCGAGTCAATGTACATCCGACCGGCGAACAGAGCGGGCGGAAACCCGGCCGAGCGACGGGGAGTCGAGGGCCGGCTAGAAAATGTCGGGGCAGCCGCTCCAGTCACGACGCGCTTTACACTCCCAGTAGCGGTGGTTATACAGGTGCCGCAGATGCGGCTGGCCGGGTGCGGCCTCACGCGAAAACCAGGCGGGCCGAGGAGGCGGCGGGGGGTCAGCTCCCCTGGCGGCCGCCGCCTCCGCTTCCGCCTCAAGCTGGCGCCGAGCGCCGCGCTGCTTCTCCTCGAGGCGAAGCTTCTCCGTGTTGGCCTCGTCCCACAGCCCCTCCTCCATGAGGCGCTGGTCGGGTCGCAGCCGGGAGTCCGTGGGTGCTACGCCCTCCTCCTGCTCGTTTAACTGCGCCGCTAGCAGCGTGAAATTGTACCATCTGTGGATAAGCATAAACCAAATTAAGCTAAGGGTCAGATTGTCAAAATTTAACAAATCAATTAAATGGCATAAGATCACTATAGATTTATTTTTAATGATAGTTCAGCTAGGATTTCTTGAAATAACAATTTTAAGATGATATAGATACAAAGGGTGTTTCAAAGCTATAGATATTGAATGCACAATTGTAGATGAATGAAGTGCTTTTTATTGTCAACAAGAACTCAAGAGCGGGCTACAAAGTTATGAGATACCAAGAGTATTATAGCTCATAATCTTAAGCTCAAAATAGTAACACACTATTTTCTACTGAAAAATAAAAATCAATTTATTACAGGCCTAAACTAATAGATATTGTAGCCTGTGAGACAAGGATTACAGGAGAGTAGAAAAGGATTACTTACTTGTGCGAGTCAGGTGGTGCGGGCACGCGTTGCCAGGCGAGCACGAATTTTCCAGTCTTGCAGACTGTGTTATCGGGGGAGGCGCTGCTTACTGGAGCCACCTCCACGCGGTCGTCCCAGTGACCCTGCAGCACGTAGCGGGGCTGCGGGGAAGAAAATGAGAGAAACGGTTACCAGTGGCGTGAATTTAAAGGATACAGAGGAATAACCCCTGAGTCCTCAGGAATGGCAACGCATGGGGGTATCATGGGCGAAACAGTATACTCTGTTATGTCCATGGTACTGCTCATGTCTATAGGCGACGGTTATCACTTTCCATCAGGTGGACTGTCAGCTTGTTTGCCATTCTAAGTTATATAAAAAAAATCTATTTACACTTTATTAAGACAAAAAAGCAGATCAACATCAGTGTCATATGTGTACACAGTCTCTCAACACTATTTGTGAATAAAGTAGTAAATATTACTAGATTATAATACAGTGGAAAGCATATTGTAGTTAACACCTAGTACAGGCACTAGCTCCCACAAATAATAATGTTAAAATGTTCTGCAAGTTAAAGTATAGGTAGTAAGTTCTTAATTGTTTGTGGTAAGAATTAAATAAATAAAAGAAATAAATAAAAACGGTAATGCACTTTACTGTATTGTAAATATAATACTGTAAAATCCATTTCATATTAAAAAAATAAAATTATCTTTAACAACAAAACAATCAACAAAAACCACAAGTCTAGATGTTACTGCCATCTAGTATTTCAAGTCTAATTTCGTTTAGTGACCAACCATTATCAATGTTAAAGTAAGATATATTAATTATAAACCAATTTCACAGCACTTTTTAAAACCGATCACGGTGTTTATTTATTTTTTATTTAACTAACTTTACTACTGTAATCTATTAAAGGAAACAATGACGAGTATCTATCTTTATTAACCAAAAGAAAATGTGGTAAAAAGGCGGACTTAATGCTAGTAGCATTCTCTGCCAGTCAACCTTTGGGATGAACAGTGAATCATGAACGCGGTACTGCATTATTGAGATAGGTAAAGGAAATAACTGCTAATAATATATACCTATACATATTAAACAATATAAATAACATAAAATGTTGATTAGATAATATACATACATATTTATTTATAAATAAATTTATATTTATAAAGGATCATATATATATGCAACTAAATAAATATCAGTATCATTATAACTGCTTTTAACTGTCCACTGCTGAACATAAGGCTCCCCTAGGGGGGTTTTGCAAGTAGTTGCCAACTTTAGCAGCTAGATTGACAACAGCAATTAAGCTTTGGAAATGTTTTAAGAAGGACGCTGTTGACCATCACTCGCCCTCCCTTAATCGCCTCTTACGACACCCACGGGAAAGGAAGGGGTGGTCTATTCTATGCCAGGACCACACGGAAAGCCGGTAAATAAATAATATATAGATAAATGAAATACAAAAAATTATGACTAGCTAGTGGCTAGTGTTGTAATAAGTTTATAAGGTGAACATGGACATTTCTTTGATTTTTTTTTGGTGTTTGGGTTACATTGTGTTAAAGATCTGTAAATCGGAAAGACACGATCCTAGGATTAAGTATCTTTAGTAATAAGGTAACAAAAGTGCACGCACCACTCCCTGTGGGTCCTTGATGACGCCGGTGACCTTCCTCTGCGTGTCCTTGCTGAAATAACTGTACGGCTGGTACTTGAGGTGAGCCACGTAGCCGGTGGCCGGGCCCGCCTCGCCCACTATGTCCATGTCCCCGTGGTTGTCCATCCATAGTTTACCCACTATTATGTTGTGGACGGTAGTCATTACCTGCCGATAAAACACAATGTGTCAAACTAAGGGTAAATAGGGGGGAAAGGGATTATTAGTAATGGAGACTTAGAATCCCATTGCTAGCAATATACCCAACCAGGTCGACCTCCTCGCGGTTCCCCCTGGAAACTATCATGGTTAATTCCTGATGAATTCATCATGATGGGCTAACTGGCCTGTTTTCATTCTCATCTATCACCCTCCACTGGTGCTCCGCCAGCGTATCCCGTTAGCGCAGGCGGGGTTACCATACCATTTTCACCCATCAAAAAAAAAAAAAAAAAAAAAAAAGAAACTAAGGGTAAATTAGGTTTTCTATCTATTTTGCTGTTAACGAACTGTTACGTATGGAACTTTTTGCATATAACAACTTTGGTCCCTAGCCCGAAATTACGTGAATCATAGATTATACGTTTTGAGACTTTAATATTCTGAGATATGAACGTTTTTACCCTTATGTGTATTTTTGAGACTTGTATGTTTTGAGCGTAAACGGTGAAAAAAATAGCGCTATCATTATTAGATAAGGCACATATTTATTTTTAATATGCTTCTAAACCGATAAGCAGCCTCATACCTTCCTCCATGTGTATTTGTTGCCTGAAGCGACAAACATTGCCGATGCACTACCCAGGGGTATAACCTGTAGGTATTTCCCCCTGAACTTAGTGGTCATGGTGAACTCCTGCCAGCATTGCCAGCCTGCTTGCCCCTCGCAGAACTGCGCTACCATTGGAGGGTGATGTGATACCTGATAATTTTATTCTTTTGTAATAAAAAGTGCCAAATAAATTATAAATTTTAAATTCTGTATTCAAAATAATAAAGATTCTCTATTTTTTTTTTTATAATTCAAATAGTTATATAGTTTGAAAAACATGTTAGTAAAATATATATAGAGGAATAGGGAACAAGGATATTAGGCGAGGCTAATGCTGAAAGGAAATGGTAATGGAATGGAAAGGAGGTAAGAGGTACAAAAAGTTATTAATTGATAAAGATTTTAGTGTTTAATTGTAATATTTCATAATAATGTCTAGTTATTGACACAATTAATTGTAATATATCAAAAACGAAATAATAATAAGTATCTATTTATAAAACCTACCTGTTCAGATATAGACCGCCATCCAAGGTCCGCCATGCGATCACATTCGAAAGTCTCACCCAGTAGCGGGTTGAAGGGTTTGTTTATTCTGTAAATAATAAACATACACATATACACTTCACGTCTATTTCATATTATGGTGGATAGAAATAATATAATATCGGTTTCTCATTAAAAGACCGGAATAATGGTCAATAAAACCTATATAATTAATTGTGTCGGCGTTTACCTGTAATAGTGTCGTGTTAACTTCATAATTAGTAAATTAATAACCGTGCCGCGAACACTTAGTAAATGTGATAGATTGACTCATGTGATGGGCCCAGTTACATATAATATATAATAAATTACCTGACTGTAATTGCTGAAAGCAGTCTAAATTCATTTAAAAAGAAACTGAAAGACTGGCTTATCAAGAAGGGCTTCTAGTGTTGGAGAATTCTCAAATTATGAACAATATGAATAAACCCTAATGCTGAATTTTATTAATAAAATAACAATTTGCAGTGACGTGATTATTATTGTTATAAATTTATATTACTTTTAAACATTCTTATTATTATTATATAGAAAACACTACGTTCTTAAAATTAAAATAAAATATAACAAACTTGCAATGGGGATGACATAATTAAAACTGGACTTAGAATTTTTAAAATTATGAATAAACGATCTGTATCTGTTAAGTCTCGAAAATAAACTTTAATAATAAAACATCAAATTCTCAGACAGAAACAAATATTTATCTTTTCCTTTATCTTTTTAACTAACTACGTGTTATTTTTTCATTAATCTGTTGCAACACCGTCTATCCATGCATAAATTTGTTTTTGAAGTTTTGTCATTAACAACACAGTGAAATATGCTCATGAATTGTTATTCATGAGTTCCAGAGAACACAAAACACATTGGAGCAACCCAAAAGAGAGCAAAGCTTAATTCGTAGTTAAAGCGTAAGGATTGGACAAAGAAACATACAATATTATTTGTTTCTTTCTTGACGAAAATTAGATATATAGCATTACACAATAAAACCATGTCAATTATTTTTAGAATTAATGTGTCATCAAGAGATAATGGATGAAGAGACTTAAACAAAATTAAATTATTAAATAGATTAACCCAAAAAACAATATGACGTATGTTTTAACGGAATTGGTCAAACGGATTATGATAAACAGCCTTATCCCTCCTAATCCAAATACAACTGAATGTTGTAACATTTGTAAAATCTGTTTCAACAGAAGTTACTAGAAAATGAAACAAAATTGTCACAGAAACACTGACTAAAAAGAAATTAGTAACAAAACATGTAATCAATTAATCTATTAATAATTTTTGCTACTAATGGACTGATGTCCATTAGCAGACTGAGTTATGGTCAAGTCAATTATTTATTTGTTAACATTTTCATTTAATTATTTTGAAACTGGCTACATTGTATCGTCTATTCAAGAAAAACATATATAACACTATAAATATTTTTAAACAAAAACCCATTATTTTTAAGTTAATTTTTAACCTGACCAGTAGTAGAGTTTATGGTGGAGGGATGGGTGGCAGTGTCCCTCTTAAAACATGGCCAGTTAACGGCTGATATAACAACAACAACTATAAATTGGGAGGCAGAAATCCTCATTACTAACCCCCCCCCCTCCCCCCCTCCTCTAATATTAATAAATATCCGTAGTGTACTAACCTGCAGGAAGTAGTGGCGTATGAGGAAACCGTGAAGGCGGCGACGTATGCGAGCTGCTGCGCGGGGTCGGTGAACTGCGCCGCTTGGTCCAATACAGGCGAGTACTCGTAATCCTCCGTCAGGCGCTGCAGCATCGATAGCGGCTCGCTGAAGTTCACCGGGATGGGGATCTTCGATAGTTCTTTGCCTGGCACATTGAATAATAATAAATACCACTGAACATATTACATACACACTGTCATATAGTCCTAAACTAAGTAGACTTTTTTCTTTTTGATACTAGAACAATGACAGACTTTTTTAAAATAAATAACATATTATAAATAAATACCACTCAGATCATATGAATTAATTAAATTTATCTATGCCAGTGCCATTTTATTTTTATTAAAGAGAATGAAAATTTAGAAGAGAGATTTTTTTTACTTTTTTTGTACGTGATATTTTCGCCAATTGTTATTTTGATGACAATTATTAATTCTCTAAAAGGATTATTACCCTTCAATAATTATTCAATATTAGAGTGTCATGTCTCCAAGTGAAAATACTATTATCGGAACTAATTAACAAATAAATGTAGTAATATAGTAGTAATAAGTGTAAAAGTGTAGATATTTGATATTCAATCACACTCAAATCTAGCCATAATTTAAATAGTATAGAGAGAGACACACAATAATGACAGTTATGTAGTATACCTATGCAGTTTTTCATGATGGACCACAGGCTGAGTGGGTAGTTTGGCTTGTCGGGCACTCGTACTCGACGCGGATGGCCGTCAACCATGCTCGTGACTTGTGACACGTGCGGCTGTGACATAATATTTAAAGAAATATTTACACAAAAAATAAAATAAAATTATATGTTTAATAGGAAGATTTTGTATGTACATAAGTACATAGGAAACTGAAAATACCAAACGCACAATTATTTCTTCTAGTATTGTAGATGTTTGGTATTGAGATGGATATGGATTTAAATAATGACTTACCCAAATTTTGAAATTCTGTTCCTTGTCCGAAGCCTTGGTGGCGACAACACCAGTCTCGGCACCTCCCATGGCGCTTTCTGCACGCTCTTTGTCTTCCACGAATATTACCTAAAGAAAAGTTTTACATAATGGAACTAGCTTGCAATATGGTACTATGACGTTTAGTTTAATCATTAAAGTATGAAGAGATAATAAAGTCACTTTATAATATTAATAAGGATAATTCATACTAATATAATGTTTCATATTACAAAACAAAACAAAGGTAATGAATTTTTTTTTTATACAACTTAGAACGGCAAATAAGCTGATACTGATACTGTTTCGCCCATGATACCCCCCATGCGTTGCCATTCCTGAGGACTCAGATGTTATTCCTCTGTATCCTGTAAATTCACGCCATATCCCACTCTTCGAACCGAAACACAGCCATGCAAACACAACTGCTTCACGGTAGAAACACGAATGGGACCGAGGTACCCAAGCAATCGACTTTTGTACTAAGTCTCCCTTTGGTAAAATCGTCGTGAAAAAAAAAAACTTAATAAATTGATTTCATTCCATTTGTCCGACAAACTCTATATTTTTTATGCAACTATTTTTCTCTCATTACAGTCATACACGTTCGACATACGAACCAACTTATTATATCAAAAAGTCCCGTTACCCGTACGTTAACTAATCATACTGTAAAATATACTATACTACAACACAAACATTAAATAAAAATTTAAATGGCAAGTTGCTTCCTTTACCGATGTTATTATAATGAACGGCGATATCGTCGTAACTGTCGCGGTTAGAACATGAATATGTATTAACGTTCTAATTGCGACCACAATATGATTAATAAACTTGGACAGAGAAATTTCATGAACATTAAAAACGAATGAATAAGAGGCATATCTCTCTTAATTGATGTAGAGAACTAATTAACGTTAAAACCGTAGATATATAATTTTCCCCTTTTTCTTTTTACTATAACTGATTATTTACTTATCCAATACTTATAAAATCCAATTATATATGTAATCTGTAAGTTTGTACTACCCATATTATAATAATCAAACGATTCAGCGACGATTACTATTTTATCAGGCTGGGCGTCAGCTTATTTGGCCATTAATAGTTACGTAAATTGCATTTTTTAGGATCATATTAAAAATACATTTTTTTAAATTTAATTTCAACTATTATTTCAAATTACATTTGCAGTAATTGAAACAATGAGTAATCGAGGGTGGGTATCAGGAGGACTTAATATCGGGAGTTGACAATCACGAGTAGCAATGTCAAAAATAAATGGCATTCAATTAATGGACTGACCTGCTGCGTTTCCGTCACTGTTTCTCCTTCGGATTCATCGGAGCTCTCGCCGCTTTTTACCTTATTTTTCCTATTAACCTGCAAATGATATGATACATGACATGAACACTAAAGTGTCACAATCACTGCAAGAGAATTATTTATGAGATTGGGCAACTTAATTGTTGCTTTATGTTTATGCTGTAAACAGTGGGTTAAACCGGTGTCCTCGATTTAATAGTGACGAAACTGATTAAACTGCAATAAGTAGTAATGTTAAATAATTTCAAATAAAACTATCTACTTAAATAACATGAAAACTCCTACTACATATAATAAAATCGTAAGAGTCAAAATGTCTGTAATATTGAGTTTTTCCAGCTGCCAGAATAGGCAAAAATGCCTAAGTCAGCCATTTTTAAAATTGATACATGTATCTATTTGTCATTACAAAAAAATGGCAGAATAAACAAAAATATATAAACAATTGTTTTAGAACGACTTAAAAACTAGCACATTTTTTATCCGAATGCATCAAGTGAATAATGAGATACAGTTTGATCTTTCCACTGTAGAAAATCGAGTAGAATGTTCAGTCTCCATTAATTGGATAGTCACGTTTACGAAAATGCTCTAAATGGTGTTAATAGAACACAATCACAATGTTTTTAGGAATTAAGTTAATTTTGACTACCATGCAGATAAAGTTGTATACATAATTAATCATAAACATGATGAGAATTAAATGAAGCAACTGCTAAGTTTATCATACATAAGAAAAATTGATTCGGATTAAATCTCACACAAGAATCCAACCAAGTATTCAGGAGTAATGTAACACAACTATTACTTACTGGTACTTTAATTACAAATGATGTCTTATCATCCATTGATGTTGAGACACCCTCCTCCATAGCATCAAAGAATTCATGATCTTCATCCTCTGTCTCGTTTCCAGTACCAGACCCGTTTCCTCCTACAAGAACACTCATTATTTCTTTGTGAAAACATTAAGTATTAGTATACATACACTTAAGGGGTATTCCCTTATAAGTGATTTTGAAGGTACAAATACTTATATTTAATATTCTAAATCTATTACATATAACATATTTATAGAATACAACAATGTACATAAGTAAGCAGAGTGTACTAATGAACAATGAGTATAAATATTAATGGGACATAACACTGATAACAAAACGTCATTTGTTTATTTTGTACTTATTTGATGAATAAATATATCTTAAATGGTTTATATTAATGAACAATAAATCACAATGATAAAGGTATATATACATGGACCTTAAATTGACATCTATACCATTTATATTTTTATTGATAATATACTGTTTTAGATTTATTAAAGCAGCTGATATTACCAATTTTAATTTAAAAAAAAATATTACTAAAAGAGTTTGTAAACAAGACTATTTGAATAAGATGATTTCAATGCCATCTTCATTTTAGCCGTTCATTTTCCACCTCATCAACATATCAGCCATTAACTGTCCACTTCTAAACATAGGCCTCTGGCATAAGAGAGGTTTTGCTAGTAGTTGCCATGCTTGGTAGGCAGATTGAAAAACAGTTGTTTTGATGTTGTTGTTTGATGTGATGTTGGTAATTTAATAAGGATTATTTTGTTTAATTTCACTACCATTAGTATGTGTGTGATTGCCAATACTTGAAGATCGACCATCACTATTACCATAGAAGTTCCATAACCTTCCACAGCAGCCATAAATCAGTCATTTTTAACGCAAATATTGCGACACATGTTTCACCTTTAAATGAGGCATCTTCAGACAGTGATATGGTAATATTAGTAGTGGTCAATCTTCGAATGTTGGCAGTCACACACATACAAATGGTAGTAGAATTAAATAAAATAAGTGCAACTAAATAACGAGTGATATGAACTTCCACAAAATAACACCTAGTTTAGTAAAATATTTGGTGATGTTTTAAGAGCAAAGCTATAGCTGTTTCCTCAATTATTAAATTCCCTTAGTCACCTCTAAAGTTACCCACGGGAAAGGAATATGTGGCCCATTATATGCCATGACCACACAGCAATTGTTGATTAAATAGGCCTACCTTATAGAATGCCATAAAGTATAATAGACTGCCCCTTAAAAATTGTCTCATGAAACCAATACTATGTAAGTATCAGATACATATTATGTAGAATAAACTTTAATGAATAAAGTATCATAGGAATTAAAGGTGAAATATTGCACAACAAATAGATGATACTATAATGACATTGTTAAATTACCTATGTAATACATATATGTGAATATATATAAATGAATTTAAAGTGAGAGTGTTGGCAACAAACATAAATTGTGATATATGGCCTCTAATATGATTAATCAACAAATTTATAGCAACAAACAAAGGTTTTTAGTAAAATACATCAATAAAGTTATGATAAATACACAAATTAATACATCACTTTGAATGTTCCTTGTTGGATAAAATATATTTAAAAAATAATTAATACACCATTGTAATGCACTACTCATTTCTTCGTGGAGCCAAAATTTACCTACAATAGAAATATAACAGGATACATATTGAATTTAAAAACACTCTTCCACAAATTATTATTAAAAATTCAAGTCAATAATTTTCAATTATTTGTGGAAGAATAATTTTTTTTTATCTTTAATATAAATTCAAAGTACCAATTAACAGCAGTATTAGTATATTACAAAATTAAATTCCAATTTGAGCTACAAATATGACTAATCAAGTGACATAACAAGGTCTTTGTGTATTTATTTAATAAATAACAATGGTAAAATATGACCAGTTGAATGACATCTGTTGATAACAAGTCTACCACTATCTATCTCATCAGGAATTACAATTGTGTACATTTATATGAATAAACTTATAACACAATTTATCCACTTTCATCAAATCCATTTTCTAGAATAACAATATGAAGTATAGGTGATAACAAACATGCATAGTGGTGCACAAACAAACACTACCCAAACATTGCATGGTGGCCTTGTAAAGAAGTATCCGATTCTATATTTACAACTATATTGTCATTTTATTATCTGAAACATGTTATTATTTTAGCAAAATCAAAATAAATATATAATTTTGTAGACTTTCAAGATTCTTTAGTATTCTTAAAGATCTTGTAAATGGTGACCAGTATCATCTAGTACAATGGTTACTAATTAGCTCAGAAATACCATACATAATATAATAAATTTGGAACATCACAAAAACTATCGTCGATTTGTAAATTCTAGAAATCGCTGGTCTTGTGTAAATGACTATTTATAATATTTCATACTGTTCTTGTTTAAAACACTATTACTAAACAAAACACATTCCAAAACCAACATTTCCTATAACACTAAAGTTTCACTTACCACCCATAATTTATTGCAATGATGAACCATTCAATTAGTCTTTCAATATATCTGAATTGTTAATATTTATACTCAAAGCGTACGGATATACAAGGCCAAGATCACAAATTTCAGACAACGATTGGTCGCTCTAATTCACTGCCAAAACTCTACACTTCATACGCGGCAGACGATAATTAAATAAACGAATGCTTAATATTCTACCAATTACTAATGCAACACTTTGAACAGCATAATAACCTTGAGCGCATCAAAAATTTGAAAATCTACGAAAACGACATTATGAATCGCCTTAGGATGTGTTACGTACCGAAATCAAAGTGTTTTTAAATGAACATTTTTGTTTGTTTTATAACATAGAAATAACATAAATCACATAATAACACGTAAAATTTTATGAATTTCAGTTCTACTCAACATTCCTCAATAATAATTTGGTTCGATTTTTATGTCCGTCACGTCAGTCAGAATCAGTCAGTTTTTTTTTTTAACAAACCAATGTTGCCAGGCCTTGAATTATTATTAAATATTATCATATGGTAGATATTATTTTTTTTTATACATATATTGGGCAATTTTTTTTGGATTTTATAATTTATTCTTCTTTTCCGTATAATTTCGTCTTTTTCTAAATGTTTCAAGGCATAATACAATAACTGGGCTAATATGAAAAATTTCTACCATTAATTTTAAATGTTTCCATTTTTTAATACCTACATTTTCGAAAGAAAAATAAATATGTTTTTATCGACTTCAATTTTGTGTATACAATACTATTGTAAATGTAGACTTAGTATTACGTACTTTAAGATAGTAAGGATGGAATCACATGGTGGAAAGTTTCTAGCCGACTTTGTTGTACATGAAGGCCACATGAAAGCTTACCAGAAGATGACTTTACATATCTTCCGAAATAATCCAAACAAAGATTTTAAAATTTTGAATCATAGGCTAAGATTCGAGCATAGAATGCAGAAAGCAAAGTCCAAACTGAAATCTATATTTGGTTTTAGAGCTTTTATGTCTCTTCTTAATATAAAGGGCAGTATTGTCATGCTCAAATAAATTTTGTTTAGGTTCATAATTCCTAAACTGCACCTAATATAATACTTCACATGTACAAGTACACCAATACACAAAATAAAACTGTCTTTCATGAATAGTTCTCCAAAGATCTATACTTAGTTCACAATTAATTGTGGAATCTTTGCAAAATGTTGTTGTTAATATAGGTAAAGTCTAATCTCTATCAGTGATGTCATAGCTTAGTCAACACATAGCTATAAAGCCTAAAAGATTAAACAGATTATGACGTGCATAGAATAGGCTGGCACTATGAGTGCAATATAAAATTCATAATAGTAAAGTTTAATGTTGTGTCGCTATTCACACTATATGGATTGTCGCAAGGATAGAGTGATGATTAATCCATGTAGTATTATACCTCAAGTTGACATAAAATGAAGGATTTATTATTGTACTTGTTCCCCTTGTTCATTCTCCATATGTTGCAAAGTTTAGGTATTAATGCAATAGTTCCTATTTAGAGGGCTGGAGGAGATTGTTAATAATGCAGACTACTAGTCCTATTGCTAGCTATATTCTCTGTCAGGTCGACTTCTGCGTGGTCCCCCCCCCACGAAGTAATTGTGCTGAATCCTAGGTGTATTTATCATAATAGGCTAACTGACCTGCCTTTTCATTCTCACTTGTCATCCCTCATTGGTGACTTGCCAGTATATACCGTTAGTGCAAGCAGGGTTGCCATTCCATTATCATCCCTTAAAAAAAATAGTTCCTATTCCTATATGTTTTGTAAGTAAACAGCACTGACCTGCATGTGATGTGTTATGTGCTGTAACCGTCTTCTCAAGATTGTCATGCTGTCGTGCTAACTGTTCTACGACTTCTTGCAACCGGGTCTTTTGTTCGCGCTCATGCTGAAGTGCACGGCTCATGCGAGCACTGGAAGCTGCAGCCGCATTCATAAACTCCGAGCATGCCTATTAGAGATTTATTATTGCAACATTTTTATTGTGCTACATTCATCATGATCATCAGTTCGAGTTATAGCGCACCAAATGTCATCTTTTCAGTAATTGAAAGTAAAAAACACTGAATAAAATTATCTATTTCTTAAGTAAAGCAGCTATGCATACTTTGTTACGTTTAAGTTTGGTCCGTAAAGTATAATGGCAAGTGTTACTTTTTACTTAAGAGGCATAAAACTTAAATTTTCGGAAATAACAATGCACCAGAAATACTCGTACTACTTATGACAGTAAGTAGACTGTATAATTAGATTTTTAATCACTGTTTACTTTTGTAAATTACCACATTTTCTGAGCTCATTGGCTATTTCGTATGATATAAAAGCAAAGGTAATTGTAATTATGTGTTGTTTTAAAATAAGATTAAACAAAGCAAATTTAACTTACATTCATCATGGCATTACAGGATATCCTGAAAAGAGTGGCGCGCTCCGATACTTGTTTTGTTGTATCTGTAGGAGGTATCTCGAGATCTGCCAATGAGCGCTGCAGCGAGGTCCCGTGGCGGGTCACAAGTTCAGAACACGTGCGAAGGTCGTGAAACCGTGCCGCTAGCTCGCGAGCTATACGGCTCGCGTCCTCCCCTTCGCCTTCTCCACCGCCCACAGCCACATTCCCACTAGACATTTGATCTTCATCGTCATCAGATTCTTGTGCTCTACTGCAATAAATAATAGATAAATTAAAAAACAAAAAAACTTCTTAACTTAACCAAAGTACATAATAACAAGCTTCTCTTTAAATTTTTATTACAATAAGAAACAGAGTAATTCAAGAAGGTGTATGTCGAAAAGTAATAATGGAACAAAGATAAAATAGTTATTTTTCGATGGATTAAATATGTTCAGAGGTTGATAAGTTGTAAGCAGATAGGAGAGAAATAATTGGATAAGCTACAAACTTATGACAACCAAATAAGAAATAATCTAATGAGGAGCCAAGTTAGACACAATCAGAAATGAAGAATTTGTAGAAACAGGGTTGAAGGTACATCAAGATGGAAACAGCAGTCTGTGATCTTTGTCTATTCAAAAACTTTATAAAAATAATCTTTGTTAATATGTCAGGTTGACATAAATAATCATGTTTTTCGTTACTTACATACCCACTGGACATGGGAGAATATCTTATGTAGAGTATATTTTACGTCAATTTTTAAATAACGTTAATAAAGGTCTAGTAAAAAATCAAGTAAACTACATCACAGGCCTCCAAATACCTTAAAGATAGCCTAAAAGCACTAAAGAAACAAAAAAACTGCTGTCATATTATTAGTTGTTACAGAAGTGGTAGCAGTGGTAGCCATAGCAGCAGTAGTATTAGTAGTACAGTGTTATTTTTGTTACCACAAATTCATTAATACCACTCCACCACCTAATATTGAATAACGACCAACTAACACTAACATAGCTTTCGCCTTTGCGAGTTCGAGTGCAGTGACCCAACTCTGACGCTCCACCTCATCTTGTGCACGGATGTGGAATGTTTGTGTTCCTCCATTGCTGATGACGAATGTGCAGGAGTCTGCAGTGTGAATGAGAGCACCAAGTAAAGAGATTGTACCGCGGCATGTATGCGCCATTTCCGCTTGATTTCTGTAACAAAATTGCTGTTTGATTATTTTTATATTATAACAAGGGGCATGTATACATTCATTAAGTTAGTTCAAAATTAGGAAGATATTTAAATAAAACAGAAATCCACCAAATCTCAGCACATATTTCAAAATTGGACACTTCCAAGAAGTGATCAAATTAAAAAATCACAATTAATGGTTACCTAATTATTTATAGGCGTATTTAAGGGGAACCAGGTTGACCACACTCACCTTAGAATTATCTGGTACCCACCCCAGATTGTTAGCGAAACTTTGCAAAGACAAAGACACAGATACGCACACATACACTCACACATACACACACACGTACTCGCGCCCACAAGCTCACTCGCTCACGCGTGACCGTACGCACGCACGCACGCACGGACGTACACTAGCACGCACACACGCACACACACACACCCACACACACGCACACACGCTTACACACGCACGCATGAGAGCACTCGCTCACTTTGTACTTACCCTATCACCCATACTAATATACTCTTAACAAATCAAGTAAAATAGATGTCCTTAAGTTTGGCAGCCTGGTGATCTATAAGACGGGTTATCCTAGTACCGACACCAATCTCTCAAAGATTAAATTATGTAGCTGTAAGTTTTATATATTGTTATTTTGTGAAAGAAATAAATATATATTTACATATTGGAGTTGAATATAGTGTTTACTGACCATTACATGCCAGTTTTTATTGCTGAAATAACTATTAATGACAAATATTTTTGATAATTATGAATGACCTTCATTTAACCTCAATGACATTATGCTTGTTATGATCCTTACCAAACAACCATAAACATCAAACAAAAATAAATATGGCCATAAAAAAACATCAGCTCAATTACATTATAAAACCAACTCAAGAAAATGTAAAACATAAATGATCATTCAAAAATATATAATAAAATATATTGTTTTAGTACCCTAATAGAATATATAACACTGTTCAGTTTAAATAAATTTAATTATATATCAGAACCCAAAGATAAACTCAACTTTTGTTATCTCTGACAGTAATTTACATTGTTGTCATTTACTTTTCATGTTATTGGAGTTTTATAATCCAATAACATAATTATACAAATTTATATACAGATTATATCCAAAATTTTGTAGTATTTATTAGTTTATTAATACTACTAAAAAGTTGCAATATCCTTCTGGCACATTTATCTTTACCATAAAAGAAAATATTTACCAATTTTATATTACTGATTTCAGTAATTTTGCTGTGCATTATACATACTACATTGTATTCATGTACATATAATATAAAACTGTATGTAGATTGTGTCTGTGCATAAATCATGTTCAAACTGCTTTACAGAGTTTGATGTTTGGTGTGATGTTAATGTAATCCATGTCCTACATTTTATTACTTGGTAAAAGTCTCATTCCCATAGAATATATACACCAAAACAAAGGCATATCAAGTGTTATGTTTATTACCTCCATTAGTAATTACAATCTTGAGCATATTTATTTATTTTTTCCATTTAAAAATATAATTAAAAACTAATCAATAATTCAGGTAGTTTAAATATTTTAGCATAATTTATTTGCATTTGACAACAGATGATTTAAATTTTTGAATTTATTAATATTTTTAATAATCAATATTTTGCATTTTTTCCTTCTAAAAATTTATTGTAATCTATTTATAAACTTCTATGAGAGAAATAAACCATTATTATTTTTTTTGTATTTATTTTTATCAATCCCTAACAAACCAATTTCTTTACAATTGTGTAATGGTATTATACCATCCATATTGATACCATCTAATGGTAATACTACCACTATACTAGTAGGTCTCAGCTCTTTGTTAATTGAAGCTTAACCTTGAGTACTTATTGGAGTTCATGAGTTACTGACAATTGACCTGCATGCTGATTTTATCAATGAATATCAAGCCTACATATTGATATACCACTATTATTGGAAACCAAAGTGAGATGTGAACTGTTCATTTCTCATAATTAAAATCATTAGAAATTGATATCATTCTTCTACAGATAACTGCATAACTGCCAGATAATAATTAGCTAGAGTAATTTCTTAATTTGAGAATTAAATGTAGTCTTAAAACCTTTGTGGGTTAACCTTTATGCCTTAAGTATTAACACAATAAAGTATAAGTAATTATATAAAGTATATATAAAATCTTACATAGGAGATATTTAAGAAAAAATCATAATCTTAATAAGGGCATCAGAATCCAAAACAATACTTTTTAGTAGCTTTGTCTGTTTGTTCTAGCACCACACAAAAACTGCTGCACCTAATTGGATACAGATTACAGTTATGTTCCTGTAGGTCAACTAAAAATTTTGTGTATGTTTTATAATGATACATCATTTAGACATTATCTATTTCATTGGTTTTTTATTTCTGAAATCCATACGTAAGAATAAGCAATAAACTAGTAAGTGATAAGAAAATAGTAAAATTCACAATGTATTTTGAAGTATATCTTCAATAAGAATTAAATTGGATTTTACATAAAGTTTAAAAAATATATATTAGTAAACTCTTGGACTACATAAAAGGTACAAAAGTAAATAAAAAAAGTAGGTACCTACTATTACGTTATGAGTACATATTACAACAAATATTTGTTGATTTACGCTATATGGAGCCCAATTCGAATTATCAGCTTCATAAATATAGCATAAACGCATTATTTATATGTATAAAATAGAATTAGCAGTATTATAATCGAATGGCAAAAAATACGGCAAAGTATCACTGCGTCACAATAAGAAAATGGAGTTAAGAAAATTAAGTATTTTGCATATACATGTATAAAAATGACGAAAATGTCACTAATTGTATAGACTATCTTGAAGAATAGTTAAATGATTTCTTTAATTTACCTGTAGTACGAAAGTAATCCATTCGAGAGAACGAACCATCTTCTTTGATAACCCTTCAAATAATTTGTCCATTTGAACAACCATCCCTTCTTCTCTGGGTCGCCGGGAATTGGCTGACCCTTGGGCACTATCACGTCAGACATTTTTCTTCAAATTAGTTCACGAATATTGATGAAAAAAACATAATATAAGATTTGTTCAGCCACGTCTGTCATCCACCATAATCAAATAATGGAAAAAGTCAAAAGTGTCATGAAACGTCACTATAATTTATTAATTTTTATTCTGACATTGACAGTAGAGAAGTAGCAATGATGGTATTCCAGACAAATTGTCATATTGAAGACTAGGCAGCATGGTCTCCGACCTTAGCCTGTTCTACAACGGAACAAACGTACTAAAAAAAAGTAGCAATGATATTAATTTATTAATAACGGAGAAGGCAAAGAAACTAAGCCATATAGCCTGATTTTCAGTAGAAAGTTTGTATTTCCATAATTTAACACGATAAAGTGGTCATATCTTTTTCATTGGATAGAATTAAATACCACAGGGATACGTTATTTTCGATGTATGAAAATACCATCGATTCTTTCTTTATATACCTATTACGTGATTTCTTAGCACTTTAATAAAAAACGGCACGACACAGTTGGCCATTAAATCATATTTTGTTATACTATTCTAAATACTGTATCTTTCTAATAAAATAACTTAATTAATTATTTCACTACGTAAAAAAGTTTAAAAATAACCTATCCCTTCGATTGTAAAGTATATAGGTTAGTTATTACTAATTAAAATATAATAACATATGCGTTTAAGCAAGATAAACAAAGAACATTCACTATTCTGAGTCTATATGTAGTTCTAGTCAATTCTGAGACGACATTTTTGTAAAACCTATTCCTAAAATTAAAATTTCATTTTGATATCACGGCTTTATTCTAAGAAGCAATATAAATTAAATATCCGTAAATTTAAGTCAAAATCATTATAAATTTATTTTATGATGGTTCATAAATAAGTAATTTCGTGAATCCACTGCTATATAACTCGATGCTGATTTGGCAGAACTATTATTATAATAAAACAAATTCTAATTATTTTTAACTTATGAAATTCAGTTACGTAGTTTTAAGTGAATGTAGATGATTACAATTATTAAATAAGTTAATCAAATATTTTTTTCTCACATTCTTTCTGTGTATATAAGTTTTAAATTATTTTGCAGTTATTTAGTTTGTAATACGGTGTTTTTAAGGTAAAAATATTTTGTAAATGGTAACATTTGGAGTTATTTGTTTGTCTCTGACAGTCACTGTAAAGAATGTTTCTTTTCAATTTCAAAAAGTCAAGCGCAATAATAGTACCTATATTGAGACGTTGTTTTGATCAAGGTAAATCCTTTCCCTTCTACAGTTTCATGACGTTATTTTTGTTGTAGTTGTCTTTGTTTTAATACTATCTAAATGATTTTGTTTCATATTGGTTTCCAGAAATATATTTAATGAAAGTATATTCTTAAAATCTCCAGATCCAGTAGTAAGAAAGATGGGTAGTTCATTTTCAAGATCTTATTCTCCAAATAGTAATAGGTGTAGCGACAATACTGAAAGACGTGAGTATTTTTGTATTTATTATTCCAGCTAATAAGTTTAGGTGTATACCTATCTATTGATAAATGTTAATACTACAGGTTAATAGCAAAATAAAATAAATATAATTTCACCCTCATTTCTTTACCCCTAATTGACCAAAAATATTTATTTGCCTGACCATTTTATACTTTTCAATTAATTTTTATTTATTAATTAATGTTTGTCTAATGCATATAACTATATAGAGTAATAAATAGAAACTGGCTTAATACTTGTAATTCTTGAAATCACTTGTTGTGTATAAATCAGCTGTTTTCATACATTTAAAATTTTGATCATTTTATAGAACTTTTAAATTAGTAATTGTAGATTTTGGTATACTTTATTACTAATAATACTTGTAAATATTATAATTTCTATGTGATTATTACATTGCAGTTGTATATTTAAATCTTTATTGTACATACTTTACATTATCATCAAGAACATATATATAATTGGATTTTTAAACTAATATTGCAGTATTTATTTATTTAGTTAAAAAATGAGAACAAATAGATTCTAATCTAGAGTAAAAGAGTTTGTCCTTGCCGAACAAAATGGCCTTGGCCTAAATATGTATAAGTAGCTATTAAAAGTGGTCTTGAATGAATGAATATGAATGAATCTTGAATAAATAATTGGTCTTGAAGTTGAACTAGTGAGTACAGTTCATCATTATCATACTATATTACCTACTTATTACTATTACAACATTTTTTATTATTACATTTTATTAGGCAATTATTTATTGTTATTATATATAATGTTATATTTACATTTTAATAATAATATAGACAATTAGATACTACCATAGATGAAGTAAATATGATGAAGTAGATACCTACCTTATTCTATGTATTTTTTTCTCATACAGTATTATTAGTAGATACTAAGCATACAATATTAGTCTATTATTATAGAATTTTGCACCAAATCCTTCACTTTAAAAATTCTGTGTTACCCCAGTATAATTAACCTCTATATAATGAAAAAAAAAATTACTTACAACATACAATTTAAGTAACTTTGGTTGGTCTATCTATTATTGTTAGTAAGTCTCTAAACCCCATTCTCTCTGGAAACTTATAGTTAATTCTTTTGAATTCATCACAATGTACCGACTGACCTGCTTTCATCTTCATACTTATCATTTTTCATTGGTGCTATGTTAGTACATATCAATATCACAGAGTTACTTCTCCATTTTCATTTAATTTCATTCAAAAAAAGTACTCTATAAAAGATAAAATATTGTCAATAGTTAAACAATTCATTAAAGTAATGTAATTAACATAATAAATAAAACATTAATTAAAAGACAAATAGACAATACACATTCAATTGTTTGAAAACACTTATGAACTGTGGTTTTATTCATTTCCTTGTTGCTTGATATGAGTTTATCTGTTTCACACTACTGCTATTTTCAGTTGTAATAAAGGATTTAATAAAAATTCTGAAAAATCCTTTAATTTGTTTCTTGTAATAAAAATATTATTTAGTAAGCAAGATTTTTTTTTATGCCCATCTTATGGAAAGGGAAAATTGTTGCTTATAAATTGTGATGCCTACAATACTTTTCATGTATTGTTATTCTTGAGGATGCATCCATATGCTGTAAATTTACTGCTGTATCTTACCCTTTAAACCGAAACATATCTATACTATATCTATCAGTATTCAAATACAAGAGTTCTGTACATTCTCAAAGCCTGTATTAAAAATTGGCGTAATAATTTTAAACAGGAGGAACTATTTCCCGCGTCGACTCTACTGTGGAATATGTAGAATCAGTTGTCTGCAACGAAAATGACCTTAAAGAGAATGAAATGAAAGTATTCGATATCGGCGACGAAGGCAAAGTGTTGCTTGTCAAACAGAAAGGTGAAATAAATGCTTTGGGCACCAAGTGCACCCATTACGGCGCCCCACTTACTTCCGGCGCCTTAAGTGATGGAAGGATTAGGTGTCCGTGGCACGGCGCTTGTTTTAACATCAAGACGGGAGACATCGAAGATTTCCCTGGCTTTGATTCACTGCCTTGTTATCAAGTGACAGTTTCTGAAAAAGGACAAGTAAAGGTAAGATTAAGTTTTTAATAATTATGTTTATGCATAATCTTAAGGCTGGTCTAAACCGAAAAACAGATTAGCAGCCAAAATGTAGTAGCTAGATAGTAGTAGCTACTGGTGTATTTTTTGTAAACATAAATCATTCATATTCTAGTTTAGAAGTCTTGAATTGAATGAAAAAATATATTTTTTTATGCAATTTAGAATGGTAAACAAGCTGACGGCCCAAGCTAATCGAAAATGGTAACCGTCGCCTATAGATATGAAAAGTACTATGGACATAATAAACTATATTGTGTCGCCCAAGATACCCTTCACGCGTTGCTATTCCTGAGAACTAAGGTGTTATGCCTCTGTACCCTGTAATTTCATTGCCATATCCAAACAGATAATGCCTTCAAATCAAAATACAACCATGCAACACAACTGTTTTACAGCAGAAATACGAATGGGACAGAGGTATTCTGGAAGACGAGTTTTGTACAAAATACAAAACTCTGATACATTCATGTACCTATTACTTTTCAACATATTTATTTAGATGAGAAACAAAAAGAAATTCTATATTTTTGTTACACATGTTTTAACATACGAATAAAATAAAATATATATAATACGTATTTCATAATAACAAATATATATATTTAAGTACAAATTTAATAGGAAAACGATTTGACGCTATTTAAATATAACGACATTATAATTGACTTTGTTCAAGGATGGGAATATGTGAATTGTTTCAATGACTTAGTCATCATATCATTGTGGTGGAACATGCAATTTTTTTTCCGAATATACTTGAAAAAGTAAATAATGCTTTTAGCCATCTTATTACGTTTACACTAAAGAAAAAATCTAGCACTGAGTAACGAAAGAGCGATGTTACGCTTTTTTTGGTAATATTTTTCCAAAATGAAATCCGGGGGAAGAGAATTAATAGGATTCCATGCTCTACTCATATCTTAACCAATGTCTGCTCGCATCTTTGCCAGCTTTTTATATGAAGTCGACTAAATATTTTTGCTAACAGTAGGTACATTTTATTTACGTTCAACTTTTACTCGCGATTTCGTTCACCTGACTGGAATAATAGTAGCTTACTCGTACAACCTTCTGCCTTCTGCATCGTAAACAGTACGTATATACCAAATTTCAAGATATTTGTTTAAACAGTTAAGGCGCTAAGAGGCAACAAATAAACACTTCGAAATTTATTATACTAACATATAAGCAAGAAGTACATGTAATTTACTAAATGTTAATTACTATTTACATTTAATTCTCTATAAAATTTTACATAAGTGTTAAGTGGGAGACAAAATTTCACATTTTCGAGGTTGTTGGTGTGAATACGTTTTAGTATTGTGGTTGACTATCAAACATTCGGCGTCCACCGTAGTTTATTAACACTCGTTCATTTATATCAGAGGCATCATTCGTGTATATATATATATATATATATATATATATATATATATATATATATATATATATATATATATATATATATATATATATATAACTCAAAAAATATATATATATATATAAATGAAATAAAAATACCTTCGCTGTATGCATCTATCTATACAATTACAATAGACAATACAATACACTATACAATACAATCCATCTATACAAATACAAGTTGTTTCGGCAGTTTAGTAACAGAACGCCTTTCAAAATTCTGGGAATCTCCCCTTTTTTTCATTAAGCATAAAGAAAGAAATATTTTTATTCAAGTAGATTTACGCATTTTTGAATATTGATAGCAATGGTGACTAACCTCCCTATTACTAACAATCCCTTCCCCCCTGTTACAATCCTTATCCGTATGTTCGTAATTTGTTCCGTTAGGCTTGAGAATACGCTTTAAAATATATTGGTTATTTTGAGAAAAATAATAATTTGTAACGCTAGTTAAGTCAAAATACTACGTGACTTTTAGAAAATTCATAATGTCTTCAAACATTTACAGTGTTACTAATTGCTTTGAAAGAACTAATTTTATGTTATTACATTAACATATATGATGCACAGTTAAGCATGTGTAGGTACTTGCCTAAGAAGATCTACAAGAATCTATCTTCTTAGGTAGATATTTCATTCTTCTTTTTTTTCTAATAACCTTTTAAAAGAATAACGTCAATAAATTGTTGTGATGCCTATTACTAGTAGTAGATAGATACTTTCAATATAAAATTATTGAATTGGAGTTAAAATCACCGTCTAAATTCCGATTCGTCGTTAGCCTGCCACTAGGATAAATCAACTCGACAGAAAAATCAAGTGCTTTCAGTTTCACGCGGACATGAATATCAAGTTTATCTCAAATGATAAAATTTTATGAGAAATTAATATCCGTACTAAAATTATAAATGCGAAGATCTTGTTTATTACTATTATTTGTAATGCGGATTACCAGTCCCCCCGTTGCTAACAATATACCCTGTCAGGTCGAATCTAAGGGCCAGTTCAAATCAGAACACTTCTGAGAATCCTATTGCTAGCAATATACCCACCCAGGTCGACGTCCTTGCGGTTCTCCCTGGAAACTAACATGGTTAATTCCTGATGAATTCATCATGATGGGCTAACTGGCCTGTTTTCATTCTCATCTATCATCCTTCATTGGTGCTCCGCCAGCGTATCCCGTTAGCGCAGGCGAGGGCTACCATACCATTTTCATCCTTTAAAAAAAAATCTGAACACTTCTTTAATTCACTGAATACTACCTGGAAAAACTTTGTACTAGAGTGATAACGATTCAAAATATATATTTTTTATGAGTACGTATAGTCATTCTTGCTGCTAGTCACGTTTTAGTCATGCACACATTTAGATGCAGTCACTCAGATACTACCTAATGTTTTGTGTATGGAATGACTAATGTCCACTTGGTGTGCTTATATGCTATACAAAATGTGTATTTGTGTATTATGTAAATTTTTCAAAATCTAGGTTCTGGAGATAGGCTGGGATATGGCAGGGAAATTACAGGGTACGAAGCTATTATCTTGATACTCGAGAATGGCAACGTATGAGTATAACTGTCTTCACAGTGTATACTGTGATGCCCATAATTCAGTACATTTTTATAGGCGACAGTTATCACTTTCCTTCAAGTGTATCGTCAGTTAAATTATCATAACAAATGGTATAAATATTAAAACAAACTTTGTTGGATGTCTTATATTTTTTTTAAATGCTGATCCTGTATTCGGGAATCTTAAAACATAGTATAAATAGTGTTCAGGTTTGTATGATTCCTTTGGGTAATTAATTACTATTGTGTTACCCCATCCTCACCTATAATCCCTCATTGGTACCCCGCCAGCGTAAATTAATATACTAATAGCTTAAATAAAGTTACCACTCTATGATCACGTATTAAAACAAGTATAAAAAAAAATGTGACAATGTGCTAAGTTATTGTAATTTTTGACACAAGAAATAATCTTAGTCGTCAGGAGCGACAACACATGACATTATATTTATGTATATAGGTGACGGTTAACGCTTTCCATCAGGTAGGCCGTGAGCTTGTTTGCCATTCGAGGTAGGTAGCATAAAAAATGTACCAGTTCAAGTGAAGCGAACGAATTGCAATAGTCATGCGCGCGTTAACTATTTCAAGGTCACTTGTTGTTTTAATATTTTAATAACTACAGCAGATGAACTGAGGTATTATTGAAAAGATTTGGTTCTACAAATTTAGCACAGATATAGTGTGAATTCTAAGAATTAAAATTGAAGAAGCTATTATGAGTGAAGATATGACTTATTCAGTTGGATATAATATATACATAAGCTATATAATCCTTTAGAATTATCATGCTATATTGTTAGATGTAATTATAGACTGCAATATATGTATTTTGTAATAGAAACGGATACATTATGTTGAATAATTCTTGAAAAGAATCTAAATGCAAATTGATGTGACGTCATGTTATGACTTCATTGCTCTAGTCATAAGATATGTGAACAACAACCACGCACTTTCTTGATAGATATTTAAAATTTTTTGTCTTAATTATTATTTCATGTAACCTTTCTCGACCTACAGTCGGTCTATAATAGTCTTCTAGATCGATTAGCAACAGAGTACAAATTAGAAAAACAAAGTCCTCTAACTGTATAGGCTTCGAAGCATTTTAATTAATTTTTATGTTTTTGAAATAACTACGTATTTTATAATTTTTTGTTGAAAAAGTGTAATAAGAATCTTCTTTAAACCTCTTCTAAGAATGCGTTTCAGGCGATCCTGCTATTCTGTTTATTTTGCTGCATATATAGCGAGTTACTATTAATAATTATAGCCATTTATCATTTTACATATATTAGCGTATTTTGGTTAAGTGTCTACTATTATTGTATAATCCTAATGTCACGTTATTTAATTATAAAAAAAGGCATTAATATATGTATGTATAGTTTAAGTATACGCATATGGTGTAATGACGAATTGACAGGTAGTAAATAAAGTCGATATGTTTAAAACCAAACGACCTTGAGTTGCTTTGGCCAACTACTAATTTGGTAGATCCGTACGCACATACTTACAGAGTTTGAGGAAAAACCATAAGTAAAGTTATTCTTCATTCAGTAGTATATAACAGACACTGGCAGGGATGTAGGGATTTCCAAAAAAAAATTCTATTGATATAATAAATGTGATAGTTTGTAAAGATGTTTAAATGTATGTTACTCGATCACGTTTAAACAGTTGAGTGGATTGGAATGTAATTTGGTATACAGGTAGTTCATATCCTAATTTAACACATAAGATACTTTATATACTATTTCACGCGGGCAATGCTGCAGGAAATAACTAGTACAGTATAATTGGTATTGTACTAGGACAGAGTTAAATATTCTAAAATTTTTTATTAATTAAATAACATTATTTATCGTGAGACTTTTTAATTTAAATCCTCCCATTTCTGTTGAGATGTCTCCCTCCGCCTCCTCCACACGCGAGACTTACATTTGTGATATTTATAATTTTCTGCTTCATTTTACTAAGTAATTGATTTTAAACTTTTACCCGGCTAATCTATGCAAAGTAATAATAATTAAATTTAACTAGTCCATCTCTCTGTTTAATGAAAACATTTCTTTATTTTCAGGTAAAAGCCAAAATCAGCGACTTAAAATCTAATAAACGTATCAAAGATATGGGTTCAGTGTCCCCTTGCGATGGCTCTGTAGTAGTAATCGTGGGCGGTGGACCATCTGGAGCCACCTGTGCCGAAACACTGCGTAGTGAGGGCTTCAAAGGCCGTATTACAGTTGTTGCCAAGGAAAATTATTTGCCTTACGACAGAATCAAGGTATCCAAAATAGGCACTGTCACAGAAATCGAAAAACTACAAGTCAGAACCCAAGATTATTATCAAGATGCTAACATTGAAATTTTGAAAGGTGTCGAAGCCACCAATGTAGATTCAGAAGAAAGGTTGGTCTATCTAAACGACGGCTCCAAACTTCGCTACAGCGCCTTGTACTTAGCGACAGGGAGTAAACCTCGCGTGCCTGATGTACCAGGAATTAATATGAAAAATATTTTCACTGTGAGAAACTTTGAAGATTCCATGAATATTTTGGGGACATTGGGTTCGGAAAAAGATAAAGACGTTGTAGTTCTTGGTCTAAGTTTCATCGGCTTGGAGACTGCGGCCTCTTGCTGTCCAAAAGCGAAGTCTATGACGGTAGTCGGAAAGGACGCCGCTCCGCTTGGACAGGTATTTGGCCTAGAAATAGGTCGCAGCCTTCAAAAGTTGTTTGAAGAGAAAGATGTAAAGTTTCATTTTGGCACTACAATAATAAAATGCAACGGTGAGAACGGAGCGATAAAATCGGTTGAATTAGATAATGGAACTACATTACCAGCGGATATGCTTATTTTGGGCGTGGGAAGTACATTCCACACCGATTTCCTCAAAAATAGTGGTATCAAACTGGAAACCAACGGTGCGGTCAGCGTCAATGATAAATTAGAAACGAATATTAAAAACGTATATGCCGGAGGTGATATAGCATATGCGCCGGTTTATGCTCATGGAAACAAACAAATGAGTATTGGACATATAGGACTCGCTCAGTACCACGGTAGAGTCGCTGCTTTGAATATATTGAAGAAGGAGATTCCCTTGAAAACGGTACCATACTTCTGGACGATGCTGTTTGGGAAATCCATACGTTACGCCGGATGTGGCAAATCTTCTAATATTCAAATAGAAGGAGATATAAATGAATTGAAATTTGTTATATTCTTTTTTGATGAGTCCGACAAAGTAATTGCAGTAGCATCTTGTATGAGGGACCCTATTGTTTCTCAATTTGCAGAGTTTCTCTATCAAGGCAAATCTCTTCACAAAAAAGATTTAAAAGACGATCCTTTCGCATGGACCAAATCAATAGTTCCATGAATCCACTAAACTTGAACATCAATAATTTATTATCACTTATTTTTATTATTATAATTTAATAAGTTAAATTGCAAGTAATCATTTTATGTTAATATTACAATGTGATAGCTGTTTATTAATATCATTAGGAAATGGGAAGGATAACGGCATCTGACATATACAAATTTGACAGGCAGACTTCAGTTTTAGCATAATTTGTATGAGATTATAGTGAAAATAAACACTTTCAATTAAAAGCAAATAACGCAAATTGGTCCAGAAATCTCCGAAAAATTACTGTACGATATGCATCAATAAAACTATACGTGTCGAACATAATTATAACAACCACCTTTTTTTATACCTTAATTTAACCAAGTACATAAAAACAGGTAGTAATTAATAAAAGCGTGGACAATATAGGTAGGTATAAGAGCATAAAATTAAAAAATATTTTTCCCATAAAGTACACTAAAAATCAATAAAAAGTAACATTATTATAATTTTACTAATAACTAATAAGAAATATTATAAATATTTTAAAGATAAACCAGAAATCTCGGCTTAACGAATCTCGATTTCAACGAAAAATCGCGTTTAAAACTATGAGATCATAAAAAAAATGGGATATCCTACGGGAGCACCTATTTCAAACCATTTAGACGATATTGTATGCGAACATATTTTGCTGCGCAGTCAAACAACAAAATAATGTTATGTGTATGATCTTTGAAATGCTGGAAGCATTGGAATTGTGAATAAAAGTAATTTCCTTAAATACATAATTTAAGTAAAGTAGGATATCCATATGTAAATTCAGCAAAGCAGACCAATAATTAAAATGCTTGTTTTTAATTTGTTAGTTTTTTGAAGCTCAAATATTCAGGATTTTAACGAAATAAGAGCTTATCTACTAAAACAAATTTAAAGTAGTGCTATCTATGTATGCTTCAAAGTTCCTCTGTTATTGTGATTGTTAAGTAATTAATGTTTCGCTTATACCTACTAGGTATTCTAAAAAGTTCAACATTATACATTTGCTTTTATTTTTTATAATTTACTACTTATTAATGTTCTTTGTTAAAAAGTAAGAGACATAGATATTATTGGGCATTTAAAGTATGTTGTTTTAAAGTGATATTTTCTTGATATATGATTGAGATTTGAAAAAATCTAGACGCAATACAATTTATAACGTAAGTACACATAAGGATTTGACCACTATTACTGGAATACAAATACATATATAGATTATATAGAAGTGTAATAATATAGGGTAATTTATTGTTCATAAATAATTATAACAATATATTATGTTGTTAATACGTTATGCGAAGTCATATTTGACACTGCACCTTTTTTTGAGGGACTAGGCCTCCCCCAGGAAAATATTGATTTTTTTTTACATATTAATTATATCCAGTGCCAGCTATAAGAACAGAGTAATGGTGGTCCGACAGCGTCCAAGGGCAATCCCTACCAAACAGACTTCAAATATCAAAACAGTTTGTTATTGTTCAAGTAAGTAGTGTGAGCAAAATTAAGATACTGTTGTGTTTTTCTTGTTCTGTTATGTATTATAAATAAAGAAATGTATGTCAGCTTGGAAGCTCACTCTTATTTAACTAATATTTAAAAACAAATCTCTTTAAGATACTGGAGCGTCTAACAAAGATCCTAGATAGGCTTTTAGTATTGAATAAGAGTTCCGTTTTACGTAGGTACTTATATAAAGTAATATTATGCAGTTCTTATAAGACACTCAAAATTTTTAAGTTGGTAGGCATATACTTGGCGCCTCTATGCATTTTTTTTTGTTTGAAACTGGCACTGAATATTTCTAGTAGAAATGTTTCTAACATAATTGATTATATAGAAAAATAACAAAGCTTGCTCCAATATAAAATGGACATATTTATCGCGGTATAAGAAGTGTTATATAATATATATATAATATTATATATTTACAAATACATATGTTTAAAAAGGTTTTCTTTTTTTTTCTAATAAATATAGTTGATACTTATTGAAATAGCAGTGCTGTATCACTGTTTGCCTTTTTTATTGCTTACTTAATTGTGTAGTGCACAAGAGTTGAGAGATTAATACTTAGATTGATGGATACAGTTACAGATATAGGTGTAGTTTATAAGATTATTCAGTGATACTATTCATGAATATGAACAACTTTGTTTAAGGAACAGGTGTCAAAATGTGGAAATATTTTATTCAAATTACATGATTGATTTAGTATATGTATTTTACAAAAGTTAGGTGTTGCCATGATATTAAAAGTAGTTTAATAATAACATATATTTCATATTAATCTAGATAAGTCCATTCATATCATAATTTTGACCCCATCTTAAGTTAAATTATTCAGTTTCATGAATACTTGTGCTGGGTTCCAAATTGTTATAGGTACCCTTTCTGTTACGATAAAAACAGTATTATTCTCATATTTGCAAGTACTAATATCACTTGTTTGTACCAGCTCTACAGGTTTAGTTTTAAAAGTAAGTACTTTTGTAAATTATATGTGATGTTTTGATGTGATATATTTTCATCAGATTTATGTATACTGTTGATGAATAAAGTTGATATGTGTATAAAAAATCACTTTTTTTTTAATAGGTTTATTTTTACCTTGCTTCCTTGTGCTATGAAATTAACCCTTAGAGTTTGAGTTTTACCCCACACATTTGGCATTAGATTTGAAGAACATATTTGAGTTTAATGCACAAAGTAGTTTGAAGACCCTCCAATTACTAAATATTGTTAGAATAATCTGTTTGAATAGATCATAATTATAAGGTAATAAAGTTTTGCTAAAATTGTCACAGTAAGACTGTAGTAACTAATTGAAAATTTTGATCTTTTATTTTTTTTTTATTTTTACTAATATACACTAGTTTTTTGCCCACTATTTCATATGCAACATATTTAAGAAGTAGGAAAACCAATGAAGTAGACTATTTCTAGAAAGCATATCAAGATAAAACCTATACCATATTTTAAGTTACAGGGATACAACTGTGAAAACTACAATTTGGTGCAGTAGTTTGTATGTAATACTGACACAAATATAGAGACAGACAAACAAGATATTTTAAAAATTTTATTATGCTGTTTTTGAAGACTTCACATATCAATTTTTCTAAAATATTTCCCATGTACATACCTCATCTAGTTACAATTTCAGTATAATAGTAAGATCAGCAAACTGTCTTATGATTATTTATTTTTTATTTGGATTTTCATTAAATTTTATTCAAATTATATTTTCAGATGTAAAGAATAATAATCCAATCAGGGTACTTTTTTAATTACAATAAACACTTTTAGGTCCATAATTTACAGTTTAATTTCTATAAAATGTATACAACTCGGATGTGTAATTCATAACAGGTAACAATTATTATGTTAGTACTGTAGATAAAGACAGATTATATGATAAGCAGAACAGTTGCATATATTAGTACATCCTCTTGTTACATGAAGATATAAATTCTACAAACTAGTTAATATACTAATTACTAATTATACTACAATATTTCTATTCCCATCCCTCAGTAACACGAAGATGTTTTAGTCGTTCATATAATGTAACATCTTCTTTAAAATATCTTCTACGTTGTTCTATTATTTCGTTGAATTTCTGTTCTTGTTTTCCTAATGCTTTGGCATGACCACTACTTTCAGCCTGTAATAAAAGGGTGTATGTTCAACGAATTACATTATTATTACCACTTTTGTTTATAGATATGTGATAAAAATCGTTTGACATATTTTAATATTAATTTAATAAAGATCTTTAAAAGGTTCTGCACCTAGGAGTAATAATTCTAAAATATTTTTGTTTTTTATGAAACTAAAGGTACTGTATTAATAAGCATTACATATAATGTGCCCTATAAATGTTTTATTTTTATGTTAAACTAAGTTGTTACAATACATACTTCTGTTAGATAGGGAAATCGGAGATATAACATGTTTTGCTCTTCAATATCGAAATCCTGCTTGATACGGTTTAGATGCTTTCTTTCCACCTGTTTTACCAAACGATCTTTTCCTCTAAAAAGATGTCCATTTGGGAGGCGGTTTCGTCTAAATAAAACTGTAGTTATTCTCATAATAGAAAAATATTTAGTAACACAATTTTGAAATTTTTTTGCAGACGAGGAGAAAAAAATTAGGGTTATGTCGAAAAAGTCGAAATAGTAATAATAGTAGTAAGTTTTGTCAAAGTCAACTTGCTGTCAATTAAATTGACAGCAGATGTTGTGTTCAAGAATGAATGAAATCAATTCATACTCAAGTCAATTGACTGAAGTGTTTGTCTATTCTATGTCTGTCTATGACAGTATGGCTGTCGATTAAGCGTAGGGTATTGGTGTTTTTTTTATAAAATTTGAGAAAATATTGTTTTCATGTAATATACCTATAATAGTTACGTATTAATTAATAAGTATGGAAGCATTGGGCTGACACTTTTTAGATATTAGAAACAGTCCTCTTGAGGGTGAGTGTGTTTGCTTCTCGTTATTAAAAAAATAATTGCTTGCTTCTTAAGTATTTCTAATTATTATATTATCTTTCTGTCATTATTACTTTCATTAATTTAGTAATTTCGAAACATACTAATATATTTACTTAAAAGAGCTTAATTTAATTTCTGGCATCACTATTATTCGCCATATAGTAAGTACATTTCGGTACCCTTTCACTTTATTGTCTACATATTTTCGTGCTCTACTTATTTCGAACTTGATTTTTTGTTTTCTTATCTTTAAGATTCTTCTACAGTAGTTGGTAACGAAACAATTTATTTCTATGTCACTGTTATTAAAATAGAAATTTAGTACATTGCTAGCTCAATACATAAATAAAATTATTCATATCACCTATTATAAATATAAAAAAAGCTTTATTTTAGGTAAATAAATATATTAATAAGAATATTGGCCCATATACCCATACCTTACAGATTAGCATATATATCAAATAACAAGTTGTAAACTATAGACAATCTTTGTATTTATTATTGTTTATTAAATTAGGGTAAGCATATACACTGAGGTAGATTTTCACAAGCCTTTCTTTAAAGCTATTTCTAAAATTTACAGTTCATATTTTAGAGAAAATATATATTATGGACCAGTACCTTGTTACTAATAATATAGTGCTGCTCGTGACATAGCAGTGAGACAGGCAGGCAGGGATTTTGCTATTAATGGGGTTACTAGTCCCCATTACTAACAATAACTTCTTTCAGTAAATTCCATATTTGTATATATATGTTGAGGATTATTCCTTATCTGTGTGAGATTTAATAATAAATATTTTTAAAGATTATGTAAATCTCTCATATATTTTGTTATCATATTGAATATCATGTTCCACTACCTTGTTATAAGATAAGCCCAGATTGTTGTGGTAAAATTCCAATACTAACCACTTCTTGTATTATTCAGTTTTGTATTCCATCAACTGTGATCACTGTTGTGGATAAAAATGTATTTGATGACAAAAAAATAACTATTATCCATAAAAGGCTAACTAATAATTATATAATAAGGTTTTGAATTATATTGAAGTAGGCATGAAATCTTTTTTTTATAATTAATAATTTATAAATGATTTTTAAATTAATAATTTGAAATAATGATTATGAAGTTAGTTGCTAAACATTATGAATATTTATAGACTTTGTACAAAAGTAGATTGCTTGGGTACCTCTGTCCATTTCGTGTTTCTACTGTGAAGGAGTTGTGTTTGTATAGCTGTGTTTTGGTTTGAAGGGTGGGATATGGTGTGAATTTACAGGGTACAGAGGAATAACACCTGAGTTCTCAGGAATGGCAACGCATGGGGGATATCATGGGCTAAACAGTATACTCTGTTATGTCCATAGTACTGCTTGTGTTTATAGGTGACGGTTATCACTTTCCATCAGGTGGGCCATCAGCTTGTTTGCCATTCTAAGTTGTATAAAAAAATTCTGTTGTAACTAAATTTTAACTAAATAATTTTAATTTTATGGCATATAGTTCAAATAATTTACAGTGTTTCATGGTTATTAATTAATGTGAGTAAAACTAGACCTAATTCAGTAAATAAAAATGTAATCATATGTACAGATTATGTTGATGACTGTGAAATCAAATATGGTAATTGTATTACTGGATTTTTTATTATTGATTTTTTTTTTATTGTGATATTGATATTCAAAGTCCCAACCACAATATCATAAATCAGGAAAGTAAACATAGTTCATATTGTGTCACTCCCTCGCTCATGGTACAAATACAGCTAGAACTTAGGTAATATACCAGTTTTTATGAATATTTACGTTATGCAGACTTTTTTTAAGGAGTAGGAGCACAATTCATGTTTAAAATTTGTAATGTAAGCAAGGATTACTATAATATTAATGTATAATATTATATTATAATTATATGGGTGAATATATTCATTATCATGAAATGAGTACCCAAAAATTGTTTATATAAAATTTTTATAATATGTAAATAAAATTATTATTTTATTCATTTTAGAGTGACCACATCCAAAGAACTTTGTGACCATCCCACAGTGCAACTGAACATAGTGCTCAAGGAAGATGGCACAAGTAGGAGCTAACATGGAGTACCAGGAATACAAATGGGCTTACTCAATCATGGACTCATCCAAGTAAATATTTTTATTTTATACTCTTATATCAAAGTACTTTTTTTTTAAAAGTTCTGTCACATTTATTATGTTTAATGTCTGTTTGAAGCAAATAAATATTTCATTTTAGTATTATTTTATGGGAATGTAAGCTCAGCATCTAAAATTAACAATATTAACTAAAAAAGGGGCATTACTTTTACTAGTTACCACTATTTTTTTCTATCTACTATTATTATTTATTTTATATATGTATATTTATGTGGGTGATAGATTCAACTGTTTGAATCGAATAAATATTTGATATTTTGTTTTTATACTAATATGGTGGTAAACAAGCATATGGCCTGTCTTATGGTAAACAGTTACCGTAGCCTATGGACGCTTGTGACGTCAAGGATGTCACGCGCGCGTTGTTGACCCTGAGTTATGATGATGATGATGATGAGTCTCGACTGATTTCGATCGTAATTACTCCTATAAATCCCATAGTCCTAGGGTAACCGGAAGCAATCATCTACACAGAAAAGATATTTTAGTTTTTAAATGAGCAGACATTTTCTCTCTCCCTTGTCCACCGCAACCCAATGAAACGGGATTACTGAGTTTGAATGCAATATCTGACCAAGAGTCTCCTTGACGTCTACTACAGTTCTTAGTCATAATACACCCAGACGTAGGTTTAAATAAAAAAGAATTCACCCACTATATTGAGTGAGTCGACCTAGTCGTTCTAGAAGTTGCAGAATTCTCATTTAGCGGTATTACACAGGTTTCTTCTGGCGGCATATTCCTATTGTTTAGTTAAAAACTACTAACATCGAGTATTATTTGACCCTTTATTAATGCTTGGTTCCTGGCCACCCTATGAAGCCAATCGCGTTCCCATCTCCGGTTCTGGCCATAAACCATGACATGTTAGCTCGCCGGACGTGTCCGATGCTTGTCCGCGGTGACTACTTTCTAAATCGAACCACGGTTCGTGCACAATGTGGGGGGTAACCGCAAAACCGTTCTGCGTTGGTTCCGGTGCTTTCTGTCTCGTAGACGGATTAGACAGTGTTAACAATTTTCATATCCATACCATTAAAATTATTGTTATATAATAATAGTTAATAAGTTAATTATTTGTATAAGTTAAACATATAATTGACTAGTTTTAAATTATTTAAATACATCCTGAGTACAATTTACGTCAATACACTACCTGTGTGACTATTACAATGTGAGAATTGAATTGACATTTACAGCCAGAATAATTAATATAATAATATCAATAAGTTAATAACCAAATATCAATTGTTATAGATATTATTAATTGGTAAAACAATTATAATGCCAGTTTAATGTATAATTCGTTTAAATTTTAATTTGACCAAGCATTTTTATCATTGATATAATCATCTATTCTTTAATATGCTTTTTACAGAGTGATTTTTACAGATTCTTCTGTAATATTTATTCTCAATCTTATCCATTTTTATGACTTCACATATCCATCTTAAGAATTCTTAATGCATTAGTAAACTATAAAAAAATAAATAACGAATTGCCAACGCATCTGAAATACGACAAAATAACTTTGTCTTTATTTTTAATTAATAAAATTAATAATGTATAATCATAAATTAATTACGATAAGAAAACCATTATAAATAATTGTAATTATAATTAATTCTTATTAAGCCTGCATTGTCGCTGAACAACACGCGCTGTGTTAACACAGCTAATTGAAGGGGTCTGGAGTGTGGTATAACGTTACATGGGGGCGACGTGGTCTCGAACATCGTACACTTAATTAGACACGGATCAAGAAGCACTTCACGACTTGACTATGACGATATTGATTGGGTTTTGATAACTTTCGTTACTCGATACGATGTAACTACTCTTATAATTAAAATTTTATTACATCGCAATAAATTGAGAACATTTACAAAATGATACATTTAAAGGATTTAATTGGACCCTGTTAGGTTCTAAGTAATCTTCACGAAGCAAGAAAGTATGTTATTATGAAATTGTTATAAAAATATATGTATGCAAAAAATTATCCCACTCAATTATTTCAAATAGTTAAAATTATGGCAAATTCAGTTTGCACAAACTTCATAAAGTAAATATCTACGACTTATTTCGATTACATCCGGGTATTAAGATGTTTTATAAGTATCATACGTCAAATGGCAAATCCCTCCATGGGGGAGGCTTAGTGGGCAGTTAAAGGCTGATGTGATGATGATACATCAAATGCTCGTACTCAGAGCCTTTTTTCGCTTCCTCTTTATTTATAAAACGGTTTATATAAGCTTACCAGTTAAGAGCACTTTTAACTTATTTTGGTCTTATGTAGATAAAAATTAGGCGGTTATTTTCACGTCGTCTTAGTCAATGAGAGGCAAGACTTATTGGTTTAACAGTGCGGTTAGTGTTGTACTGCTGGCACACTTATGCGACGTCGTATCGCCAAAATCGGCGATGCCTTTCACAGTAAATTTCGACGCGGACTGCGTTTTAATTTGTCGGACACAGTAGTAATTTTTGGAGTAACACTAAAGCAGTAAGGGATTTGGCCTAAAAAAATTAAATTGAAACTCTACGCATATGTCTATAAGTAATAAAATCCGTCATGTGAGAATTAAATTTACATGCTGAGAGTCCCTTAGAAAAAAAAAAATTAAGTTTAGTAGTATGTAAATAAAATAAGTGTCACGTAATCCTACCAGGCAATTGCCTGATTATGAAGCTAGTATAATCTATTTTATGAGATGCAAGGGTCAATACTTAAAGGCTCAATGAATTTTTGTATTCACGTAGGTACGATTTGAGATGGAAAAGGACATAGATTACTAATTATCCCGACCAATCTTCATATTATCTGTCACGCAGACGAAGTTGTGGGTAAAAGCTAGTTGTAAAATAAAAGTTATTCAATGACCTCTCAATACGTTTCCTTAATCAAAACGGAATCCTTATAAGATTCACGCCGACCATGCTTCGGGCATCACTTACTATATTTTTTTTTCAGCCAGCGTTGTTTATTGGTATAACGTAGTTTTATTATTTAGGGTGTCGGCGTGCTTGATCTCAATGCTGCTGATTGTGTATGGCAGTTTCCGCTCCCTGAACATGGAGCGGGAAGCACGGGAGCGTGCTGAGAGAGAACGAGAAGCCTCACTACTAGGCGGGAAGCCGTCCACTGCGACGTCTTCTAATAACAGTAAGTATCAGTATATTAGTTAAAATTTAAATGAAGAATATGTTAAACTAGCTGTATATTGCTGCTTTACTCGCGTGAATTAGTAAAAAAAGTATTCTATGTTCCAAGTTAGGATTCTTAGGCATATTTAGGGGTTTACCCCAGAATTATTAAGTGCCTACCTCAGGACACGAACGGAACTCAGCTCCGGCGGGGGGAAAGGGATTATTAGCAATGGAGTTTGACAGTTTGACCTCCACGTGGTTCCTCCTGGAAACCATCGTGAACAATTCATGTTAAATTCATCACGATAGGCTAACTGACCTACTTCATCCTCACCTATCATTCTTCACTGGTGCCCCGCCGGTATACACCGGTTGGGCTCCCATTCCATTATTATTCATTACAAAAAAAAACTCAGATCCGGCTATAGCCATTTGAGTGTACATAATGCACTTTTTTAAAGGGCTGTAAAACAATTTTAAATACGGTAATGGTTAAGATATAACCTGTACATATATAAAATTTAATTCAAACCCGTTCTGTAATTTGGCATAAAAAAGTTACAAACTTTGATCCATATATCCTCATAAAAATTGGCGTTTATAATAAGAGCAGGATGTAAATGAGCGAACTGAAATAAGCGTAATGTACCTATCGGAGTTTCTCTACATAATTGACCGTAGCATGCCGCAGTCGTAGTTGAGTAATGTTATCATAAAACTGTATTCTTAATTAGCTGTGCTCGCGAATTCGTCCACGTGATATTCGAAAATAAACATGATGTGATTAATCGAGTGCGAATCGTAGAAATAATATTATTATTTTATAATAACACCACCTTAATGTTTCTTTTTTTGTAATACCAGTCGTAGAAACAATGTTGTTACTTAATACTAACATCAACTAAATGATTGTTTTTTTTTTTTTTGTAAATAGGATTATAATAAAAAATATTACGTTCCGGAGGGGGGGGGGGGGCGATTGTTAGTAATATGGACTACCAGTCTCATTGCTAGCTATATAGAGTACATTGTATCAAGTCGACCTCCACATGGTCCCCCCTGGAATCCATCATGCTGAATTCCAAGCATGATGGTTTCCACGGGGATACCGTTAGCGTAGGCGGGGCTACGATTCCATTACCAAGGGGGAAAGGGATTGTTAGCAATGGGATTTGACAACCCCGTTGCTAGCAATATATCCTATCAGGGCGACCTCCATGTGAATAATTTTTGATGAATTTTTCACGATGGGCTAACTGACCTACTTCATCTTATATATCATCTCTCACTGGTGCCCCGGCAGCGTATACCGATAGCGCAGGCGGGATTACCATTCCATTACCACCCATAAAAAAAAATCCATTACCATCCATCAAAAAAAGGCTTTACGTTCTGTATAATACAAGACTTCATATCCATATCACTCCAGCTGTATTTTAGGATAAGCTCGACTGATTTTTTGATTGAGATTTGCGGGATTGAGTTTTTTTTTTGTGGAACAAAATTTTATCTCGTTATTCATAAAAACTAAAACCTGCTACAAAACATATTTTAGCTATGACAATGTTTTGTCACTTTCTTTCAAATTAAGAATTTAGCATAAAAAAAAAAAAACAAAACACTTCAGTAGCTAAAATAGTTTTAATGACACGTTTGAGTTTTTTATGAATAAAGGGGTTAAATTTTAAACCAAACTAGACACAATTTCTTTCACTGAACGTTTCTATATTTGAGTTTAATAAAACAAATATACTTTCTCCGTTGATCTATTAGTAAAGACAATAGACACTATAAGAGCTTCATCGCTGTACTGGCACGAGATTTTACTTCAGTTTCAATAGCGTTCAATTATTGCACGGAGCGAGTCTAATTAATAATAGTTATTTCAGTTGCTTCCTTATCGGTTACGACAAACATAAAGGATGGATACCATTAGAATATGTTAGTTAAGAATGCATTATAAAGGAAACTAGCTTTTTGCCCGCTGTTTCATTCGCGCAGATTACTGAAAAAGAAAAACCAATACAATAGACCAGTTTTAGTTTTCGGTCCAAAATAAAACATACACCAGTTTTTAATTTAGACGTTCAGGAACACAACAGTGAAAACCGCAATCAATTTGGTGCAGTATTTTTTGCGTGATACCGGAACAAACATATGAAGAGGCAAAGAGATTTTTAAAAATTATTATTTGGCTTCTGTTGTTCCTATTGAACCACCTTACATATTTTTTATAATTATCTTTCATGTACAGACATTGTCTATTAGGAATTTTATTATTTTAATGACATTAACCATTTTAACACGTAAAAGCTAAACTTTTTTCACTTAAAGAAATTCGTTTTTGTTCCTTGAAAATATTCAAAGATTTAAACGTTTTCACTTATACAGTTTATAAGGTCCAAACAAATAACACAATATATATATATATAAACGAACACACAATATCACTTGATGTTTAAATAAAATAATATTTAAATCACCTACTAATTATCTATTTTCGTAATAAACGACAGTCAACAATTGCTATAACACAAGCAATAATTTAATTTTGGACAAACCAAAAAGTATTAACATTTTCAAGTACCTATTCAATATATGTTTAAACGTTTTACTATAAAAGCCTCAAATCTTTAAATGTTCAAAAGATGTCTATGTTATTAAAAATAAAAGTTAAACACCTTTTATAATAATTAATTTTTATTAATAATAAATTCTGTTTTATTTTAATCTATAGAATTTCACACATAAAATTACAAATAATCACTATTATATATTAAATTTAAATTTTCAATAATTCATTTTTTCGGCACGTGAGACTCAAAATCAAACAGAATAAACCTCTGAAGATTTCAAGTCCATATTAGAACTATTTAAAAAATATTGCATTATTGTTTCCTGCATCGGATGACATATAAAGTCATCCTCCAGTAATCTATGACAGAGCCCTTCGTGTATAACGAACGCGGCCTTTAGTTCCATAGATTTAACTATATCAATAAAATAATACATCTTTATATTAGTTTTATTGCAGCAATACAAAACTGCGGTAATAATGAGTAGCGATTGATTAATTACTAGCCGGCAACAAAGCTGTTTTTTAATTTAACTTCTTTTACAGGAAATTGTGATTTATATAAAATACTATTTTGTTTTTTATTTATAATATTTTCCTTATTGTGTAGGATTTATTATTCGTCCAATTAACAGCTAGGAAATAAACTTTATTGCTTTTATGTGGTTATACCATGGAGCATTTTGTAGTATTTGGTCAATTCTAATAGGTGATTATATCAAAAGATATGTTTATCTATTATTGAGATGTCTACATATTATAAAAGTCCTGTGTGTGTCGTAAGAGGCAACTAAGGGAACTTAATGGTCGAGGGATGGATAGCAGCGTTCTTCTTTAAACATTACCAAAGTCTAACTGTGGTTGCCAATCCGCGCGCCAAGCGTAGCAACTACTGGCAAAATTCACCAAAGGGGAGGCCCATGTTCACAATTGGGCAGTTAACGGCTGATATTATCATCATCATCAATATTATAAAAAGAAAAAATTTGATCATTTGTTTGATTATTTGTAATTCAAAAACGATCGTGCAAGCAAAGCTTCACGAAGTTTTGTATAATAGTGCGCATATGCTTTTATTAAAGAATCAGGCATCCTTAAAATGATCCTGAAAAGGCCAATGGGCACCAGTGAATGATTCTAGGTGAGAATGGAGTCAGGTCATTCGGCTCATCGTGACGAATTCCCCAAGAATTAACCGAAATTGTCAACTTGATAGAGTATTATTGCTAGCTAGGTTGTTAGACCCCATTTCTGACATTCCTCAATACACACAATCCCCCTTATATTATGATTCGAGTATAGCAACACGAATTTCAATGTTTAAGTTTGGTGAATGCTAGGCTGATTTGCAGGTTAAGAATTTTCCTCTGTAATCATGGAGTTAAGCTATTAATTATAATTTGCATAACTTATTAATACTAATTGTTCCAGATGTACAAACTCTAAACACAATGCAAGCGCTGTGTTTTCCGCTCGGCTCGTCAGTGGCGCTACTGATCATGTTTTTCTTCTTTGATTCAATGCAGACTCTCGTTGCGATATGTACTGCAAGTAAGTGATATTGTATAATATGTAAACTTAGAGAAAAGCGGGTCTATTTTTTTATACAATTTTGCGTGAGAAATAGTTGTTTCCTTTCTAACTTCGATATTTATTTTGTTTTACGATTTTTGCATCTTTTTAATGCATAAAAACTAATTTTATTTATTAAATAATTAAATATAAATATGTCGAGATATATTATGTGCGTAAGTATATAGAACACTGATAAAAAAACGAGTTAGCTCATTTGACAATTAGCTGACAAAAAGTTGATCCGTTTTTGAAACTATTATATATAATCTAAGTATGTAAATTAGGTATTATAAAAAGGACAGTTTTTTTTTCTCTGTAATAAATTTACTCAAATTTAAAAATACTTTCACCTATAGAAAACACATTACGAGCCTGTAACATGGAATGTATGTTTATTTAAAAAAAACATGCAGAGCCTGGCCGAGTCGTTAGTTAAGACTATGTGTACATTATGATATGTATATATGTCGTCACAGTAATAACTAGTTACCCGCACTTAATAAATTGGTCTCAAATCCTATAGCAGTATAGTAACCAACGTTAGCAATGTTCACCACAGCGAATCCACCGCTATTTAATACAGTTGCAATTTACGATATCCCTTGCATTGTTTATACAGTGTCACTTTTTCGTAATAAAAGCAAATAATAGTATTGTGAATGCCCTATTCACAGTACCGTTATCTTCCATTCAGTTTGATCGATACAATAAATCACAAAGGGAATATAATATAAATGTACTGATAATAAAATTGAGTAATTTTTAAATATTATTTGAACGTGTTTTAATATACATATATATTCTTTATTGCACTAAAACATACAATAATAACAAGTAGTTAATAACAATGTTAGTAAAGGCGAACTTATCTATAAAAGAGATTTCTTCCAGTCAACCTAACACAGTAATTTAATGAATAGCAATAAGATTAATAGCAGCTAGTATTATTGAGTACTGCGTTCAAGGTCGTCATGTAGCAAGGGTTGGCATCGCATGTTTGTGCTTCTAGTGTTGCAAGCATTTATGCTGTGCTGTGATAACCACTTATCATCCATGCTGCGACCATTAGTCGTATACTTGTTTGCCAACTATACAATAATTCATATTTTCGAATGTCTTCATCTGTTCGAATATGTGTTTTTTGGTATACTTGTTTAGTCCCAGACGTAACAGCTACGTTCAGTGTACTTAGTTGCTATTTCTGGCTTGTAGGACTTCTTATGATACTTAGAATGGCAAACGTTTTGATCGAAAGTGGTAATCGTTGCCTATATATAGATTTGAACAGTATCGTGGATATCATATATGTACTTTACACACAGTACATAGGCATCGATCATATTATCCGTGATTTTTATACTGAGTCAAAAGGACCAATCCGGTATCCAGGTGCTCCGACTCACAGATGAGAGCAGTACTTCATGAGAGGCCGGAATTGTTACTTGACTTCTTGTACATAATGTTACGCCTCCGTACCCTGTAAGTTCACTGCTGTATTCTTCATGCTCTTCAAACAATAATACAAATAAACGCACAATGCAAGCATAGATGATGCTTCATGGCGGAAAAATGGGCGGTTTAATCAGAGGTACTCATGCGGACGTCTTTTGTACAAAATCTTCCTATAATAAATATCTAACAACGCGTCCAGTTAACACGGATCATACATAAAATATAAGCAGTCAAGTCATGCTTAGACAGAAAACTGGCATGCCGACTATAGAGAAAAGTAAATTGTTTGTAATGTTGATGACCTCCTTGGCGCAGCGATAGACACTTTGCTTTTCGTAATGATATTCCGAGTTCTATTCTAGGCCGGAGGCCAGCATAGGAAATAAACTTTTCTAAATTGACTCAGATCTGGGTGTTTTAGGTTGCCTGGTTTCTTGTGAAACAGGGTATCCTAGCTGACCAGTACTTATATTTGTTAATGTGATTGGCATTTTGTCTGGAGTGATTGGCATACCAATATAAGGCTAGGCGTAATGTACCGTTGGCGTGGTGGTTGCAGTAATAGCGTGCGCGGCGCTCGCGTTCCTGCTGACGCCGCTGTGCCAGTACGTGGCGGGCAGCGCGGGCGCGGGCCGCGGCGCCGTGTGCGGCCGCTACTCGGCGCCCGAGCTGGCCGCCGCGCTGCTCGCCGCCGCCATCGTCGCCGTCTGGGTGCTCACCGGCCACTGGCTACTCATGGACGGTGAGTGGCTGCTCTTGATATAGTTTCTTTAATGGGTGAAAATGGAATAGTAACCCCGCCTGCGCTATCGATATACATTGGCGAGGCACCAGTAAGGGATGATAGGTGAGAATGAAAAGACAGGTCAGTTAGCCCATCGTGACAAATTCAACAAGAATTGTTCACGATGATTTCCAGGGGGAACCACGTGGAGGTTGACCTAATTGGGCATATTGCTAGCAATGGAGCTGTCAAACTCCATTGCTAACAATCCCTTTCCCCCCTTAATACAGGTCAGTTAGCTCATCATGACAAATTCTACAAAAATTAACCATGATGATTTCCAGGGAGAACTTCGTAGAGATCAAGCTGATAGGGCATAATACTAGCGATGGGGCTGTTAAACCTCAATACTAACAATCCCTTTCACTCCGACTCTTTATATAGTTGCAAATAGAATAGTAACCTCTCATGCGCTAGCAGTGTACGCTGGCGGTGATAATAGATCAAGTCGGTTGGTTCTTCACGACGAATTCATCAGGAATTAACCGCGATTGTTTCCATGTGGGACCTCGTGGAAGTTAACTTGACAGGGTGCAATCCCCCTCCACTTAAATATTAGATCGGGAATCCTTTTAATTAACTACATAATGATTATCATCTTCCCGTTCTTATTTTATATTTATTTAAGTGTGGCGTAATAAGCTTTTTTTCATCCATTCTTATCTATTTGCAGTCATCTCTTATTTAATTTAAAATATTAGTTATGAGACACACTGTTAAAGTTAACATGAACGAAACTATTCTTATAACAGAATTTATTGGCTACAACAACTCCTTTTTTGCCATTTCAAGTTACATAAAAAATTTAATAGGCCATATACTTAATTTTATAGCCTATTAATATTATGAGTGCAGAAGTTAGTAAGGATGGATGATTCTTCGTTACTTTTACACGCAGGAACCACGGAACGGATTTTAATAAAATTTGGTAGGTTATTATCTGACAGCAGATTGGATATTTCATATCATTGATCCACGTGGATAAAGTCGATAGGCGAAGAAGATACAACTAAATAGTTAGATTTTTATCATTGTATAAAGAAATACTGGGCGAGGGATGGGCAGGAACGTCACTCTTAAAACATCTCCGAAGCCTAACTGCGGTTGCCAATCCGCCTGTCGAGTGTGGCAACTATTGGCAAAACCCTCCTAGGAGGAGTGCTTATGTTTAGCAATGGACAGTTAAAAGCTGATAAGATGATGATGATGATAAAGAAGTACCGTATTTATTTCCAGCTATGGGCATGGGTCTGTGCGTGACGTTCATCGCCCTGATCCGGCTGCCGTCGCTGAAGGTGTCCACGCTGCTGCTCACCGGCCTGCTACTCTACGACGTGTTCTGGGTGTTCTTCTCGTCCTACATCTTCACCACTAATGTCATGGTCAAGGTCGCCACCAGGTAATAATATTTACTGGCGAAAATGTTTAAAAGTAATTTATATTTATACTCTCTTTATACTCTGTACTACAGGTTTTAACCTATTACAGACACCAGCGCCTCACAGCAGAGTTCCATATTATTTTAATTTTATTGTATCCTAAATACCTATGTGTAAATTCAAGTTGTTTGTGAGGAGACATAAATAAATATATTATATTATTTATATCACATGACGTGTTTATCGGAGGACATGGATCTCTGGAATGCGTGCACGCGACAGTTTTTTTTTTAATGTGTGAAAATGAAATGATGCCGATAGCGTAAACGATGTGTCTATGCTATCGGTATACGCTGGTGGGTATTTGTAATAGATGATAGTTGAGGATGATTACACGCGACAGTTGATGATTTTAAGGCTTCTCTCTACTTAATCGGTTGGGGAATTAACCTGAAGATTAACCGACGAATAAAAATTATTTTCCAGATAACAAAGAGTAGAGTAGTTTTGTGGAGAAAATTCTATAACTTTGTGATGTAAGAAAAATGCCTGTTAAGTTGTGCGTAAATAATTATTCTAGTAATAGAGTAGTTATGAAAGTTTGTATATTTATGATTAAAATGCTAGGAGTTAAAAGAAATTTAATTTAACTGTTTAATTTAAATGTTTTATAATATTTATTATTAACCGCATGAAGGTCGACTTGGTAGAGAATAGCAATGGGGCTGTTAGACCATATTATTAACAATCCCATTCCCCTGATTTGGAAGTATGCTAGAACTTTGACATCATCTAGAATGTCACTGACTATAATTTTTGGCAGGGTAATCATGTTATTAATTTGTGGAGCAAAATGTATTTGTTAATTGTATAGTGGATGTGAAGGTATATTTATCGTTAGGCCGGCGGAGAACCCGATGAACGTGGTGGCGCGGCGGCTGCAGCTGGGCGGCGCCATGCGCGACGCGCCCAAGCTGTCGCTGCCCGCCAAGCTCGTGTTCCCCTCCATGCACCACCAGGGACACTTCTCCATGCTCGGTATGCGCGCCACCACTTACCTTCCACTCGCTACTACCTGCTATAATTATGCTGTTCTTTTTTTATACAACTTAGAATGGCAAACAAGCTGACGGCCCACCTGATGGAAAGTGGTAACCGTCGCCTATAGACATGAGCAGTACCATGGACATAACAGAGTATACTGTTTCAACCATGATACCCCCCATGCGTTGCCATTCCTGAGGACTCAGGTTGTTATTCCTCTGTACCCAGTAAATTCACGCCATATTCCACCCTTCAAACCGAAACACAGCCATACAAACACAGCTGCTTCACGGTTGAAACACGAATCGGACAGAGGTACCCAAGCAATCGACTTTTGTACAAAGTCTCCCTCTGGTAAAACTGTCTGTCTCTGTCTACTTGTGCCATGATATTATTAAATTAAATAGCTTTTATAATCTAATCCTACATCTGGCAACGGCAGTCATGAAGTGTGTATTTGGCTGTTATTTTTTTTATACTAGGAAAGCAAACGATCTGATCAAAAGTGGAAGTCGCCTATAGACATGAACATAAAGACGTCAACAATAGATATGGAAGGTATTCTAAGTTGTATAAAAAATCAATTTATATTTTTCAGGTCTTGGTGATATCGTCATGCCGGGTTTATTGCTATGTTTCGTGTTGCGATACGATGCTTACAAGAAAGCGACGTTGGTTTGCCAAATGGGCCAGGTGCCTGGACCTAGGTCTATGGTAAGTTAAACAGTTTTTTCTGAAACTTAACAAACACTATTACTATATACTAATTTCAAAGTAATCTGCTCAAACTGACAAGTTGTGTTGTTTTAATGGTTTCTTTTTATATTTTGCGCTTTATTATAGCTAGCTGCCATGTGAAAACCATAGAAAAGTATTATTATAATATTAATGAAATATAATTTATGGATTCATTGTATGTAACATGTAATAGTGAGATAGTATCAAGTATAATTATTAGAACGAATACTATTCTCCAAAAATCTTTTCTAAAGGAGTTCTAATACAATAAAAATTGCCACAATATTTCCTATTTCCTGCAGCAGAATCTGTGTAATTTTGAATCTTAGGAATAATAATAATTATTATTTGATAACCAAAATTAAATAGGCATTACATAACGGCATGACATTCACAGATGTGATAATATTATTATACTCCAAGAACATAAAATGGTTTGCTGCAGAGTTCCCGATTGACGTACTTCCACTGCTCGCTGCTGGGTTACTTCCTGGGGCTGCTGACGGCGACGGTGTCGGCGGAAGTGTTCAAGGCCGCGCAGCCTGCTCTGCTGTATCTCGTGCCCTTCACGCTGCTGCCACTGCTCACCATGGCCTACGTGAAGGTACACCCCACAATAATAACATTCAGTAAACAGTCCACTGCTAAACATGGCTCTCTCCATGAAACGAAATGTACTCATTTCAGTATACTTAATAGATTTTTTTTTGCACATATGTTTAAATTTAAGAGCGACATTGACATAGGCGAAGCTGCTTAACACTGTGTACTTGACTTTTTTTATTGTCTATGTGTCATACAATTGCGCCAATTTTCTAGCTTTTACCTGATGCTATTTGACAAATAAAACAACAAATAACTTGATATATAACCTAAAATATCTAATTTTCAAGCAATTTTCGCATTCGAACTCAAGATCACAATTACGCAAAGTAACATGTCTATAATTGTATCACAGAGGTCGTCGATATCTTGCCACCTCTAAATGTTTGCTCATTACCGTCTCTACAACCATATTGGGTCCCGCAATAATTATATGCTTTATATGAAAATAATTGTTGAAAATAATAAAATATACTACAGGGCGATCTAAGAAGAATGTGGAGCGAACCATTTATAACACCACCGAACGGCAAGGGCGGCGCGGACTTCGATGTGTGACTGGCTGCAAGTTTGCGCGTCATTTACTCCGCTTGAAAGACTTCACCCCGCCGCCGCGTCGCGCCTGCATTCGTACAGTTAGATGTTATACTCACTTACCGAGATTGTCTATGGATTCTCTCTATCGTAGATTTTTACTTTTATATCTTAATATTGTGCTAAGGAATTCTCAATATATCTTTTCTAAAAATATAACAAAAATGTTACCACCGCAAAGCAAAACAGATATATTTCCATATATGTGAGTTTTAGAACAAAAAATTTAAAATAAAAATTGTGGACACATTCTATACTCTAATGTAAAATTACTTTGGCATTATTACACTATTTACTAATAAATGAGTATTCATACTAACTGCTAGTGTGCAGGCCAAATTGTGAATTGATGTTTACAGTAATATACAGATGTATCTATGTTTAGGTTAGTCGATACGCTTTTATTTCGTTACTACGATATCAATTGGCATGTTACAGCACAGGGTAACTTTAAGACCTCTAAATAACATGTGTTAATATTCTAAGTGTCAGGACCAGAGCACAGAACTCTTGTAACTAAAATAAATTATTCTATGACAGTGATATTAGTCTCACAAAATTAAATACTCAATTAGCGTTTCATGTTTTATGTACACATAAACATCAAATAGTTCTATATACAGTACAATATGACACGAACTGGTAATGTTGGCCCTGAGTAAAGCGATTGTAAACAACTGAAAGTATGGTGCCAAATGTGAAGTACATACATTTACAGAACACATAGCATGTATCAAGTGTTAATGCAAATAACTTTACTAATATTCATCTGAAACTTGAGAAAGTATTATAAACTGACTAGCATTGCAAGACTCGTGACATGTGAGGTGCTATTGTGCTGCTGAAACTTTGGTTTGTGTCTTATCATAAGGACTTTTTTATTTTTCTTATGAACAAAACAACAATTCGAAAATGCATAGGTTTAAGATCTTTCTATGAGTCTCATTTGTGTTAAAGTGTAGATGGATTTGATAATTTTTTACTACTTTTGTAATACTAAGAAAAGTTTGTTTTAAATATAAAAAATACAATTTGTTGATGTGATGTCCATGTTTTGCTTCACACTGTGTTTGTACTAATTATTCTGAACCATGACATCATTTTGTTCGATGTGGTCATACTTTGTTGTCACTGCCTTAGACTGATGTTTTCAATGAAGATTTTTTCTATAAGTATGTTAAATGGAGTATTATAGACAAAATGTTAGTCTAAATTATTTAGAGTAAGCTACTAACTATTGTTGTTATTATTATAACAACTGTATTGTTGTTGTAAATTATTTGATTGAATTTAATGAAACATGTTAAGACACTACATCGTAAGAGATAGGTATACTTGGTATGTGTGATTTAATTTTTATAACGTTTTATAACATTTTTTTATTTACATTTAAATAGATCATTATTTTATATTACGTAGTTGTTACTGATAAGTTTATTGTGAAAATTATGAATACATCAAATATAACTATGAGCAGTATTTGTAGTGACAAGTGATATTATTTTATTGAGGCTTATATTGGAAAGTAATTAAGAGTAACAGTTTATTTTACTTTTGATTAATTGTATTTTTTCCAGTTTTTTTCTTTTACTGTATCTGTATGGTACATTTCATAAAGTAGAATCTCGATTTCAGAAACTGTAATAAAATAGTTTTGATGTATTTTTATGATGATATTATTACGATCACTTGCAGGTATTTTCATTGATGTACATACATAAAGAATAATATAATAGTGTAAGATTGATGTTAATGAAGTCCATCACCCATTTCAAGAGTATGTAAATAATATCACACACGACTCATTACCTATCCATAAAACTGGGAAAAGGCATTTAATATTTTTATAATGTATTTGTATTACTAGCAATACTAAATAAAAATATTAGATGAAACTACTAATTTGTTTTTTTTTTATTGCATCTTGTTTTAAAGTGGAAATTGAAATTTGAACAGCATGTCTGTCAGATCAGGTAGAAGTATATAAATAGAGAATAAATGTACTAAACTATTAAAGATATAAATAAACATGGTATTTGTCCATCATCAATCTCGTGTGATACTTGCCCTTGTCACATGAGATATCGCCAATGTCTACTACTAATTGTACTAGTCATTATTTTCAGAACATCTCTCATATTTAATCGTGGGGTTGTACACTTAGTATGTTATACTATGTCTATGGTTTTACATGTAAAGTTCTTCAGGTAAGAAAAATGACACTTTACAATTTGTCAAATTTAAAGCAAACTGGCATGTAGTTGTGAAAATATTATCTATAATGGATAATTTTAATCTAAACTGTAATAAAAACTAGTATGTGTTTATACCGAAAATATTTACTGCATGTATATACAACTACAATGCACAACCCTATGATTTAAAGACCAAAGCAGATAGGATCATTAACTTTCTGAGTATTAGATAAGAGGTAATGAGTTAATGTTAGCTACATTTTCAAGCGCTTTAGATATAGTAAGAAAAGAAACAGATTATTAACTTTATTTATTTATTTATTCTTAGATTCAACATCAGTGTTAACATCTCTCTTTTGAATGAACCTCAATTGTTTCTTCTTCATTCTCTTCAGCTTTGCTGTGTTTGTTATCACTTGTACCACCTCTGCTTTTCGTTTATTCTCTTCTGAACGTTTTATGTTTTCTCTCCTCCGCTCCTTGCGATCTATTTCTCTCTGTTTTAATTGTTCTAAGACTTGTTTTGATAGTTCTTTTGTGCGCTTTAATTCCAAACGTAGCGCTGTTTTCTTCTGGAAATCTTGTTTTAATCCTTTTGTCTTACTTATTGATGAAAATCTGTAATGGGAGGCCAAAATGTAATTAAAGATTTAGTCAATAATATTATTATGTGTATAGACACATATATATAATCTTTTTTATTTAAAACATGCATGTCTTAAAATAATACTGACTACACAGTAATGTCTCAAGAATATTAGGAACATTGTTGTATACTACAAATTTTCTACTACATAAAGAAATTAAATATTTCATTAATGGTAATTGTTTTTGCTGCTTATATTTACTTTAAATTATATACTACAATGGGTAAATCTGAGATACCATTCCCGAAACTTATCTCTAAAATTACAATTTTAATTTGATTAACTATCAAAACTACCATAAAGTATCTATTATTGTACTAAAAAATTATTTACACCTTGTTTTATACTTTATTATTATTATTTATACTTTATAATAATGATTCTACTCTAATATAATTTTTTTTTTTTAATTTTTGAGAATGATAGAAATTGACTCAATTTTTTTTTATATATGTATCGTGTCAATACAATTTTAAGCAAAAAAAAAAAATAAGTGATTGAAAATCAATTGTACATACTTATCTTTTTTAGATTTCCAAAATCTTCCAGATTTAGGCTTGCCTGGAATAGGTTTATTTCTATCATTATTGGTATTATTTTTTTCAGAAACAGTGTTGTTAATAGCCTTTTCTTCTGAAACATCTTGGTTTTTTTTTATATTTTCTAGAATAGCAAGAACTTTTTCATTAGTTCCTTCACTCATAATTATTTAAATCTATTTTAGATACTTTACATTAAAAAAATAAACATGTGGAATTCTGATTCAACCATTAAAAAGGACAGGTAGACATTTGAAATTGACATTATAACCTACTTGACATTGACACAAACAGTATAGTGTGATTATTTGCTCTATGGTCATAAGTAATTCCTTTTAATTCGAATTATGTTGATTTATTCTTATATCTTTTAGCGTGAGATATTTTTAAACCAATTTTATAATAAAATTGGTTTAAGAATATCTTTAAACTAGTTGTTATATACTAAATCTATACTTTATTAGATCTTTTTTTAAAGGTTGCTTTTTAAACGTAGAATTGAAACTAAAAAGTAAAAGGTGTCGGGCTAGGCTGTATAAGTTTTATTTCCTTTGCCTGCGTTTAAAAAAAATTATACAATAGAAAAAATCACCAATTGCCTACCCTACAAGAGGTGAAGATAAAAAAATATAAAAGACCATCTTGTCAATGTCAATATTTTGAGTATTCTTAGGTGTCATTTGGTGCCTCTTTCTATGATTCATTCTTTAATTTTAAAATAGATTATATTTTGAATCTTGTTATCTTCCTCAATGAATTAAATTTATTATACGCAAATTATAATTACATCATATCGTTGCAATTTATGTTATTTTTCTGTGGTTTTTCATCTAGAAATAAATCTTGTGCTTTGTCAATACTGAAGTGAGGAAATTTAATACTTAAAAATATTTTGAAACAAAGTGAAAAGTATTGAAACAAAATCAAAATGCCGGTAAAGACAGTCTTTGATCTTAGATTACTATTCTTTATTGTGTTGCTAAGCGTTGATAATTTTAACTCATAAATAAATTCTTAGGCGTATCACTCGACGTTATCGGACTACACCCAGTCTGTTGGTAACTTGGCATTGTTACCACTAAGAACTACATTCAGGGGCCCGGCACCATTAAATCCTAAGTTAGAGCTTGATATTATCGACGAAGCCCTCAACTACTTTAAGGCTAATGTTTTTTTCAGATTCTATGAGATAAAAGTGAGTACGAGTATATTTGTCAAACGCATATATTCAAATCTAATCACATTAAAAAATAATAGCATATTCAAGTAATTTTTTTTTTAAATCTAATCTAGAAATAATGTATGTTGACTTAAAGAATAGGTAAAGAATATTAGAAAAACTGATCTATGAGAAAATAGTGCATAACCATTGAGTACATTTCTAATTATATAAATAGACTTTAGTTATTAAAATTTTGGTAAAATTAATGTGTAAATATTAAACCTTTTAAAAATATTCCTAATTACTTATTATGTTAGGGAATTATAATCATTTAATACATTAATATGAATTAATGTATTTAACATTATAACCTTCCCAGTCTGATGCTGACCGTGTCTTGATATACCTGACATTATATGTCTCGGAATGCTTAAAAAAGCTGCAGAAGTGTTCAAATAAGAATCAAGGCCAGCAAGAAATGTATATGCTAGCTATTTCAAAATTTGACATTCCTGGGGAGCCGGGCTTCCCTTTGAACTCTGTTTATGCTAAACCTTCAAGCCCACAAGAAGCTGGTATGTTTATACAACTTTTATTTTAGTGTTTTCTATTAAAAAAAGTACAAATATAAAGTAGATTCTTTGTAGAAGACTTGCTATGAAATTGCTCATAGTTATCTATTTATTATATTTCATAGTCTGTTTCGGTGAAGATAGAGAGAATTAATTATAATAATAAATTGATTAATATTATTCATCTGTTGTAAAATATGAAATTTTTCCTCTTTATAATATTACTTTAGACTTATCAATATTTAATATATAGTTGTTGTACATATTTAGCACATTTTCAGATTTAATGAGACAGTACTTACAACAATTGAGACATGAAACTGGGACAAGAGTTTGTGAGAAGGTATTTAAAACCTTAATGAAAATATTAATGTATTATTTTTTTATTTTTTTTGCTACTTTATAATTAATACATTTAATTTCCAGGTGTTTGCTACAGAAGATGGGAAACCAAGTAAATGGTGGCTCTGTTTTGCCAAAAGGAAATTTATGGATAAATCTCTATCTGGGCCTGGCCAATAATTTGTCTTAATTAGCCAAACTTATATATATTTAAGAATACAGATTTCCATGCATTTATTTAGAATTTGCTAAATAAAACAACAGAATTTGGTGTATAAAATATTTAAATATATTAATACAATTAATTTGAGGAAGTAAATATATATATGTAAAAACTGTAAATTGCTAAAAATGTCCACACCTGTTTCACTCATGTTGTTTACTTATTTGTACCCATTATGATCAAATTTATTTAAATTGAACTTTTTAACAATCACCTATAAATAAATACATTTATTATTTAACAATTGGTTTTATTGCTTATTTACATGATATATTCCTAAAAATACATAATACTAAATAAAACAGTCTTAATGAGTATCAAAAAATAACATAGGTAGGTAATTTGAGTGTCACAATGTTTTTATACATTACTATAAAATCTTAAAATCACACAAATTATACATATTTTAGAGTTCAAATATTGTTATGTAAACTGTCTTGAGTATATATCTTTGTCAAAATACCTTACGTGAAGACAAAATTTGGACCTATAAATCTCAATTATCAAATCCTACATAGTTAAAATAGATATAGCTTAAATTAATTTAATCCATACTCCTTTATGAGTTGCCCAGCAATGACTAGCCTTTGAATCTCTGAGGTTCCTTCATATATTTCAGTGATTCTAGCATCACGATAATGACGTTCTGCTGGCATATCAGAGACATAACCCATGCCTCCAAGAATCTGTAATAATTTTTTTTATTAAGTTTTGTATTTGTATTTAAATATATGTATTTGATTTTACATTAAATTTTATTTCTAATGCAGTACTGTTATAACTGAAAGGAAAATTTATAAAATACTTTAATATTATTATGAAATTTAAATTATATATATTTGGATTTTCTAATAATCTATTAATGTATAGTCAACATAATACCAACTTTTTATATGTAATGTAAATTGCACTCTTTTTTCCACACTAAGGCTTTCATTTGGGTTGGTGTAAATGCCTTTCTATGATATAAGCATGTACTAAATCAGTCAGTTTGTTGAGATACAGTAAATAGCTAATATATAAATATACCTGTATACACTGATGAGATAAAAATGTAGCTGCTTCAGATGCCGCTAACTTGGCCATTGCTGCCTCCTTAGTGAATGGTTTCTTATTGTCCTTGAGCCAGGCAGCGCGCCACGTGAGCAGCCGTGCAGATTCCAGCCTTAGGGCCATATCAGCCAACTTATTTTGTATAGACTGTAATTTCACAATGGGCTTTCCAAATGCTGTTCTTTTCGATGCATACTCGGCTGCCACATCCAATGATGCCTGATGAAAAATATTAGATTATTAAAAAATGAACTATGTATGTATATAAATTCATTGCAGCCTTAAATACCAATTGACAATTTAGTCAAAAAATTTGTGATAGTGCAAATGTGTGTGAATCTAAAGTGATAAGGATATATATTTTTTTATATATTTTTCTGAAGTAGTTTTAGATATATATTTATTTATAAATATATAAATAAATATATATCTAAAAATATATATATGGTAAAATAAAGAATTATATATTGTTTGTAAGGACTTTTCCATAGAATTCTATATTACTTTTAAAGATAACACAAAATGTTTTTTTTGATGAATATTTAAGTATATAAATAAATTACCTGAGCTATGCCTAAAGCCTGTGAAGCAATACCAATCCTACCAGCATCTAATGTCATCATAGCTATCTTGAAGCCCAAACCTGGTTGTCCTAAAATGTTCTCTTTTGGTATTTCACAGTCTTCATACATCAGAGAACATGTGGATGACCCTCTTATTCCTAATTTGTCTTCTTTTTTCCCTAATTCTAGGCCTTTAATTGGTTTTGGCACAATAAATGCAGAGATTCCTTTATGTTTTAAACTTTTATCAGTAGTAGCAAAGACAACAGCAGCTTTGCTTTCATAACCATTGGTGATCCAACATTTTGTACCATTTAGAATCCACTTATCACCAGCATCCTTTGCAGTAGTAGATGCAGCACCAGCATCTGATCCATTACCAGGTTCCGACAGAGCGAAGCAACCAACTATGTCACCTAAAGTTTCACTAAACATCAGTAAATATTGTACTAGGGGTGTATAAATAGAAAAAAAAAATTGACAATGTGTTAAGTACATTACAGTACATGCATCCTTAATATAATATTACTGAAGCAGCATATAATAATGATTATTCATAATTTTAAACTTATGTAATAAGTATATTCATTGATATATTTAAGATTATTTTCCACGGCTTCTTATTAAAGGTGTATATATTATTAGATGTCTCTGTGAAACTTTGTTCATATCCTTGGATGGACATTAGATAATTCGGAGTAAACCAGTCCACCTGGTCTACCTTTTCAATATGCATATGAGTACATAAGCATTTTAAATTGTGTAAATAAAAGTTAACTGACCGGCACAGAATGGCGTAACAAAGTCCTTTTTCTGTTTGTCTGTTCCCCAACCCAACAAAGGTCCAAGATATAGAGAATTGTTTACTGACATTATAACCCCAGCAGAGGCACAACCTCGAGAGATCTCTTCTAATGCTATAGAATATGCCAGATAATCAAGTCCCGCACCGCCCAATTCTTCTGGTGTAGCTATTGCCATAAGACCCAGTTCTCCCATCTTTTTAATGGCATCTCCGGGGTATAAATGCTCTCGGTCATATTTTGCAGCATTGGGCTTCAATTCTCCTTCAGCGAAATCTCGACAAGTCTTATACAACATCTGATAGGTGTCTGGTAACGCTGAAAGGGATGCTATGCTTCTACATTGGCGGGCAGCTGAACCTAGAACAGCAAGTAGTAAACATATTCTGTATTTTGATTTAAAAAACAAGTATTTATTTGATAATGTTATATATTTGTAAACTACCATAGATTTGAATAGCTTTAGATAAAACACTATGCATTTTTGTTAAAAGTTATAATAAATAAGTAATTAAACTAAAAAAAAACAAATGTTAAAAAATAAAATTAAAAGAATCTTTTTTTCTTCTTTTGAGGAACTTTGAACTTTTGTTAGTTTCGTTCAGAAATCACAAAGTAGGATTGAATATCTATATATTATTTTTTTTCTAAATGAACATAGATTAAGGATAATGTGGTCGTTTCTGTGGCGCCATTTCTCTAAATTTATAGCTAAAATTAAATTTTTAAATCATAGCGAAATCTTTATTTTTGGGATCGTTATGAACTAAATTTATAGTAAATTTAAATCAAAACTTTTATAAATTTAATTTACAATGTTTCATTAAACAATATTTTTACGAAACTATCAAATTAAAATTAATAAGGTAAGAGATAGTTTAGAATAATGGCGCTTTAGAATCGAGCCCAGTAACTGAGTAAATGATTAAATGAATTGAAAAGAAGAAAAAAAAATAAACATTGGTTAATATGTTTGGTATTCACTCTATGGTACACTATGTCGAATCCTTCTTTTTTATTTTTTATGTTATTTCGTTTATTCATTAATTTTATTTTAATCGTGATGAAAAATGGTGAGGAATCATTATTATCAATTTTATTCCATCTATGACTACATTCTCGTCGTCTTTGTCCAATAAATAAATGTCAATGTCAAACAAAAACAATTCGATAACGCGAAAAAAATAGCAAATAACAATGATAAAATGGAGATATTCTTGAGATTTGTGCCCACAAATCCTATAAGATTTACAGCTTCTAGGATATTAATAACTCATGTAGCGCATTACACAAGGTATGTAAAAAATTTCAATTTTCATGTTACGTACATAACCTACAAACACAAATTCCTTTAACAGATTGGCTGAAGTGGGAAAACTAGAATCACCAAAAACTTCCGGAAAATATGATACTGGACAGCTCATTTTACATAAAGTATTTGGCTATAGAGGAGTAATACTGTTTCCTTGGCTCGCTCGCGTATACGACAGAGATGCAACCAATAAGAAGGAAAATACTGATACTTCTAGTACCACAGAGTCATCTGGAGATTCTCTATCGAATGTAGGAAAAGAAGTAAAGGGGAGAACTCATACGTTTTACCAGGTTTTGATAGATACAAGAGATGCACCTTACATAGTAAGTATTTAATAAATCTGAAATAATATAAGAGCTATCAGTCAGTGTATAGTCTGTAATAGATAGAGCTGTTACAAACATTATTCCCTATACAGTGTAAACTCCTTATAATGAAAGTAAGTAATTTACATTGTTTATTATATTTTATATATATTGATAATACTGTTAGATTTATTAAAAATTTTAAGACATTAATTTGTTGTAATTACTAGTAAGTAGGAGTTTACATCAACTGTTTGACTATCATCAATTATAACTTCCAAAGATTTACTCTTTGATATGAAATAAGAGAATTTTTTTTTTAATTGAAAGGTTCATTAAAGATTATGATATAACATTATAGATAGAAAAGACAAAAAAGACAATAAACATTTTCTCACATTCATATCATGCAGCTTATAATATATGTATATATATCACTGTTTTAATTCCATGATGTCTATACATAAAAGGTATTTAGAAAAAAAGAAGATTTTAGTAGAAGCAATAGAAACTAAAACAATAATTTTAGAAATTATATGTATCTCTGTATGTTTGTTCTGAGATCACACAAAAACTACTGCACCATATTGAATGTGATTTCCCCTGTTGTGTTACTGAAGTTGTAACTTGAAAACTGGTGTATGTTTTCTCTTGATATACCATCAAGAAGTGATTATTTTATTGGATTTTCTACTTTTGCTAACCACATATGGCAAAAAGCTAGTATGTTATAAAGTCTTCCACCCTAAAATTTTGTTTTATGGAGTTTACATTGTAGGTATATAGTTATGTATTCTGTTTATTTATTTTTATACCACTGAGGTGGCAAATAAGCATACGGCCCACCTGATGGTAAGCAGTTACCATAGCCTATGAACACCTGTAATACCAGAGGTATTATGCGCATGTTGCTGACCCTGAAGAAACCTCTTTACTCCCCTTTTGAAGAACCCCATGCTGTAGAGTTTTATTTGTTGGTAAGGATACATAGTGAAGAAGAAGTAATTTCATTGGTTTCTATACTAGTTGATTAAAATTTGTGTGATGTGGTTTGTATATTTACTTTATACATATTTTATTGTCACTCATTGAACTACATTGCATTGAGTTGACAAGTCATTTCCTTGATAACTTTAATGTCATTTTCATTGATAAAATAATGACCTCATGTATTCAGTATTATAAAGTAATGTAATGTAACATCATATTATCTTTGAGTTCAATACTTTGTGAGATTGAAAAGTACATATAATGCAAAATATTCTTTATTTTATGAACAATTTTGCAACAGAATAGTCTCTGCATTATTTTCTAGTATGTAATAAGTACCTTTTTTTTTCAACAATAGCCTTGTTCTTATTTATTGAAATAGTTTATTATTTTAATACAAAATAAATTGTTTCAAATATAATTACTAACATAAGAAAGTGCATAACAGGACTGCTGATTGATGTCTATGGTTAATATATATTATAATAACATAAATCAGAGCTATCCAAACCATGACCCGCGGGCTACATGTGGTCTGCCCTATCTTTTCTAACTACTACCAATATTGATGTTGATGTTGAGGATTGTAAAAGAAAAATTAATGAAAAAGTAATACAATAACAAAATAATGATATAGCTGCATTTTGTTTTAAATATTTTGCAACCCCCCAATGAATTTAGTCATTTTTTTGGGCCTAGATCTTTTCTAGTTTGGACAGCCCTGGCTTAAATAATAGTTTTTTAGTAATTATAGGGATAAATTAGGAAAATTATGTTACTTTTTTTTCCTGTTCAAATGGAAAATTGGTAAAGTCTTTCTAATATAGGTTTAATAAAATTATTTATCTGTGTGAGATATATTGAATTTCAGATTTTCTTATTTACTACAAAATATAGAATTCTTGCATGTATGGCTTACAATTTATTTTTAAATTAAATATGATGTATTAATAAAATATATTTTAGTTATTAATTTTATATGGATCATAGATATTAAATGTGAGTGATATATTTTTGACTGTGCAAACAAACATCGATATGAGGCCAGAGTGGAAGAAAAAGGTATATGTACAACAAGCTTAAACATTCTATGTTGTGTTTTATATATTAATAAATAAATGTTAACAAAGCTTGGTCTTTTAACCAATAATCAGTCTCACTTTCGTTAGTTTAGGGTCCATCCATACATTCTGCTTCTGTATTAATCATGTATCTTACATGCATGAGTGAATTTATGACATTTTTAATGTATTCATATTAGTGAGAAAAATTACAGCATGTAGATACATTTTCGAGAATGTGGCTGTGTGGCTTGCTCATGAATTAGTCTAGTAATGTTATATCTAGTACATTGAATACCATGTGGAAAACATAATTAGATTTGAATAATTGTAACCAACTATATTATTAATTTTAACTTATTTGTCTAAATGAAAATAGATTTGTGAGGTCATAACGATATTACGAAAGGGTGCAGCATGTTCTTGAATAAGATTATCAATTTCATGTAAACAATTTTCATATTATTTTTACTGGAAGAAATGGTTCTGATTTACAGCAAACAATTACGGAATTATAAAAATATATCATCGTTATTTATTGTGTAGTATTTAAATAAATTCAAAAGAATTAACAAAAGAGCATATAACTCACATTGTAACAAACCCTAATTTCATTTCAAATTATATACTTATACTAATTTTATTGAAAATTCTATATTACTGATTATGGTTGAATTTATTTTATAAATTGTTATGTATACTTATCTATCAGTTTAAAATGTAAGCTTTTTCAGCGAGCGCAAACGGAAGCGGTGACATTTCTTGGTAATCAGGAGTCGAGTCGCAGCTTATATGCAATTCCCGGGCTGGATTATGTGGCACATGATGACATCATACCCTATACTTCAGTGGAACGGGTGCCATTACAACATGAACTGTTTGATAAATTCCTTATGAATAATCCTGACAAAGGTTAATAATTCTTTAAGTATTTATTTATAATAGTTTGTTAAATAAATTAATGTCCAAACGTCCATGCTCAATTTGCTGCAAGGTGCAAATTACCACTTTTTATTACGTGTATTGGCAACTTGTATATTTTTTTTATAGTGTGTAAAAATAACAGTACTTACTATCTTCACGCTAGTTTCCTTTCGTGGTTGACATGAATAGCTAAGTACCAAATCTTATTTTTGCATAGGCACATCTCTTGCTTTACCCATTTATGTATAATTTCGTGTATATGGAATCTGTAATACCAGAGACTCTTAGACTAATGTTTTAATTAGTCTTAGAATCTGTACGCAGTCTATTTAATAATAATACTATATTGACCTCCCAGTAGTTTATTTTTGCAGAGACCAATCTGTTTAATTTTTTTTTTTTCGGAGCCTACCTCCCCACCGCAATAAGTGGGCCGTCGACTAAACTTAGATACTAGGTAAAAAGTGTAGGTTGTCTTTATACTTAGGCCCGGATATTAAGTTCCAGGTTTGCTACTTGTATATGCACACACTTATACGCAAACTTATGATTACGGGAACTAATAAAACAATAATACTAAATAAACCGATTTTTAAATCTCTTCGTTTAAACCAAGTACACTATCAATGAAATGATGTATGATATGTTCAGACCCACCATTCATAGCCCAAGAGACGTTACGGGCATGGCAAAAGAAGAACCACCCTTGGCTCGAGCTGAGCGATGTTCACCGCGAGACCACAGAGGGCGTGCGCGTCACCGTCATACCCTTCTACATGGGAAGTCGCGAGTCACAAAACTCTGCAGTCTATTGGGTGAGCATTCTTAATCTTTCAGTTGGAAGTATGGGTAGTAGTATATTTTTACATTTTTTTTAAATAACCCCTTTGTACCTTGTAAGAAAAGTCTAGACAAATAGTAGTAATACTCATGAATATAAATATTTATATCGTAAGGGGATTGAACAATTGAAATATAAATGTTGACCAAGTGTATTGTGGTATATAATTCATACTAGCAACTCGCCACGGTTTCGCACAGGTGCGTTGTGATGATATGTGATTTTTATATATATTCGGGTGAGGGATTGTATGGGGAATTTTCAGACAATAGGAATGATTGCATGATTGACGTCAAGAACATTTAAAACTGTTAAACTGCTTTAGAAATATATGCGTGGTATTGTTCATGTCTATATTCGATGGTTACCATTTTCCATCAGGTGGGCCGTCCTTAGAATGGCAAATAACATTCTAAGCGCCATAAAAAAAATGTCGTTAAATCTGACCTTGAAATATTTCGATATGAACGATGTCTCGATCAGCTTAGGTCAGGTCTTAATAAGTTGGTATGTATGTAACGAGAGCATTTTCAGTGGCGGTACTGCATCCGGCTGGAGAACCTGGGCCCGCAGGCGGTGCAGCTGCGCGAGCGGCACTGGCGCATCTTCTCGCTGAGCGGCACGCTGGAGACGGTGCGCGGCCGCGGCGTCGTCGGCCAGGAGCCCGTGCTGGCGCGCCACTCGCCCGCCTTCCAGTACAGCAGCCACGTCAGCCTGCAGGCGCCCAGCGGACACATGTGGTACGCGCTCACCATACATTGTATAGATACAGCATCCACCAGGGGGGGGGGGGGGAAGAAGGATTGGTAGTAATGAGGTCTAATTCACCCATTGCTAGCAATACACCCTATCAGGTCGATCTCCACGCGGTTCTCCCTGGAAACTGTCGTGGTTAATTCTAGTGGAATTCTACCATTACCATTATCGCCCATTAAAAAAAAAAAGATAAAGCATCAAGCCTCAAAAAACGGGTCAACTTTTTGTCAGCTAATTGTCAAATTAGTTGACTCGTTTTTTTATCAATGTTCTATATACTTACGCACATAATGTATTTATATTTAATTATTTAATAAATAAAATGAGTTTTTGCGCTTTAAAAAGATACAAAAATTATAAAAAAAATATACAAGTTTTAAAAGAAATACTCATAACTATTTATTACATATTATTACATACATATACACGCAAAATTGTATGAAAAAGTAGACCCGCTCTCGAAACATTTGTATGGTGACATTCTATGTAATCTAAGGCGCTTACTTTTATTGTCTCTTTGTAATACAAACATTCGGAAGAGGAAGGGAGGATTGTTAGTGATGGGGTGTAACAGCGCCAATGCTAGCAATATGTATATAACGACCTCTCTCATGAATTAATTGAAACTCTCATTCGTACAAAGCAGTTCGTGTTATTAGGAGCTGTTATTGAATATTGGCTCCTTTAAAAAATTGCAAAATTCGTAATTTTAAGTATGTTTATTTTTATGTATTAAAAGCAGCAGTTTGATTGAGATTTACTAATATCGCCTATAGAGGCGATATTAGTAAATCAATAAGGAACAATAGTGTTGAATGTGTTGCTCTAAAATCACTCTATATTATAGCAATAAATTTATATATAAATAAATTTTCTAAGTTAGTGATGTATTTTTCAATTTTATTGTAAAAGTTAAAAATACATGCCTTACGTCTTGTATAACTTTAACAATTATATTCCGCGCGTTGCAGCGAAGCTAAAATATTTTCAGTTTTTCTTTAAAAAAGCTATTTAATAGGGAGGTTCGTTGAAAATATAGCTTATTTTTACTATGTGATTAATGTCGTGTCCCCCATATCATGCAATTACGCGTAGTTTATTAAATTCCAATATATAAATATAATCTTATGTGAATTTCAGGGGTACATTTCGAATGGAGCGTGAAGACGGATATACATTCGATTGCCGTATACCACCGTTTTCACTCGAGAGTAAACCGGACGAGGGCGCTCCAGTCGCCCCTACGCCGGCCCCTTGATGGTGCAAGATACCGCCCGAAATCCGTGGTTGTTCTAATTTAGACTCTATGCGTCGCGATTTTGATGCCAAAATCAATAGTTCTACATAACAAATTCATGACGTTTGAAATTCATGATCACGTCGATTTGTTAGGATGTGATGAATATTGTTGTTTGTGATGTTTATTCAGTCATTATTTTTAGCTAAATATTTTTTTCTCATGAAAAATAAATATCGCTATAATGCTGTTATTATGATATATTATTTATTATGTACGAAGTAGGTGGAGATTCCGTTAGGTATATTCATCGCATCCATTGTTTGTTCTGACAAATTCCTTAGTCAATATTTAATTATTATCCTAGTTCTGTAATAAATTACAGTATTCTGTTAATCGCTTTTCATTTATACAATGTACCTACATTTGACCATGCGTATTTCTCCTCTATCTGTAGCAGGTATTTCCAAAAGGAAGTGTACAAGACAATGAATTTTTTCCATTGTTTCTTGGATTATGAGAAAATGTATGACTGTTAGGATATTTTTTACTCGGGTAATCTGCTGGTTAGGTAGCTAGTTAGATATAAACCTCATTGCAGTAGATTCAGTGTTAATTTTAAATCTTTGGTTGGACTAAAAGTGTCATTTACTGCTGGAGCAGTTGACTAAATTTTAGACCAGAGTTTAAAGAAGTATTCGGGATTACGAAACATAAAAATATAAAAAAAAAAATAATAAAATATAAAAGTTTATATCTGTAGTAACAGAGTGTAAATTTTCTCGGTTTTTTTGTCTATAATTTTTAAAATACGTAACTTTATTTTTCTGATAATTATTACGACAACCTGTTACTCAATTCCGGATTGACGACGACTTCTGGTACATCCTGTATATGACTTAAATTACCTAATAAAACTTAAATTAACTATTAAATTTTATTATTACATATGTAACTACATAATATTAAATGGAAATAATTAATTGTATTGAATTTAAAAAAAAAACAACATTCTGTTATTAAGTCTTTTGAAAAAAGAATAAAACACCAGCAGTTGTGTTGCTATTTACATGTCCAAATAAAGACTAGGGATTTAAAATATACGATATTAAATATAAGAGGGGGAAAGTAATAGGATATGCTTTGAATAATTCGCTGACGTCAATGTATTTACTGTATTTATCTGTTGAAGGTGTTACATTACTCTGTTAATATAACACCTTAAGTGCTAGAGACCTTTTAAGCTTGTTGTGACTTTTTGATTTCGTACTGGCAAATAATCTTTCACAATAACGCACTTTAAATACAATTGTACATTAAACAAAGTCTAATTTTATTAAAGGAAAAATTACCTTTATTTTTTGACTGCTATGTTGTTCATGCCATGTGTATACAATAGGCCACCCCTTCCTTTTCCGTAGGTGCCATAAGAGGTGGTTAAAGGAGGGCGAGGGATGGGAAGCAGCGTCCCTCTTTAAACATCTCCATAGCCTAACTACGGTTGCCAATCCGCCTGCCAAGTGTACTACTACTACAACTACTGAAAAAACCCACCAAGGGGAAGGCTTTTGTTCAGCAGTGGACAGTTAAAAGCTGATATGATGGTGATGATGATGATGATGTCGTTCATGGTGTTAATAAAAAAAAATATAATTTGCATTTCTTTATTATAGTTATAAATCCTGCATCATATAATTATTACAAATGGGGTCAATTATTTACAGCATCTATCTACAACTAAGTAAATATGTACAAATATCATCTAACACATAAGACTAGCTTAACTATCAGCCTTTCATTTGCATTATTATATTATAATTTAATAGAATTTTTTTTTATCTAGTCGATTTCTTCTTTTTATCAATAAACTTGTGAATCGATTTTAATTTTTTTTTTTTTTTTTTTTGAAAGTTTTCATGTTGGTCTTATACAAGTCAAAAAAATATGGTTACTTTATATATCATATAGCAAAGCCTGGAATTTATGTTCGGGGATTCCTGGGGTTAGCCTCTACGACGTTATTCAAACGAATGGTGATATCCTGTAGGGCCATGTTGGGTAATATAAAATCTTCGATGCTAGTCGCGGTTCGCGATGGTCTGTCGAACGGGAAGCCCATGGCGCGTTTGTCCGGATACTTCCTGTCGCGTAGACCGCAGAAACTGGATGCTTCCTTGCAGGAAATTTCAGGACTGTTTCCCGGCTCATCGATCTACACAGAAATGTGAAGAATTATATATATTATACCACTAATATAAGTAGAAAAATCACTAGTACGTTTGTAACTACATAAGTTGTTTTGTTTTCATGGCTAAATGATTAAATTTATTTTAATGATTTGTACGAGGAACTGAGATGACCTTCCTAAGTTCCCGCTAAAAACAAAAAAAATAACTGGTTGCATATGTAATATAATGAAAAAATCCCAACATTTTGAAAGACAATAGTGAATTTTATTGATTTACTTAACTTTTTATGGTTAGTAAGCTTATAGTTTTTTTTAAGAATTACAGTTTAGGCGCTTCACACACTAATCGCGCACACCGCCGCGGTTTTTTTTATGGGTCAAAATTGAATGGTAGCTCTACTTGTGCTTTTCGGTGTACGCTGGCGGGACACCACTGAGAAATGATAGTTGAGGTTATAGCACATCCGTTGTCTCACCGTGACGCATTCAACAAGAACTTATCCACAACGGCTTCCAGGGAAAATTACGTGGAGGTGGACCTGATGAGTATATTGCTAGTAATGGGGCTTTTTAGATCTCCATTACTAACAATCCCTTGTCCCGCGGCTTGTTGGTTAGCGGCGTGCCATTAGGTTCAGTGTGTGCATATATAAATTGCAGATTTGTAATGCAGAATTACCCGCTTATTTAAAAAAAATCAATTAAGTATTCAGAATAATTATTTAAAAAGTGTTGTTATAAATTCTTACGTTATTTATAAGAGTATCAGCTTTTACCTGCGACTTCGTTTGCGTGACTGGATAATGTTCATTGACCGGGATAAAAAGTAGCCATCCCTTATGGTATATGTTTTTTTTTTATACAACTTAGAATGGCAAACAAGCTGACGGCCCACCTGATGTAAAGTGGTAACCGTCGCCTATAGACATGAGCAGTACCGTGGACATAACAGAGTATACTATTTCGCCCATGATACCCCCCATGCGTTGCCATTTCTGAGGACTCAAGCGTTATTCCTCTGTACCCAGTAAATTCACACCATATCCCACCCTTCAAACCGAAACACAGCCATGCAAACAGCTGCTTTACGGTTGAAACACGAATGGAACAGAGGCCAACCAATTACCCAAGCAATCGACTTTTGTACAAAGTCATAGTATTTAGTTAAGCCATTATAGCGCTAATAGGTAATAAATAAACTCACTTGCATTACATACGTAAGTTCATGTAAATATTGCAACGTAAGTTCGGCAGCGAGGACCTTTCTTAAACTAAACGTACCCTGTCCAAGTCGTAGTTGGAGAGCATAACGAAAAGCACATAAGGTGCTCCAGCCTCTGTGCCCTTAGGCACGAGCATGTGTTGAGGCCACCCACAGCCGCAGAAGTTGAAGGCGGCAAGGTCGACGCGGCGCGGGTCGTCGGCCTGCACCGACAGGTCGCGGAATGTCTGCTCGAACGGAATTGTGAAGGTCGACTCCGTAGATTGGCGAGTGATGGTGTTCTCGCCAGCTTTCACTGAAATGTTAAGTATTATTTTTAATCTATTTCCAAAAGGCATCTGTTTGTTGTGTGGCTATGAGTTATTAGTTCGCTAATTCCGAACATTGACAATTGGCGAGGAACAAATTGTTTATTACCGTGCAAAATCGACGACTAGTCACTTTTCCGTCCGTGTTCTAAATTCATATTATTTCAATTTAGAGTATCAGACAGAAACTTTGTTGTTTTTTATATCGTCTGCTTGGGTACCTCTATACTTTTATTTTTGTTTTTGCACTGAAGCAGTTGTTTGTATGGTTGTTTCGGTTTATATGGTAATAAAATTACAGGGTACAGAAACATTACACCTTGAGTCCTCAAAAATGACAACGTATGGGGGGGGGGGGTATCATGGGCGACACAGTATACTCTGTTATGTCCATGGTACTGTTCATGTCCATAGATGACGATTTCCACTTTTCATCAGGTTGATCAACAGCTTGTTTGCCATTCTAAGTTGCATAGAAAAATCTACGAAATCCTTTTAGGTTAAGAAATTTCTATAAGTTATATATATGCAAGTATTTTATATAAATTTACCTACTTCATCTTAATAAAATTAATATAGATCTAAAATAGAAAAGAATCATCAAAATCGACAATATACCTAAACACAGACTGTAAGATAGACTGGTTTATTATTCAGTATTCTTTATGTAATCCGTTTTATAAAAACAGTACTTACATGGTGTGACGAATCTGTCCATTTCTATGAACATCTTGCGTTGATCGACCAGTGACCAAGCCAAATTGCGCTCGTCGAACTTGGGGCTGATGAAGATGCGTACCGTGGTGCGGCGAGCGTTGCCTGAGTTGTTAACTTTGATGCTGGAAGTATTACAATACGTCTGATAATTGTATTTAATTTATAAATGTCTAATTATAAATACAAGTATAAAATAAATATAATATATGTATTTATAAATGAATATCACGTAAAATTTATAGGAAAAAAAAACAGAAAAACTCTCTTTTCAAAGGTCTTTTAAAAGAGTTATTTTTGTATCTATCAAATAAATGTTAATACAAGTAAACAATATTAATATTAACATTAGGTATTGGAAGTTTATCTGTCAATTTGTCACGACAGGTCCGTTAAATAAGTTTAAATCTTATATTTGTTTATTTGAAGATATTTGAATAAGTAATACCGAAATGCAGAATACGCATTTAGGAATTCAAAATATTAAGAGATTAAATAAATACCTTTCTCCTAGTTAGAAGAGACATGTGGATTCGATTCCTATCGGATCGAGTTATCGGAAGGTATTTTTTTTAACCTTTTAATAACTTGAAATTTATTTCCCCACAAATTATTTATATTTGATATGTAAATTGATAGCTCGATTCTCTCAAACAAAGAAATTAATATAATAAATACATAAACAAATGTTCTGATTAATATGTGCACATATTCGTGCGTATTAATAATATTGAGTGTAAAAAATAAATAAATAAATAACAAGTACTTAGAATGGAACATGGAATAGACTTCCTAAGGAAGTCTATCTCTTACAGAGTAAGCTAAGGTAATAAGTTAGATAGGTATAAATAAGTATTACGGACGAATGTATTGTAGGTGTCTAGTTATTACTGCAAAGGTTTGGAAAATAAAATTATGTAAAACATTTACGACTATATGCTGTCATTTTTATAAGTATTTTTTCCATAGTACTCACACATATCGGAAAGGCCTATGATTAAGATGGGTGAAGCGCGCGTATACTGGGCCACGGTTGGAGAAATCCAGCCCACGGGAGAGGTCCACATCGCTAGACATCCAGAACGTACTGAGAACGTTCTGAGGACTGCCTTGTGTTTCCACGCTAACTGAGGTCACTTGAACACCAGGATTTTCAAGCTAAACACAAAATTTACGATTTGTATTATATACAATGTCTTGATTGTTTCATTCACATGTTGTGGTGTTTTATTATTGCTCTAGGCCAGAACTCACTGAAGAAATATAGTTGGGTAACCTTTTGACTGTTGATTTGCCTAGACTCTCTGGTTCTAAGAGCATGCTGGTGGGTACCAGTGAGAGATGATAGGTAAGGTTAAAAGCAGGTCAGTTAGATCATCGTGACAGATTCCACTAGACTCAACCAAGATAGTTATTCATAAATCTTTATTAACCAATGTAACAGTTTTCGTCAGACAATGGCAAGTTTCTAGGCGGAATCGCGTGGAGATTGACCTGATAGGATGTGTAGTGCTAGCAAATTTTTCTGCTTGTTAAGTTTATTGCTGACTTTAATGTATTAAATCGGATTTATCCGACTAAGACCCTGTGTTTGTATGTTTGTTTTTGTCATATATTTAACTATCTACTGCTTACATTAACACAGTGTCTGTGCAAACTATTATATTTCTCATTATGTTGATTATTATTGATGATTACACGAGACTATAGTCATATAGTCATAGATATAAAAATTCTGTAGTAGGTATTCGTAATTTCAATTACCTCAGAGCGACTGTAAGGGCGTACGAAGTTGGATTCTTTATGCTTCTGGAAGAGATCGTCGACCCACGCGTGCCATCGATAGAAGAACGGATCGCGCATCGTCGTAGCTTCATCGGCGATCACACCAAAATTCTCCTGTTTCAAAATTATAGTAAGTAAATAGCAGGAGTTTTAAGAAGCCAGTAAAATTTACGGCGCCACAGTAGAGGTAAGAACGAGCAAGGACACAAAACAATATAATGGGACATAAGAAAATAGAACATTTTTATTAAATTTATATTGATTATGATGATCAGGCATGAGGGGTACCATGGTAAAAATATTATATGCTGATGTCTGTAGTGATCATATTACAACCCTTCCTATATTTACGAGTATAGTACTTATAGTTAATGGACTACTATTGTAGACTCATACTTGATGGATAGGTGTCAACCCTAGTTAATAGCCTAATAGTTAAGATTTATTAACGTACTATTTTCGGTAGGTAGCTAGTAAAAAAATCATCAAAATCCTCTAAATAGAATTCGGAGGGACGGAGCGTTTTCGCACTTGGTGCTAAGTCGTAGACAGTACCATTAATATTGCATTAAGTCTACCAGTACCCATGTTAGACTTTGTAGATCATTGTTTTGTCATAAAATATCATGATAAACCAACAGAATGTTACTATTATTATATATATTTTTTAATTCTGTCGATGAACGACTTGATTTGGATTGCCGATAGAGCCGAAGGCTAGCTTAATTAATTAGCATGTAAATAGACTAGAACGGTCAGCCGAGTCCATGACTCCACGACACTGATTGTGTTACAAATTCGTAGAATCGATCTTCATTTACAAAATACTCTTTTTAATAAAGGCTTACAAGATAGCGGTGACTCGGATCATGCACATAGGCAGAGAAGCTGTGGCCGTTGTTGTGCACGCTTCCGTAGAGTTCCCGGTTTGGGGACAGGATACTGGCTTCTACCATGTTGCCCAATGTGTCAATATCTAAGGGTCGCGTTGAACCATCAGGCTGGGGACAAAGATAATAATCGTTTCAATCATCTATAATCAATTCTTAAAATAATTATTAGATAATAATTTTCATATTATAATATCTCTTTTATATAAAATCCGAAACCCTTTTAAATAATACTAATGCAAATCGGGTCAGATATATAGGAGAAATAGATATATATGCATGTATAAATACACCTGAAAATTATGTGTCGAAAGTAAAATAGGCTAACAACTTTGTGTTTCGTTAAATGCGTGTCGCTAATCAGGAATAAAAAAAAAAGAAACAGAAATATTCCTTTTACGAGTATATCAACCAGTAGTATATTAACCAGAGGGAGACTTTGTACAAAAGTCGATTGCTTGGGTACCTCTGTCCCATTCGTGTTTCTACCATGAAGCAGTTGTGTTTGCATGGCTGTGTTTCGGTTTGAAGGGTGGGATATGGCGTGAATTTACTGGGTACAGAGGAATAACACCTGAGTCCTCAGGAATGGCAACGCATGGGGGTATCATGGGCGAAACAGTATACTCTGTTATGTCCATGGTTACAGCTCATGTCTATAGGCGACGGTTACCACTTTCCATCAGGTGGGCCGTTAGCTTGTTTGCCATTCTAAGTTGTATAAAAAAAAAATATCAACGATATCCTAATACGACAAAATTTACATGCTTTCAGAGCCAGTAAGCGAGAGTACAAACTCAAGAAATATACCAGTGTGACCGTTCCCATGGAGACAGCTTCTTCCAAGTTCCTCCTCCAACGCTCCATGTCAGAAATAGTAACGTTTAGTCCATCTACCGGCCGATTCAAGTCTTGCCACGTCATATTAGCCTGTCGCGGCGGCCAGCCACGGGATGACGTTAGGCTGTCCAGCTTCGGAAAGTAAGCCTCAGGGATAGGCTCCCGCCAGTTATTAAACTTTTTTACTCTCTTTAAAGAATTGTTAATACGCTCGCAATTGTATCTGTTTAAATAAAAAAAATATTACCGTCACTTTGCTCTCTGATTCACTTACCATCATCAGATAGACCATTCATATTCTATTTCAGATTAAACAAATAAGAAACTCTTGGAAATTACATCAAATGGCGATAAAATCAAAGTACCTTTGGTGACGTCATATGGGATACTCTTTAGTGTATCTTTTGTAATGTTTACCATTTTAAGAGGGTAATCATTACAAAACCTATTGTTATATATGGTAAGTCGACAACTTGCTTGCCACTCTTAGTACTTCTAAGAACAAAAAAAATAGTTCAATATTTTTACAGCATTTTACTTATGCATATAAAATGAGAAAAGTATTACCGAGCTATGATTTGCTGATGCATGTAGAAGAACAATTCTCCGCGACGATCCTTAGCAACGATGGATCTGTCGCTGGCTGTAAACGGATACACCAAATGCCAATGCCAATGATGTAGATTGATTCCAATGTCCTCACGCCAATAAGCAAGACGGTGTTCCTCTTCTAGATCCGTGGCAGTGTAATCTCTTGGAATGATGATCGGTGTTCGCTAGAATAATGTGATTTTAATGAGTTTGTTTACAACTTTATTGCTACAGCAGTCACAGTGTACAATACCTAATAGGTTAAATTGGGGGGGGGGGGGAGGGGGAGGCATAGGAAGGAAGGGATATTATTGTTTATATATTACTATCATCATCCTATCAGCCTTAAGTGTCCCCTGCGAAACAAATTGGATTGGATATATATAACGGATTGGCAACCGCAGTTAGGCTTTAGAAATGTATTAAGAGGGACGCTGCTGCTAATCTCTCGCCCTCCCTTAGTCGGCTCTTACTACGACACCCACCGGATAGGAAGGGGTGGCTTTATTCTATGCCGGGACTACACGACCAATTTTATTACTATAAGAATAAGAAAATCGTGATTGTTTAAATTTAACCTAAAATTGTTAAAAAAAGTACATTCAGTATGAGTATTTAGTTTAGTATGTTTAATACATAAATAAGTACATAACTTTTATGAAGAGTCTATTTAATTAAATATTTGTATCTCACCGGTATCCCACGGGGAAAGACAGCAGCTGTCTCACGTGCTTGGGCGAATGCTTGTGAATCCAAAAACTTGGACGGGAATGTTTCTGCAAAGTTCTGTATCGGCACATTTCTTGTGTCCCGTCTGAAATAATTTATTCTATAAGTGTCATGTGCGTATTTAATGGAGAATGTAAGACAGTTGACATATAACTATTTAAATATAAAAAGAGTGATGTTAGTCTCTTAGTACCTGTTTATTTGTAACTAAAGTAAGAGCTTTTACAGGGGTTTTCAAAGAGTAAGATGCGCTCTTTATTGGGGGTATAGACGGGCGAAAGGGACGAATGACGCTCGAATCAAATAAACCTCAAAATTAGATTCAGAAATATATCTAGGACATGTTATGTAAACAGGAAGTCTGATTGATCTAATCTAATGACTGGTGTGGAAAGTCTTGTCTTAAAAGATATATCAAGAGAGAAGTATTTTATTTATTTCACCAACCTGTGCATCAGTACAACGGAATAACAGTAGTTGAATAACTGTGGGTTTAGGCGTCCCCTAGCGTATACACACGATGACAGTAGATCGTCTAGCTGGTTCTCAGGGATATCTGGATCATAGGAATTATTTTTTAATGGGATATTTATACATATTTTTTTTATACGTAAAAGAATATAACAAATTCGTATAGTTATAGTAAAAAGTTGTTTAATTTATTTATTACCGATCAGGCGGTATACCTAAGTATGTTATTATACAGTACAATTGATTTTATTTCAGTTAAAGATACAACATTCATGGTAACAAAATTTTATCGAATGCAAAAAAGCTAGGTGTGTTCAAATTAAAATTCACTGTTCAAAATAAAATCGAATTCCTAACAATTATTTACATTTTTTCGTTTACTTTTGTATCCTCGACGTCTATCACAGATGATTTACAATGTGTGAAATTGAAATCCAAAGTTTATGGTCCAAATTTCGTACATGCAATGAAATTTGTTAATATTTTTTTATGCAATTTAGAATGACAAACAAGCTGACGGCCTACCTGATGGAAAGCAGTAACCGTCACCTATAGATATGTACAGTACCATGGACATAAAAAAATCAGGCCCGTTGATAGAGAGTGATGTTTTATTTGTTATAAATGGAAATTTTACTTTTAAAATCCATAGAATTGAAATTTTATTAGTATTTCTAATTATTTGTATCGTTCGACTCTGAAGTTTCGGAATAAATTTCGTTGTAGGTGGGCTGAATTCCTATGGAAAATTCGGATCTTTGAAATTATTTAAACTGCTTTTATTTAATAATAATATTATTAGTGGCATTAGATATATAAAATCAATTAATCAACGTACTTACATTTCATGCATTACTAAATATTATAGAATTTTTTTTACTTACTCATGAGTACGTCAATGACTTCGGTAGCCATTTCCTGGTGTCTTGGCAGAAAGAGCGAGAAGTCTGCGTCAGTAGGCAATTGCGATGCTATAGGAAACTGCGGCGGATTGGACAGTGGTTTCAGTGGAATTTTTTCATCTGCTTCCTCACCAAAACGGTTATTCAGAGCGATCCCGTTGTCCTCATAGTCTACGGGCTATCGGAAAACATTATTTATAAAAAATCATAATAATTATGATAAGCGTGATGAAGTAACATAAGTTCAAACATATATAAGAACAAATGTATTCAATACGGACAAAGTAGGAGATTGTGAAGCGGTATAAATTACAATACATATAGACACGACTTACCAATAGATCTTGCGTAAGTTGAAATATTGCTCCATTTTCGCCTTTAGGTGTAATCAACGGCTCATTGGGACGATCAAATAAGAGCTGAAAACTCTTTACACGGTCTGTCATTGTAATAGTTTTATTAAAATGTTATGTTATATAAAATATGTTTATAAAATTTTACTCACTTCACAGAATACTGTGAAGTGGGAATGATAAGTACAATTGACACATGTCTTTTATATTAAAATATTTAGTTTCGGGTGCAACATTGCCGCTGAGTGCAAAACCACAGCAACCGCAAAACCGGTGGACTATCTATATTTTTTTACGTGAGAACCTAATGATAGTATGGACAACAAAGTTAAATTATTATTGTAATAAAAAATATGATTTTAATCGCAATACATAAGAGTGATAAGTAGACAGATACCCATACAATTGTTGAACGCGGCTTGTACAAATATATATGAAAATAATAGGCCAAACATTTTAATTTATGCAATAGGAAGCATAGAGAATGTAACCGTATATGATATTACAATAAAGCGAAATATAGACTCCATAATAAAACGGGAGTACTTTAGTTCTAGTGATTGCAAGAAAAATTGTGAAAATAGGTTTAGAATTGTCAACCATATCTAGATATTTCTCCTTTTTGAATATTTTAAAAAAATCACTACAATTATAAGACTAATAACTATTACCTATCTATATTTATGTAGTATACAGATATCTAAATACTGATTTTGATCATGTATAAATTGTGTTCAGCGTGATATAATTAATATAAACGATGTTTTTAACTTAATTTTCAATAGATTTGAACCGACGAGTAAACAATAATCATAATTAATATAATTAAGTATAATTATAGTGTCTAATTGATAAATTATATTATTTATTTAAATTTATATTATTATTTATTTATTGATAAATAAATTAAATTATCTAATTGATTAACATGTTTGTTCATATAATAGTCTAGTTGATTTCTATGTAATATTTAAATTTAAATTATGCTGAACTTGTAAAATTGCATAATGTGTTGTTCCTACTATTTATCAATATGAATTGAAATTTAAGTAATGATATACTACGAAGATAAATAGTATTTAAAGTTATGTATAAATAATAAATAAATAAATAATTTATTTGTAATATGCCGTTTCCCGTTAAAATTTCACCTTTTAATTCAAACATAATTTTAATCATATTATATTATAGTTGTATGTAATTGAAATAACATTATAACTACAATCTTATAGGCGTAATGTAATACAATTTGTTGAACGCGGCTTGTACAAATAATTATATATCTAGATTATCTAACTCTTCTATTTAGATATTTATAGTTTATAGACTGATTTTGATTAAAATTACATCATACAATTTAGATTAAATTCATATATATTCTTTAGAATTGAATATTTTTTTTCAATTAGTAAATACAATTATAGTCTAATAATTTAGTAAACTTCCGATTTATGTATTTCAGTTGTTTTATGATTTTTTTTATAGCACAAAGGTGACAAACAAGCATACAGCGCGTCTGATGGTAAACGGTCACTGTAGCCTATGGACGCCTGCAACTCTTTGCTTGTTGTTGTTGCTGACCCTGAAGAATCATTAATATACCATTTTTGAAGAACACCATGATGTCTAGCAAATATCCAATTTTGAATTTTAATTTTAAAAATAAGACATTATGTGGTGAAAATGTGATGAATTTCACTAGAGTTTAATAATTATTTTAAAATCTAAGTATTTATTACATTGTATTATATGAGTTTATGCAAATTTTGTAAATGATATGGAGAATTCATGTTTAAATCAAGAAAGTTTTACTAAACAGTTTAATGAAATCTGAATTTACTGGGTACAGAGGAATAACACCTGAGTCCTCAGGAATGGCAACGCATGGGGGGTATCATGGCCGAAACAATATACTCTGTTATGTCCATAGTACTGCTCATGTCTATAGGCGACTGTTACCACTTTCCATCAGGTGGACCGTCAGCTTGTTTACCATTCTAAGTTGTATAAAAAAAATAAATAAAAAAAAAGAATAAATATCTGAAATAAGTGTTGGAGTGCTGGAGGTACTATGATAAGTACTGCAGCGTGCTGGGCTTAAGCAGAAACCTTTAAACATTTGAAGTAATAATGTTAAGTAATTAATATCTATAACTGCCAATTGTAGTCATTGTACCCAATGACATGTCTAAATGGCTCACATTAAATGTATGTGTACATTAAAGATTAATTTATATTTTCTATTGTATTGCACTAGCAACCCGCCCCGACTACGCACGGGTATTACAGAAAATATAAAATGGCCTGTGTTACTCCGAGGTGTAGCTTTTGGTAAAATTGGTCGAGTAGTTTTTGAGTTAAATCATAACAAACATAAAATCAATCATATTTTCTCGTTATACATAATATTAATTTACATTGATACACTACCTAAACTTTCGGATCCTCCCGCCTCGGACGCGAGGTGCGGGGTCACAAGGTGCCCGCGCTGCCCGGTTGAATCACGATGACACTAAATTAATTTCGTTGCACATTAATTTTATTTTGCTATAAAATCTTCTCAGGTATTAATTGAATTTGCATTGCAAAGGGAAAAAAATATTTAAACAAAAATTTAAATTTATATATTAAATTCTAACATTAATTTCTTTAAAGTTTCTAGAAGGATTTTTTTTTTAATTTTAAATAACTCTTTTAGTACAAAATATAAAGTTTTATTAACTCTGAAAACCTCTACTGGAAGAGTCCGAAATCTTGCAATTAGTCTGACTTCTTATGTTAAGTAAATAATTTTTCGTAAAAATATGACTCCGAGTTAAAAAAAAATCATTAATTGTTATTCGAACTTACTAAGAAATATTTATAAATTTTTCAGAGATTTTTTTTATAAGGCTAAAGTTGAATGAATATAAAATAACATGACTAGTCTTGGTGATATCTCGAAAATTATTTTAATTCCGTAGTAGCAATCGAGTGCTAAGTATGAAATAAAACTTCCAATTGTTGTTTGAGAAATGTTAATTATTAACAGAACTAAAACTGGCAACTATACTATATACAGAATATTATGAAAAGAATATAATAATTCTAAACCCAGTTATAGTACTAAACAACTTTCTTCAAGGGACATTAGTCGAAATATGAAAATATTTTTGAAAATATACCAACTCCGCGCGGATTGTATAAGCATTTTGTATTAATTGAAATCCGACAACGGACATCTGGGGGCACAACCGAAAACCACAGAATATTTAAGAGTAACATACAAAAATTCACTCACAAGGCAAAAGATTCACTCACAAGGCACTTTAAGTAACTTCGCATCGGCCTCTTCGGTATCACAAAATTACGCGGCATTTTTTCTCTATCTCAGACACGTAGTTACCGCACTATATTTTATTCTTATCTAGAGGCCGGTGAAAACGGCCATAATTGATTCAAAATTATTTTCATACTCGAACAGACGCTATTGCTGGGAATCGACCGTTATATGCTTTCCGCTATACCTTGTATATATACACACTACACACTCAAATAAAGCTGTACAGTAATAAAATATAAATTTGTACATTGTTTTATGTTTAAAACATTAATGCGTTAGTCTATTCTACTTTCCATGTTCTCTAATCAATTACACAGCTAACCTTTACCATTTATTGCTATAAAAATAAACTGTTATAAGGCCGCTGATTTTATAAATAATTTATTCAAGATAATAAGTTAGTCTTAATGTTAATATTATACATTTGCCATATTTTGCAGTAATTTCAAATCTTCAGGACAGTTTAAGAATATTAGTAAAGATTAAATATTATTTTTAGGCGACACAAATTTCTGTATATACATATATATTGGACACTGCAAGAAAATATTTGCTAATATTTCAATTGTATGTAGTATACATGTATTTATATTACTACTTTCTATATTTCATTGAAATCGACGCTGTAAATACCTCAACTTATATGTAAGCTAAGTGTATTACAAAGTATCCACTCTGTCGCTTATGCAAATTCTCTATTTTTTTTTAAGTATAATTTTTATATAGATAACGAAGGTATCGAAATCTAAGCTGTATTGCATCTCATTTAGGGTTCATAATTGATATGCAAAGTACATGCATATGTAGCTATTATTTTAATATATATCTGTGTATGTTATCAACACTATGGGAATGTATTAAATCTAAAATTGTAAGAAATAGTGAAAAATTATCAAGTGAACTTTGCGATAAACTCAAACTATATCGATAGAACGCATTGCCATCATTCAATAAACGTTCGAATAAAACCATTTCTAAATGACAGGTAATTGTAGTGGCAACACATGAGGATAATTGCCTTATTTCATAGACAATGAAATACGAGTATATATTTTTCTAAGACATCTGGTTATTAATAAATAAATACTTTCCTAAAATATTGCTTAAAAGTCTTGGTGTCACTTGGGATTTAGGGTTGGATATTAATTTTTTTCTAGTATTATAAAGTTATGCTTTTATATAACTTATGTGTTATGCCAAATAGGATAAAATAGAAGAAATATATAATATTCACATCAATATTATGCTTGTTACTATGGTAAACAAATTTTTGAATATTATAGTATATGGAGCTTAGCTCATAATTCTAGTCAAGTTTTAAAAAACAAAAATATTTTTTTAAAAGACTACCTACCTACATTTACAATAAGTCTGCGTGACCTAATCTAACAAAATAATCAAAAATTTATACATATTCATTGCGGACTAGGAGTAAATAATAGCAGACTATATGCTACTTACTGTGAACCATGAGTCCACCATTTTGAACCTTAATCACAGAATTACGAATTATGGCCCAATCATTGCAGATCATGACTCAATCAACTATGGGCACCATATATATACACATATAATCATGGTCTACATATGTTATATCTTTGTATTCATGATTTACAATTAATTAATAACTCATGTACTCAATGTTTAGAGCATAGTATGTAATTTTGTGATGATGATCCACAATGATCGATAGATCATGGCTTCACGGATTCACGGCTTACAATAACTGGGATATTTGTTAGTTAGAATTAGTTGTCCGAGACAAAATATAGAAGTTGCGTGTAAACAGTTGATCAACCTTGCTAATTCTAAATACATTCTATCGAGCAAGTTGTATAATTAATGCTGCACACATTTCAAAGAACTCCATGGTGTGGTGACCAGTCGGCTGAGGGGGTCCGCTCGCTGGAGGGGCGAGGGGCGGCGGGGGTGCCAGAGGAGATGCGGCTTCTTCGTCCGTATCTTCTTTTTCTCCAGACAGGGACTTGAAGTCCAGCAGATATGACTTGTAGTCCACTTGGTATAGTTGCAGAGACATTTTCACATACTTCTCAGTCATTTTATTCAGAGTCCGTACCCTGTGATAAAGGCATAAATGTAAATTAAAATAATTATAACTTTAAGGTAGGGTTTAATGAATAAAAAAAAAATTATAGCAAGGACGTATAAGTTTCATATGTAGCGACCACGCTTCGGTCTCATAACATAACATACACATTTACCCCTAGATGAAAAAATAAATCTGGGCTATCGGTGGGCAAAATTAGGCCTTTAAAAAAATCATATATTGTTCCATTTTTCATTTCACCTTTATCGGTAGATGTTTCAAGATATATTTTTTATTTGTAATGTTTAAATTTTTAAATTGCATTTATTTTGCCTGAGATAATATTCATTCTGTATGGCTGCTGAGGGTTAAAACCACAAAATCAGGTATTTTCTGGTAATAATATTTAAATATTTATTAGAGCTAAAGATATGAAATGAATGTAACATACCGAACATGATAGGGATTGATGACTTTCCACTCGTAGTCGAGAGCTTTCATAGCGCGGAATACTTCCAGCATTATATCATTTGGTTTGCTCTGTGATCTGATGCCAAGATGCCATTTGGCTCTATAAACAAATAGAATGATTACAATTGAATAGTTGGTATTTGTAACGACAATAAATATGTATTGTAATTTATAATGAAAAAAGCACATCAATTGGTAGAAAAATTTAGGAACTAAAATTATTGTTATGAATTAATTCCGTTTTTTATAACTAGATAGCAAATGGCGTCATTTGTCGCAGAAAAATGTATTTAATCCATAGCGGGTTTAGGAAGCAATGGCACCATCTTTTGACAAATTATTTCATGTAAAAAATTCGCGTATTGTATGTTCGTTGTTTTCTGTTATTATACTAATATTGTAAACTAGCCCGTTTACAGTCTAGCCCGGCTTCGCACGGGTAGATACATCTTTCCAAAATAACATATAGTCAACGTTACTCGCTGATAATGTAGCTTTCTATAGGTGACAGAATTTAAAAATCGATTGAATGTTTTTGAGAATATCTATTACAAACAAACAATCAAATCTTGGTCTTTATAATTAGTATAGGTGTGAAAGTTTGTAGATAGTTTGGAAGTTTGTTAATTAATTATGCTTAAGCAACTGAACATACAATAATATATATATATATATATATATATATATATATATATATATATATATATATATATATATATATATATATAACAGTACTATAAGATACTTTAATATATGTATATACTACATAGTATAAAACGAAGTCGCTGTCGCTGTCGGTCCGTCCCTATGTATGCTTAAATCTTAAAACTACGCAAAGGATTTTGAAGCATTTTTTTTTAAAAAAGATAGAGGAATTCAAGAGGAAGGTTTATATGTATAATACATGCATAATATAGTAGAGAAACACTGATAATTTTAGAGGTTTCTAATGTGATGTGCGAAGATTCCGTGCGAAGCCAGGGCGGGCGCTAGTAGACAATAAGCAAATGGGGTGTGGTGGTACCTCTTGACGGGCGTGCCGCGCTGCGCCTTGTCGTGCGCGGGCGGCGCGCCGCTGTCCCGCAGCGGGGCGATGCGCTCGGGGTGCGGCCGCGCAGCCTCCGCCGCGCCCGCGCCGCCCGCCGCCGCGCCGCCCGCCGCCGCGCCGCCCGCCGCCGCGCCCGCCGCCGCCGCCTGGCCTGCGCGCCGCGCCACGGCATAAGGTCAGTTGGCTCATCGTGAGGAATGTAACCACGATCATTTTCAAGGGGAATTATGCGGAAGTTCACTTAACAGGATAAATTGCTAGCTTTTTTTTTTAATACAACTTAGAATGGCAAACAAGCCGACGGCCCACCTGATGGAAAGTGGTAACCGTCGCCTATAGACATGAGCAGTACCATGGACGTAACAGAGTATAATGTTTCGTCCATGATAACCCCCATGCATTGCCATTCCTGAGGACTCAGGTGTTATTCTTCTGTAACCTGTAAATTCACGCCATATCCCACCATTCAAACCGAAACACAGCCATGCAAACACAACTGCTGCACGGTAGAAACACAAATGGAACAGAGGTACCCAAACAATCGACTTTTGTACAAAATCTCCCTCTGGTAGCTAGCAGGTGAGCGTAGCCACCCCACGATGCAAGGCCACAACAGTAGGGAGAATGAAAATGAATTCACATATTAGTAAAATAAATCTTTTAAAAATTAATAAACTTCATTAGTTGACCATTTATCTAGGATACCCTGTATTATTTTAATTTAGATATTTAGGTGTAAAGTTAAAAAAAGTCCTAAATTAATCAAACTATAAACTATTATTACCTCTTTATTTGATGAGGCGTTGGTTATGGATGTGGGTTTCTGCTGAGTCGTATATTTTGCGCTTCTCAATATTTTATGTCATCGCTTTGTGATTAAAAATGTCTCGATATTAAAAAACAATTTGAACTCACTGGCCACATAGAAATCCTTAATTTCGGCCTTGGCGGCCTCGTCAGCTATGCGCTTGTTGTCTATGATGAGATGGTACGCGATCGCGAGCTGGTCGTGTGGGTCGCCGCTGAGCAGCGCGTTGTGCACCTCGTGCTCCTTCACGCCGAACTTGTCACACACTTCTGATATCGCCTCTGTATCAATTACGCTGCTGTCCTGTGCCGAAATTGTGTAAGCTGTGACATATTCGTGGTAAACATTTGTAACTGAGCTGTGAATATGTTACGTATTCTGTCCCAAATAAAGATTACACTTATATGTAACATGTAGTGAGGATAAAATAGTTAAATGACGAATTTGTTATATTGTATTATAGGCATACTGCCTTGTGGTCCCGGCATAGAATAGGCCACTCCTTGTTTTTCTGTGTTGTAAGAGGCGATTAAGGGATAGCGAGGGAAGGGCAGCAGCATCCCTATTAAAACATCTCTAAATTCTAACTGCGGTTTTCAATCCGCCTGCCAAGTGTAGCAGCTACTGGCAAAACTCCCCTAAGAGGAAGATTATGTTCAGCAGTGGACAGTTCAAGGCTGATGATGATAAGTATACTGAAGAAGTGTCATCCTATGGTCATTCTGATGTACCTATGATACTGATTCTGATATTTTTGGTATTTGTTAATTATTATAAGATTATTGTAATTTAAATGTATGTATAATATAAAGTAAGAATGTAAAAATAGTAAATAATGTAAATATAAAAAAAATATATATATATCATATCTTGTGTCAGCAGCAATAAAAGCTCTTATTATTATTATTATCACATATCATTATCGATTATTGCCAGTTGAAATTAATGCTTTTCAAGGAAAAAAAAATATCCTAGTATTTTATATTTTAGATACAAAAATACTTACTTGTTCAACAGGAGACGGAAATAAGTATCCAGGAAGATCCTTCTGGAACCAGTCGTGTTTCTTTACATCTTCAATATTAGCCCTCTTCATCGGATCCACTTGTAACATCATGCATAGTAGACTAACAACACTCTTGTTTAGATATTCAGGTATGGGGAATATTCCAGACTTGATCTTCCGGAACAGTGTTGGTACATGCTCATCGTCGAAGGGCAACGTGCCGCAAAGCAATGCATATAAAATTACTCCACATGACCAAACATCTACCTCTGGACCAGCATACAATTTTCCTGATATAACCTATAAATAAAAAAAATACAATATATACTTACAATTAATACCAATGACATACAAAATATCATGTTATTATATACTATTTGATTTGTTTTTAATCAGATGCAGAGTATGTTTATACACTGGTATTAGGTGTTATATAATATCATATTTTTCATACAAATATCTTGTAATTCTTGTAGATAAGAAATATCAAATATCTAAATGTACTAACACTATAACTCTCAAAGATACAAAAAATAAAAATTACTTGCACAAAAAATTGAATCAATGGTGACAAATACTATACCGAATCAAGACAGGAGTATAGCTTATTGATTGCAAAAAGAATTAGCAAAATTAACTTTTAGACTTTCGAACTGCATATTTTATAAGAGACAGAAATTAAAGCAATAATTTAGGTAAACATTATTGTTCGCGACATTGTAATCATTTGTATAGTTATAGCGATTTTTTATAGTTAATTGTTAGCATAAGTCCTTAGTTTAATCATTTTTAAATTGTTAATTTTACATAGATTTTAAGATGTATCTATAGCTCGTAAGTTGAATAAAACATTTTATTGTGTCTTGTTATTATTACCCCCAAATAGGAATAAGAAAAGAAATTGTAAAAGTAATAAAAATAAGAATAATTGTACAAATAAATAGACGCCGAAACGGTGCCACTCTGAAGAGTAACGCGTCCCTTTCACACTCGCCCCGTCCCGCTCGCACAGACTCGCTAACGCGAGTTAGTACATGTTGTCGTGCGACCGGGCGGGTATAAAGATAGGCCGCCTACCGTCGAGCGGCATGCTCTGCTCTGCGACACAGTACACTCCCCATCCGATAAGAAATAGGACAACAAAAAAACTCTTCAGACGGAACCGGGGGCTTCAGAAAAGGAATCAGTGTGTTTCTCTCCAGCCTGAACCAGTGCCCCTACAGTCCACGCTCACCGAACGGTGGAGGAACATCGTTCAATTATTATTATATCTCTGTTAAACTTTTGCCAAGAGTAGCCATGCTTTGTAGGCCAGATGGCAATTACACAAACACTGCTGCCTATTCTTTGATCATTTATAAACTATGATAATTTACCTGAATTATCTCAATGTTAAATCAGGATACACTGCCTATGATCTACCTAAATAAACATCTTTTATAAAACATAGAATTAGCAAAAGTAGTTTGGAATTATTAAAGATATAGAATGTATCTATAAAACTGTTGAATTGAAAATTTTTTAATGTTGCTTAAAAATACAATAAATATATCTATTATAGATAGATGCAATTACTTGTTTACCATATTAACAACTTAAGTTTAAACAAAGATGTGAATAAAATATAATTATTGCTTAAATAATTAATGTTTGTGTTACCTCAGGTGCAGCATAATTAGGTGATCCACAGGAAGTTCTTAAAAATTCTCCATCCATCATCATATTAGACAATCCAAAGTCTGCAATTTTTACATGCATATTGTGGTCTAACAGCAGGTTCTCTGGCTTCAAGTCTCTGTGCACAATCATGTGGCGGTGACAGTAGTCCACCCCAGAGATGATTTGCTGGAAGAATCTCCGTGCTTCATGCTCTTGGAGTTTGCCTCGTTTCACTATATAGTCAAATAACTCCCCACCAGAAACATATTCCATAATCATGAAAATGTCCGTGGGTGTTGAAATTACCTATAAAGAACATTTCTATGTAAAGCAATAACAATAAAAGCTTTGTGACAATAATTTCTATCTAAAGCAAGAACAATAAAAGCTTTGTGACTATCATATTTTTATGCATTATCTGTGTCTACACATAAATAAGAAGATGAAACTAAAATATTATCATTAATTATATAATAAAAAAAATTAAAAGGAAGATAAGCACAACACATTATTTAAGAATAGATAAAAAAAGTAAGAGACAAATAGTACAAAAAATATCTAAAATAAGAGAAAATAGATAAGGAAGAATACTGGAAAGGTTAAAATTAAGAATGGTTTTGGTTGTCACAATTTCTTAAGAATTCAAAAATACACACAAACAATTTTTTTATTTAAATTTGTTTTATGGGATATGTCAAGGTTGGTAGTAAAAATATTTTTTCATGTTACTTGCCTGGTATAATTTTATAATATGGGGATGTCTGAACAGCTTAAGGTTTTGTATTTCACGTTTAATCTTGCCGACGACATCCAGAGACTTGATCTTCTGTCTATTAAGGATTTTCACAGCCACTTTGTGCTTGGTCAATTGGTGTTCTCCTATCTTTACTTTACCGAATGTACCCACTCCTAAGGTAGTACCCAGGGTATAGTGACCAATCTTGACGATTGGCTGGGTGCCACTCACTACCACTGGCTTTTCAGACATTTTTCTTAGCTAAAGCACTTCATGAGAAAAAATACTCTGAAGAACAGTCACGCTTTCAATAACGTAAAATTTGTTAAGCACATTTTAATGAAATTATAAAAATTGAAATTTATTTAAGTTTATGTATATAATTTATTTATTAATTTTATAGTTACAATTTTACGCATTTATTAAATTTATTTAATTAAAATTCTAACAACATGTCAAATGATCTACTGTCATTGTCATTTTTCTCAATCATTCTGTCAATTCTAATTGTCAGATAAAAATTATATGGTTGCATTCATACCTATCTAATTTTAAATGCCATTGAATCAATCTACTTATATTTGTTGTTGGTAACATTTCTTAGTTTATGAGTTTTATATTCTGTTGTTTGCCCCGCGCTGCGCTATTTCCCCGACCCCGCGGTCCCCGCCCCGTTTGACTGTCGGTCGGTCGCCAATCTAAAGATATTGTGATGTACGAAAAATATTAAATATTCTTTGGTTTTTATGAGTTTATTGTTATAAATCCTGTATATTTGTATTAGATTATAATGGATAAATGTGGTATCTGTCTAAAGCCGGCACTCGTGAGTAACTTTTAATATTTTGTGCTGTTGTTTAATGGCAATCCGTAAAATTTTTATTGTTTTCTTTACAAGATAGATATAAAAATAACGCCACTGGCAGTATTGACAATTTTTTTCGTTTTCCAGAGTATTATTATAGTTTTGTTATTATGTTAAATGATATTTCGAACTATTTTGAAGTATACCGTAATGCCGTAATGCAACAAGAAAAAAATGTGCATCGGAAACCTGCCCGCGTTTTTTTGTTGCCTGTCGGACGGTCTGTTTTTTTTTGTCTGGCTCAGCTCAGCGCCCTGTAAAAAAACAAGTCACTTTGTTTTTTTTTTCTGCACAGTGACCACAATGTGCATGAATAGTAATCCTTGACTTTTGTAGCAATCTCTACTGGTTTACAACACCTTATTCAATGATTACATACACTATATACATCATAAAATTTATTTAAAATACTATATTATCTACATAAGAGACTAAAATCCGTTTACCATTAAATACTTATTACTGTTGAAAATAATATTTATGGGGCAATATTTTTATATTGCTGGTTGTTAAAAGTGTAACTACTTTTGGTTTATCTTATTAATATAATAAATCAGAAACTTTGTCAAGATATCTGGTTGTTTGTTACTTAATCATGCTTAAACTGCTAAATATTATTAAATGATATTTGATAAACAAATATGTGCTAAGTATGTTTAGCCATTTAAGTGTAACTGTGTAACAAACTTTATAAACTTTCTCACATCTGATAGTAGCAAGAAGTAGAATTAATAGTGTCTATTAGTGTAATTAACAGTTTTAATGCTAGTGGACAATAGTTGTAATATTATATTTTATAAATGTCCATACCTTCTGGAACCTTAAATACTCCACCCATCATCATGAAATTGCATATGTTCATAGCATATTTCATATTCATATGTATTTGCATGCAAAGGATAACTTAGTTCTTGTTCTCTTCAGCTATTAATGAAATTTTTGAGTAAGTTCAGAAGATCTTTATGTATCTATATGTGTGGTTCCATCTTTAAGATGCATCTATTAAAAAGAAACCAATTTTAAAGTGTGGTGAAATCATTATAGGAACAATATGAGAATATACTATATCTGAAATCAATTATGAAGTTCTATATATATATATATATATATATATATATATATATATATATATATATATATATATATATATATATATAATCATGTCCTATAGATTTTACATATTTTGTATGTATATGACTTAGAAAGCAATTGAAGAGTAGCACAAATGCAGTGGTTTTATTCAAATGAATATAACTATATTGTATTACATGTTCTTACTCTTTTCCTAATAGATTTGGTGTTGCCATTAAAATATATACCTTAATATTGTTTCAGCAATTATTTGAGACTGGCAAGGATGGTGTTTATGCATGTTTCAAGTGCCAGCCGCTTGTGCCTGAGGTGACCATTGGGGACAGTTCGGAACAAAGTACTGACCCCCCTGAGACATCTGAACCTTCTGAGGCAACTGAACCTGCCGCCAATAATAGTGAAGAGGTCAGTTAAATAGTTGTCAATTGTATTTGCTAAAATTTTATGCTAATGTAGTAACATTTCAGTTTTCATCACTTATTCATAAATCAATACAACACCAACTATTGATAGATATGTTTCTAATAGAGGTCACATGAACAAGACACCAGACATCAATATCTCTTTTTTTTCATACATGAATAAGCTATAATGTGTCTATTGATAGATTAATATGCCATTTGTCTAAGGGAAGGAGGCAGTTTAGAGACAGATATGATGATCTTGGTGGTGCAGTGGTAAGCAAGTTCCTTTGCATAGATAAGGCCTTGGTTTAGATTTTCGGTAAGGTCAATTTAGGAATCAACTTTTCTAAATTAATTCAAATTTGGGAGTTCTGGGTAGTACATTCAGATATTGTTACTGGGTTCCTCATAATATAGGTTGTCATAGATTAAGATTGGGGCAATAGATATGATGGTGTGATTCTTATTATTTATAGATTTGTTCAGATTTTGTAAGATTCTCCTTCCCTCACTTTCTATCTATAATTTAAGATAATTAGTTAAATAGTATTTGTTGATCACAGGAGAATAATGAAGCCCTGTACTGCGGCATTTGCGACAAGACATTTCAGAAGACAATGCAGTTGCAGAACCATTTACGCAATCACCGGGCCGAAAGACGTTTTGTGTGCACTTATTGTGATAAGGGTAAATTTTGATGATTTTTATTAATTTGTGTGATGATTTTGGGTATTAAGCATGGACTAAGGGGTGTAATGTCTAGTCGTGTGGTTCCAGTATAGAATAGGCCACACTTTCCTCTTACGACACCCAGAGAGGTGTCGTAAGAGGCCAATAAGGGGGGGCGAGGGATGGGCACCATCTCTTTTAAAACATCTCCAAAGCCTAACGGCGGTTGCCAATCATGGCAACTACTGGTTAAACCCCTGAAGGGGGAGGCTTATGTTCAGCAGTGGACAGTTAAGGGCTCACATGCTGAACATAAATATATTTATGTTATCAGATATTAATTTTGTTATGATAAAACTGCTACTATATGGTACAAAATCTTAAATTGTATATTTCTCTTTTCTATTAAAAATATTATCTGATTTAAAAAATAATATTCTAAATTCAAATATTCTAAATCTAATATCTACTTTTTTTATTTAAATATTTATAAGTTCAAATAGAAATGAAAATTTTATTAGATATGCATTATTTGGGTTTTACTTACATTATCTTTTCCACTCACAAGGCATCCCTGTGTGTTGACAGCATTTTCCCAGTCAAACAACTTGAGGGCCCACCTTCGTATTCACACCAATGAGAGGCCTTTCAAATGTGTGGAGTGTGGGAAGGCCTTTACTCAGGTAAACATAACCCTTCTATATTGTTGACCTAATAATTTTGGGAGTTGCTTTTGCATTATGTTCTTATACTACCACAAAAAAGTATAAATATATTATTTTTATTGTAGTTGTTACTATTCTTTTATTTTGCAATAAAAACATTCATATATGTAACTGGTTTGGAAAGAGTATGAAGGCACTATATTAATCCGAAGCTTTAGCTAACTTCAAAAGGATGGATAAAAAATAATTATAAGGATAAAAAATAACAGAAGAGCTATATTGAATAAGTAGAGAGGCTGGTAAGTACCTATTAGGATGGTATGTGGACCAAATAAGTGATGTTAAAATTACTCGTAACTGGCAAGCTTACATAGATTTACGAATGTGAAGGAAACTAAACGGGCCTGTTTGAATTGCATGTAGTATTTGATTGTTTTTACCTTTTACATTCCATTGAATACAATGAAATGTATGAATTAAAAATCATTTTATAATCTTATCCCCTTATTCATAAAAATTAAAAGCTCCTACATGTCTACTTTAACTATTAATATTTCGTTATTGTCCTTCAAATTGAGAATTGATCCTACAAGAAAAGACAAAACATTTCCATAGAGAAAATAAGTTTATAAAACATTTCATGTATTTATGTATAAGGGGGTTAGTGTTTAGATATTATTATTTAGTTTGTGGTTTAGATTTTTATTTCAATATTCAAGTATCTAAATAGCAGCGGTATTACGATAATTATTTATTTTTTATTTAATTAGCATCCACATTGCCATAGACTATAAATGTGTACATTTTGTTTCATAGGTGACCAATTTAAATAATCATGTACGGCTGCATACGGGCGAGAGGCCTTTCGTGTGTCCAGAGCCTGGCTGCAGTAAGGCATACGCTCAGGTACATATTTTTATATGCATTGAGCTGATTCAGAAATTTATTACTTTCTAAATTCACAAATTTAAAGTAACTATTTAAAGTACATTACATTTTAAAGTAACTATTCTCTTTGCATTACAAAATTGTTATTCCTTCATTTCTTTTTTAGAAATAAGAGAATTATCAGATGAATATGGTTATGTATGCACGCATATTATTCTGTTAACTTAGAATATTATAACATTGCCTATGAAGTGATTCTTGTATAATCTGCAGGCTTACTCTTGTAATAAATCTCAATAAATCGATGTTCAAATTAAGTAATTTCCCACTCTCGAATTGCAATATTAGCAATATAATGGTTCCATATGGTTCCGATTGATGCATATTAGTGTAACTTACCAATATAAACTATTGCAAACCGATCTCTATTATTAACTTATTACTAACTGTTGTTTCATGAGTGTAGTAGAAATTTGTCATTGGCTAGATTGCATTGATACTGATATTAGATTCAAGTGTGGACCTGCCTGATTTTGTTTATAACTGGAATAAAACAAATTTCTTTCACCGGCAATGTTTTTAGTGAGTTTTCGAAAGTTTATTAAGTACATATGAATAAAGGATTGTACATTGAGTAAGAATATTACGAATAATATTAAGAATTAATACAGAAAATAAATATGCTCACATCAGTAAACCATAATAGGGTAGTCAGAGCCATTTGTAAAGTTACCGGAATAGTCGACTTACAGTTTGTCGAGTATATTAGAATCTAAAATAATGAAATATTAATCTTAATAACTTACAGGTAACAAATTTGAACCAACATCGTAAACGGCATTTGAACGGTCGGCCAGTGGAGGCCACGTACGACTGCAACGTGTGCGGCGAGCAGTTCCAACAGCGAAACCACATGTATAGTCACAGGTGGGTTATACTTACTAAATATTACTACTAACAAACATCACCCTTACTATATTAGTAGCAATATTAGTTAGCAAGTTTTTTTTTTCTATCTAATGTTTGTTGAGGCTTCAGTACACCTAGGTGACTATGCCAGTCTCATAGGAAATGCCTGAATGTTAGGTTTGTCATGTCATTTCAAATGTATATTTACTTTATTAGCTTTCGGCCCGTTACTTCAAACGCGCGAATTTTAGAAGTAGGAATACCTACCATTGAAATGGATCAGTTCTAGACCATCTAGAATATAACATATAATGAGATTTTAACTTCCACCTTCGTAAACACAATTGTGAAAACTGCTTCCACTTTGATGATGCCTATTATTTATTTTATTGGCACATAAAACAGATCACAACAATAAAAAACTTAAATAATAATTACATTTGTGATTCGGCTAGGTTATAATCTAATCATTATGTGCACAGCTTGAGTTATTCATGAAAGGCAAACATAAATAAAATAAATACTTAAAATGTTATATAAGTATATATAAAAAATAAAGCTATATATAAAAAAAACATATTTTCAATCATAATACAAAATAGAAAACATTCTTCCTAAAGAGCAAATATTTTGTACAATATGATTTTTTCAAGCATTATGAAAATGAAAAATATACATTAATATATATATATATATATATATATATATATATATATATATATATATATATATATATATATATATATATATATATATATATATATATATATATATATATATATATAAAGCACAAAATGCGGTTTTATCTAAAGCAATCTCTTCCAGACAACCTTTGAGTAGACTAAAAACTACTCGTATTAAAAAACAAATAATCATATGTATATTATTTGGCTAACGTGTTTTTACGATATTTGTTCCAGACGTGAAGCCCACGGTGACCTAAAGAGTCCGAGCGGGCGTAGCTCGGGCAGCCGGTCGGCGCGCTATACGTGCCAGGTGTGCGAGGCCGTACTGCCGAGCGAGCGATTACTCATGCAACACGTCAACCAGCACGTCGCCGAGGGAGAGACGCCGCAGAATAAGGATAATCGTTAGTACTAGTTTCTTGAGCATGGAAACGCTTTTTTTTTTTATATATTGGCCATTTGCACCAAGTTTTAGTCCTGGAGCCACATATAGAGTTTTTAATAGAGTAGCAATTGAATGATTTTTGTGTGTAATAATGCTTTTGATTACTTTATACTCAAAGATTGGCAAAACAGTACAAGAGTCGACTTCAGTTAAATTTCGTTACAGAGTCCCTATTTTAATCTTATATGAAGTTTAGATGGTAGAAAAATTGGTAGTATTTTATAGATTAATTAATTAAGCTAGAACACGTTCTGGAACAAAAGTGGCAGCCCTGTATCCATTGTTGTTCACTGTTGAACATTAGTATACCCCTGGGGGTTTTGTCAATTACCACGCTTAGTAGGTGGGCTGGCAATTATATTTAGGCCCTAGTGATGTTTTAAAAGGGATGCTGTTGTGTTTGGACATTAGGATTTTTTTTATGCAACTTAGAATGGCAAACAAGCTGACGGCCCACCTGATGGAAAGTGGTAATCGTCGCCTATAGACATGAACAGTATCATGAACATACAGAGTATACTGTTTTACCCATAAGATCCCCATGCTTTGCCATTTCTGAGGATTCAGGTATCAGAAACACGAATGGGACTGAGGTGTCCAAGAAAATGACTTGTACAAACTCTCTCTCTGGTCACTAAGATCCTTTAGTCGCTTTTTTGATTTTTTGATACGCAAGGGAAAGGAAGGGATATGTCATTCTATAGCGGGACCACACGGCAAGCCTTGTGCTATGCTAAATTGTAAAAGCGTTCACTGTATGTGTAGGGTCGGAGGCCGCGGGCGAGACGGAGGGCGGCGCGGGCTCGTTCTCGTGCGTGTTCTCGTCGTGCGGCGCGCGCGTGGCGTCTGCGCGCGCGCACGCCGCGCACCTGCTGCGCGCGCACCAGCTGCGCCTGTCCACGCCCGCCGCCGCCGCCGCCGCCGCCGCCACACCCGCCACCACGCCCGCCACCACACCCGCCCCACACCCGCCACCACACCCGCCACCACACCCGCGCACGACGCGCCGCCGCGCCGCGGCCGCCCGCCCAAGGTATGCGATGCTCGTTAAAACTCTGTGTGCTCGGACGGAGGCGTTAGATTAGTTTTTTTTTATATTATTATGAAAAGAAGTTTCGTCGGCAACGCGCGCTTAATGCTCCTTATATTGCAGGCGTTCATAGATTACGGTAACTGTTTACCATCAGGTGAACCTTATGCTTGTTTGCTACTTCAATGGTATAAATATAATATTACATCTATTATACCGAAACACAGCTGTGCAAGCTGCCACAGGGCAAGAAAGCAAGGGGGACAGGAGTACCCACCGCTTCCGCCGTCACACTCCTCCAATCAAAATAATAATAAGGATAGTCTAATTTACATTTTTTCCAAAGTTACATTGTCTCGCTCACCTCTACGACATAACTGTAACTAACCAATCAATTGTTTAACCAATTGTATTAACATTTTACAATTTATGAATTTTGTCTCTACTTTGTGTCAGAAACAAAACAAAATTTTCGTAAAAATGTGTTAATATTTACTACAGATAATATTTTAGTTAACTTTTCTTATTTATTTTTATTTATTTATTTCGAATTAGGCACACCAACAGTATACATATTATACATAAATTAAATAAAATTTTTTGTGTAGTATGCTGATATGCATACCTATAGTAAGCGTACACAACATTGACTACAGATTACATGCATATAAATGTCGATGTTTCTTTTCTTTACTCATTGTAAGTTGTCAGGGCCCAGACTACAATCGCTTTTCAATTTTCACAGCCCCATCATAAAATTTGTATTAAAAATAGTTATAAGGATTAAAAAAAAAACTTGAATTGTAATGAAATTTTTAAAGTTTACTTTTTTTCGATTACAGGTAATGAAGCCGCAGGACCCTTTACTTATAAAAGAATCTGATTATCATGAGGTAAGATGCTATTTACAATACTATTATTCTAATAATTATTGTTTTCTTACTTTTACTGTTATTTAGCTTTTGCCCGCGACTTCATGCATGAGACCCAAATTATGTTTGCTAACCGGGATAAAAAGTAGGCTATGTCCCTCTCCATGATTGGTGTATATAAATTTTTAGTGATTGGTTAAGACGTAAATGTAATAGGGTAACAAACAAACTCACTATTACATTTGTAATATTAGATTAATTATTCATCATTTTGACTATAAAATTTACAGAAATGACCCCTCAGAATCGATCCCAGTATATATCCATTCCCCACATGCAAAGTTATTTCATTATGATATTAAAAATTGATGTATTTCAGGTGAAATTGCTAAACGCCCAACAAGTGCGGTTCCTGCCGAAACTAAAAGTGCAGAGTTTGTTTCAATGAGTGGCCGGCAACGTGTGAGACTCGACCAACTGTGCTAAGTGACAAGTATCTGACACTGTTACGTATTTGATTAACTTTAGACATGTGTGGAGCAAATAATCTGTACTTAACGTTCTAAGCCTGTTGAACACTGACACGTAGAGTACTGCAAGAAGTCTATAATCAAATGGATAATTGTAATGTGAACACAAAATTGATAAATGTCGCATTTCTCTGTCTTGACGTGAAACGCCTTTAATATATTTGAAATTGGTCATAATTTACCATTGTTTCGCATCCTTTCTACCAGTTTTTTATGACATAAAAATGTACCGAACTCGCCTGCACTATCAGTATATGCTGGCAGGATACCAGTGAAGCCGTAATGATGAATTCAGTACGATTTTATCATAATGAGTTCCAGGAAGACTCGCGTGGAAGTCGACCTGGCATGGTATGGTTATATTAATGGGAAATAAGGTTTCCTTTATTATCCCTTCTTCCTTCTTCTATCAGTAGGTGTTTAAGCAAGATAGAGAGCGTTTTTGTCGATGTTGTGGTCACATGGCAATAAATAAATTTGGATATAGCTTTCTTGGCTTAATGTGGAGCACAATGTATAAGGCAAACTACATGAAATGGTTAAATGTATTATTTAATTTTATTTTTAAAAATAGACAAAGATGTCAATAATTTTATAATACATTTTCCGCCAATAGAAGGGAGTATAATTTTAGGACATATAATTTTTAAAAAGTTCTTATTTATAAAAAATATATAATAATACATATAAAAGTGTAATTGCTGTCACAAGGAGTTCCCATTTGATGTAGAATGCCTTTTGTATTTTACATTCAAAATGCTAATATCTTATAGAAGTGTTATACTTGTAAATATAACAACCTGCCTAGATATATTAACATACACCACTTTTAGCAGAGATATTAATAATAAGACAGTTATGTCAAATGAAGGTTAATGTTTTTCAAGCATATGTATGTTTGTATGTCCGGAAATTTTGCGCTTTATGTATTATGCAATATGAATATTATATATGACACGGATACATCAAACGTGCCGGCATGATTGTCTGTGGCGTATATTTTTAATAAAAAAGAAAAATATAAAATCGTGCAGCGATTTATTATGAAACATTTTCGAAGTACGGGCGGTGAACATATCTGTAGATACGGGACTATGTGTCGCTACGTCATATTTTGACCGGTAACTACCAATACCTCCTAACTAACATTTTTAATGTTTAGTTATTTACTTAATTGTAAATATTTGTTTCTAAGTTTCTACAAATCTCCTTTTCTATGTTACATAGAGAATTAATTTTCACATCTGTGTATTGTGAAATGGTATTAGAACCAATTACTCATAATTTATTTTTTTTGATTCATAGTATTTAGAATACATTCAGAGATAGGATATTTTCTGTAGCTCATGTAAAATTTTCTCCATGTCAGTTAGGAGCTGTTGGTGGTTAACCATCGATTTATGTTTTTGTAAAATGTTCATTCTGTCTTATAAGTGGTAGTCGTGGAACATGAGGTATACATTGCTCTGATAAGTATTTGGTAATGTGAAAATAAAATTTATAAATGATCTCCAAAAATATTCGAATATACAAATTATTCAATACTTTTGCATTTATGTGGAGTATTTTAGAGTGCTAATGAGGGCACTGTGTGGCCGGCACTCTCGCATTTAGAGTGAACTTATTGAAAGCAAATTCATTCGTATTAAGTGATATTGGTAAGTGCAATTTTTTTGTTATCTCCAGAGTATGAAATGAACTAGATGTAGTATTAGAGTACATTCTATTAATGTTTAATTATGTTTTTATTTTATCTGCAGATAGAGTTCACTTATTATTGTAGTTATAAACAAGATTTGTATCGAATCAAAAACTTATGTACTTAAATATAGCTTTTTTTTTTTAACAAAAAGGGTGATTGTGGCTTTGGAAATGAAATTGAAAATTGAATGTGAGTATGTATGAAACAGAAGCTAATAAGTAACGCGTCTAGTCCGCACATTATTTGTAATACATTTAAATCCCTCTGCTTTTAACTGTTTAATTTGAGCGAGGGTATTTGTTGTTTGACTAGGTATTTTTTTGTACACAAACTTTTTTAGATATACAAAGGTGGTTGTTGAAAAAGTTTGCCAGTCACTTAATTTTATTTGTTTTTGTAAGACTCGGATTTATTTGAAAAATTAGTAAAATTACGTCACATATTGTTTTGTGGTCGACGTTATAAAAATTATTAAATATAATCGTGGAAATGATATAAATTTTGGCAAGTACCCAATTTTGAATATGGAGCGCAACACCATGCTCACATCGTATGATACGTTTAAGCCAACCCTAGCAACATACAATAAAATTACATTTAATAAATGCTAGTAGATAAAGTAAGCTTTTATGCTACTTGTAAGGGTTTCTAACTATATTTTTTTATTAAAAAATCTTAACACATTTCCGAAAAAAATGTATTAAGTATTTTGAAATTTAATATTCTCAAAGCTTTACAAATTTCGAGTTTAGATTGGTACATTATAATGTAACATAGTAACTAAATATATAATATAAATTAACTATTGCAGTATTTATGAACTAACATAGATAAGTTTGTCGAATAAATGGAACTTATGTGATTGTAAGGCGTCCATTACACGATGGGTTTGCTATCTGTTTAGAAGTCATTTTGTTGTATTAATTTTTTTTACAATTTCATTAGATCTCTTATTTCAACATAATTAAGTTGATTTTCGTTTGCGCCTTCATATTTAGAATAGAGTGAATTTTAATTTCGTGACTTTTTTTATGGATGATAATGGAATAGTAACCCCGCCTGCGCTAACGGTATACACTGGCGGGGCACCAGTGAGGGATGATTGGTTAGGATGAAAAGGCAGGTCAGTTAGCCCATCATAACGAATTCAACGGTAAATTAGTCACGATAGTTTCCACGGGGAACCGCGTGGAGGTCGACCTAATACATATGCTATCAACATAATATATTGATAGCGATGGGGACTAACTTGCCCATTACTAACAATCCCTTCTCCTAATTTCGTGACTTGTAACACGGACGACAAAAGTTATTTGTGTAATGGACGCCGTAGTGTACTGCTGTATCTTCCGTTAGTGTTTATGTTCACAATGAAGAAGGAGATTATCTGCAATTAGTCTATTTGTAAATAAAATTCGAATAAGAGATGTGTAATTTTGAAAAATGGAGGTCTATGAAGTTTGAACGTTTGAGGACTCGCCTTCGTCACTGTGAACGTTTGGTCTCCGATTGTTGGCTGATGATAAGATCGATCATTGGTTTTACGTTATTGGATTTGTGTTATTAGATTTATATTTTTAAATATTATTTTTCAGTGTTGAAATATTATTGCTTTTAATAATATTTCACAATTATTGTCACGTGCCAATTCAGTGCGTTATTCGTGCGATTTAAAATTATTGCAAGTGCATCCGACTCTCGTTATCTGGACTTGCAATTTATCGTTTTTTATTCTGATTATGAAAAGATTCAACAAAATGTTGTAACGAACGATATAGCGGCGACTGTGATAAATGTTTCTGGTTATCTCATTCCGGATTGCAGTCGTAAGCAAACTTATTTCTTTGTTGTATATATCGTCATAGTCGTAGAATACTGACGGATCTATATATGTAATCTTTGTCAGATCCGTCAGTATTCTACGACTATGACGATATGACATTTAATTTAAACCATAACGGATACAATTGATCTCTATTTCAAACGATTAAGCAAAAGTAAATAATAATAAATGTGCAGTAGTAATCCTAACCTGGGATTATTGTTTATATATTGTATCTTATAATTGCATTGGTATACAGCATGTATTAGTTTGTATGTGGTACTTATGTAAAACGCGGGCGGTAAAAGAGACTTTAAGGGACATGGGTAACGAGAATACTCGCACCTACCCACTTGTTCAAAATAGTTCTACCCGTACGTGTATTACCTCTACAGAAGCGCTGCGTGCAAAGTTGACGAGCTATAGTTTCCAGTGGCACTGAATTGGTTTTTGAATGTAAAAGATTTCGAAATCTATAGAGGTATCACAATGTCACGTGATTTTTTTTTAAATTGTGTTGTCTATGTATTGTGTGTATAAAGGCCTATAAAATATTCTGTATTTGAGTTGATCGTCTTGTAAATTCAGCACATCGGAGCCAGCTTGCTGTCGACCCGTAGTTTACGTTTAGATTAAGGTGCAAATGTTCCTATGAGTGTCAGAATATGGTACGTATATGTATTGAACATTATAGTATATGCCGCGTGTTGTATAGTCGACCATTTCAATTTCGATTTAGCCTTGTTAAGTGTCAGTATGTCGGAGATTTTTCTATTAACATACAATTATCATAATGAATTATACAATTTTAAACTAGAATGCCTTTTATTTACGAGAGAGAAGGTGACTATGATAATATGTCTGAAATAGTTATAAAAATTACCTGAACTACCCCTGATAAACATACAACAGATTTGTCGTAGCGTAATCTCATCATTTCAAGCTCATACTTTAACAATGCATCAGTATCTAGTAGGTACTTGATCAATTAAAAATTTCATTGTAAATTTTTAAAAAGAGCTTTGTTCATCAGAATATTCAATTATTTTATATTCAAGTATAAAGTACATTAGAATGTAAGTTTATATGCCGGCTAATATAATATTGATATAATGAAACTACAATTGACGAGCAATAAATGCGCCTGATAGGTAATGGTCATATTTTTTGTCGGCAGTCTCCATCAATCGTAATTTTGCCACTTGCTATTGGTTTCTTCCCGCTAGTAATTTTCTCGTTTGGTGTGGAAATATTATTTGCCGTCCTTTGTAACCACTACCCTCAATTTTATCACTATTTTTATTTGCCGTTTTTGGGTATATCAGGGCCTGCATTTCGATGTAACACTCAAGTGCGAGCGACGGCAATGATGAAATACTTATAAAAAAACTTTTAGTTTACGAAGAGTTACAGGCTGTATCATGTATGTTGCTTGTCATTTAGACGATATGCCGAATTGCTTTATTATTGATAATTTACGTTTTTTTTTACTACAGATTAATTGAAAATTTGTAATCATTACCGACTGTAATAAAGTAAGCGACTGTAATACATTTATAGTCTACTACCTGTATCCTACGGTTTTACTCGCGCAAATTAATATTTAGTGTCCTATATATTAGGTCAGGATTACAACCTATCCGTGTAATAAATTTCATTCTAATCCATTCAGTAGTTTTTACGTCAGAGTAACAAACATTCGTCCATTCTCACAAATCTGTCATTTATAATAGTAAGCTAGTAGATAAGTTATACGGTATTTTCATACTTATGGTGAACTTTCATTGCGCGCGCTAGTAACCGGTATCAGTGTTAACCGTGTGTGACAGTCCACAGGCTGCTATAATCATTATAACGGACTGATTATTTCTCTGCGCAGTCGCAGCATGATCATTGTATAAGAAAGTTCTTTGGTCGCAGACGTGTCGTATCGTAAACTGCGGTTGCTTGAAATTCGACACGAGGTTAGTAAAAATTATATCCTTTGTGTGGTTTTAGTGGTCGTTTATTTTAATTCGAATTTAAATTGACAATGCAATAATCAATTTAAAAATGTGTATGTAACTAGTACATATTATGCGAAAATGAAAGGAAGGTCGTTAGTGATTGATAAATTATAGTAGTGTATAGGTACTATTATTTGCACTTGAAAATCATATAGAGACGGTGCGATATTTTTAAATAATTTCAGTAACGAAGTTTTTGTGTTTGACTAACTTCTCGCCCTGGCTCAACACTGGTGCATCATCACCTTCCTACCCTTATCCCAATAATAATTGGGATATAATAATATAATATTATGGGGTCGGCGTTATATATTTTTTATCCATATTACAAAAAGATTTGGCTTATAATTTTACGACCGGCCGCCTGCCTGGATTAACACTGGTGTTTATTGAAGACAATTAAAGATGGTGCCTCACAAAGAAAAACCGACAACAATGGTGACAAAACCAATTATATTGATATAAAAACTAAACTATTCAACTAAACTATCGATTATGGTAAAATTTCTATAAGACCAATCTGAAAGTATACCTTTTCAGATAAAAAAATAATTTTTAATATTGGTTTAAAACAGACGGTGGTACGAGGTAACAAACATAAAAAAAAAATACTATCGAATTGAGAATTTCCTTTTGTAGAGTCGTTTGAAAATGAGACCAAACCTTTTCTCTCTGTCACTTTTTTGTATGAAGATTTTTAATAATTTTTTTTTACTTTTCTCTGATTTTTCAAACATTTTTTGACATACACAACAAAAATAAAATTAGTCAAACAAGTGTAGCCTTTTTTTAATAGTAATAATTTAATTTTTAATAGGTAGATATAGATATGCTGGACTAAGCCCATTAGGAAGAATTCAAGAATTAACTACGATGGTTTCCAGAGGGAACCGCCTGGAGTATGGCTTGGTACATTGCTAACAATTGGGCACTTCGATCCCATTACTAACAATCCCTTTCCTCCCTAAGTGCAGCCCGTATGAAGTGATGCGCGTACATACATTTGGAAATTGTTGTTTTTTTGTGTCTTTTACACGATTCTATTTTTTGTTATGTGAATATTTAAAAAATAAACCAAAAGCTCTACTCTTACTTAGTAATATTAAAGACTAATAAAAAAATTATATTATTTCTTTCTATAAAGAATTATATATATTATCTCTTTATACTTTGTAAATTTGTCAACTAATAAATACCTTAAATTTCAACCTATATCTATAATGTTAATAATAGTCAACGAGTATCTAACGTCCGTGTGGTCCCGGCATAGAATGGGCTACCTCTTCCTTTCCCGTGGGTCGTAAGACGTGACTTGGGAAACTTAATGGTTGTTATTCAGCGGCATAGAGAACTTTTCACTTTATAAATGGTATCATGACATTTTAGCCAGAATTTATTATAATTAATAGGAAATAAGTAAGTATAAACATATAATACGTAATATAGCATACGATTTTTATGCAAAATTTCGTTAACACAATAGAGTTGTTTAGAATGTTGATAACATAATGTTAGTGTAATCTTCGTGATGTTAGTATGTATATTAATAAATTTGTTCATTAATATTACCATAATATTAATAGAAATAAGAAGTCACAGGGACATGGAACGCTGGCACGGTCGGACTGCGGTGGTGACGGGTGCGAGCGCCGGCATCGGTGCAGCAATATGTTTGGGCCTTGCTAACGCAGGACTCCGTGTCATTGGGCTTGCGAGGAGAGCGAATCTCGTTGATGTAAGTTTTTTCTTAGGTTATACACTATATAGATTAGCAATGTATAAAAGAAAAAAAAAACATAATAATAACACATGTTAGAGCGAGATAGTCAATTAGGATATCCATTTACACAGTGTAGGTTCGAAGCTGATTTGGCGGGAGTATGAACAAAATAAAATAATTTTTTATTATTTTTAAATTTAGAAGTGTAATTAATTTTAAGTGAATGTTGGCTCTTCCTGGAAATAAATTAGGGAAAGAGATACAAAATTTCACATTTTTTCAAGTAATTAGTATGCTATAAAAATTTATTTTGTTAATTGCAATTGAATTATCAGAAATATTTTGTACAAAGATTGATAGAAAAAAATATCTATTTCAATTTAAATACTGTTCTAAACATCTTTTTTTTTATACAACTTAGAATGGCAAACAAGCTGACGGCCCACCTGATGGAAAGTGGTAACCGTCGCCTAGAGACGAGCAGTACCATGGACATAACAGAGTATACTGTTTCGCCCATGATACCCCCCATGCGTTGCCATTCTTGAGGACTCAGATGTTATTCCTCTGTACCCTGTAAATTCACGCCATATCCCACCCTTCAAACCGAAACACAGCTATGCAAACACAACTGCTTCACGGTTGAAACACGAATGGGACAGAGGTACCCAAGCAATCGACTTTTGTACAAAGTCTCCCTCTGGTAAATTATAAATTGAAATAAAAATTATAACAAATAAGTGCGTGTATTATTAATAAAAGAGGATTTAATTGTTTATTTGTTTGTAATATATAATATAAACTTAAAAACTACTCGACAGACATTAAAAATTCTTCCACCAATAGAAAGCTATATTATTAGTGAATAACAGGCTATATATTACTATATTTTCCAAAATTCTATGTAACCGTGCCAAGTGGAGCCGGATCGCTTTTTTCATATAAATCCAGACCTGTAAATGTGTGCAAAATTAACATTAACAAAATATGTACAATAGTGTATTATATACTATTTTTTATCTCGATTTTATGATTTTATTACCAATCTATCGATACGTGTACGTTATACTATGTCTATGGTTTTTTTATTTTACTTTTTTTTTTATTTTTTGCTCTTAATAGAGTCTAGCAGACCAATAGTTAGTAATATAGGCTATATTTATGATATCAATCATTATCTGACCACTGTTGAATACACACCTACCCCATAAACTGCCATAAGGAACGGCCCTAACCACCTGCATCCATTGACTCCCTGCAATACATTTGAGGTCGTCGTTCGATCTAGAGGAGGACTGTCTTACATTCTGTTTACTCGTACCGGGTCGCCACTAAGAACCTTTCTTTCCCCTCAGTTGTCAGTTTTTCAAGTTATGTAACCAGTCTAAGCCACTTCAGCTTGCTTATCGTTCGGGTTATATCGGACGCTTTGGTTCTTTTCCGGATATTTTCATTTCTGTCTCGCTAAGAAACTCCAAGCATAGCCTTCTCCATAGCTCGCTATGTAACTTGAAGCTTTTCTATACGGACAATCGTGTAGGACCATGTTTCGGTTGCCTAGTTCATCACTGGTAATACGCATAGATTAAAGTCCTGCGTCTTATTTGAAGTATCTTCTTTTGGATGAGAAGATGTGGTGTAGTTTTCCGAACTCTGCCCAGCCGAATTGGTTTCAATAGTTGACCTCTTGGTCGAAGTTGGACTTATTGAGCCTAACAAGTTGTCCCAGGTATATATACTTGTCGACATTTTCGAGCGGAGTGTTCTTAATCATAACCGGTATAGGTGAGACATAAGCTTTAGATATGATTTTAATCTTGTCCATGTTCATCTTAAGACCTACTTGTAAAGAAGCATTATTGAGGTCATTGAGCATAGAATTCAAGTCCTCCAGAGATTCCGCCATGATTACTATATCATCGACAAATCAAAGCTGAGTGATATATTCGCCATTAATGTTTATACTATTTCCTTTTCTAGCCCAGGAGTTTGAAAACATCTTTCAAAGCAACTCTGAAGAGCTTGATGACGTCACCCTGTTCTACACTTTTCTATACTAGAATGGGTTTCGCATTTTCTTTCTGTAATCGTATAGATAACGTAGCCTTACTGTAATATATGGTATATTAGTCAGAACTGTCTCCCTAGAGCCATCGTAGTTAATTCCTGACGAATTCGTCACGATAGCCCAACTGACTTGCTTCCGTCTCACCTGTCACCTCTCCTTGGTGCCTCACTACCATATACTTTGTATTATAGGTATTTATAATAGCAAACGAATCGCTAATTGATCAATGAAAGACAATTGTTATTTCAATTAACGATGTCATTAGGCCATAAACAAGATTCAATTGACCATTTGCGGTTTCCTTTAACTGGGACAATGCAAATTGTAACTCAGTAACTGCTCGCTTATTATTCGATTACGAATAGCTACAACCACAAACTTTTTGCAGTCAATATTATACAATATGCTGAGAAATAAATATTAATGTTATTCTCATACTAAAAATAAAATGTTTTAAATGCCAGTTAGTGACTTATTTTGATCTAAGAATAATGACCTTATTTTGTTTTATTATAATGTATGTAGGTATCAAATTAACGTTTCAACCTCCCTTATTAACTCGGTAATTAGATGCAGTGTTAGAATGTTTATCGTTTTCCATCCGTGTTTTTTTTTTGGAAAAAATATCGAGTTTCTCTTGTAGAGTATTTTTAGAAATAGGTACAACGGATAAATTCCAGATTTATCTAAATTGACAATCTCGATATTAAGACTGGAATCCTCGAGATCAACAAATAAATCCTATGTCCTATGCTTCCAATCGACGAATTTTGTCTTGCAGGAATTTCATTCCATCGTCATAGAGCTATTTGACAGTAAAAACAAGTCTCCGATTTAGTAGTTTTACATCATTTTGATTATGTGTCATTAATAATATGACCAGCAGAACTTGGAACAAGAATTCATCCTAACTTTTTTTTAAGTTTGTTGTGCTTTTTACAAATATATAATAGACAGTCTATTTAACATGAACCCTTATATTTAAAACAGTATCTATTACCAGTTCAACAGAGCTGTAAGATAAAATGATTGATTCTAATTTATATTTACAAATTAGGAATTAGCATCAAAGTTGAAGCCGGTAAAGGTAGCATTCACTCAAGGCAATGTGACATCTCAAAGTTGGAGGAAGTGATAGCAGCTTTCAACTGGGTGGAGGAAACTTTTGGAGGCACCGACATCCTTGTTAATAATGCTGGGGTCATGTATCCTGGCCACATAACTGGTGAGCTCTCACTGATTTCTTTTTAGGTTGCTAATTCAATTTCACAGTTCAGATAGTGAAAATGAATATTTTTTATGTATTTTAGTTAAGAAAGTCGAAGAGACAAGGCGGAAAATCAAAAAAGATTTTGTAACTTTATCTATTTATTTGTTTTGAAATACTATATATATATTTTTACACGTCATCTAGAAGTATGCATTCTCCCATGTATTATAGCAAATACAAAAATAATAATGTTTCAGAGGTGGGCGATAAACCATTAAGTGATGAACAATTACTAGCAATTATTAATACCAACGTGACAGGTCTTGTGATGTGCACGCGGAGAGCTATCGCGTCCATGGTGAAACGACAGTTTGATGGGCATATTGTTAACATCAATAGGTAAATACTATATCTAGTAAATAGTTACTACACAGTTATATTAATTGTCTATTAGGATCATATGTATCATGAGAAGTTAGGTTTGGAAAAATCATATCTAAAATTGACTCGATCAAGAATCAAATCAGGGTACTTATTAACCTAAAAAATAGCTACCACTGTGCCTTCAAAATTGTATTATGTTGATCCTATATTTATCAGCAATAACACCTCAATCAGACAACTCCTGGCTGCGGTCCAAAAATAAATCGTTTAAAAACTTTGAGTTTTTTAAACACAATGTTACATGCTATGCACTTAATGTTCTTTGTTCGGTGGCTTTATTATCTGTTTTAGAGATAAGTGCACCTTGGTTTACATTGTTTCTAATTGTTATTATTACCTACTATATGTTTTAGTGCAATAAAGAATATATATATATATATATATATATATATATATATTATAGACCTGTTATACAAAAAATGGCCTAAAATTTTTGAGACCAGATAACTATTACTATATTAGACTTTCATAGGAATAATACGATGTTATCACCCATTTTGTCATTGGCTTTACCCAAGAATAAACACCTGGACGATTTAGTACGAAAGAGTAAAAAATATTTTTTTTGTAGTCTGCTTAATACTACCTATTTAAGAAACTATAATTTATCATACTGGTAGATACTTTACAGTGTTTCATTTTATAGGTATTGCACTAAGAAGTTTTTATAATATTGTCCTTGAAAAATACAAGTACGCTGTTTGTGATCCGAATAAAATGTAACACAATAACAGTGAAGTCGATTACAATATGGAATTGTATATGACTTGACGAGCGATACACCAAATACAAAAAATATATAATAAAAAACTGTTTCAGTATTGCCGGACACTACATTCCATTTTCGCATATGTTTAACATTTACCCGAGCAGCAAGTACGCAGTGACGGCCTTCACGAATTCCCTTCTCAATGAGTTGGCCAACTTTAAAAATAAGATTAAAGTGACGGTGAGTTTTTTTGTACATTCTTGTTGCTAAACTAGCTATAGTTTAACTAGTTCTCAGGAATGGCAACTCATAAAGGGTTTCATGGGCGAACAGTATGTATGACATAACTCTGTTACGTCCACGATACTGTTCTTATATAGTTTCCTCTTGTCAGTGCAACTAATTCATTAAATTATGGAAGTTTATTAAACTATCTTTATATATAAAATAAATAGGCTGTATAATGTGATATTATGTGTAAATATTATGTACTATGTCTATATATTATGTAGATGGCTTTGCCCAGAACTCGTAAAATAATGTTAAAATCTAATAATGGTTTTAAAATATTACAATAATGTAGATCGACTGATCGAAACAAACAGACATAATTGGTATTGTAGGGCATCTGTCCAGGGCTGGTGAACACCGATATGGTTTCAAAAGCAGCAACAATTTACCCAACACTGCAGCCCAGTGATGTCGCAGATGCTGTTCTATATGCTATTTCCACGCCACCCAGTGTTAATGTAAGTTCACGTCTTGTCCTAATAATCCTACTAATATTATAAATGTAAAATTTCACACTTAAAGATGTTTGTTATCGATCAGGTTTAAATTGGGGGGAAAGGGATTGTTAGTAATGGAGACTGAGAATCCCATTAGCACCCAACCCAACCATTATATACCCAACCAGGTCGACCTCCTCGCGTTTCTCCCTGGAAACTATCATGGTTAATTCCTGATGAATTCATCATGATGGGCTAACTGGCCTGTTTTCATTCTCATCTATCACCCTTCACTGGTGCTCCGCCAGCGTATCCTGTTAGCGCAGGCGGGGTTACCATACCATTTTCATCGTTAAAAAAAAATCTGGTTTAAATGTCTCAATGGATTGGAATGAAATTAAATACACGGGTAGATTGTATGTCCTAACTTAACACGTAGGGGAAAGAGGAAAGTGATTATTAGTTTGTAGGTAGTTTGCATTAACTACTTAGTACTGTACTTATTTAGTTATTACTAAATTAATTTAATTGCTAGCAAAACACAGTTCTGTACTTTATCACAGTGTAGAAGGGTAAGGGATTTTTTTATGATAGTTAAGGAACTTCGTATAAGGGAACTAGCGGCCCCATTACTAATAATCTGTCACATCGCCCTCCACACGGTTTCTCTGAAAACCATTGTAATTAAATCCTGGTGAATCTGGTGATACCTGGTGAAGGTCTTCTTCATCTCTCATATCATCATCATATCAGCTGTTAATTGTCCTTTGCTGAACAAATGTAACTCTCGTATATTTATAGTTGTTTTAGTTTTTACTAGTTAACTGGCGCAAGCTGTTACAATTTAATTCTCATTTATTAAAAAACATATTATAATAATCTATTTAATAATTAAAAATGCATTAATTATAATAACATTAAAAATACATATATTTAATTACTTGCAAATAAATTTATGACTATACAAATACAAGTTCAAACAATTTTTTTTTTCCACAGATTAATGAAATATCGATTTCGCCGACTACGGAGACGAGACTTTAATTACGTGTGTCATTAATTATTTGGTTCAAAAATGTTTTCCTTTATTACTAATATAACGATTTAATGATAAAATAATAAAAATATTTTTTATTCAGTTTTTTCGTGTTTACATTCTTGACAAATTTTTTTCGTATCTACCTAGCTTTGATGAAATAGCAAACGGGACAGTACGAGTAGATTAAATATATTAAAAATTGTCCCACAAAAAACCTACTTCAATTGTAACAAGTTATTTTGATGTAATAACTAAATCATTGGACCGATTTTGATAAAATTTCTAAGAGATCAATATGTAAGTCTTATTCTTTCAGATAAAAAAAAAAAGAATTTTTCAAATCAGTTCAGAACTGACAGAGCTGTGAGGTAACAGATTACAATAGAATAAAAAACCTCCTTTTTAAAGTCGGTTGAAAATGACGTGTAACTGGTAATAAGTAAATAACTTTTTATTTAAAGTAAACAAAATTCATCATTTAATTATATGATTAGGTTATAGGTTTAGGTACATAGGTAGTATTCAATTTTAGATCGATGCTATCTATATGTATATATAAGAAGCAATTTTATTAATACCAGATGACATGACAGTTTGAGACATTTGACTATATTGTATAGCCCCAAGCGCTAACTATTACAATATTTAACATTTGGGGCTATGTGTAGCTGTGTTTGCCATTTTGAAACAAGTCTACATATTAAAATGTTGATTAATTTGAATATTTATATAAATATTTAGATTTAAATTATAATATAGTAGCAACAATTGATAGAAATAATATTAAGGATAGTTAATGTTGATCGAAATAAAACGGAACAAATATTAGAGTATTAATTTTAATACATAGGTATAACAACAATAAAATATGTACGCAACTATGGCACAATAATTATATGGCGAATTAAATTAAAATAATTTATGTAGAATTAGCATTCGATGACGCAGCAGATGCTGATCCCAGTATACTCGCACCGAACTGAAGAAACGCTCGGAGAATTGACATTTTCAAAGTCCAAATTGGTGATGATGATGATGATGATGATAAAGATTTATCTGATGACTGGCTCTGTGAATTTATAGAAGTTGATATTAATAACGAAAAAAATTATTAATCTAGTATCTAGTAGAAGAATTAGTGAGAAACAGTGAAAAATTTAATGAGATAGGAAGAGAAATAGGTAGAAATGAAAGAAAGAAGATAGGAGAAAAATATTTACGTTATTATAAACAAACATACCTATAGTGAATAATAGAATGTCTGAAAAATAACAAAGTAATAAGAAAATTGTCATTAATGATATTAGGCATATAATTTTAATTCTTATAAAATTAAAATGCTTAGGTATAACATTTATGCCTAGAATTCTGTTTATAGTAATATATCTATTCGAAATGGCAATAATATAAGTCAGTGGCAAATAATCTTACTTGCTACATTCCAAACAGTTTTTTTTTTTATTATGATTAAAATATTTTACAGTCTATCTGTACAAGTTTGAACACAATTTCCGTTTTCCATTGGACCGAATAGTTCGATTTCCATTTCACTAGGGATTTAAGAACTGCCTCCTGAACTGGTTTTCGACATGTCTCCAAGTAGGGACATAATAAGACTTAAGAAGAATCCTGCCGAGTCGGCCATTGGCATCTTGTTAGGGTCCTCTTCAGAACTGGCTTCAGGATTACCGGCCTTCAAATGATAAACAATAAAAATAAAGGTAAATCTCAAATAGATATTTAGTGCAGTAAACAAACAATTTTTGATAGCAATAGCATTATTGATTTTTAAGACTTCTTTACGCCCAAAAGTTTAGCGTATGATTAAAATATATTATCAGTTAATACATACCGCACTTGTTCCTTTAATCAGTTTGGATACAAAATTTCCGAAGAACGCACCATTATTTTGCTGTAAAAGAAGAATATAATTACAGAATCGTTGGAAAGATTGAAATAGTTTGAGTATATCTTGTTAATAGTTGTAATCTTACTGCTCCACCGCCCGTGATAGTGTCCAATGACGTAAGTAGATAACTGGCGATCACAGCTCCTGGATTCTCTTCCCCTTCAGACTGAAGATAGGAGTAAGCTTAGTAATGCATAATTTAAATTCTCAATAAAAATAATTATAATTTAAGAATTTTATACATACCAATAAACCAACAAACAATCCTATTCCTGATGCAATTAAGCTGTTTAAATCTATGCCATCGCCCTGAAATGAAAAGAATATAAAATAAATAAATTATACCTAATTTTATGAATTCAACATGTAGTAATAATGAACTTACACTGAGATTTGCCACTATACCGCTTACTGCAGCAAGCAAAGATCCCAAATCAGATTGACCGTCTTCCTAAAATGTTAGGTTATATTTTCTGTTAAGTTACAATTAATATAATTTTTTTAAAGTTATTTCTATTTATCATTAATTTATTTATACTTACACCTCCACTTAATCCAGCCAATAAACCTAAAATGCCACCTCCTTGCCCATCACCACCAGGCGGCTCATCAGAATCATAATCAGAATCATTCTCGGAACCATTCTCTTTAGAGTCAGAATCATGTTTCGATTTAGAAACGTTGTCGTCCCCTTTCTCTTCTTTACTAAATACTTCTGCTTCATCGTTTACTTCTGAATCGTTGTCATCGTCATCATCTTCATCACTATCAGACGATTCATCCTCATTTTCTTCATCCTTTTCATGCCTTTGGAAACTTGGAGATGGTGGAGGTGGTTTCAAATCCACTTCATAGTCTATTTCTATTTCATTATCGCCAATATCTTGCCGTCGCAGGATATATCTTGGGTTATTATAAATGAATAACTCGCGTAGCATATTTTGGAATATTGGCTGAAAATAGTCTCTAGTTAAACTATATAAATAAAGTAAATAAATATAGTTAATAAGTATTAATCTATCTGCTTTGTATTTATGCTTAGTTCTTTTTTAAAGCTTTTATTTTTATCTTGTACACAATTTTTCTACACCACACGATTACCTTGAAGATCTTTTCCAGAGATAAGCCAAACCTTGTTAGACCAAGAGTTGTTAAACCAATCGTATATTTTTTGCAAGTGCAATAAAGATAAATACATATATACATGTAATATACATATATATAAACAGATTAATATTAGGTATATAAAAATATTATGATGCTTACCTTGTTTTGTTTAGGTAGTAAATTTAGTCTCATCTTGTTTTGTTCTTGTTTGATGTAGTAGAATATAGTGTAAAAGTGTCGCAATCAAACTCGTGAAAAGTGCAACAAACACAATTTTAAAGTGAAATATTTTTAACGTATAAAACATTACAAACTGATAATGAATCATATTATAACCATAGGTTCACACATAAAACACTTTTTTTTTCATATACTGTTAAAAGATATAAAAAAAAAACACACACACACACTTTTTACCACTATCGCATGTGATACCGCACGTGGAAAAATAGATAAATTCCAATTTTTTAAGAGACTTCAAAAAGCGAATAAATACTAATTCCTTTTTTTATGTAGGTACATATAAGATTATCTTATATGCATTAATATTTTTTTTTGTAATCTAAATAGTTTACTCACTTTTTGGTGCTTTTACTATGTGAATAGTGAGGTTTGAAATTTTTTTGCCACGAAATCAAATCAAGTTATTGTGGTCATTTTATACTTGTTAGTAATTGACACTACCTCCACGTGGTCCCACTGGAAACCATTGTGCAAAATTCCAGATGTATTCATTACAGTGGGCTGACTGTCCTGTCTTTACTTTCTCACCTCGCATCCCTTACCCCATCCGTGGCCAGCCAGCGTATACGGTTAGCGTAAAAAAATAAAACTTACACACGCTGTAGCAATAACGTATCTATCGACATATTTATTATCTCATTTGTCTAGAAGTGCAGAAAGACAACTTCTGCATCGTCTACCCTTTTAACATAATGAGACTTAGTTAAAAAGTATCTGTCTAGTATTTTAACACCCTTATTTCACTGTTCAAACAGAACACAACTTTATAAGCATAGTATAGAGGCGGTGCCAGAAATAAATGTGATAGAGGTACCCATACGGATTACTTTACTCACAGTCTATCTCTGGTAAGGTAATTTTGGGACATGGATGCCTCTGAGTGTAAAAATTTGCACTCACGTTATCTCCACTGCTTAAACCAGGTAGCAATGCGTTGGCGAGTCTTAACAAACTGAAGATGTTACTGCCTCCCACAGTAGCCGCTGGTTGCATTGGCTCGAAACTGTCGTCCTCGTCATCGTCATTGTCATCGTTGTCGTCATCAGGTTCCAAGTCCCTGCTTGGGTTGTATGACTTTTGTTCAGATTCAGGATCGAATTCTTTGTAATTTGCACCCTGAAAATTAAGTATTTATTGTAAATAAAAGTAGTAAATCTTGATATGTATCATTAAAAATTGTTATTCATATACCTACAAAATACATAAAATAATAAAAAAAAAACTACATAATATTTGTTATATATATATATGACATTTAAGAGAAAAAAAAAATATCAGAGGGGTTTTAACAATTGTAATAGTAATTAAAACAATATTTTCTATTAACTAAACATCTGGTGTCTATTTTATCTTGATACACCATCTAGAAGTGATGACGTACTTCCAAAATCACGCACGAGAAGTTGTAGGCACATGATAGTGATAATTATAATATAATTAATATTATAATTATCACTAATATTAATAATTAATAAATTAAGGGTCAGTAGGCTTAAAGTAAATACGTATTAAACAAACAACGATTCTATTTATTTAGAATTTGATTCTATTTTTTTTTATTTCTAAAAGTGGGTAGATTATACTATTTTTTTAATTTTTAAACGGACGTATATATTGGGAATATAAAAATGCTATTCCTGATCATTTACTTAGAATGTGATAATTGTCGCCGGTAGAAATGAACAGTGCATCACAAAAATAACGCTCACCGTAACTGCATTGTCATTCTTAGGGTATTATGCAACTATATCCTGTTATTTTATTGTTATACAGACCATTCAAGCTCAAATACAGCTATAAAATCCCAATAGCTTGGGATCCCAATACCGAAACACAAGCGGGGCATTGTACCCACACATATAATTTTAGTAAAAAATTCATTTGTTTCGTTGTACCCCAAATAATACAATGTTCCTATATTAATTTCTTATAGTTTTTATTTAAAAAAAAACTACAAATTGGCGGGACACTGATGAAGAATAATGGATGAGAATGAAGCAGGTCAGTTGGCCTTTCACGACTATTCATCAAGGATTAATTATTATGGTTTTCAGGGGGACTACGTGGTGGTCAAACTTACAGGGTATATTGCTAACGATGGGCCGCTAGTCCCCCTTACCGACATCCTCTTTTTTTTATTTTAGGTACTTACAGAATTATCTGATGACGTCAATGTGTCCCTGGGGGTCCGTCTATTGTCAACAGAGGCGCGTTTCCAGCGGTGGATATCATTTGGTGCGCTAAAAGCGTTCGCTATTAGCGATAGCACTAGGAACAGACACAGTGACCGACTTCGCACCATCTTCGTTACTACTGAAATGGCTAGACGGAATTTTACTTTATAATAAATAGTTATATTAACGTACGCTAATTAACACTAAATACGTAGCGGTTGTGTTAAAGAATTCAATAATGTCGTTAACAATTATATATTTATACGCGTAATACTTAATGTATCTAAAATAACAAGGTAATTAATTTGCATAATCGAGAATTTGATTATGGGTCATAAAATATTATTACGTGTTAACAACGCGGTGTCGTACGACTGATCTGAAAGTCACGATTTATGCAATTTATGAACATTGAAGTAACAAGTACCTACATTTCGTTCCACAAAAATGCTCCTTTAAACATCCAACGGTCCACGACTAGATGTTCCATAGACAAAATATTTCGTTGATACCCTATATTGTAAATATTCGAATTTAGAAATAAATAAATAAATAATCAGTATATAGTTATATATATAAGTATTAGATATTTAGATATTATTACAAATCTCTTAAACGGTGGTTTAATTTAATTCATGATAGCACAAATACGATAAGACTTTATTTTTGCAATGAGTACCTATTTACAATGGTTAAAAAAAATATATTATAATACACTTCTTTATTTTGTTTAAAAAATACAAAGTAAAAAAAATGTCAGTAAAAATATAAGATTGTAAACTATATTATCTATATAGTTTACAATCTTTATTTTTACTATGATAATGTAAAAGAGAAGAAATATAATAACACAGATGTTAGAGTGAAATAGAAATGCAGGACGTTAATTTACACAATGTATGCTCGAAGCTGATTTAGTGGGAATATTAACAAAACAAATCTTATTATTTTTTCATTTTAAAGTGCAAATCGTTACAAGTGTTTGTAGTTGGTTAGAATTAAATATGCTGAACCCGAATATAATATATGTCTGGAAAATATACTACAAAATTGCAAATTTTTCTTAATACTATATATACATAAGTAACTAATTTATCTTTCTATCAATCAAACTGTACATAGCCAGGGCAGACCGCTAGTTAATATATGAAATATTACTGAATATACGTTGTTATGTAAGATGCAGTTCAAATGTTTTATTGTCATCTATTGAACTGTTATCCATAGTCATAAAAATTAAAACCTACTGCACTATTTTGTCACTTCCATTCCAACTACAAATTAAGCGTAAAAGAAAGAGACAAAATAAGTTTATGAGAGATTTGAGGTTTTTTTAAATAAGGGGGTGAGTTTTTATTTTTACTTCTGTTTCAGACGAAGAACTGTCTTCAATAAATCTCTGTATAATACGTATGATGGCGTCTTTCACTTTAATAGAGCGCGAACTCAACTCCTGCACTATTTTTATTATCTAATTGAAGTAAGAATAAATATTTCACAGCACTTATTAACGAGTCATAAAGTTTTCTTACCTTTTTGACTAGATGTTGTCGTATCAGTATTCGGCTGCAGTTTACCACAATGTACGGCGTGGAAATATCTTATAACGTAAGCGAGTTTCCGACCACAATATAGGGTGTTTACAATTCACAAAAATTCACAGCATTTATAATATAGAAAAAAATATTAATACTGGCAAGCTGATGAAAAGAAACAGAATATCTAATTATATATATATATATATATATATATATATATATATATATATATATATATATATATATATATATATATATATATATATATATATATATATATATATATATATATATATATATACTTTTAAACTTTCTGTGTTCCGTGTTCCGTTAGCATATTACAAAGACATGTGACATTCATAATATTTCCTACTTCGTCCATTGTTGTTGGACGATATACTAAAAACTTATTTTTATTCATATTTCATTTTGTTTTCATTATGTTTTAAATCTTTAATCTTTATTATTTTCTTTAGTAATAGTTTTTTTAGTGACCCTGAACAAATATATAATCGTGGTTATTCCCAAATAAGCACGAGTTGGAGAACAGTGAAAAAGTTACAAACTGTAGGTACTACGCAAAAGTAAAAAAATGACAGCTGGGTGTATTATTTTTATTAATATTATTATTAATGTTGCTCAAAATATTTTGTCGATGCACGTTTACTTTAATTTTCACTGGCAGAATACCGACCTACAGGACACCAATGATCTAGTGGCATTCACCCCTATTTTAGGCTATTTTACCAGAAACAAAACGGAATAACGACAGTGGTAATAAAAGAAGTCATCTCACGGGAATTTGGAAAGAATAAGTATTTGGTCTAGGATATATAGGATAGAACATATATATATGAGAATATACTTATATATATTTAAGAGAATCATTTGATGCAACTATAAATAAAGTTATAATATAATTAATTAACTAATTAATTATTATATTATCAATAAGATAATATCATAATTACCTACGTGAAGGGGGGAAGGGATCGTTAGTAATGCGGTCCCATTGCTTGCAATATACCCTGTCAGGTCGACCTCCACGCGGTTCCCCCTGGAAACCATCGTGCTGAGTTTAATATTGCAACAATTGAATATTTTTACAAAATGTTTCTTTTACCTCTTATAAATTTAAAAAAGCCAATGATAGTTGAACATTTAAAAAATAATGGGTATTTTGTCTATGATATAAAGAAAATTGGATTGGTCATTTAATGTATATTCAGACAGCCTGTATACAGAGGCGTGGACTAGCGCCGAAGGCCCCGAAGCCTCGTAGAACATCACCATTAGCACGGCAAACTAGCGGCGTGTTGCGCCACCCGAATTGCCAAAGCGTCGCGTCCAGTCGCGAACTTCCACGCAAATCATCGTGTTGGCTGTTATGATATAGTATTAGCGAGCCACTTCCACTGTTCACTTCCTCTGTCAGAACGTCTTATAATTGAGACGTTTAAATAATTTAAAATTTTGCCCCGCTAAAAACGACTTTAGTCGTGAGAAAACTAGAACGATGAGAGAATAAATCTTATAGATTGGAAAAAAATACTGTTCAAAATCGGTTTAGAATTGGTAAAACATACACACAACAAAAATACGAATGATTTTTCCAAGTTGCAAAAAATATAGATTAAAAATGTTCAAATCTTGTTCTAATAATATTTGAATTGGGTCGATTCTAAGGCGCTACTTCTCCGAAACTTATATCTAAAATTAATATTTCAATTTGATATTACAGCGAAAATTTAATGTACGGATCTATATGAATAAATTTCCTAATAGATTTAACTCAAAATTATTATAATTCTAGTTTATGATTGTCCATAAAACAGTAATTTAGGGGAAAAAATATTAGGCTGAGATTGGTGAGAAATAGTTGAGGTTTAAAGAAATGGCGCTTCAGAATGGGCCCCATTGCGTCATATTTATTCATTTTAAATAAAAATCAATGTACATTAATAAATGTATTTATTACCTACGTTTTTCAAGTTCGATACATGAACATCGATTTATCAATTGACTACTTTAGTGTAATACAAAATGAAATAAAAAATAATACAGTTACGTAAACATATTTTGCTATACAATTACAATATTTACAAATTGTAAAGAGAATAAACTATGTTATAGGCACATATAAAATCGTAATATTACCATTAAGCGAAGTAATAATAGGCAGTGAGTAATAGTACAATGCAAACAAGCATAATTATTTTGTAATAATTAATAAAAAATTACAATAGTATTTAAGTATACATAGAATTAGCCAAACAGGCCAAACTATAAATTAACGAGCCATGAATAAATACATGTTTCTAATTGATCAACAATAAATTAATTCCTTCTTGAAATGGTTTTAGGTTTATAATCTAATTTTTAAATACAAAAATTCGCAAAACAATACAGCTTTAACAATTGGCCAGCATCTAAATTGCCAATAAAAATAAATGCAATTAAAAATCGTCATTCTACGTGAAATGATAGAATCAGGCCAGTTTTTTCGCAACAAATATTACCCTATCCCTACATGCCGCACGGATAATATTAATAAATAATTTATCCACTAGTTTATGTCCGCGACTTTGTCCGCGTAGTATTTGTCATTCCTGTTTAGTATGTATCGATGTATGTACCTACCTATTTATTATGTCTGGGAATACTGGACCAAAATTACAAATGACGTGTCAGTCTCTCTCTTTGCCTTAGGTCAAAATGACTACTTAAATAGGTTGTGTACTAAGTTGTATAAGTTACTATAGTTTTTAACTATCCTACGGGAACTCTTTAATTTTTTGTCATTAAAATCTAAAATGTTGACCGAGGATGTAAGGTACCACCATGCAAAACTTCATTCAAATCAGTCCAAAAGTTTCAGAGATTAGCCCGTACAAACAAACAAACAGAGAAACAAAAAATTTGAAAAAAGTCTGGATATGTTCTATTTCACTTTTAATATCCCCCTGACTTGGTGTTTAGCGTTTTTTTTTTCTAGTAGACATTCGGCTTCTACAGTTTTATTAAATGTATAGATGTTGCGTCTATCACTACTTTTTCTAATGGGGGGAGGGGGGAGTGATGCTTAGAAATGGGGACTAGTAATCTCATTACTAGCAATATATACTGTCGGGTCGACTTCCAGGCGTTTCCCCTTGAAAACCATCATAATTAATTCTTGTTAAATTATCTGCTTTGATCCTCACCTAACATCATTTACTGGTGTCCCGTCAGCGTATACCGATAGCACAGGCGGAGTTATCATTCCATTATAACCCATTAAAAAAGAATCTCATTCCCAAGATGTAGTAATAATGCTATTAGGCAGGCATTTATTTAAAAATATTAAGGTAAAATAGACCAATGTAGAAGAAAAAAGTACCCTTTAACAGGCAGCTACACTAGTTTTATAGTAGGCTACATAGTACTCCTCATATGGGGAAAGACTTATGTCCAGCAATAGAATATGTACGGGTTATTAAGGTAATACAAGGTGTCCAAGAACTCCGATAATGGAGAAGGAAGAAAAGTTCCTCAGTAGAGACCTCATAAAAACAAAAAGTTGACTTCACAGTAGACGATCTAAAAATGTTGAAGTAATTCATTGACTGTAGACGAATCAAGATAATTTTTGTCCCAGTACTTGGTGGAGGCCAACGAAGTTTTTGCTATTAAGGGGAATACACGAATTATAATAGTATTGGTTTTGTATAATCCGCCGATGTAAATGTACAAGTCCGCCAATATAACGCCCTTAGTGAAAAAAGCTTTTTAAATTCGGTGGGTTATTCAAACCCAAATATGATTTATATAAAGAAGGCTTATTAATTCCTTTGTTCAGATAACGAATGGTTCCTTCATGGCTAATCTGTTCCTACAGACGCGTCAGCTCTGGGTGGTCTCAGTTTCTCCAGCAGGGGTATCGCCACCCCCACCAGTTCCTCCCAAGCGGCGAGCCGCCTGCACGGGCCGCAGTCACATTCCTCCTCTTCGACCAGATCGCCCTCCTCGAAGCCGAGGTCTTCTCCTGAACAGATGGTCCTGCCGCCGTCTTCATCAGAATCCAGATTCACCTCTGGCTCTACGCTGTACGCTTTTATGAATGGTGGCTTCTGTGGCATTTCGTAGAAATTGTCCTCATAGTTGTTATTATCGACGTCGAACTTAACCTGGAATATTTAAATCCTTAGTAGTTGGAACCTTTTTTACCTTACCTTTTTTTGGTACCGCGTGTATGGTGTTAGACGCAATTTTTTTTATACAACTTAGAATGGCAAACAAGCTGACGGCCCACCTGATATAAAGTGGTAATCGTCGCCTATAGACATAATAGACTATACTGTTTCGCCCATGATACCCATCATGCACGGGCTTTTTAATGACCATGTAATTTTAGACATAGTACATTTAAATAAATACACATAATGTTGACATTTGATTTAAAAGAGTAACTGTTGAGTTTCTTGCGGGCTCTTCTCAACAGATAACAACTTTCCGAACCCTGCAGTAGATTTAAAAAAAATGACGATTTAAAAGTGCTTGTAAACAAGTCTATTAAAATAAGGATGATTTGAGTGTGAATTAAATATTATAAATGAGAAAGTGAGTGTATTTCTGACGGCTTATTTAATCTATGAAATTTGAATACACGTAGGTACTGTATGGGATCACCATCATCGTATTAACTGTTATTTGTCCATTTGCTGAATATAGGCCTTTCCTAGACTTTCATAAGAAACTGCCCTGAGCCACCTGCATCTACTATATGGGATGGAAAAGGATATCGATTAGGCTACTTTCTATCTCGGTTAGTGAACATATCTTGGTCACGCGAACATAGTCGCGGGTAAAAGCTAGTTATGTAATAAATATCAAGTGAATCTTACTCATTAGTAGGAGATATTGTAAGAAAGTCTTCTGCCTGGTTACCGTTGTCCCACTCGTGTTTTTAACGCTAAGCAGCAGTACTAAAATTGCTATGTTTTGGTTTAAAATACGGGACATAGCAGTGAAATTATAGAACACTTACATGGTGTTTAGAAAGCGCTGGATCGCTGGCGCGTCGTTCACCAATGTGTGACGCTTCACACGCCGCGAACACTGATTCGTCGTCTAAAAAATAAAAACAGAAAACACGTCGAAATGGTACACACTAGTAGATAGGTAATATCCTTTTATCTTCTATTTAAAATTATAAAAAACATGAAAAAGTAATGTAAATAGACCTTTGACGCAATCGAACAAGTTTTAAATCGAAATCATATTGAATAGACGTCGAATGGATGTCACGTCATTATACAATATTTGAGGTCTATTAGAGATGTTTTTTCCTTTTAATCCCAATTTCAAAAGTCAGTCAAATCATTGGGGATCAATTTAAAAATTTGGGACATTTTTATCCATTCAATGAGTTGAATTCTGCTCTATAACTATGTATTTTTGTGATAATAAATAAATACATAAATAAAAAACTACACGATATCTGTACATACAAGATATTTAAGAAACATTGATTTGAGGGGTTTTAATAAGAGCGATTGAAGCCAAAACAATAATTATTTTTTTAAATTTTGTCTGTCTATCTGTATTCCGACATTATACAAAAACTACTGCATCAAATTGTATGCGGTTTCTACAGTTGTGATTTTGAAGTTCAAATGTAAAAAACTGGTGTACATTTTATTCTTCTACTATTCAGAAATAGTCATTTTAAATTTACTAATTCTGAAATCCAAGTGTACGAAGTAGCGGGCTAAAAGCTAAAACATTGTTAACAGCAATTTAGCAAACAACTAAAAAATTAAGAGAACACATTATTAAAAAAATATTAATTTGACCCCGACGTGATTTGAACACGCAACCTCCTGATCTGGAGTCAGGCGCGCTACCATTGCGCCACGGAGTCACACGGAACTTTTTCCGAATTATATGATTAGTTATTATTCATACTTGATAATGGACAAAAAATTATCAATAGCTTATTATAGAAGATAATTCGTAGATATTAATGACACTATTAGCTTATTATTACATGGCTGCTCAAAAAGGAGTAAGTATGTCTTTAGGGTTCGTGTATATGAATGTATATATTATTCCACCTAAACATTTAAATGCCTGAACAGATTTGGATGTATGGGGTATTGTTAGAATCCTTACATTATCTCGAGTGATATTGGCTATAATTTATTTTAATTTTGGCGATGTAGTAGTTTTTTAACATGTGAAGGAAAACATACTTGTATTGCTTTGCGTGAATAAGACTATAAATTCGATTCTTAAGCGGATTTTTTTCTATTTCCTTCCTCCAAAATAGGGAAAAATTTCTTAAGTTTAAAACAGCGGAAAGCAATATTATTATATGAAAATTATATATCAAACTGTATTTGATTCCGAATTTTTACAAGGAAAGTAACCTGATTAATCTAAGTTTGTTATATAAATATTAATAATACGGCTGAATAAAGTTCGATGTGTACAAGTCTAAATGTAGAGATGAAAAATTTTGAGATTGTTACAGTTGTTGATATTCTATATTTTTTTTATTTTTGTGAAAAAAAAAATTGTAAGCGGATAGAAGAAAATAAGATCGGTAAATCACATTCGCGGGCCATATTGTCCCCGTGTTCGCTCAGAATAGTATGGTCACGTGTCGCTCTATTATAGAAAAAAAAAAAATACAATTAAGAACTGGTCTCTATGACTGAACTCAGTCTCAGTCGACTCAGTCAACTATGGTCCGAACTCAGGTCTATATGACCTGAATTTGGCTCATCAGCGAATCCAGAATCTCAATATTATAGCATACATATATTCATGTATATATTTATATCGCCAAATATGTTATTGCGCTACAAGTATCGTCTTATACGTCTATATGAAACACTAGAGATGTGGCTCGGCTTCGCACGGGTAGACAGAATTTTTGAAAATAATATATGTCACTCGCTGGTAATATAGCTCTGTTTTTTATAGAAAAATGATATAGTTTGTAAAGATGCTTCGATGTTTGTTATTCAATCACATTTAAAACGGCTGAACGGATTCTAATGAACTTTGATACACCGATAGGTTATATCCTAACTTAACACTACATGTGTTAAGTTAGGGTGTAACCTATTTATATAGTGATTAATTTATTTCAACGTACCGATAAATGCGGCGAGCGCGGCGGATGCATGTTGCGCATGTGCATGCGACAATGGCGCATGCGCGTGTGCGTTCCACAGCGCGCGCGCTAGCAGCGCCGCAGCCGGAGCGTCGCGCGCCGCCGCCGCCACGCACAGCGCGCGCGCCGCCACGCCCGCCGCCGGCGCGCATGCGCCGCCCGCGCCGCACACGTTCACCAACACGCCCGCCGCCGCGCAACGCACCTCTGCGTCCTCTGTATTATCATACCAATACAATATCATAACAATACATTCGTGTTTCAACCGTGAAGCAGTCGTTTGCATGGCTGTGTTTCGGTTTGAAGAGTGGGATATGGCGTGAATTTACTGGGTACAGAGGAATAACACCCGAATCCTCAGGAATGGCAACGCATGGGGGTATCATGGGCGAAATAGTATACTCTGTTATGACCATGGTACTGCTCATGTTTATAGGCGACGGTTACCACTTTCCATCAGGTGGGCCTTCAGCTTGTTTGCCATTTTAAATTGTATAAAAAAAAACAGTAAAGATGCGTTTTTAATTAACCATAATACTGCATAATTTTGACGTTATGATATAACGTTATAAGGAGAGTCTCCTTTAAGGGAATAGTTTGTTAGTAATTTCTTTTTTTGACCACGGCATCGCTTTTGTTAAGTCGTTATCTCCCGTTCCCGCAACGTTCGGTCTAGCTACTCTGGGCAACAATTATAATTAGAACCCTTTACAACTGTCAATCACCTTTGCTTTTGCTGAGGGGAAAGGCATTGTTAATGATGGGGTCTAGCTATCTTATCCTCGACCGATAACATTCGACCTCCACATTGTTCTCCCAGGAAACCATCGTGGTTAATTTTTATGGAATTTGTCACGATGGACTACCAAACCTTCTTTCAACCTTCCTTATCGTCCCTCACTGGTGGCCCACCAGCGTATTTTTTATACCACTTACTCTTCATGCGTTGCCATTTCTGAAGACTCGGGTGTTATACCTCTGTATCCTTAAATTTACTGCCATATCCCACCTTTCAAACCGAAACACAGCCATGCAAACACAACTGTTTCACGGCAGAAACACGAATAGGACAGAGATGCCCAAGCAAACGACTTTTGTACAAAGTCTCCCTCTGGTATATTGATAACGTAGGCGGGTTTGCTATTCCATTATCATCCATTAAAAGAAATCCTTTTTTTATCGCTCTGGATATTTTCCCAACTTGCATCTATATATAACCTTGGTGCCCGTGAGAATCTATTCTGAGGTACGTAGAGAATTTTTTAAAAGTTACCGTGTTGCAAGAATGGCCCGAGTCCCTGCAGGGCCCCCTCGAGCACGATGAGCTTGGCGGCCCTGGTGCTGCGCGACAGGTTGCCGAGCGCGCGCACCGCCTCGCACGCCGCCGGGCCGCTGCCGTCCAACCACCTGCATGTCACTGCACCCAACAATAATAATAATAATTATTAATATTTTTAGCTGTTAACTGTCCACTGCTAAACATAAGCCTTCCCCATAAGGGGAGTTTTGCCAGTAGTTGCCACGCTTGGTAGGCGGGTGGGCAATCGCAGTTAAGCTTTTAGTGATGTTTTAAGAGGGACGCTGCTGCCCATCCCTCGCCCTCTCTTAGTCGACTCTTACGACACCTATGGGAAATATAAATAATTATTTGTAAATGTAAATAAATGTTAATTTCTATTCTTCAATGATAGCTCGATGGTTAACTGTGATTAGAGAATCCCACGATCAAATCCCAGCTTAAGCCGCTAATCACAATCTTCGTAATAGTGTTTTTTGATCATTGAAAATCATTGTTATTAGTTTTGTGCTTCAAAGAGCATGTAAAACCGTCGATTGATAAGCAACGTCAGAAAGTGGCTTAGAAAAAAGACCCAAGAGGGCGATATCCTTATACGAGTAATAATAATTCTTTAATTTACCACCATGTACCTTTACATAGCTTATCAAGGATTTCATCCAATGGATCCAATGGCTCTGGTGGCTCCCGGTAGAAAGTGATATTATTGAGCGTAGCAAATGCTGCGGTCGCTAACTCTTCACGACGTTCTGACCAACTCGGCCGTTCCTCTCTGTCATGATCCAAATCAGGCAGCTAGAGGAATTGAGAGTGAGTGATTTAGTAACATGTTTAATGAATAAGAAAAAAATTGTAGAGTTCCATTAAGTCAGTATATGTGAGATTACTTTTTGAGAAGGACTAGAGATTTAATAATCAATTTAAAGATACCTAGAGACCTCTCAGTCAGCTTTGATCATCTTTAACCTATTCTTGATCATCGAAATATTTAAGTAACTTCTCCTAATATGGACTAATCACAATAAAAATATGAAAGAAAAAAGAAAGAAACATCTTTTTCTTTTTACTTATTTTAATTATATAATAATAGTACTATATAATGTATTTTAAAAAGGGAACAATATATTCTATTCAGAGAATATAACTTTTAGTTATTGAAAACTAAAACACAACTACTTATTATTTGTGACAAATCAGTCAAAATGTAACAAAAATTGATCTAAATCAACAAACAAATGTATTCTATGTATGCACTTACCACATCCGAAGTTGTTTTTTCGGCTAGTTCAAGACAAGCCAGTAACGCTTTAATGGTTCTCTCCGCGTAGGTCGCTGCCAGGCCTCGCCCTGCTTTCTCCGTCAAACATAAGTTTGCAACCACCCTTACAGTCTGCCAATGTTAATAAAAAAACTTACTTTTTTTTTTAATATAAATATTTCTTAAGGGCCCTTGCTCACAGCAATTATCATTAAAATGCAAAACAAATTAATCGATCGCGTATCATCATAGCCCGCGACTGAAAGTGGATCTGCAGTTGTAAGTATGTACTGCTCTGTATAAAAATCACGGAGCTTTTGCGAATGGCGAATAGATTTTTTTTTGTTTGCATGACGAACGGGTAGTATATTGTTTCGAGTGAAGATGCTACTTTATTTTTGGAGATCAAAATGATTTTTTGTTATAATTAGGCCTTTTTTGTATTTATAATACATATCTATTTTCTTACCTTGATGAGTACATCTTCATTTGAACCATCGGATCCTCCTAGATCGGTACCTACAAGTATAAAAATATTTTAATAATTATGACTTAAACGAAATTAAAATAATTAAACCAAATAAAGTGTATTCACTTTTAAATAAATTAAACGCTTATTTGAAAATAAAACACAGTAAATCAGGTTGTCTGTAAGAGATTGCTTTTAGTGATAAGGCCGCCTTTTGTATATGCACATTCTGTATAAATACTCCTTGTATACATCTCTACTGTGCGCAATAAAGAGTTTATTATTATTATTATTATAATCATGCACTTACCCACTAAATGGAGATCAGGATCGGTCACGGCGTCCCGTGTCTCGTGTTCGTTACGTTTGGTATAGGACTCTAGTATAGTGAGCAAGACATCCACTCCGCCCTCCTCGTTGTAAATCTATTTACAATTAAATATAACTGGAAATGACTCTGTTATTTAACACTCTGTTTATTATACCTATCTACTCTACATACATGGGGGGAGGGGTTGTTAGTAATGGAGAGGTTAGTCCCCATTGCTATCGATTGCTACTGTACTAACTATGGTGCCTTAGGAGGGAAAGGGATTGTTAGTAATGGAGACTGAGAATCCCATTGCTAGCAATATATCCAACCAGGTCGACCTCCTCGCGGTCCCCCCTGGAAACTATCATGGTTAATTTCTGATGAATTGGTCATGATGGGCTAACTGGCCTGTTTTCATTCTTATCGATCACCCTTCACTGATGCTCTGCCAGCGTATCCCGTTAGCGCAGGCGGGGATACCAATCCATTTTCACCCATCAAAAAAAAAAACTATGGTGCCTTTATATATTATATAGGCACTCAGGTGCATTTTCATGTTCAAAAAGTAACGCATTGAATTTGATTTGCTTTAACAGTTGTATTCCTGAAGGTGTAACTAAACTAAAAACTGGTGTATGTTTCACCTTGGTACGCCATCTAGTAGTGGTTTAGGAAAACCAATGAAGGTTTTTTATTTCTCATATTCACGCGCTCAAAGTAGCGGTCGAAAAGTAATCAATATTAGTGGTGGCTAATATAATGTATAGCAATATCTTTATATTTTAGTTATAATATCTATATACTGACCTAATAATGAATATTCGTTAATGTCTATTTTTCTATATATAATGGCAAAATGAATAACTTGATCGAAAATAATATAGATATCCGACCGGTACGGGCGATATCGAAATAGGCGATGACCTTTTTTCCGGCATTAATGTGTAAAAGAACCCAATATATAAATATTGGAACAATAGCAATATTACCCATGCCGAATCAATATAATATAAGAGACTGACATTGAGCCTGGCCTGGTGGTCGGCGGCGGCCATGTTGCCGAGCGTGTAGGCGAGGCGCACGGCGAGCGGCGCCCGCGCCGCGCAGGCCGCCAGCGCCGTGAGCAGCGCACGCGCACCCGCGTCCGCCGCGCACAGCCACGCGCAGCACGACTCTTCTGCCGACAGCACGCTATGAACACATTGTTTATATTATACATCTATCATATATACATATATATCAATAAACAAAATGTATTTTCATTTTGTTCCACAAAAAAAACTTTTTTATATTATTTATTATTTTGTGCACGTTTACTTATATTTATTGTACTGGACCTTTCTAGGTCTAATCTGTTTCTCTTTGAATAGTTTACAATAGAAATTTGTAAATAATAATCTTTATTCAAATATATAGAATATTGTCATTAACTATTGTTTACAAACTTTTTTAAATCATCAATTTATTTTATGATTATGATTACGTTCAAAATGTTGATATCTGTTGAGAACAATCCTCAAGAACCTGAACAGATACTCTTTTGAATTACACAATAATTTATGTACAAGATAATTTTACATCTGTGTGGGTACAAATTACGTCACTACACTAGCTATGTGATTAACAAAATATCCATACATTACACGATTTGAATTGACATTTACAGTTAGAATAATAAATACGAATATAATTTATACCTGAGACACCGTGCAACATTGGTGAGCACGTCACGATCAGTATGGTGTTGGAGCGCTGCAAGCAGCTCGCCGAGCGCACCGCTCGACACGAATGTTCGTACCTCCTCCTCTCCAGCGCCTGCCAGGTTACGGAGAGCCCCAGTGAGCTGGTACAACGCGTGAGTGGACTGCTCCGCTACTGCTCTAGGATTCTCTGCTTTCTATAAATTCAATGATAAAGTACAAATGTTGGATGAACAAATATAATATAGATAGATAGATAATTTATTTGCATTACTTAGATTTTACTTAGATCACTATTGAGCATGGATGTCTACACTTAGAACACTTAATCACTTAGCTTGCATGGTATAACTAGGTGGTTTAGTAGATGGTTTTGCACTAGTGTATTGCGATTTGTTCCTTATATCGTCTCCTAGACTTTAATTATGACAACAAATTATTTTGATTTAAAAATAAAACTGTTAATCGGATTTTGATAAAATTCTTATGAAACCAATCTGTAAGTATATCTTTTTAAATAAAAAAAAAATATTTACCAATTTGGATTATAACATACGGAGTCGTGATAAACATAAGAAGGTAATATCCATAAAAAAAAAAACAAAAAAAAATGCAACCGAACTAAGAATCTCCTTATTTTTAAAGTAGATTGAAAAGAAAATTACGCAAATAATGTGACGTTCCAATTGATAAACAGTGTTAATTTTCGCCTACAGACATGAACAGTACTATGAACACAATCACAGAATACATTGTAATGCTCAGTATTATGCCAATGACACTGTCTACCCCATATGATACACTGTCATATCACATTTGCTTTTCATTTTATTTTACAGAAACGGTAGGTCGCGCAAATGGTTTCTAAAAGGCAGGTAGAAAAAATACTCTTTTGATAATAACATACAGCGGCGTTGAGTATCTTGAGATGTAGCGCTGCGAGGTGCAAGGCGCCTGCGCGGTGTGCGAGCGTGCAGAGGCGCGGCTCGAGAGCCAGGAAGCGTAGGGCGCCAGCGCCGTACACGCAGCACTCGCCCTCAGACACCGGGTCCGCGCGTGCGCACCCCTCCACCACCAGCTCTGCGGGCACGAGTCGCATTCGTCACTCGCACGTGGAGCATACGTGGATCCCACGCGACCCACGCATCTTACATTATAATGAAATGCTAAATCGCCCTTGTATATTAATTGAGTATTTTTAAAAAAGAAAAGAATACATTGATTCGAATCGAAGTACGAAGGTACATATATTGATATCCGAGTACTTCATCTTACTCAAGTATTTTTTCAATTAATTTCTTCTAATACTCGTATCTTAAGATCGAGTATAAATCTTCGTTCATCAACACTACTTGAATTACGCTGCAATTGTATGATAAATTTTTATTAAGTACTACTTGTAATCATTAATACAACTTACCTAGTAGGTTTGTATTTCTGAAGAAGTGATCATTTTTGTCATTTCTGGCAATTTTAAATACTAATTTGCAAGCAGCCGCCAGGTGAGTTCCAGTGACACGCATCTGAAAATATTTACTGTAATCTTAATAAATTTAAGTTAAAAATATTTTTTTATATTAAAATAAGAATGAACACAGAAACCGAATACGAAAGGAGAAATTGTCTCAACAATTGGTCGACTTATGCTAGCTCACTAATATATTTGTAGAGCCCAACAAATGCGATAGAATAATTTGAAGAATAATGGAAATACATCTCGGGAAAGGTCATTCGTCAAACTTAGGGTTTAACTCACATAGGAGTACATTAAAGTAAAAATTTAAAAACTTAATATTTACCGTCAACATAGCTCTTGCAATAGCTACCAAGACTCTTTCATCGTCGCTGTCTATATGCGTGTACAGCGAGCGCAGGACCATATCACGTAGACTGTTAGCTGGAATATTCTTTTGTACGTTGTTCTGCAGTGCTTCCATCAGCTGCAGAATGTGGTCAACATCACGTGTGCGTTCCGATAGCGCTTCTGCTAGTTCAAGGACTGTTAGGCTGTAAACATTTATGCATATAAATGTCTATATATCATCCTTACGATCCTGATAGGAACAGTATGGAGTAAACAAAGGATCTAAAAGTCAAAAGGTTCTGTTTTTGTATTCAGACATTTCTTGTTCTTCTATTTTATTACAGATAAGACTCGAAATTATTACCATTCTTTTAAAGGAGTGTATGAAAGTGAAGTTTATCAAAAGAATTAATATGGCGCATCTAGCTTTGAAAATGTGGGTGGCTCAAATTTTTTCTCCGTTCTTCGACCTAATTTAATTTTAATTAATTTAGAATACATTTAGTTTTACTAACAGAATATTCTTTTGCAAGGGTACTAATGATTTAAATATTTTAGAGGACTTGATTTCTTTTTATTACGAAAGGATATTATCACACTGACAAGGTGGAATTTCAATATAATTAAAAAGTAAGATATACGAGTATGTAGTACAATAGCTGTTTATTGAAATTTCTACCTTTTATGCCTTTCTTAAGGTATAAAAAAAGAAATAATATTTAGATCTTTAGGTCATAATCATAAGATTTCAAGGCAATGGTACGATTGGATCTTAAGTACTGTATTATCGAATCACTCACCATCAGGGCTATTATAATTACATGTTAATTACCTACCTTCATAGAACAATTTACCTACCTATCGAAATCTCCAACCGATGTATTCGGCAGTTGCACAGCGAGTTGCTTGACTGGAATATCTCCAAGTGCATGGTTGGTGCCGAAGTCGTATGATTGCGATTTACTGCCGGCGAATTGTCTTCGTTTGCTTCCTGTATCAGGACTTAGGGCTGATAATAATACGAAAGCATAATTAATGTTATTAATCAAAATCTTCAGGTGATTATTTTATTTTATTTTATTTTTCGTATGTGTATATGGGAGCAAATACATCATTCTTACATTTGCTATTATAATCTTCATATCCGGCGAAAGGATTATCACCATCGGCGCTTCCTAATGGTCTTGTAACTGATATCGCTTGTGCTAACTCCTGATCTGTCTTGGGTTCTGCAATTTTGGTAAACTTAAAGAAATCTTCAATATAAACAATTATAAGATTGATAGTTAAGTTTGAATATATAGACCATGTAATAGCAAATATTAATAATGATAGGAAGTCTGATAGGAACAAAGAGATTGAAGAAGGAGCAGGTATAGTGGACCTATAACAATAAATGGTATAAAAAAATTAATATATCCACTTTCTTACTAATATTATAAATTGGGAATGAGCTTGTTTTCTGTTACCTCTTGGTGCTTTACAATGTTAACCATTATGAAATTTTGTATACATGTATTATTGGGACGGAGAAGGTCATAGGCTACTTTTTATCTCAGTCAGGTGGTCTACCATGAAATGAAATTCCGAATTTTCGGGCTCAATTTCGTGTTTTTGTTCGTACCGAAATCGAGCCAGTGAATGGAGCTTAACATTTCGTTCATCATAAATCCTATCCTAATAGTCCAAAGGAACGATATTTTAACATTTTTAATAATTAACGGCATGTATTATGTAATTTTACTATCAAATTTCGGTTTCGTTCGTTCCCGAAATTTCGGAAATCATTTCATGGTAGGCCTACTGTAAACATATCTCGGTCACGCGGACGAAGTCGCCTGTAAACGCTAATAAATAGATAATTAATAATAATGAAAATTATATACCGTCAGTTTGGCCAATAGTGTTCCTTCTATGTAGCGGTTTGCTTTTACCACTCAGATGGGGCAGTTTGGTAAAACCACCCCAAACATCCGAAGATCGATCCTGTACAAGGCGTGTGGGATTTCGAATCTACAAATTTAATTAAATTACGCATTTATTTTCAAATATTCGAGGTAACAATAGCGAAAGAAGGTAAAGACAAATGACGATCAATGGCTGAGATACGTGCTACATATTCTTTTATATTAAACAGAGTGGAATCGACATTAATATCAATTATTAGATACGTAGACTTAAAATGTATATTAATATAATAATTTGACCTGACTTCATTCTCACCTATTATCGCTCTGCTGTACCTCGCCACCGTAGACTGATAGCGCGAGTGGGGTTTTTTTTTAAAGGATGATAATGAAATGGCAACCCCGCTGCCCTATCGGTATAGACCGGCGGGGCACCAGTAATAGATGATAGGTGAGGATGAAAAGGCAGGTCAGTTAGCCCACCGTGACGAATTTAACAATAAATTAATCACGATGGTTTCCAAGGGGAACCCCGAGGAGGTCGACCTGACAGGGTATATTGCTAGCAATGGGGCTACTAATCCCCATTACTAACAATCCCTTCTTCCCCCCAGCTCGAGTGGGGTTATCATTCCTTTGCCATCAATGTATAAAAACGACCTATGTTGTCACTATATTACAAATATACTTTTTAATCTAATTGTTCGTATATATTTTATTAATAATTTAATAAAATTAATTCGTACATACTGTGGGCTTTTTCCTTGCATTAGAATTAGTCTGTGGCTCAGTGACAAGGATACCGTTCAAGGTTTCCTCATCGAGTTTAGCGACTTGAGCGCCCAGTATAGCCGCTGTCAGCTCCTCGTTGCTCTCCGACAGGCTCAGATATTTAAGACTATCAAAATAAAATATAATATGTAAACTTTTAAAATGTTTACTAAACATTGTTACTTTTAATAAAATGTGATATGGTAACGTAACTAGTGACACGTTCCATAAACATAGCAAAATGTTTAATTTGAAATAACTTCCTAATATTATATTTCATATTAGCACGTAGCAGGTAATATAGAAGAGATTTTGTAACTGGTTAAGACCAGAGTATTCATCATGTAAATCTGAAGAACACCAGTTTACTACCAACGAGTGTGTTTTACTCTCCGCCAACCTCCCTCTTTGCAAAAAAACAAAAAAAAAAGTATTTAATTTTAAAAGTATTTGAAGGTTAAAGGATAATTTACTGAATTCTAAAACTTTAAGATGATATAATAGATAATAAAATAAGCTCAGGACAATCGCAGATGTAATAGTCAAAGACTCGACTGTTTCGGTTCTTGTAGCAAAAATTTAACATGACCAAAGTAAAACTGCTGCTATCTATCGATTAATCTACTTTGTTAACGATGTTATTTATCACCAGAAAGAGAGAGAGAGAGAGAAAAAGAGAGACTTAAACTGATAAACAATATGATCTTTATTAAGATAATATTATTATAAATGAGTAAGTGAATTTTCTTGTTATCCTCTTGGCGTTTTAACGACAAACGGAGATACTATTCGAGGTGGAGAAGGATAGGTTATTTTTATCCCGGTCAATCAACCTATCTTGATCATGCAGACGAAGTCAGGTGTAAACATTAGTCTAGATATAGTCATAGAAAAATACATGGACGTACTCAAAAGCACTGGGTGGTCGTTGATCACGCTTGCGCGCGCGGTCTGAGAACAGTGTTCTCTGGGGCTCGCGTGGCGTGAAAGGGCGCCGTGTGCGTAGGGGACGCACCACACCGCCGCCAACTCCACTTGATGCGCTGCTCATTTCTGAGAAAATGATTCCAATCTTACTCTTATTATTGTCACAATTGCGAAAGTTTGCGACGACATATGGATGAATATGTGTTACTCTTTCACGCAATAACTGTTGAACAGATTTAAATCAAATTTGGTACACGGATAGATTATATTCTAATTAAGAACATATGATACTTTATATATTAATTTAAGCGGGCAAAGTAGTTGAAAACATTTGCTACTTATATAAAAATCCCATGTCACGAGGGTCGGTAAACCAAGCAACACAAACAAGCTTACAGTCTACCTGATTGATCCAAGGTGGTCATCCAGATGTAATATATATAATACATATTTTTTATTGTACTTGTAAATAGTACAGACAATACATATATTGGGAGCAAGGATGTTAGCAGGCAGCTTAAGTGCAATGTAAAAGGTAAAATAGGCGCTAAGATTAATAAAGAATAACATCAAATTTGATTTTGGAATGAAGAGGCGTGAAATCCCGAATTTTTTTTATTGGCGTTTCTTAATACGCACATTTATTCAATCACGCTTAAATAGTTAGATAGATTTGAGTGAAATAAATTAATTTAAATGGTATACAAAAGGATTGTGAAAAAATAACAAGTATCCTTTAATCTAATATAGGTATAATCTGTTTACAAAATTTTATAAAAATTGGTTCATTCAATAAAAAGTTCTTAAGGATTTTCGGATGTTTAAAATATAGAAAGTTCCGAATGCCCTTATTTTTACGTCTCACTCTTTCTCATCGGTGCTGTACTGTAACGTAGTAAACGTATTTAGAAATGGATTTGTTTGTCACTATCAACACCTGATCCACTTTCGAGAAATAAATTATTAAATACCTACAAACATACCTAAACCATTCAAATACTTACTTAATTTGAATAGTCGTAAAGTAGAAAACATTTTGCTATTACGTAGTACCTAATCGAGGTGTATTCACCTTGGTTGCCAAGTAAGTTTCGACTTGCGACCCCCGGTTCAATCACCTACAAGAAACGCCCCTAAACTTAATCAGGACGCTATAACAAAATCGTTATTACCTACCTAGCTGCCAAGGTAAGTCTTGTTTAAATACGATTTGTGTAAATAAAGTTTTTTAATGGGTGAAAATTGAATGGTGACCCCGCTTGCGCTATCGGTAAACGATGGCGGGGCCCCTGTGAGAGATGATAGGTGGGTATGAATGCAGGTTAGTTAGCCCATAGTGACGAATTCCACAAAAAATAACAACGGTTTCCAGGGGGAACCGCGTAAAATCGACCTGATGGGTGCTAGCAATGGGATGTTACATTCCATTACTAACAATCCCTTTCTCCCTGTAAATAAAGGTTTGAAATTGTTTATACATACTTTACCTTTATAGTTACTAGTTTAATATAGATTCGAGTCGTATTTAATGAGGCTAGGTCAAGTCTGTTACTCACTAAAGATCTATACTAAACTAGAATAAGTAAACTCATACATTTTTAACCATGCTTATAGTTTACAGGTAGATACTATTTTAGTGTAGGTCTTGAGTGAAGGCGCATCACGTTTGCGGATTCACTGGCGTAGTACTCCGGATGGTGTGCCCACCCGGTCGTACTCGTACTCCGGACAGATTTAAACATGTCGAGTATCCTTAGTCGTCAGATTCCGCGTGCGTGACTCAGGACATACATTTATAATATCTTCAATTACAACTTAAAGTAAAAAAATGATCATGATTCTAATTTCTGATAAGAGAAAGGTACCTATTGATCGTCTGATGTCATTAAGTATGATGAACTTAACAAACTAACAAAGGAAACTGGGAATGGAAATTGGAAATACATGTATATTGACGAAAGAAACTTAGAAGACTATATATAAAATTCTCGTGCCGTGAAGAGACGTTTTTATGAAATTTTGTGTGCAAAGGAAACAATAGAGATGCGATGTCACACAACTTTAAATTTTCAATTTTTTATATTTCGGTAAATAATAATATAAAAAACTATAAATAATAATGTCGCCTGTACTTCACAACAATCTTTATATAAAATTCAGGATAATATACCATTGACGGTAAAACCATGGTATTCTCAACTTACCAATTACAAAGGAAATGATTACTCACTAAAATTCGTAATAATAAGAAAAATCACAAGTGAAAGAAAAGTATGGCTGATTCGCGTGACTAACCCTCGTTAAATCCTTTTTGGTATAACATAGATTACAGTGTCACTGTATACGTAAACCATGCCAAATTATTGACGCTCTATATTCTTTACGTTTCGCATAGAAAAACTATTGCTATACATACTTACGCTTTTAGTGAGTTATATTTTATTTCCTGAATCCCGAGGTTAACAATATTGATCAAATAAAGACGGTACGTTTTCTATCACCAGATGATTCATGTTTAGGTTTAGAATGGAATATTATGGCAAGATCATGTCCTATATCTACTCCAAGAGTAAAACCCAAGATGAAATGCGTTTCTGTACAAATATAAGAGTTTGTTTGTTCGTACGAACGCGCTAATTTGTAGAATTACTAGTCGGATTTTTATAGTTATTTTTTTTTAATTCATTTCATTTTGGACGAAATTATAGTTCATTTTTTAATGTGTGTATGATATAATGTAATATATATTTTTTTAATATTTTTTTTAATTCAATTCACTCATAATCGTTTTTCTGATATTGACAACTTAGAAATTTTTATTATTTACGAGAGATATACATATAATAGTTAGATATTTAATGTTATAAAGACATCTATATGTTAAGCTTTTCATTATTGATCTGAAGAATTTGAGAATTGTTTAGAGAACACGTAAGTAGAAATAGAAACAAAATAAAATAACCACAATGAATAGACGTAGAATAAAATACCTCCATAAATAGCGGCTCGAGCTTCGCTAATGATCTCCGCGGAGGTCTTGCGACGTGGTGGCGCGTAGAACGGAGCGCCAGCGCCGCGCCTCGCGCCCCTATCGCTCATTGCCTAGCGTCTACACTGAAATAAAAAAATCCAAAAATTACGTTATATACGCGAAATTTTTTTTTTTTTCGTATATAACCTACAATGTAAACTATTTAATTTAAACTGTGGAAACGTGTGTGAATTACAATCTAGTTGCATGGCTGTGTTTCGGTTTGAACGGTGGGATATGGCAGTGAATTTACAGGGTACAGAGACATAGCATCTTAATCCTCAGGAATGGCAACGCATGGGAGTATCATAGGCGAAACAGTATACTCTGTTATGTCGATGGTACTGCTCTTGTCTACAGCCGACGGTTACCACTTTCCATCAGGTGGGCCGTCAGATTGTTTGCCATTCTAAGTTGCATAAAAAAAATCAATAAACATATAAAGAATATAAATATTGTTTTGTAACTTTGCTTCGCTATCTCTATAAATAGAAGATAGTCAATAAAACAGAAGTCTCACTATTGTAACAAAAATTAAAATACGACAAACAAAGTACACGTTCTCTTTGGCATGTTAAGCAGAATAGATCCAGTTGTCAAGGAAAAAAGCGTTTTGGTACTCATTTCAAAATCAGGTACTGAATATGCTCTAATGAAGTCTGACTTTGATCAAATTTATTTAATTAATTATTGTTCAATGCATTACGATGGACCAGCTGATCTGTTTCATCCTCACCTATCAACCCTTGCTAGTGCCCTGCCAGTAAATACAGATATTATTCGCGGAGTCACTATTACATTTTCTCCTATAAAAAAAAGTGTCTCCATTGGGAGATCACGACTACATGTTTTAAAGTTATTTAACCTGTAGATACTTTGGTGTTAAAGCAGTTTCGATATAAAGAAATATCTAAGATGGCTATGGTTTAAAAAACGTAAATTATTAATAATAAAGTTGTTGAAATCTAATAGTGATAACGGCGTGTAATTATCTGAAATATAATAAGTTATGGAATATTCCTTATAAAATAACTTATGAGCACTAAACTAATTCATTTTAAGGTACTCCTGCCTGTACACTAATATTTGAGTTATGAATATAAAGTCAAATAAAATGTTTATCGATTAATAAATGACGTGATCAAATTATTCAATAATTTAATCAAACTAGGTTAATCACTCACACTGGCCTAGTTTCAGATAGTAATTGTCATGCACAATAAAGTTCACATATCAAAATAATTAAATATTGTGTTTAATATAAATTAAAATTGTATGAAACCATAAAGTTTCTATTTGTCTCTAGAAATTTCGATAACCATATAACTATTTCTAATAATAGACAGATTATGAAATTTTCTATTATGTCTATATGCAAGAAAACAGCAGACAGAACATAAAAAACGGGTTAAGTGTAAGTTGAACTCACTCGCCGAGGGTCCCGTATGTAAAATGTCTCTGAAAAGTTTTATATTTTCATTAGATAAAAAAATATTTGAACATGATGTATATTCGCCATTTCTTCCAAAATAGATCTAAACACCAAGAGATATAAAACTACTACAAGATAAATGTGTTAAAAAGTTGCAATTATTATAACATAAACAACACAAATCATTTGGTACGGTACATGAAAGATAAATGTTTAAAATATAGTGTTAAGATCATTTCCATATAAATATATTATAATGCAATCTACATTTTTAACAGCTCCATCTGTTGGCTAAATATAACACTAAAAATCCATTGTAAAATTATTCATAATGTAGTTTATAAATATATTACATAAAAATACCTCCTATTTTTAACATATATAAATTAGACACATAATTATTAATATAAGTAAGTCAATTTTGAAATTTCTGTATTTGTTTTGGACTCTCTAACAATTTTTTTTTTATTATATCATTGCTATATATACAAGCCTATGAAATGCAAAACTATTCAAATTTTTTTATATCCTTCGATCTATTAATGCATAGCATTAACGAACGGACAAACTCGCACTGCAAAGGTTCATTTGTACCTTTTTGGTACGGAATAGTAAAAAATATTTTTATATTTTTTATGTTTATTACCTCATAAATCCGTTATTTACACTCGTAAACCAATTTGAAAAATTCTTTTTTATCTGAAAGTATACACTTTCACGTTGGTTTCATAGAAAATATATTAAAATCGGTTTAATAGTTTAGTTTTTAAATAAAAAGGTTTCGCTACAATAGAAACCGGTATTTTTTTTTTGTGGAATAAATGCTAAATTATTGTTATTTTTTTTTTATTTATTACATAAATTTAATAAAAAACAATCGTCCTATTAAAAACTTCTGTTAAATAAATATGCATGGACAATTGCAAAATGAATTTCTGTTTAGCATACTAAAGACGGATTGCGAAATTGAGACGTACTATATCCGGAACTGCCGTCGTCACGCGATGATTCGACGTTCGTGTAAAAATTGCTTTTATTAATTTTGTATAAGCTTCTTGTTCCTTATCGTATTATATTGTATTTCTAATTATACAAGTATCATATTTAAACCTTAATTTAAGCTATTTTAGGGAATTAGGTAAATAGTTTTTTAATTACCTCTGTAATTTTTAAAACGTTAAAAGAAATTATTTTATAAATAATATTCAATAAATAATTATGTAAATAATCCAACCAATTTAAAACAAATAAACCGCGGCAAATATCTTTAAGTACATATACACTGTGTTCAGCGTATTACAAGACAATATTTGCAAGATTTAATCAAACATCATACTCTACACCAACCTTATGATAATTCCATGTATAACATTCTAAAAAATTTGAAAAATAAATAATTTAAAATTAAAACATAGCCAGCCAATTCGCGGAAACAGGTAAACAGTTTACACCGTTAGGAAACCGTAGCAACGCGTAGCACAAACACGGTCTACGAGTGTGGGTAAACCCGCCGACGCGTTTCGTAGCTATTTGGATACTGCCAGCGCCGCGCCGCGCCGTACTGCCCGTCGTAGAAGTCGTAGCGACCTACAATCCTACTAATACGTAATCTATACTTATAATAAATCTGTAGAGAGGTCAATTCTTTACATGAAATATGTTTCCAAAATAACTATCTGGGGGTGATTAGTGATCGACACTGATGCCAAAAATGCAATCAGTAAAATTTTTGTCTGTCTGTCTGTATGTTCGTTATAGAAACAAAAACTACTCGACGGCTTTTAAAGAAACTTGGTACAATTATTCTTCATACTCCTGGACAGGTTATAGTATACTTTTCATCAGGCTACGATCAATAGGAGCAGAGCAGTGAAGGAAAATGTTGGGAAAACAGAACAGTTACTCCTTTTTTAAGTGTAAAAATGTTCATCCATGCGAAACCGGGACGGGCCGCTAGTATATAATAATATGAAGTATAGAATATTTTGTAAAAAAAAATTATGTTTGTTAGTTTCAATCACGCTTAAACGGCTGAACGAAATTTAATGAAATTCGATACACGGATAGGTTATATCATATTCGTAATTTAACACATAGGATGTTTTATATACGTACAAATGCGTGCGTAGCTGCGAAATAAAATTAGTTTTATATAATTAAAATGCATAGCTGTAAACATTATAAGAACGTGTTTGTAGTAAATTTTAATTGAATCAATAGTCTATAATTTTAAAACTTCACTTGATCATACCACTTGACAAAAGTTTTTTTTTTTTGTTAATATTCAAAACTACGAATTTAAAGGTTATTAAAATTGTCCTATATATTGTTACTTTACAATTTATCAGTGATTGGTTTTTGAACAATTTATTTTCAGAGGATGCCATGTATATAAGGGCTTATATAATCAAGTAATCTGACATATTAACTTTAGAAGCATGGAAAAAGATTTACCAGTGGGAGACTTTGTACAAAAGTGGATTGCTTAGTTACCTCTGCCCCATTCGTGTTTCAACCGTGAAGCAGTTGTGTTTGCATGGCTGTGTTTCGGTTTGAATGGCAACTGGGTATAGAGGAATAACACCTGAGTCCTCAGGAATGGCAACGCATGGGGGTATCATGGGTGAAACAGTATACTCTGTTATGTCCATGGTACTGCTCGTGTCTATAGGCGACGGTTACCACTTTTCATCAGGTGGGCCGTCAGCTTGTTTGCCATTGTAAGTTGTCTATCTATCTATCCTATTTAAGAGCTGCGCTCTTGTCGGTGGAGCTCTTGCCACTCACTACGATCTTCAGCGAGTCTCTTCACCTCTTGATACTTAAGTTGTATAAAAAAAAAAAAGATAATTTTATGTTGCATGAAAAGTGATGTCAAATATAATTTATGGTATTGGAGTTTTTTTAATCATGACTAAATGTGTAACTTATGTATAAGCGACTTCATTTGTTACCTCCTAGCGCCTTAACGGTTTAACCAATCATTATGAAATTTGATGTATATGCACTATATGGCATGGAGAAAGGACCTAGGTAGGCTACATTTTATCCCGGTCACTGAACATATCCATGTCATCGGATGAAGTCGCAGGTAAAAGCTAATAGATGATTAATATAGAAATAGTTACCCTATTCTGCGCTATTGGTATACGCTGGTAGGACACTGGCTAGAAAGTTTTTTAATGGATGAGAACGGCATGGTAACTCCGCCTGCGCTATCGGTATACACTGGTGGGGTACCAGTGAAGGATGATTGGTGAGGATGAAAAGGCAGGTCAGTTAGCTTATCATGACGAATTCAACGATAAAGTAGTCACGATAGTTTCCAGGTGTAACCGCGTGGAGGTCGACCTGATAGGGTACATTGATAGCAACGAGGACTAACATTCCTATTACTAACAATCCCTTCCCCCCCTTCCCCTCCTCGAGGATGAAGTTAGGTTAGGTAGGAAATTCACAAGGATTTAGTCACAGTGATTTTCAGGTGGAACCACGTGGAGCTCGAGCTGATGTTTTTTTTGGGATGAAAATGAAATGGTAATTCGGTCTGCGTTATTGATACTTATACGCTGGCAGGTAAGTCTCACCGTAGTGAATTCTCTAAAAATTAACTACATTGGTTTCTTGGGGTGGGGGGGGGGGGGGCGCATGGAAATGGACCTGATATAGCTAGCAATGTGAACTAACCTCCCCATACCTCCCTAACCAACGGTCCCTTCCGATACAGTACGAGTGTTTACCAACAATCGAGTTGTACTCGTATGTACTTTGTATAAATAACTTGTTTTTTGCAATATAAAACCAGACATTATATTATCTAAATCCATGCTAAATATTTTAAGCATATTTTATCATTATGAGCTTTTAACATACCGATATAATATTAATATTTTCATGGCCATGGATTATCACCGTCCTTGATATGGTTTAATTAATAATTTCGTAGGTACTTCGTTAACTTTTGTTACCGTATTAATTCGTTTTCTTTGTACCGCGATGAAGCATTCTAGAATCATAATAATTTGCTTTATTTAATTTGTCGAGTTTAATAGGTTTTTGTTGTTGAGACTTGGCAGTAACATTTACATAGGCGGGTTATAAACGAATGCTATTCTGTTTTGTGTACTGTAGGATTTTTAACCCTCTAGGTTTTATCCAGGTGTTGAATCTTAACAGTATTTAAGGGTTCAAGTATCATAGCACTTTGTAGAGTTCCGTAGTGTAATGAAGGTATTCAATATTCCACTTGTTGTTTGGTTCCGACATAGAATGAGCCATATCTTCCTTTTCCGTGGATGCTATTAGAAGCGAATAAGAGAATTTAATGGTCGTGGGATGAGCGTTGCCCTTAAAACATCAACAAAGCCTTACTGCGGTTGTGACGGGGGAAAGGATTGTTAGTAATGGAGGCTGAGAATTCTATTGCTAGCTATTGCTAGCAATAGAATTCTCAGCCTATACATATACCTAACCAGGTCGACCTCCTCACGGTTCTCCCAGGAAACTATCATGGTTAATTCCTGATGAATTCATCATAATGGGCTAACTGGCCTGTTTTCATTCTCATCTATCACCCTTCACTGGTGCTCCGCCAGCTTATCTCGTTAACGTAGGCGGGGTTACCATACCATTTTCACCCATAAAAAAAAACTGCGGTTGTTAACTCGCCTGCCAAAAGTGGCGACTACTGGCAAAACACTTTAAAGAAAAGGCCTATGTTCAGCAGTGATGATTCACTATCCCACACATTTTGTTATTGTGAAAATAAATAAGACCGGATCGTCTGGAACCTCACATTTTAAAGCATCAAATAGAGAAAAAACTTTCTGTCAAGTCATCGGCATTATTTTCGAGTAAGAGTTGCTGAAATAAATATAAGCCTCTTACACAAACTGTAATGGAATGGTACCGAGTTACTTGCATTTATTAGTAAACTAGCGGCCCGTCCCGGTTTCGCACGGGTGGACATTTTTACATTTTAAAAACTGGCCATTAAGGCTGCACACGCGACGAAAGCATAAAAATGGAGTAACTTCTCCCGTTTTCCTAACATTTCCCTTCACTGCTCTGCTTCTATTGATTGTAGCGTGATAAAAAGTATACTATAACCTGCCCAGGAGTATGAAGAATAATTGTACCAAGTTTCGTTAAAATCCGTCTAGTAGTTTTTGTTTCTATAACGGACATATAGACAGACAGACAAAAATTTTACTGATTGCATTTTTGGCATCAGTATTGATCACTAATCACTCCCTAATAGTTATTTTGGAAATATATTTCATGTACAGAATTGACCTCTCTACACACTTATTATAAATATATAGAAAATATACAGAAAGTTCTCATGAATATATTTGTGATTATCACGCCGTCTTTTAGGGTGCCGTACTACACTGCATTTGTTTACTCGAGGTCACCACTGCGGAAACTTTCTCTCTTCTTGTTCTCAATTGTTCGACCTATATGGCCGATCCAACTGGAAAAAAAAACGTGGTTAATCTTTAGAGAAATCACTTTAACAGGCCAGCTGATCTGACTGCATTCTTATAACTTTATCCTCCACATAGTGCTCCGTGAGTTTATGTAGGTACATCATTAGTATTGATGATGATGATGATGATAATATCAGCCGTTAATATTAGCATTGGCGGATGTACTATTTCAGTTTCACTCGAAACTTTATTAAGAATTTTAATTAAAGATCGTTCTAATACACAACACAGAGGGGAATGGATTGGTAATAATGCGGACTATCAGTTCCATTGCTAACTTAACCTTGTCAGGTCGACCTCCACGCGATCCCCCCTAAAAACCATTGTGCTGAATTCTAGATGTATTCATCGCGATGGGCTAATTGATCTGCCTTTACAATTTCACCTATCTATCATCCATCACTGGTAGCTCGTCGGCGTATACTATTAGTGCAGACGGGATTACGATTCTATTATCATCCATTAAAAAAATACACAACACATTAATAAAAAGCTATCTGCACTACAAATCGATACCCCTATCTGTTTTTGCACAGTCGCCTTGGTTACAAAATTAACACGCAATCAAGATATTATAAGTAAAAAATACTTACTTACCTATACAAGGTAATTGTAGTAATTCTCACTGTAATATTATAAATGTGAAAGTGAGTTTGTTTGTTACCTTATAGTGCCTTAACGGTTAACCAATCACGATTAAATTTGGTGTTCACCTATTGTCTATATAACAGGTAAAAAATTCCATCTCCATCTTAGGTTGGAGATGGACTTTATGTTGTGTCCCGTTTACGTGGACTAAGTCGCGAGTAAAAGCTAGTATCCTATAACGAATAAAAGATTTTGCCTATTGATTTTTATTAAAAAATATCCACCCTAATATTTTTTATTCATTAATTCCAAATAGTCATATTTTACGATATAATTCTTCCTTCCTTTTCTTTTTCTCTCTGTCTTTGGTTGATTTAGAGACCCGTCTATGGTTGGTGGGTATGGTAGGTAGTTAACTAGAGGGAGACTGTACAAAAGTCGTTTACTTGGACACCTCTGTCCCATTCGTGTTTCAAACGTGAAGCAGTTGTGTTTACATGGCTATGTTTCGGTTTGAAGGGTGAGATATGGCAGTGAATTTATAAGGTACAGAGACACACCTGAGTCCTCAGTAATGGCATTGCATAGAGGGTATTATGGGCGAAACAGTATACTCTGTTATGTTCATGGCACTTTTTTTTTCTAATGGATGATAATGGAATTGTGTTTACCCCACCCGCGCTATCGTTATACACCGGCGGGGCACCTGAAGGATGATAGGTGAGGATGAAGCAGGTCAGTTAATCGTGACAATTCAACAGAGACACACGATGGTTTCAGGAATGACGTGGAAGTTGACCTAATAGGGCATATTGCTAGCAATGGGGCTGTCAAACTCCATTGCTAACAATCCCTTTCCCCCCTGTTCATGGTACTGCTCATGTCTATAGGCGACGGTTACCACTTTCCATCAGGTGGGCCGGCAGCTTGTTTGCCATTCTAAGTTGTATAATAAAAGGTGATAATGGAATTGACGTGTTTGCCTCGACATAGAAGTCTACCCCTTTTTTCCGTGAGTATCGTAAGAGGCGATTAAGGGATCGGCAGCAGCATCCCTCTTAAAACATCTCTAAAAGCTTAACTACGGTTGCCAATCCGCTTGTCAAACGTGGCAACTATTGGCAACACTTTCCTTATGGAGAAGGCTTATGTCCAGTAGTGAACACTAAATGGGAACCACGTGGAGGTCAACCTAATAGGATGTATTGCTGACAATGGGCCAGTCACCATAACTAACAATCCCTTTCCCATCTATGAGTTAGATCAATTTGTATGTTAATTCTCATAGTACGTATATACGTACTATATTGGATGAAAAAGGATACAAGCTACTTCTAATCTCGGTCAGTAAACATACTGGAATTGTCACGCGGATGAAATCGCGGGTAAAAGCTAGTTATAAATAATGTTAATAAATTAAAACATTTAAATAGGATATATGTATACTGGCGATAAGCTTTTTATTTCTGAATTCTGATGAACCCCAAAAAGTTATAGTTATATAGACACGGAGATTTCAGCTTCTTTGATTATAAATTATGCGTATGGTACCTACATATCGTAGGATAAATAAAGCAATAAATGCGATCATGTTGTTTATAAACTAAGTACTTACCTCAAATCTTGTGCTACCTATAAAGGTAGGTGGAATTAGGGAATCCTATGACAATAATATATATCATTCCTGTTGTCTAAATAGAGAAAAATAACATACTATTTACAATTTGAAAAAGTAACTTAATAAATACCTATTTTCATTAAGTTTATATTTAGAAGCCAATTCTCTGAAGTAAATTCGAGTGAATCCATTGTTATATAATGTATAGTTTTATAATGCGTTCATTTTGAAAGATCGTGGAAACGGTATTATCTCTGTTACTAAAAGAAAAATACTTTTGACCAAGAAGGTGTTAATGACTTTGAACACGTACCTTTGTCTACTTAATAAAGGGTATATTGTAAAACACCTAAACTTTAACCATGCATTCTAACATCGCCCAAGTTTTTTTAATCATTATTTTTTTGCATAACTACGTAAAAGTTCATCAAAACATTTAGGAAGGGTCACAATTTTAATGTGTCTGTCTATGTGAGTGTTCTATAAAAATTGTTATTTGTTTTTAAGTCGCTAAGAATTTTATGTAAATGATATAAGATTTTGTTACATATAATATACCTATAAATAAATAGGTTAAGGATAGCCTTAATCTATGCATATACCTAAATGTAAATTTTTTAAACGATGTTCATTCAATTAAATTTCTATTTAATTTTTAATAAATTCTAAACTAAGGCCTAACCACAGGTCCGGCTAGTATATGATATGGTTGGATGAAGGTTTTAATGTAGATCTACCTGCCTTGAGGTCTGCATTGGACCATACATTATTAAGTTTTTTTTGTTTCACGACATTCCTTACGTTCATATTATTTATTTTTAATACATTTGTTTGTATTAGTGCGATAAATGAGAGTAGATAAATACGGTCTCCTCACGATTATAAAAGCATATCAGGATATTCAAATATTATATAATAAAAATTCTGTTTCAAGTGTCTTAATTTTTTTACTTTATTCCGTACATTTTTATATATTTGTAATACTCTTCCGGTAATTTGAAAAATTAAAATTAAAACTAGATCATGCCGTGCCATAAGAAAGAAAAAAAAAACTAGATCACTTTCTGTCACTGTGCTGTTATTATTGTAGTGTCACTGTCAACAATCTGTCATTGTTTTAGGTAAACGTGAAACATATTAGGTTCCTACGTGTTTGTGTTCTACTTCTCCGGTTGTTTATTTTTAATGCTTTGCATTGAGATTTACATTTTTATTTAGTATTCAGTTAAGAAAAAATCTTTCTTCATTATTTTATCAACACATAAACGTTCCACTTTTGTCGTCTTTCACAATGTTTGTCTTGGGAAAGTGATTTCAAGAATAAAACAATATTTGCCATTATAGTTGTTAACTAGTAAATAAACATAAAATTCTTATTGCGTAAATAAAACAGACATTTATATAACCATGGAAGAACCTAGTGTTATTTTATTTTATGAGAAATGTAGGCTGTGTCTCAATCAACATGGTAAATATAATATTTTCGACGTGGAAGACTTGTGTGTCGATATATTACTACATACAGGAGTTGAGGTAAGTATTATCCAATAATGTGATTTGTATACAGTAATAGAATCGACATGACAAGCACAGATGTCATTTATAACAATTTTTCTGAAACAGATAAAATTCACAATATTACAACTTGAGAAAAATGAACTCACAGGTACTTTTGCTTAGATTAGATATATAATAATTATAGTATTTAATTGAGAGTTTATTTTCGATATATGAGGTATATGAAATCAAAGGCAGCTAAATACCATAAAACCAATTTCATTTTCACTCTTAACTCAAATATAGAAGAAGTTCTATTAATTAAAATTCAAATTATTACTAACATTCAAATTTTTTATAATTAAAATATAAAATATCATTCTAAATGCTTGACAAAATATTAGTTTTTGTAGATTCCTGAATATTTGACAGACTTGGATTTAGCTGTTTTTGATTTTATTGGCCTCATATTATCTTGGAGAATGAAATTTCTGTTGTTAGTAACTATTGTTTTATTAGAGTCTAGCTGATACCTGCAACTTTGTCTGCATAGTATTTGTTATTCCTTCGATTAACATTTTTAACCTCCTTATTTTAGTTAACTATGTCTGGGAATACTGGACCAAAATTAACATATGACATCTCATTCTCACTCCTTGCCTTAGGTCAAAATTACTTAAGTAGGTTGTGTACTATGCTGTAGAAGTTACTATAGTACTTTAACTATCACGACGGGAACTCTTTAATTTTCCATGATTAAAAGTATCTAAAATTTTGACCGGAGATGTTAGGTACCATACCACCATGCAAAATTTCATTTAAATTGGTCCAATAATTTCAGAGATACAATAACAACATACAAACAGACAAAGAAACAAAAAATTTGAAAAGTCTGGATATGTTGTATTTCACTTCTAATATACCTCTGACTTGGTGTTTAGCATATTTTTTTCTAGTAGATATTTGCCCTTTACAGTTTTATTATATGTATAGATGTGGTAACTAACTATCATAACTTTTTCTAATTGAGTAGAAGAGGGGAGTGATTCTTAGTAATAGGGACTAGTAATCATATTACTAGCAATATACTCTGTCAGGTCAACCTTCAGGCATTTCCCCTTAAAAGCCAACATAATTTATTCTTGGTAAATTATCTGCTTTGACCCTCACCTATTATCATTTTACTGGGGTCCCAATTTGAAAAACATCTGTTCTATTTTACTTGTAACATCCCCCTAACTCAGTTTTTAGCATTTTTTTTTTCACAAAATTTCTACCCCTACAGTTAATTATATATATATATATATATATAACTGAAAATGGATTGAACCCCACCTGTGCTTAGTATACACTGACAGGGTACTAGTGAGGGATAAAAGGTGGGGATGAAGTCAGGTCAGTTCTTTTAATAGGTGATAATGGAATGGTATCCCCACCTGCGTTATCGGTATACACCGGAGGGGCACCAGTGAAGGATGATAGGTGAGGATGAAGCAGGTCAGTTAGCCCATCGTGACGAATTCAACAAGAATTGTTCACGATGGTTTCCAGGGGGAACCACGTGGAGGTCAACCTAATAGGGCATATTGCTAGCAATGGGGCTATCAAACTCCATTGCTAACAATCCCTTCCCCCAGTCAGGTCAGTTAGTCCATCTTGACAAATTCATTGTAATACTGTAGTAGGTATTATACTTTATTAGTAGGTATTTTGTATTAATACTTTGTTAATCCCAATTTCTTTTCAGATCTCCCAGTTGGATAATCTGCCACAGAGGATTTGTGAAGATTGTGCAGAAATCATAAAGAAAGCAAAACAGTTAAGGATATTAGCAACAAAGAATGATTCAAACTTGAGATTATTGTTTGCCAGTGAAGTAAATGTAGACCAAAGTCAGGTGTGTGTGTAATGATATTGTATTTTTGTATTATAGTGCAAATATGAATCTTTAGTAATTATAAATGTGAAAGTGTGTTTGTTTGTTACCTTTTATCACCTTAACGGCTTAACCAACCCCTATGAAATCTGGTATACAAATACACTACTTATAATGTATTTAATCCCATCTTAATAATTCTTTTTTAAATGAAATATTGTCTTCTTTTCCAGTCTGTAGAATTAAATAATACAATATCAAGCAGTGCAGATGAAGTTAGGAATAAACAAGAAACTGAAAACTCAAACAAACCATGTCGAAATAAAGATGCCGAGGAAAACGTGACAAAATTGTAAGATTTTTTTTTACCATATTTAGTAAAATCTGTGTTAACAATACCATTTTTCTCATATAAAATATATGTAAGTCAATCCCGTTATATTTACATTAAAATCAGACTACTTGTAGATGAGAATGTTTGGATTATCTTATGAGTATTGCTTTTAGATAAAAAAAAATCTTAAAATAAATTGTGGCGAAGTAGTAAGTTAACAAATAAAAAACATTAGGGCTGATTCTGAAGTACCATTTCTTTAAAGGTATCTTTTAATCTAATATTTTAACATGATTATTTTACTATATTACGCTTATGGACCATCATAAACTAAGATAATAATAATGTTGACTTAAATCTCTTAGTAAAATAGTTCACATTGATCCTTATAATAAAGATTTTGCTTTGATATCAAATAGAAATTTGAATTTTAGAGATAGTTTTAAAGAAATAGCATCTCAAAATCGACCTCAGTGTATACTCATTGTCTTAATCTGAAGAGTCAGACGGTGTATAGAGGATATGTATGTATATTAAGTTACTTAAAAATTATTACATAAGTATGGAAATCACAAATAAAAAAATAAATAGATACTTAATTAACCTCATCAAAGGACAGTCTGCTGATATTCTATAGATTAATTTATTGAATAGGAAACAATAAAAAGTAACTGAAAAATGACTATTCAAAAATGCTTAAAGTTTTCATGAATAAAAACATTTCTTTATTTCTTTCAGAATGTTTCGATTTTTTATTAATTTCATTTGTTTCTTTTAAGAAAAGTTTGTTGCCTTTTCATAAAATTCCATTGAAAGTAAAATTGTATATAAATAAGCAATTTTTATAGTTTTTTTTTTTCTAATCTATGCTTGTTAGATATGATGATACAATTTTTCTTTTATCTATTTCAGAGTAATTCTAAAAAGGAAAAAACAATAGCAGTTAGAAAAGATTTGTTTGAAACTTTAACGGTTGTAAGTACTGCTTGTTATAAGTCCATAACAATATTATTAATATATAAATTATCAACATTTTATTTTAATTTTTCAATTGTGCATTTCAGAGTTCATCAACTAAAAGCCATTCAAATCCTAGTGACATCAAAAAGAATGTAAACAAAAGTAAAAAATGCAAGAATAAGTCAGATCAGTCTGAAACATATAAATGTCAAGTAAGTCCATATATATTTCTAAATTATATATATTTTTTAAATAAAATTTGTTATTGTAGATTATAAAAATATTGTAATTATATGTATCAGACAATTTATAGATATAACATCAAAAAGAATGAAAATATAAATGAAAGATGAGTTTTGTAATTTAAATTTACGTAAAAACCAGCTTCATCAAGGTACCACTATACTTTGTGTGTGTGATCAGGGTAAAAGGAAACCTATATCATTCTCCATTCCATATCATACATTTATTGTTTTTTCAGTGGAATATAGTAGTGAAATTACAAGCTACGAAAGAAAAACACCTTAGGTTTAAAGACTGCAAATGTATGTGGATGTGTTGTGTTTGTTTTCATCTGGCACATTTTCAATTTAATCAATACTCAAATAATTTGAGAAACACATAGTATTTGCGGATGGAGAAGGATATAAGCTATTGTTTATCCTATTCAATTAACATAGCCCCGTCACGCGGACAATGTCGCCGATATACGTATTTATTTTGATATTTATTCTCTTATCTAATTTGTGATTTCTGTTTACAGGAATGCAAAAAGGTATTCGATAAACCGAAAAAGCTGTATCTACACAAACGCGTTCACAACAAGACAGTAGTATGCCCGTTGGACGCGTGCAACAAAACTTTCGCCACAAGGAGCGACCTAGAGAAGCATTTCCGAACGCACACAGGTGAAAAACCGTATGAATGTTGTATATGCCAACAAAGTTTCACGCAACGCGGCACGCTTAAAGCACACAGACGGGCCGTGCATCAAGACGTGTTAAATGAAAGTTAAATGCGCTAATTAGTTCAAATATAAAATAATAAGAGATTAATTAAATTAAGAATTAATGGATATTTTGTGTGTTAAACAATTATTTGATTTGTATAGATTTTGCTGAAAATTGTCTCTCGTCAGATTTAATAGTCTGGGATCTTCCCAGAGCAAACATAAATAAAATTTTGCCTATGGATAAATTCTCCGTCGTTTGCGGAGGTCATCATAGGGGTATACAGAGGGAGGGCTTAGTGGAGTGTGTCCACACCAGAGTAAGAAACAGAGCCCTCAGATATAAGCAAAAACAGGTTAGAGAGTTTATGTGTCTTTTTTAAAAGGCCAGGTCTTCCTAGAAAATATTTAAACACGTCAATGGAGGCCAGTAGTATTTGATTGTCACTTTTGAATTACGAATACATCTCAAAAGTACAAAACTAGTATTTCATAAGCTAAAATAAGTATTTATAATATTTGGTTTTAACATTTTTGTAAAGTATGCTGTATAAAGTAGCAACCGAGAACACGGTGTAGCATTTAGTTTTTTTTTTTTAAATGGGTGGTAATGGAGTGGTACTCCACCTACGCTATCGGTGGGGCACCAGTATGGGATGATAGGTGAGGATGAAAAGGCAGGTCAGTTAGTCCATCGTGACGAATTCTACTAAAATTTACCACGATGGTTTCCAGGGGAAACTGCGTGGAGCTCGACCTGATAGGGTGTATTGTTAGCAATGGGTCAGTTAGATCCTATTACTAACAATCCCTTTCCCCCCTAGCTTTTCGATTGTCGTATATGGAACTGTGGTAACATTGATAGGAAAACCTGTCATATAAAGTGCGTGTATGTAATATATAGTATGTAAATATGTATAATGCTTCCTTACATATAAATTAACTTCATATGCAGTAAGTGTATATATACTTTATTTATTTTTACTTAAAATATACGATAATATGACATATTATCAATGTGTATGTATATTAGTAGCGAGTCTATTGTGGTAGATCGTGAGTAGAACTTATTATATTGTATTTTACTATATCTATATATTTTATTTACCTATTATAGAGGAATAGATATATAATAAAATACTGTATTTTAATCCAGTCAAAACGTTTTATTGTTATTTAATAAGATTCTTATAATGGGTGCTTTCTGTGTTAACCTGTCTGACCTAATCATTTGACTACGGACTATTTCAAAAAGTATTATAATCGGTCATAAAAAAGTATTGTGTATAAATAAAGTTGTTACTATTTAGGTATTTTGTTTTGAACATTATTCTTTGACCCTGTATTAAAGCACCACTGCAGTGTTAGTATGTACCACAACATGGTAACAGGGTGCTTAGCTACATGTAATTTTATTATTCTTTATTTATAATTTTTATGTATTGTTTTGACGATACAATGAACTCCTCAATTATATTTTTATACATAATATAATTATGTTTGTGCAACACACATTCGCATTATACATTTAAATAATGTCATTAATTTATTAAATTATGATTAATTTTATTTACATAGACATTTTATTTTATAGTGATAATAATCATAATGAATTCATAATGAAGTAATCTTATCGAAGTGCGACGTCAGAATTGTCATTTTTCAAAAACTTAATATTTCTTTTTTTAATATTTCTGAATTTTTAATATTTAATTTTCTGATTGATCTGTTAATCATAGAACAAATTAAACGTAAATCAATCACTAAATAAAAATCTACCTCATTGTCTTGTTTTAAAGTTTTCATATAGGTACTTTTTGTCATGAAAATCAAAAATTTCAAAGAATATTAATTCTATTGTATGATTAACATTTTAGCGCGCTATCAGAGTACTTTTTAATTATATATTATTACTATTTAATTATTATATGGAAATATTGGTAATTGATTATTTAGTTTTTAAATATTGACAGATAATTCTGAGGTTATTGCATGAATGTACTTAGTAGATAAGGGCCAAGTGGAGGTAGATTGAGCGACGTCCGACAATAAATTAGAAACGCACCCCCGGCCCCAAGTTCTGTATAGCTTGCAGTTTGTATTTTTTTTTTTTTTTTTTTTTTATTCTTTATACACAAACAATGCTAAGAACATTTTATTTTAAACGCAATGTGCAAAAGCTTATCTCTAATAAGAGATTTCTTCCAGCAAACCTTTTCAAGTGAATTGAATTGTATTGTAAAATTGTGCAAAAGCAAGCATATTTGCTAATATTTTTATTAGGAACTGATGAATTATTAGACGCCTTTCGTTTTATGTAATACATTAAATTATCACAACATTGTCTAAAGTTTTATAGATCTGTGTTAGTTTAAGAAACCATGTTAATTTATTTGAGATGTCAAATAAAAAAAAATGTAAAAATAAATAGTATTGTTTTATTATAATAAACAGTTACATCAGAATATTTACAGTTTACGTCCTTATATTAATTATTTAGGCTTATAAAGAGATATAGAAATACTTTATATTATACACAAATATATGATGAGACAACCAAGTACTTTTGATGGAAAATAGTCAAATAACTGTTTTAAATCAGGTTTAACAGTAGTCAGTCGATAGTATCCCAATGATTCATTTTTACTGTGACACTTATACAAGGTGTTATACATTGTCATGTTACAAAGTTGTATAAATAATTTTAATGTAATAACTATCGATTTAACTTGCGTGTAATTAGATCGAGAAAGCTCAACTAGTTTCGGGATCAATTCGTGATCCTTAATCACGAGCGCGAGCTATTGACTAATTATTACATTAAAACCTTAGTTCCCAAAGTGGTCCAGGGTCCACGAAAATTCAATCATATTACAATGTAATATGATAATAATTAATAGTTTATTAATTACACATTTGAATATATACAACGCAAAAATACACTTTTTTTTTTATTTTTACCACTCCAAATGGGGATTTTACCACTCCAATTCTAAATAAATGAGAACTGATTGGTTCTTTGTACTGTGAATAGATGTCAAAAAAGTTGAATGGAATCACTCTTTTGATTGACCAATTTTACTTTATTCACATTCACTCACAGCACAATCAATTAATTTTCACTTTTTTCTAAAACTATTAATTCGTGGTTGGAACTCAGCCGCAACGCAAATTGCCATAGTTTGATCCAATATTCACATTTTTTGTCGAGTTTTAGCAACTTGGTAGAAATGTTGATGAAGGAGGTTCACCGGGACCAGGTAATTTTTAAGTCTTTGAAGGTCTATGAGAAAAAGTCTGGGCACCTCTGCATTAAAATATAAAGTATGCTTAGGAAACGTTTAACCATAAATTTGTTTCTACCTTCTCTGATCCCCAATCAGTACTATATTACAAAAAAATAGCTGTTTTTATATTTCTAATGTTTAAATTTTATATCTTTTATAATGTTACATCATAAATACCTTTTGCTCACATAACTTTATTATTATTTGTTTGAAAAGTAAATACTTATATTTCATTGTTCAATCACAGTTTAAAATTGCATTATTATTATTATTATACTAGTGACACACCCTGAATTTATACGATTTTTTTAAATAAAACAACACAAATTAAGCCCATGTCACTCGCTGGTAATGTAGCTTTCTATAGGTGAAAGAATTATTAAAACCGGTTAAATATTTTCTGTGTTTGTCCATTACAAACAAAAAATCAAAATATCTCTATTTTATAATGAGAAAGATTTGATTTTTTGTATATTATATATATTAAATGTTACACCATATCTGAAATGGCTTCCCAACTTGTTATTAAAAGAATAATATAATAATATCAAATAAAGCTATATTTCTGCACAAAGCCACTTGGATAAAATATGAAATGATTACCATGTTATTTATTTTGATATAAATTATTTATATAGATTTAGAATAGGATCGATTCTGTAAACACATTCTCTGCATCAATCTTTCACTAAAATTCACTAATTTCCGACAAATAGATAGTCCAATTCTGAAATGTAATAGTTGAATTAAATGAAGCCGTAACTGAATTCAGTTCGTATACCAATTTAAAGTTTTAAATTAGGCTCAATAAAGCTTCTAGTAATCATGTTAATTATCTGTGATAGAGCCTAATTTATACCTGAAAGTATTACATCTCATCTCATCAGTTAAAGTATTACATCTCATTAAAAAAGTTGTAAACGGATATATCGATAGATTCGTTATCGCTACTGCATACATTACACAGAACGAGACAGCGTCGGTGTTTAATTATTTCTTATGCGAATGCTAATCAAAACCTATTGATGTATTCTTTTACTGCTTTTCAAATAGTGGTGTTAAAAGAATTTAGTATTAATAAGTTTAAAATTAGAGAATTTGACTCCATTAGTGTACCGCCGCTGTGAACAGTTGGAAAGAAATTTCGGTAAATGTTATTTTATAGAAATGCACTACGTTGATGCGTGTCACTTTGCTATTTTTTACTTCATGTCCAGGTCCACAGTGTTAGTATACTAATGATAAAATAATAAAATTTTAAAATCAACCCTATTGATTATAGTAACATTTCAATATTATCTAAATATCCATTTATCACGTAAGTTTCTGCCGTTCAAAGTCAATGGAATGCGTACAATAGAAGCAGGAATGTGCAGATGGCGACCACGATGCCTAATATCAGGGAGTCGCGCCGTTTGCGGGCGTTAATTCGGTAGATGAGACTGTTCAGCATTGGAAATCTGTAATAGAATATATTCATATGGTTATATTTTTAATGGGCAAATATAAATAAATACTATAGGAGATATACAACGCCATCTAGTTTCAAAATAAGCAAAGCCTGTATGTACTATGGGTGTTTTTTTTTTATAGGTTATAATGAAATAGTAACCCCACCCGCGTTATCGGTATACGCTGATAGGGCACCAGTGAAGAATGATAGATGAGGATGAAACAGGTCAGTTAGCCCATCGTGACGAATTCAACGAGAATTGTTCACGATGGTTTTCAGAGGGAACCACGCGGAGGTTGACCTGATAGGGCATATTGCTAGCAATGGGGCTGTCAAACTCCATTGCTAACAATCGCTTCCCCCCCGTACTATGGGTGTTAGACTGATACACATTTTATTTTGGTTAAATACAATTTTTTTAAACACTATTTGTATTATACATAAAAGACAACACCCAGACCAATATAAACAAACAGCTAAATTTTTTTTAATTTCGCGAGGGTCAATGTGCATATTCCATTAGTGGGCAGAGTCTTATTTATAAAATGTACATGAAGGAATAGAGAACGACTGGTGGCTGTAAAATATGATGAGTACGTGAATTCCAGTCGTGTTTACTTTTTGTACATTTTTTAAAACTTGTAACTAAATATATTTTATAATTGGTTCTTTATTATAACTTGACGCCTCTAGTGTCAAGAATTTGTAAATATTAGCAATGCATTATGTACCTATATATAATATTGTTACTTATATGTATGTCCTTAGGTAAATAACTATGATTGATTTATACTAATAACAAAAAACCGTGTGGATTTATTATCTTATGTAATTGCGTGTACATTATTGACGCAAAAAATACCAACGTACCTGTTTGTGATGTCGTTGAACCGTGTCTGCATCCGCTTGAAGGTCTGTCGCTGTGACGCGAGGTGCTCGCGGGCTTCCATCGCTATATTGATCTGTTCATCTACTAGTATGTGAGAACTGGAACAACGAAATAAATATGTAATATAATGTAAAAACTTTATTCAAACACAAGCCTATATACATATATATTACAGGTAAATAGTTGAATTTTTGAATAATCAATAACTGATATATTATTTTTTTTTTTTAATTATTTTGAAAATTGATAGTAATATTATCTTAAAACCTAATTACATAAAGTACAAAAAAAAAAATATTGCAACTATATGGAAACTATAAAACTTGATTTCCCTTTTATACTTTTAAATATACAGTCCCTTTGGGAATTTCAGGTAACACATCTGAAATTTCTTTGATGTTAAGAGCTACAGTAACCGTCACTAGCTGAGTCGTATGCTCACCAAATAGTGATTACTACCCGTTTATTCTCTATATTATGAAAAATAGCTTTTCCATTAACTCAGGAGTCCCAGGTAAGTACAGGATGGCATCAAATTTGATGATTTGTGGGACATCATAAAAATATACCTAGGAGCACTATAGTAAATGTTTTTTTTTGGTTTTTTAATATTTTTTTCATAATGAATTTTTTATCTTCTAAGGCCCATGATATACACCAGATTTCATTATAGTTAAAGAGAGCTGATTACAGATAGAAAGAAAGAAAAAATGACAGTATGTAGCCCCATGAATAACAACTAAGAGCGCAAGGTAGGCTAAAGCTAAGTGGTTGGATGGTAGCTGACCTGTGCAAATGATTGGCTTCTTTATTGTACTGATCACGGCGGTTGAGGCCGGCAGCAGGCGGAGGACTGCTACCGCGTAGCAGTTCCTCGCGTTCTCGCCGTGCGTTAACCCGGGCAGATGTCTTTGTGAACTCTTGTTGGTAGTCCTGCAAGTGTTAGAACTACTTATCACATTTCTAATTAATATAGCTGGCAACACTAGATACAAATACTGTGAACATTAGCGCTGTGTGTTTCCTCTGCTAATCTATATATAAATTCCTAGTAGTTTCTACTATTTTATTATAAATAGAGACCATATAAAGATCTTAGACAATTGCTTACATTATGCATGTATACTTAAGAGTTTATAAACCAAAATTTACGGAAGTATTATAATGGCAATGTCAGAAATATCTATTAATTAACGAAAACAAACATTTGCTATAAGAGCATTATCTAAATAGTTGCAAAGAAATGGATATAGCTAATAAATAATATTTTGTTCTCATGACTTAAGGATCTAATAATTTACCATAAGTATTTCTCTGTGTCTCTTTATCGTGTGCATCGTAGCAGCGCCACTCGGTGCCAAATCCGCCATTTTGTCGTTAATTGATGAGAGCTGATAAAATGAATAAAAAAAATAGAATCAATGTTTGGAGCAGCAATGTAACAAGTCTGAAATAAATTTTACATTGTATATTGAGACATTGTATATACAGTGTATATTGAGACTTTAACAAACATTAGCATAATACATGTACTTCTGGTTAATATTATGTGCTTTTAAATACAACTATATGTATTATGGGGTTTATCTTAGCGAATTATCAAAAGATCTAAATATATCAATAATTCAAATAATAATGTTTATTACATTACTACATTGTTTTACTAGTGTCACGAACTAATAGTAGTGGTAGGACCAAACCTAAATTGGTTATGGGTAAAATACACTTTGTGCAAGGTTTTTTAGTGTCATAGTAAATAAGATTTAAAAAAATGGGAGTGCAAATTTCTGATAAAAAAAAAAACCAGAAATCATCCAAAAATTGATTTCCCACACCTTATATCGCCACTGACATAAAATATTCAGATTTGAATTTAAAATTATACAAAACTACAATACATTTGAATTTTTAATTACCTTGTTTAATAATTGCTGCAATTCCATAGACATTGTATCAAACATATCTTCACTATTGATCAGAGGAACAGTCTCCGAACTCAGGCTAGATGTGGTACTCACACCAAGTTTACTAAATGCCACCAGTTTTACATCTATGTCATTTTCTAGTAGACGAGCTTGCTTCCGCAGCTCTAGAATTGAAAAATAAATTAACAATTGTGTGTATTTTTAAAACAAATTCACAATTGTTAAAATAATGAAAAATTAATTCTGTTAATTATTAATTTTAATCACAATAGTAACAGTCCAAGAATGTTTCTGACAATACTCAATGGGGGTTGTCAAAAGCAGAGGGAGGAACAAAAACATACTTATAAAATTGTTATAACTTTATGAGTCTTTATTTTATTATTTTTAAAACTTATGCTAAAAATTTTTATCCAATGTTTATATACATAATAGGAAATTAATGAACAGACTTTATTTTTGTCTTTTCCAACAATTGTTTATACTTCACCTGGAAGTCTTCTACATGGGCATTATTTTATTTTTAATAATTTAATATTGTGTATAAACATATAATGGTTACAAATTAAAAAACGATCCAACTTGGTGTACTCTATGATTTCTATGGCTATTGCCTATAGACATGAGTGACTCTTTACCACTTTACGTGGCAGCAGTTATCACTTTCCATCAGGTTGTCTGTCAGTCAGTTTGCCATTCTATTATGAAACAGATCAAAGTATTTTTATGTAACCTCATTCATAAGCATACACTAGGGACAGGATCTATTTTTTTTAATTAATAGTCTGGTGCAAGCATGCAAAGCTTTACAATGACATATATGAGAGCACATACGCAGTTTTTAAGGGGCCTTATTATACATATAGTGGTAGTCATATTGTGACACAAGTCCTGGATTTAATTTCCACTTCAGTCAACTTCATTCAATAATGCCCTAGATGTTTGGTTTAATGTGATTGTATAAACTTTATTAATATTGACACAGTGTGAATCAAAATTATACTATCCTGTGGTAATTCCCTTAATATAGGCTATCTGTGTTTATTATAAAGTTAATTCAATTCCAATGAGATATTTAAGGTTTTTGCATTATTGATGAGAAGTCAGGTCAGTTGACCAATTGTTACAAATGCACCAAGAAGTAACTATGATAGTTTACAGACGGATAGAATGAAGAATCAAACATAGCATATTGCTAGAAATGGGTCCATTTGTTCCCATTATTAACAGTAGCCTTCCCACTATTTAAGGATACTCTAGTTAATATTTCTTAACCTCCAAACAACATTACAAAATGTCATTTCTAATATTAGTAAGATATAAAAATTCTGTAAATCACAAGCAATATGTTAACTATAACACCTGAAGGAATTGTTTTTATCGAAAGGACTTTGGTCACAACAAGTTTTGCCTGTTACATGTCATGAATCATATTAAAAATTACAAAGAAAAGTAGGTTAAGAAAAATTAACGTAATGAAGTAAGTAAAGTTGAAACCAATATTTATGTATTACTATAAGAGAAAGCAATCAACAGAAAATATTTGACGTCATTGGATTAAGAACCGGTGAAACTGTACATTTTAAGTGTTCATAATATTATTTGCTACGTACCTTCCCAAGACGTACTAGCTAACATGGTCATTTTTCCAATTATTACTTTATTTTGTAACTTCAGTACTAACAGTGCATGTGATATAAATATTATTCACTATTTCGTGTTGAATGATAAATATAAATATATCAAATACACATTTTTATTTCCACTGTAAATGTACTGTTTTTCATTCATTCATTTTTTTTTTTTTTTTTTAGTACGTTTGTTCCGTTTGGAACAGGCTAAGGTCGGAGACCATGCTGCCTAGTCTTCAAAAAGATAATTTGTCTGGAATTTTATTTTTCTAATGTCGCTTCAATTATTGTCATAATCTTCAATATTTCATTTGTCAAATCCGGTAAGTACATTTTCATAAATATCTTTTCTTGAGTTTTCTTAAACCAGTGGATTTATCAAATTAAAAATAAATAATTATAAAAAATCATTGTCTTGCAATTCAATAAAAGTATTCTTATAGCTCCTTGAATGTTGTAATAATATAAGTGAAAATAGCTTTGAAACAAGAAGGAAATCTTAAGAGAAGCGGGATTGAGTGCGGGATATTTTCGGGTTTTTTGAAGATAATCCTAAGTTCGTCAAACATAATGTGTCTTTGAATGACAAATTCAGAGCAATCAAAAAAAAGGTGATGTAGAGATTGGGCTGTATTTGAGTTACACCATGTGCATGATGGGGAAGCGATCATGCCCATTCGGTGCAGGTGTTCGTTGAAATGTCCGTGGCCGATTCGTAATCTACAAATATTGGTGTAAAATTTTCTGTTTGTGTCCTTTCCTTTGCAGTACCACGGTTTTCCAATACGCCAATTAATTTTGCGGTACCATTTGCCTTTAGTCTGTAATATTTGAGTCCAATGCTCCTCCCATTTAGTTGTAACGATTTTATGTATTCCAATACTACAATCTGAGTAACAAAGGGGTAAATCTTGAACACGAGCAGCACTTGAATTAATAATTTTAGCCAAAGTGTCTACTTGTTCATTCCCAAACACTCCAATATGTGAAGGGGTCCAGATGAAGATAATATCTTTTCCATATATAGTACAGAGATGATAATATTTATTACGAATTTCTTGAATTAAGTAGTTTGATGATGAAATGAATGTGTTATTTTTTAATGCCATAAGAACACTCATACTATCTGTAATTATAATCCATTTCGAATATAGTACCTGTTTTTCTATGTATTCTAATGCTAAAAATATAGCTTTTGCTTCTGCTGTGTAAATACTAGCCAAAGTTGAAATTTTATAACCGTGACCAAATCTATTTGACAAATCGTAAAAAGCCACTGAAGTGCTAAGTGCATTTTTGGAACCATCTGTATATATCTGCCTGTAGTCAATAAATTCTGATAAAGTCTCATACATATCGTGCTTTTCTTTTATGTCTTTACGTATAACAATTTTGATCTTACAGAACTTACTCTCATAAAGGCCATTATAACAAGGAAGTATCTTACTACTATAGATGTTATATTCATCTCGTAAATTCAAATCATTGACAATAGTTTTATTCAAAAACATAGAAATGGGGCAATTTAATAATTTGAGTATGAGTGGGTTATTGGAAACTGAAAAAACTTTGAAGAGAAATTTGAGTTTTAGGTATTCGAAACGAAGAAGGATAGGAGGCAAATTACATTCTACTTGCATTGAGATAATTGGAGAAGTATACATAGCACCTAAAATAAGTCTTAAATTCATATTTTGAATTTTTTCGAGTTTTTCTACTAATTTATGTTCTGAGGCATAACAAAAGAAAGCGTAATCAAAATTACTTCTAACAAGAGATTTGTAAAGTAAAAGGATAATTTTAGGATCAGCTCCCCAGTTACGACCAATTACAGATCTTATTATATTAGTGGCTCTTAAAGCACGATCTACTAAGCAATCAACGTATAGATCCCATTTTAAATTTTGATGAATAATTACCCCCAGAAATTTAACGCTACAGTCTGTTGGAAGAGTTTGATTATTATATATAATATTCATTAATGGAACATATTTATGAACTTGATGAAAAACAACTACTTTACTTTTGGTTAAACTAATATCGAGGGAAAGAAGAGAAAAATATTTCTCAAGTCTTTTTAATGACTCATTTAACACTAATTGCATATCAATAATATTCTTTCCTTTTATATAAATTAATAAATCATCGGCAAATTGCAAGTTGTTCACACTGTTTCCTAAAATTGAATTAAGTTTATAGATATATAAAATATATAGTAGCGGGCTTAGAATACCACCTTGACATACTCCTTTAGAGCTTAACCTAGGTCCTATTAATTTACTATTTACTTTAACATACACTTCTCTATTACTAAGAAAATTATAAATCCATTCGATAAGTTTCATTGGAAGAAATGAGGATAAAATCGAAGATAGAACTGTTAAATTTACATTGTTAAAAGCTCCTACGACATCTAAAAAAACAGATAGAACATATTCATCGTTATTCAAAGCAGTACTAAGGTCGACATAGAAGTTCGCTAAACTTTCGCGCGCTGAATATCCACGGCGAAAACCAAATTGATTCGATGGTAATATACTATTACTTTCAATAAAGAACTCTAAACGCTGTTTAATTAATTGTTCGAATAATTTGCCTGCACAGGACGTCAATGTTATAGGTCTATAGGAGTCGAAATTTGTAGGATCTTTACCGGGTTTAATTACTGGAATCAAACAATCCATTTTCCATTCTGGTGGGATAATACAGTCCTTCCATAAATCGTTAAAAATTTGTAAGAGTTTAGTAAGGTTTATTTTATTCAGCAATCGAAACATATTGTATGTTAAGCGATCAAGGCCACTAGCTGTATCTTTTCTAGATTTTACTGCACTGGATATTTCATCAATTGAGAATGGGTCAGTGAGAAATTTTGGGCATGAATTAACAGAATTAAACTGTTTGTCATCAAAAGGTGAGTGTACAAAATCAGGAGTATATTTGCGTAAAAAATCATTGACCCATGATATATCTTTAAAATGATTTTGACGATGTTTTGAATTTAGTTTTCTCATATTTTGCCAAACAGTGGAAATTGGTGTTAATCTATTAAATTTGGAACAAAATTCCTGCCACCCCTGTTGTCTTACTTGCTTAATTACTAACTTTTTAACAGCTTGAACTCTTTTAAAATTTATGTAATTATCGAGAGTTGGATTTTGTTTAAACCTAAGGTAAGCCGCTTTACTATCATTGACAGCTGTCGCACACCTGTTATTCCACCAAGGTACTGCAATATGTTTGTGCCTCTTTGAAGTATTTGCACCGCTATTTGATAAGTTCCTACGTGGAACGGAACGTTCCACAGCTGTCAAAATAATTTTACAGAACCTATTGTAATTGTTTAAGGGTTCATTGACATCATACTCGAAATCCAAAAGTAATTGATTAACAGTTTCAGAATAAAGATCCCAATTAACGAGACGTAGGTTTATACGATTTAACAAAAGTTTATTAACTTCATCTATAGGAGCATGTTGTTCACCTGACGGAGTTGATGAAGAGTTCTTTGTGTTTATTTTAGTAAAAGTCGGCAGGTGATAACTTCCTAACGGATCATCATGAACCGACCACTCGCATTTTAATGATATGGATGGGGATACCATAGTTAAATCAAGGCCATTGGGTCTCCAAATATGAGAGCCAACAGTAGTAACTTGCTTATCATTTAATAGTACCAAATTACATTCATCTAAACAATCAAGAATGTCTTTACCTCTTGTATTAGTGGAGGTACAACCCCACATAGTATGATGTGCATTTAAATCTCCAGATATGATAGTGGGTTTAGGAAGAGACTCCAAAAAGAACTTAAATTTGGCTTTAGTAAAACTAGGTGTACTATTGGTAGGACAGTAAATACTGGCAACTGAATACCAAGAATTATTAACTTCAATACTAATAGCTATAGTTTGCAAAGAATTGTCGAAAAAAGAGTGAAGTTTTTTATATCTAATACTATTATGTATAATAATCGCTACTCCATTGTGGTTATTACCACAATCATTTCGTGATAATCTTTAATTTTTAATTTGTAATGTGGTTTTAGCCAAGTTTCTGAGATGAGAGCAATGTGAATATGATGTTCATTTAAAAATTGTGTAAAAATATGTCGATTGCTCAGTAGGCTCTGAGCGTTCCACTGTATGATAGTTAATTGGTCTCGATTGAATTTTGTGAAATAGGTCTATTACCAAAAGTATCATATAACACATTCAAAACACTTTTAGTGTTAATAGATGTGTTCTTTGTGTTATGTAGTGAAATAAGTTTGATTATGCTTTCTATTAAAAGTGATAAACTCTTGTTATCAGAATTTAGAATTGAAATTAGGTCTACATTTTTTTTAGGTTTGTTACCCAGTTTAGGAAATATTTCAGTGCTAAGTATATCTCCAAAAGAAGCAGGTCTGAATTTAGATCTATTTTCACTTTTGTTTAAAAAAATACACTTGTGTGATTTCCATTGCAGTGTACACAAATAGCGTTTTCCATTCCAGTTGTACAAGTTTTATAATTATGCTCACCTTTGCAGATGCTGCAACACTCAGAAACAGAATTTAGCTAAATGTCCATATATATAGATATATGGAGTGACATTGTGGCGCCAACCTCATATCCATATTCAGGTAATACAGATGCAGCAAAAGTAATTGTCACGGTTAGAGTTGGCTGTAACACATATCCATGAGTCAAGGTATTTTTTCTTAAAATTCTTTTAATAGCAATAATTTTCTTAGAACTCGATATCATAGTATATATTTTTTTATTAGATATATTTGTAGGTACATTTCTAATAACGCCTGTAACTTCTGTTGAAGAAGCAGGGCCTTAAAATGGTAGTCATTTAAAAAAGTTTTATTATTTAAAAAAGCATTGGCTAAGTCTGGCTTTTGAAAGTATTTTTTGAATTTATTTATAGATCTAAGATAAGTTACCAAATCGTTTTAAACAGGAGGAGAGTGAGAGCAATCTTCCAATGGTTTTCACTATCTGAGGATAAAGACAACAAATTCTGTCCCAGGGGATTCCTCGGGATATCTTCTAATATAATCTGTGACGTAGTAAGGTTTATACTTATCGGCCTTATCAATTTCAGATTCTGAGTCAGTAGAAGTATCTTCCGAATATATATCCTTGTCATTACAAGGTTCATGGTCTACATCACCTGAATCGTCATCTTTTTTTTTCCTTTTTCTACAACTGCGCTTCCCCATGAATGCTAATTATATTACTGTCGCTGAATTTAGTGAAAATATAATATTTTATTCAATAATAAGAATTGATAGAGATAGTTTTAATAAATTAATAAAAAAAATTTAAAAAACCCGCTTGTTCTTATTCGAGTTTCCCGCCTTTCACCACTACATGTCATTCCCTGTGTGATAGTTTTTTTTTTTTTTATCTTTTCTTATGGCACGGCACAAAGTGCATCCGCCAAAAACAAAGTTTGAGAAACAGCATTTTAATTTTGGACAGAAATTTTAACTGATGTGTGATAACAATGACTTTCAACGGCCAGTCAAGCAAGTAGTTTGTAGGAAATAGATAGAGCTAGAGTAGCTTTGTCTCTTTTCTGCAAGCCTTCTTTATCCTACGATAGATACTTGGTATAATATACTCGTAAGATCAAGAATATCATATACATTTGCTGGATTCAATTCACTAAATACTTCATGGTACAGATTGTTTTGAAACCCTGTTCGTCTATTAATTTATTATATAACAATAGATATTTTACGAATATAATAAAATTGTAACTAGATGAATTTTCTACATGAAAGATATTTAAGTGAATCTGATATGGGAGTGTCTTAATATAATAAAACCAATAAAAGTCAAAACAATATTTTTTTTTAATTTTCAGTCTGTCTGCAGTTTTCATCAACGAAACGAAAAAATATCCATTAAAGTCACCGATTTATTGGAAAGAAAAGTGTTGCCATATATATAGAATATCATCATCAGCATCATATCAGCTGTTACTAACTGTTCACTGAAAAACATAGGCCTCTCCCTGGGGAGGTTCCCTCAGTTGCCTCTTACGACACCCACGCGAAAGGAAGGAGTGGGCCATTTAATATTGAGACCACAGTGCAATTTTTCATTAATTGTAGTAATTTTAGTGCAGACTTGAGTACTTGACTTGCCCTCATTGAACTGAACTATAATTTTATACTCTGCGTTAATATGTTAACGGTATGTACCATCAACAATGAGTTAATCAGAAATTTTAACTGATGAACATTTTTAGTGTAGGATAAATTTGAGTAGATACCTCGAGATCGAATTATAATAGACTAGAATACGCTTTCATCGATATTAAATCATTTACTTAATCAAGTATGCAGAGAAAATATATATATATATATATATATATATATATATATATATATATATATATATATATATATATATATATATATATATATATATATATATATATATATATATATATATATATATAGTATATTGTTAATTTTAAAAACTAACTTTTGGTGTTTAGAAATTTGTATTTTTATTAGCACTAAAAAATTGCTTTGTTGCACTAAGAAATATTTTCAACTATAAATGGAATATGGAAGGCCTTAAGCAGAGGTGTATTATCCCTAGGGCACTAGGCACGTGCCTAGGGGTGCAAGATTACAAAGGGGCGCGCACACGAAATCTTTAAACAAAGAATAAAAAAAGCCGGTCAAGAGTCGGACTCGCGCAACGAGGGTTTCATACAAAATCAAGTTTTAATTTTTTTTTTTTATGTAATAAATACAAATTTATGGTTTTTAGATTTTTTCCTTTACTTGTGCTATCTACATGACATTGTTTCTTGCTAAATTTCATTATTTAAGATCAACGAGATGTACCCTATAGGTTTTGATTCCCTTTGCGAATGTCAAAATATGCGATATAAATGGAACATAAACGGCCGCACCTTTTGATTGCGTCGATTTAGAAGCTTGATTTTTTTTTCACTGATTTAAGAGATTGCAGACTTGTGTATATGATATTAATTTCAATTTGATAGCTCTACACGTTCCTACCAAAAAGTGTCTTGACAGACAGATGGACGGACGGACAACGAAGTGATCCTATAAGTGTTCCGTTTTTTCCTTAGGTGGTATGAAACCCTAAAAAAATAATAAATTAGATGGTGACAATAAATAAACCTATGCACCTGTTTACACAGCATAAAAAATATATTATTTATCCAAACACCGATATAGGACATGCATATCGACGTCAGTTAGCAATTGCAGTGAGTGGAGTTCCTGTCTAAAGTGAGTGGAAAATTATCTTTGCTCAATGATGACAGATAAGAGATTAAATTTATTAAAAAGAAAGAAAAGAAAGAAGGAAAACATTTATTGCCAACAACAAAAAAAAGTTACATAAATAATCAATTTAAAAAAAAATTTGCATTTGTTATTGCCAACGTGGTCGCCACTCAGCATGTGCTGTAGCAATTTAATTGCTACAACGCTGATATTCTGTGGTACCCATGCGTAACATCATATTAGAAATATTTAAGATTGAATCAAACTTATCTTTATCTTATCTTTAAATTACATATAACAATGTTATTACCAAATTATAACGATGTTAATTAACAAATTCACAAGACAAAAAAGTAGACACAGAATCTTCTAAGTTTAACATTTGTTAACATTTTTCATTTAATGTTATTAGTGTCAATTTTTAAATAAGTAATTTATAACTTCAGTCATCAATGCTTACTACTAAGTATCTACTATTTAAAATTTATACTATAGAGGTCACTAGAGACGCGCCGATGAGGTGCTTGCCTAGGGCACTTTCAACATTTAATTCGCCTCTGGTCTTTATAAGTATCATATAATCTAAGAGCACCTGTTAGTATCAAGTCGAAAATGACCAATTTAGCATTCAATATTTCATTATTTGCCGTGTCGGCCCCGGCATAGAATGAGCCACCTATTCCTTTCCCGTGGGTGTCGTAAGAAGCGACTAAGGGAGCTTATGGTGGAGGGATGGGCAGCAGCGTACCTCTTAAAACATCTGTAAAAGCCTAATTGTAATTACCAACCCGCCTGCCAAGCGTGACAACTACTGGCATGACTCCTCTTATGGGGAAGGCTTATGTTCAACTGTGGACAGTAAAGGGTTGAAATAATAATATTAATTTCATTATTAATTGATTTACTTAATTACAAAACTATGATGTTTACATAGTTACCGTTGTAAAAATCGTGAAATTACTTAGTAGTTTGTTGGCGAATGTAAAACTTTCTTATAAAAAACAGGCGGAACTACATTCCAGATAGATCGAAGGGATTTATAAAATAAATTCTCGATACTGAAAAAAAAAAATCAAAATCAATTTAGAATTAGCGCTATAATCACGTAACATAAGTACTTACCTAGTCATAAAAAGACCAGTTGAAAACATATTCTTTTGGCTGGTTCATAAAACGCAATCTTCTTTTCTTTTAAACTCTTTCGAAACATACATATATCAATAATGAACGACCGAACGATGGATCGGTGTAAGATAATGATGATCGGCGAAGTAGAAATAAGTAATACATGGTGCTGGGTACCTAAATTGCGTATTAATTACCTGGGTAATTATAGAAATGACAAAGCGTTCTTTCAGCAATTTTTAGGTTGCTCAACAGATAGAAAAACATGTAGAAAACACATTATTATGTATATTTTTACTTTAAATCTTCTTGGTTAAAACATTATACATTAAAAAAATAAATAGTAAAATAAAATTATTGTCATTTGATATATTATTCGATAAATGTATGTCTCTTTTTGTCATATGTAAGAAGATTAATGTTGGAATGAGATAGAATAATTAAAACAGGAAGAAAATGAAGATATCATATGCGTATTTTTTTAGTTATCCAGTATGTGAAGTAAACAATAATTTCATATTTTTTGCTGTCAAACTTTTTTATTAAATATAACAATATTTTTATAGTAAAATTGTGTAGTATAATAAAATAGGACTATATATTAATAGAATTAATTTTAGATTTTAGACAATTGTTTCTCTGTGTAAATTTTATTGAACGTGTCACGTAACTGTTATCTATCTCACTCACACTGATGGGTCGTATAGGTCAAAAACATCACGTCCACTCGCTCTTTGAAACATTGCCCCCACCCATTTTATCCGTGCGGAGTCGAATCAGTCGAGGTCGAGTGTTTCTTTCTTTGGTTTAGGGAGCAGTAGTAGTGAATTTTAGGTGATTAAAAAGTGTTTATTGATGTAATTTGGTGGTTAATTATTGTGTTAAATTACAAATAGTATTAGTGTTATTATCATAGGTTAAAGACATGTCAATTATTAAGTTGTAGTGATAAATACTAACTATCGTATAACAAGGACAAAACGAGTTCGATAGATGCATGTCAAAATGGCTGCTGCTGCTAATAAATTACAACAATTGAAATTCGATAAAATATGTCGGGCGTGTTTAGAAGTTAAGAAGGATATGAGACCTTTATTTGAACAACTGACTGCAACAATGCTGATGGGCATATCGAAAGTTCAGGTATTTATGACATATTGTGATATTTTCGGATTACATCTGTCTCTTTCGCTCTTACGGCGAAAGAGTATACTTAATGCGTGACGATGACTGTCTATCGTGTCGTCGCATCGCGTCATCTTTCTTTGGAATTCATTGGATTTCGAGATTCCTTCAATATAGTGCGTATTCTCGAAATTTGATTGAGAAATGTGTTGCTATCCTTTTTCGTCTCATGCACGTCAACTTGCCGTTGGTGAGATACAAACATTCATTGAATAATACTCAGATGCGTACCTAATTAAGTTTTGATGCATATTGTTATCCCTTATCATTACATTCATTACTACGTACATTTCATTCATTCGTTTTATTCCTGTTGAAAGCGCGGGAAATTCTTTATGTACTTACTTACGCCGAAGTTTCAAAATTTTTAATAGGTAGGTTTAATAGATACTTACTTAAACAGATAATTATTTACCTAATCCTTATTAATGTGAAAATTTGTTTGATTGTTACGGTTTAACCAATCACTAAGAAATTGATATACACGTACTCAAGGAACAGGGTACTTAGAGAGCACGCACTATATGGGTTGGAGAAGGATATGTCTATATATTTTTTAATTCGGTCAGTAAAAATATCCCGGTCACACGGACGAAGTCGCGGGTGAAAGCTACTTTTAGATATATATATATATATATATATATATATATATATATATATATATATATATATATATATATATATATATATATAATAATGTTATTTTAAATTCTAATTTATTTTTGCATAAGTTTTTTTATTATGGATGATAATGGAACGCCTACGCTAACGGTATATGCTGTCGAGACACCAGTGAGGGATGATAGGTGAAGATGAAAACGCAGGTCAGTTAGTCCATCGTAACGAATACAACGATAAATTAGTCACGAATGGTTTCCACGGGGAACCGCGTGGAGGTCGACCTGATAGGGTAACCTATATTGATAGCAATGGGGTCTAACCTCCCCATTACTAACAATCTCTTCTTAACGTCATGGGTGGGTTAACACGGACAAGGTGGGGCGGGAATTTCCAAGGGGGACCACGTGGAGGTCGACCTGACAGGGTATATTGCTAACAATGGGATCTGTATTACTAACAGTCCCTTCCTCCCCCCTGTAGGTGGCGGTTGGCGATGGTTTGCCAGCACAGCTATGTCTGCAGTGCGTGCACCAGATTTCGCGGTGTCACGCCTTCAAGGAGACGGTGGAGCGGAATGACGTCACGTTACGGGAACAGGCTAAACTTAAGGCCGAAAGGGAAGAGGTATAGTGCTTAGAGAAATCTTATTTTCTTTTTAATCCAACTTAGAATGGCATACAAACTAATGGAAAGTGATTACAGTCGCCTATAGACATGAAAAGCATCATGGACATAACATAGTATACTGTATTGCCTATGATACTTTTAATGTATAAATGTTTCGAATTTCGGTCACGCAATTCTACGAAACTGTTCGAATAATTTTAGTAGAATATGTGTATTATTTTTGTCGTATGGTTCCGGCATAAATTGAGGCACCCCTTCCTATCCTGTGGGTGGTATAAAAGGCGGCTAAGGGTACTTAATAGTCGAGGTTTGGGCAGCAGCGTCCCTCTTAAAACATCCAAGTCCTAACTGTGCTTGCCAACCCGCCTGCCAATCGTGGCAACAACAACAGTTAAAGGCTAATATGATGATGTGTATTATTTGCTCCATTTTCAGAGAGTAGTAGGTATACTTGTTTTTAACCGACTTCAAAAAAGAAGGAGATTCTCAATTCGGTTGTATTTTTATGTTGGTTACCTCATAACTTCGTCATTTATAAACCCGTCGGGGAAATTCTTTTTTTTTTTCTGAAAGAATATTGAAAATATATTATAAAAATATATTATGTTCTTACAGATTGGTTCCGTAGAAATTTCATTAAAATCGTTTCAGTAGTTTGGTATTTTTTTTATACAACTTAGAATGGCAAACAAGCTGACGGTCCACCTGATGGAAAGTGGTAACCGTCGCCTATATACATGAGCAGTACCGTGGACATAACAGAGTATACTGTTTCGCCCATGATACCCCCCATGCGTTGCTATTCCTGAGGACTCAGATGTTATTCCTCTGTACCCAGTAAATTCACGTCATATCCCACCCTTCAAACCGAAACACAGCCATGCAAACACAGCTGCTTTACGGTTGAAACACGAATGGGACAGAGGTACCCAAGCAATCGACTTTTGTACAAAATTTTAATCAAAATAATTTGTTTAGCAAAGAATAATGTCGGTGTTTTTTTTTTTTTTGTGGAACAAAGTATATTATTATTGTTATCTATTATTATCCCGATAATAAAATGGGCTCAGTATGTGACAGTAGGAGAGAAAACGTTAATCGGGTCAGTTAGTAATGTACATTGGACTGTTTTTTGCACTAAGCCTCTCGTTTGGACCATTGTGCTTTTTTTAAATAGATGATAATGGAATGGTAACTCCGCCTGCGCTAACGGTAAACGCTGGCGGGGCACCAGTGAGGGATGATAGGCGACAAATGAATAGCCTATCGTGATGAATTCACTTGAAATAGAACACGATAGTTTCTAGGGGAAACCGCGAGGACGTCGCCCTGACAGGGTGTATTGCTAACAATGGGGCTACTAATCCCCATTTTTAACAATCGATTATTCTCCAGCATTCCCTGGGGCTATTATTGAAACGTGAAAATAAACCTGTTATTATTTCTTTATTGGTCACAGAAAGAGATGTTAAATATGGCGTGTGAAGACTCCTCATACATTCAATACGTGGAAGTGCCAATTGTCAATAACAGTAATCAGATCCTCGACGGCTTCTTCACCACAGAAGAGACCAGCATCAAAAATGACCCTCTGGATGAGAACTACAAGTCGGACAAGGTACATAATAATATACAGATATTTTCACTTCTTTAGCCGTATTTAGAGGGGGGGGGGGGGGGTCATGTGGGATGTGCCCACCTCAGGGTGCAAGCAATGCTTCGCAAATGCATGCCAATATGCGATTTTTTTAAGAGGTCTGGCCTCCACTGTAAAAGAATCTCTAAATACGCCCAGCTTCTCTATTTTTTTCTTTCTTATTTTACTAGTTATTCTCTGCGGTTTTTCCCGCGTGAATGTAAAGTATTCCATGTGCCAAGTTAGGATTTAATGTACCCATGTGTTTCATGTCATTCAAACCATCGAGAAACTGACAAAGTAAAATTCAAAACGACAAGAAATTTTGAAAATAAATTCATTTTTAAAAAAGTGTAAATCTCACCTTATGAACTCATTACAAGAATAGTAGTTAGTCATCATCTTTTATTTCTTTATTTATTGTTTATATTTATTATTTATTGTGTATAGGTATAAATAAATAAATCTCCCATACATAATTCTTTACTCTGTCTGAACGAGTCGTGTCAGTAGGTATGCTTCAAAATGTCCTTTCGTTTTTCGACCTATGCTTTTTTGGTGAAAATGTTCAATTTCATTCATAGAAGACTCCCTTAGATATCGAGCACCCTGTATATTCACAACATCTTTGTACAGTGGTACCTCGACATACGAGTTTAATTCGTTCCGTAACCTTGCTCGTATCTCAATTTTCCCGATTATAATGCCATTATTCTGTACTCCCAAAAAATCACCTCAGTTGTTTTTGTTAAGTGATAGTCTGGGGTGGGAGAAACTGTTGGACAGCAACATCCATCCCGCATGTTGGGGTCGTGTACAGCAGTGTAGTGTGCGATTCCTCCTATTTCAAATCTTGCTCTCATCTCAAAGAAAAATATCGGTTGCTCGGCGGCTCGTATCTCAAAACATTCGTATATCGAGGTACCACTGTATTTTATATATCATTATCCCCTCTATAGACGGACACAACCACTCCAGCCACAACAAAAGAAGACGGCGGACTCAACTCGGACGAGGAGAACTACCTCCAACTGGTGGTGTTCCAAGCAACGTCGACGGTGACCCCCGGCCGCCACGTGTGCAACCTCTGCCACAAGGAGTTCAAGCATGCGCGCTGGCTCAAGCAGCATATGCGCTCGCACACCAATTGGATTAAAGCCAACTGCAAGAAACCGCCTATGTGCCCTATATGCGAGAGGACTTTTAAGGTCAGTCACAATCATATTTTACTGAATTAAGTGGTATTTTGCTGAAGTCCATAAATAATTCTGGTCAAATAACCAATTTATTATAAGACTATGTTCATTAGAGTACAAAATTTAGCTCCATACGTAGGTAATTTTAAATTTTCGCGTTTTTTTACACATAATTTAAATACACAATCGGGACTTACGTTTACTTACTCAAGTTCACAAGATGTCCATTATGTTTCGCCACATCAAATGGTATGCAAATATTAACCATTGAATTTACACACAGATCGGTTATTTTACATAGGTAGTTTACATATTTATTTATTTTTTAATTACTTAATATATTATATAATACATAATATATAAAAATCACTACCGGTACCAAGTGCACACTTTGGGTCATGCATTATAAGCAGTCAATAAAGCTATTATAAAATAAATAAAAATGATAGAAACGTTTACAGGTAAATAGTACCTACATACTTACCTGTTTTTTATTATTATTGCACAGCGTCGTGGTCACGCCAAGAAACTGGTATGTAGGTATTATTTGCCTGCAAAGGTTTTTCCATCGCGTTAAGTCTTGATTGTATATTTAAAATATCCATACGTAGATTTTGCGATATTATTTTTCACAATTAAGGGAATTCTCTTTAATGTACAGAGTGATAAGACCATAGTCCTCAAAATTGACAACTTATTAGGGGTACCATGGTCATTACAATCGTTCTGTGATGTAAAGACATCACAGACGAAACACTGCTGTAAAGCATAACAAATAAGTGTAGAATATCATCGCAGGGTCCGGGAATGCTAAAGATGCACATGCGCACCCACGAACAACGGCCGCCCAAGCAGCCGACATGCTCCGTTTGCCAACGGACCTTCTCCACAAAGACATTGCTATATCGCCACCGGCAAACCCACTTCGAACAGAAAACCCATCAGTGCACTGTGTGTGATAAAAGATTCTTTAGTGGATACGCACTGAGATCGCATATGGCTCGGCATCGGGGCGAAAGACCATATATCTGCTCCATGTGCAATAAGAGTTTCTACAATCCGACTGATTTGAAGGTAAGTCTATATGTTTAACCATCATAAACATACATTTCAAATAATCTCCAGTATCTAATTTATAATTATGATCAGTAAGTTTTGTAAGATTAACAAATATACCTCTACATCGTGGCTGTGTGGTCCCAGTATAGAATAGGTCACCCCTTCCTTTCCCGTGGGTGTCGTAAGAGGCGACTAAGGGAGGGCGGGAGATGTGCAGTATTGCCTCTCTTAAAACATCTCTAAAGCCTAACTGCGGTTGTCAATCCATCTGCCAAGCGTGACAACTACTGTCAAAATCCTCCAAGGGAGAGGCTTATGTTGAGCAGTGGACGGTTAAGGGCTGATATGATGATGATGAAAATAAATATACGAGTAAAGGAAATTTTAATACTCTTTAATAATAACGCGCAAACTTTACAAGAATGATCATATGATGAAACCTAACCATCATGCAAAGATGGATTCGACAAGGTTCCACAGGGCAGTTTCTGGAATTTCTTATCCTCTTCATCCTTTACTTTAAAAGCCTCTTGGAAAGCTTTTCTAGTCCTCTTAGATAAATAGTCAGGGAACTCCACATTGAATCTTATTATTAGGTTACCTTTTGCTTTGTTTGGGCATGCCGGTATCGGCAGACCTTCATCTTCAATAATCTTCTCATATGTAGGAGTGATCACATCAGTTACTTTGATTCTCAAAGTCCTATTGTCCAAAGTCTTCAACGTGATTGTAATTCCACACAATGCTTCTTCCAAACTAACATTACGCACAGTCAATAGGTCGTTCAAACCAGATCTGACATAGGTGTCGTGTGGACGATCTTCAGTTATGAAGATAACATCAGCTGGGATCCTTGTAGGGCCTTGATCCCCTTCTTCTCTAAACTTAACTTCTGTGTTAGGATATATACCAGGCTTTATCGGAATGGACAACACCTTCTCCCTTAGCTTTAGTTCGGAACACGTCTCGTCTGTAAACACCAGTCGCTGAATCTTCATTTTCTTTAGACCTCCTTTGTATATTTCTTCCAAAGATAAAGCAAGAGGCCTTACTATATTGGGATCTTTTTCCTTATAGCCCTTTCCTAAAGGAGAATCGAACATAGGTGGTGTATTTTCATAGTAGTCGAGCAGGTCTGCATAGGGATTAGTAGTTCCGAAGAATTCGTGGAAGGTTCTCAGCGGTTCTCCGTGGTAACTGTAAGGTTGTATATATTCCGAAGGTCCGGGTACTCCCCGTTTGAGGCCTTCTTCTCCGTACTGGTCGAATACGGCTCGTCGTTTGTGATCCACCAGTACTTCGTAAGCTTCCCCGATCAGGGCGAAGATTCGCTTCATGTTTTCGTCGTTGTCGTATCGTTCAGGATTGTATTTGAGCGCAAGGCGGCGGTACGCTAGTTTTATTTCATGTTGGTTGCAGGAGCGCTTGACTCCCAGGATACCGTAATAGTCAAACCCCATTTAGTATATTTTAAATATTTGTATTAAAAAATATAAATGTTATTAAAATTACCTATATTCGATTTTTAAATGTCATATTTGACAAATGTTATAAATTCCCTAAAAACATAGATTAAGGATACTACCTGCCCCAAAAAGTTTAAAAAGTTACACATACCAGTAACACTATATATGTCTATTGGTTTGATTAATTCAAGCACTGAATTAAAGTACTATAAATCTTCTAGAATGGTAACGCATGAGTAGTATGGGCACACATTATATTCTGTGTCCACTGTACTTCATCCAGCAGTTGGATAAACAGCTTGTATGACATTTTCAGTCGTATATTTGACGACCTCAGTGGCACAGCTGTGGACATTTGGCTCCGCGCAAATGAGGTCTCTGTTTCGATTACCGATCGGGTCAATTTAAGAAACGAAATTTTCTGGACTGTATCGGGTCTTGATGTTTTTGGGTGTGACTCTAGATATTAGTTGCCTGGTATTTTATAACATAAGGTATGGCTTGAGTACTAAGCCATTGGTGTTATTTATTTATAGAATAAACCTTTTGTCATACCCCATTAGGTACATTTTCGGTTACACACCGGCGAGAAACCTCTCAAGTGTTCGGAGTGTAACAAGACGTTCCGACGGCACTCCACGCTGTGCCAGCATATGAAGAAACACCGCGGTATACGGAACCACATATGTTCAGTATGTAGCAAGGGTTTCTACGAGGTATCCAAGTTGAATGCCCACATGAGGGTGCATACTGGTGAGATTTTATTAAAACCACTATTGTTTATTTATTTAAATAACTTTATTGGCCAATAGAAAATATTACAAAAGGCGGACTTTATTTAGTTTACCAGTTATATATAGTATAATATACCTTGTTGCAATAAGTTTACCAGAGGGAGACTTTATACAAAAGTCTTTGCTTGGGCATCTCTGTCCCATTCGTGTTTCTATCATGAAACAGTTGTGTTTGCATTGCTGTGTTTCGGTTTGAAGGGTGGGATATGGCAGTGAATTTATAGAGTACAGAGGAATAACACCTGAGTCCTTAGGAATGGCAACATAGGGATTACCATGAGCGAAATAGTATACTCTGTTATGTCCATGGTACTGCTCATGTTTATAAGCGACAATTACCACTTTCTATCAAGTGGGCCGTCAACTTGTTTGCCATTCTAAATTGAATAAAGAATGAGTGAATTTTAATTGAAAGCAAAATTTTATTTTATATATTTTCCAATTTTGCGTAGTTTTTAAAATGGAATTTTAATTCGTATTTTACAGTATAAAGTGATTATATCCATTATATATTTTATTATGTAATTAATTACATGTAATATATAATATGTGATTAATAATGCTGAGTATAAATATAATTTGCAACACCCTAACAGGGTTTAAGGTTTAGTGGACAATCAATTAACGTATTTAATATCCTTACAATCTCATGATGCATTGGGTTGGCTGGAAGAGATCTCTTTTAGAGATAAGCCCACCCTTGCTAACAAGTTGATAAACAAATCGCTGTATCTTTTGTTCAAGTACAATAAATATATTTATATATATACATACATACATATTTATATAATATGTAATAACACTACTCAGGCGAGCGGCCATTCGAGTGCAACTTCTGCGAGCGCAAGTTCGCGCAGCAGTCGGCGCTGATCTATCACCGGCGGACGCACACCGGCGAGAAGCCGTACAGCTGCAAGATATGCTCGGCAAAGTTCACCACGTCGTCGGCCAGGAACAATCATATGGTCACGCATACTGGCAACAAAAGGTGATTATTTTTTTAATTTCTCCCCTCCCTTTACAATTTTATTATTCCTTCTTTAGTCCTTATTAAAGGTGTAGATGAGAATGATTACCTTGCCTGTGCTATTGTGAACATGAAAGCATTCAGCACAATGGTTTCCAGGGGGGACCACGTGGAGGTCGACCTGACGAAGTATATTGTTACCAATGGGATTGGTTGTTAGTAATACGGACTGCATTACTAACAACCCCTCCTTCATCCTCCTCCCAATAAAAGCAGGTTAGGTAGCCCATCGTAACAAATCCAACTAAAATGTACCACGATGGTATCCGGGGGAAATTGACCTTATAGAGGTTTGACTATAAAAACGACGATTTAAAAGAACTTGAAAACTACTCTTTTTGAATAATTATTATTTCTATTCTAAATCCAATCGATTGTAAAAATAAGTGTGAAAATTAGTTATTTTTATTTTTGTTTTTTTTTGGGCATAGCTATAACCATGGCATCTTCGACAGGTTCGTGTGTCCCGTATGCCTTAAAGGTTGCACGTCCCGCACCGAGCTGCGAATCCATTCAACAAAACACACGGGCGAGAAGTTGTACGGTTGCGAGCTGTGTGAGCAGCGCTTCAGCTCTGCCTCCTACCTCGCCGTGCACAGGCGGTTCCACACCGGCGAGAGGAAGTACCAGTGCAACATCTGCGGAAAGGGTATGCAGATAAGCTAGTTTAAGGGCCACCAGACCTGGTGGGTCGTGACCACACCAGTATTGGCTGATTCCTACCTCAGAATGCGATCCCCCTTAGGAGGAGGCCTATTTTCAGCAGTGGATAGTTAATGGTTATATAATGATGGTGATTAGTAGTATCATCATCATCATCATTATTATCATCAGCCCTTATATAAGCCTTGGAAAGTTTTGCCAATAGTTGCCACATTTAGCAAGCGGATTGGCAACCACAGTTGACAACCTTGAGATGTTTTAAAAGGGACGCTGCTGCCCATCCATCGCTTGTATTTTTTTTTATGTTTCTTATTTCAAAACTCCGTTCGTTATAAACCGATTTGAATTTTTTTTATCTGAAATGATATACCTACAGATTGGTCCCATAGAAATTTTATCATAATCGGTTGTTTTTTTTTATACAACTTAGAATGGCAAACAAGCTGGCGGCCCACTTGATTGAAAGTGGTAACCGTCGCCTATAGACATGAACTGTATCATGGACATAACAGAGTATACTGTTTCGCCCATGATACCCCCCATGCGTTGCCATTCCTGAGGACTCGGGTGTTATTCCTCTGTACCCTGTAAATTCACTGCCACATCCCACCCTTCAAACCAATCACCCTTGTTTAAATAAAAATAACTAGCTTTTCCAGTTATTTTGATTATATATTAATATTAATATTTAAAGTCGTTTTATTTTTAAGCACAATTCAATTATTTTTACATATTTTTTTAACAGGCTACGTAGAATCAAACTCTTATAAGAAACATATGAAAACGCACGAATCCAAATCAGAATATGAGTCGTCTCATTCGGAAAACAGTGTTGAAAATGTTAACTCTGATACTAGAAGTAATGAGGACAAACAAGAGATGACACAGACCGTCGTTAATGAAGAGCAGGCAGAAGGTCAAGGTCAAGTTCAAGAACAGTCGTTGCAGGGTCAAGGTCAAGATACCACGCAGAGGAGATATAAATGTGGACTGTGCACTAAAACATATATGTACATACATAGTCTGAAGAAACACATGATGAGTCATGTTCAGGTAAGACTCAAACATCGACAGATGACGTTTAAGTCAGGATTAATGAGGTTTGCAAATGTGGTTGGAAAATTTGCCAATTAATGGTATTGTTTTTGTCATTTGGTCCGATTAACTGAGAGATGCTTTCTCTTTGGAGTTCGTATTCAGTTTGATTTAGGTAGGTCTATCGATAGGTTAAAATTTTCAGTCTAATATTTAGAACTCCAAAATACTAAAATTTATTTCGATTATCTCCTTGGTTTAAAAATAAGGCATCAGATTCCATTCTCTGTCTATCCAACTTTGTAAAACATTTTTTTTAAATTGATATAAATTTTCTATCTATCTCTTTTATTAAATAATAAATATTAATTTGTTTGGAGTTAATATAAGCTAAAAGTAAATTAATTCCATTCCGTTACAGCAACAACAACAACAACAATCGCAACAACAACAGCAGCAGCAGCAACATCAGCAACAACAACAGCAGCAGCACATGCAACAACAACATCAACTACAAGTGCAGGTGCAACAACAACAGCAACAGTTGCAGCAACAGGCCGTGTTGCAAGTGGGCAGCGTGCAACAGCTCGCCGTACCAATACACACGCAACATGTGCAGGTAAAATAAGTTTGTTTTTTTTTCTTTATAAACTTAACTTTTATTTGAAAAAGCAACAACTGTCTTTCTTGCCCGTTCTTCTTAGCCGAAATTGCGTTCCGAACTGAGCGGTAGATAAAAAAATTACTATTCAAAAAAGCTAAGTTTACTTGAAAAAAAAAATTATTTATTATTTATTTGCTTTAATAGAATTTAATTAAAAGGTGGAAATTATCTTAGAAATACTTTTTCAATGATATTTGTAACGAATACTAGATACTAATGGACATCAGCAGACTGTCTTATGTTTGGATTAATTACGATTCAAATATGATTCTTTGATGTGATAAACTATCCACCTGATAGAAGATGGTAATCGTTGCCTATAAACACAAGCAGCATCATGAACTTCACAGAGTATTGCTTGCATACTGCGTTGCCTCTAGTGCGCATCATGCTATCCTTTCTTGAGGACTAAGGTGTGCAGTCCTTATGCAGTCGACTTTGTACAAGAATCCTTTAATATCATATATTGTAGTTTAATAAGGCAAATGAATATTATATAATATTCATAATATTATATTTGATTGTTTAAAATTGTATTTTTTCTCTATTTGGTGGATATTCTTTAAATTAACTAAATTAATCTTTCTATGGATACAGTTAAAGGGCAGGTTACGAAAAGGGTATTACTATTTATGAGTTCAAATACCTATCGCTATTTAATTCGAATACTTTATTTTGTACAACAAGAGATAGTTGATTAATGCCATTAATAAAATTAATGTGTACGCTAAGACCCGATTAAAAAACCACTTTGAAGACTATTAAAATTATTAAAAACAAAATAGTAACAGGTCTGCTAATTTTACAGCTCTGCTCTATTCTTTATTATTTCTATAGAAATCATATCGAAAGACATAGATGTAATAGATTTCGCTGCTTTTATTTTAATTATGTCTTAATAACTTAAAAAAAAAGTAAGAAAAGAAACAGTGACGCCATTTATTATTTTTTTATTTATGATGACATAATAAAAATATTATGAAATATTTTTTTTAACTCTAGCAAACGTTACTAATTGCTAGTAGGTAGATTATTATCTATTTATTGATCTTAGTAATAACATTTCTTACCGCATCTTGAAATATAAATGATCGTGTATAAAGGCATAGGGATGAGGGACTTAAAAAAGGATGTAATACTATAGAATACTCTCGTCACATGGGCCCATAACGTATTGTGTAAGTATGCTTATCATTCTATATAAGACGAAACCACATTCCCTCAAATGAGAAATCCACTTGTTTCTCATTATCAGTAGTATAAAAATATATACTCCGCCCGTTTCAAAATTTTTCCAATCACAAAATAAATGTATATTAGAATTTTGTAAGTTATTTTGTGATTTGATCCACTGTGTCGTTTGCAGGGCGCATCGCACACATACCCAGTTATATCGTCGGTACAGTCCCTGCAACTACAACAAACACAGCAACAAGTAAACACGGTAAAAAAATCTAATTGCTTTACACTCTTTAAGGAGCCATTTTAAAATGGCATACTGATGGATCCATTTGAGGGAAAGTGGTAATCGTTGTCTATAGATATTAACAGTTCTCATCATCAGCATCAGACTCCCCATGCCTTACGCTTCCTTAGAACTAAACTGTTATGCCTCTGTATGGTAGAATTATTCATAAAAAAAATGTTATTCAAAATTATTTATAAAGTGGACCTAAATAAAAAAATAGACTTATTCTTACAAATCTGTTATATGAGACATATACATTGGTTTTTTTTTTATTATTATTTTAAGGGCTTTTACCTTCTTCAGGTATATCAGACCTATCGTACCCTGAACTGATTTCTCAAACAAAACTTTATGTACTTTCGCTAGACGCGGAAAGAGAAGAATTAATGGGCATCAAGTATGGTTGATTGATGTCTGTGTTGTATAAAAAAAATTACGAAAAACATTTAAATAAGAACATTCATGATGTTGTTACAGCAACAGCCACAGCAACTCCAAGTGCAAACGATACAGATTCACCCGCAACACCAACCGATACAAATACACGTAAGTTATTGACGTATTGTAATGTTTCTTTCTATATTATGCATAATGTGTGAAATTGTAAAACTTGTATCATTGAATCATAAGTAATATCACGGATCAGGAGATCGATTCGTGTGCATTCGAATCATTCACAAATTCGAGAAATAAATTTGAACATTTTCGAGTGAAATTTACGTTATGCTGGTTATGTCGATTTCGACATTTCTCGAAGGAACACCGATCGAGTTGCTTTGACTGGTCGCAAACGTTCGAGTTTGATGTTCGTTACAAAAATTTTCGAATTCGTGATGAATTCAAAATTCGTGAATTTACAGGGTACAGAGGAATAACACCCGAGTCCTCAGGAATGGCAACGCATGGGGAGTATCATGGACGAAAGAGTATACTCTGTTATGTCCATGGTACTGCTCGTGTCTATAGGCGACGGTTACCACTTTCCATCAGGAGGGCCGTCAGCTTGTTTGCCATTCTAAGTTGTATAAAAAAATCGAATTTACGAGAATAGGCCTCCTGCAACTATTTTAAAGTCGAATATGCATAGGGGTAAGGGTGGGTAAACTATAGCAATATGTATATATTGTAGTTATAATATTTATATATTGGCCTCATAACTAGATATATTAATTATCGGTTATTCAATATTTATATATTCTTACATTTAGTGGATTCTTCAGTTATTATCGAACTGAAGAATCCGCTCGTAATGAAAATAGGTATTTTTTTTATGGGTGATAATGGTATGGTAACCCCGCCTGCGCTAACGGGATACGCTGACGGAGTACCAGTGAAGGGTGATAGATGAGAATGAAAACAGGCCAATTAGCCCATCATGATGAATTCATCAGAAACTAACTATGATATTTTCCAGGGGGAACTACGAGGAGGTCGACCTGGTATATATATATACTCATATTGCTAACAATCTCTTCCCCCCCTCCCCAATGAAAATAGATATCCGACTGATATCGAAATGGGTGATCATCAATGTCCAGAAAACTCCAATATATATATATATATAACATTTATCATCCCTACGCAGGGGTTTAAAGAAATTTTCTAATATAACTAGCTGACTCGGCAAACGTTGTTTTACCATATACATTATTTCTAGAACTATACGTGAAATTCATCGTACTACAATTATTATACTCGATTGTCATCTTGCAATACTATTGCGCAATATAATAAAAATCGCGATTAAAAAACAGGGATTGATCGTAAAAGCGTGAAAATTTGAAGTTGTATGTATTTTTCAATGCTTAATCGTAATAAAATAAACATAAAATAAAATTGCAAAAAAAATAAAAAAAAAATTGCGGTGGGTCTATGGTGGCTCTTATCATTAGGGGGTAACGAAAATAGATGTTGGCCGATTCTCAGACCTATCCAATATGCACACGAAATTTCATAAAAATCGTTTGGTAACAAACACCGTGACACGAGAATTTTATATATTAGATTAAAATATTTTTTTTTATTGTACTGCCAGGCGGTGGGCGTCCAACAAGTACAACAGCAGCAGTTGCACGTAGCTACGTCCAGTTGTCAAACTATGTTGCCCAATATACTGCAGGTAATATGAATTTTTGTTTACACGTACTCTCAAATATAGTATGCTAGTTTAATAATATACTAGATCAAGAATAGACTACGACAGATTCCAGAAAGATCTTGTGGAGGTTGACTTGAAAGTATATATTGCTAGCAATGAGCCCTTTTTGTTAATGGGTGAAAATGGTATGGTGACCCCGCCCGCGCTATCAGTATTCACTGACGAGGTACCAGTGGAAGATGATACGCCACGATGAATACGACAAGAATTAATCGTAATGATTTTTAGGGGGAACCGCGTAGAGGTAGAACTGAGAGGGTATATTGCTAGCATCGGAGCTATCAGACCTTGTTACTAACAATCCCTTTCCGCAATGAGCTCATTCTAGTTACTAATAATTCTTTCTCCCCTCTTATATATATATATATATATATATATATATATATATATATATATATATATATATATATATATATATATATATATATATTTACGTACGTACGTACGTACGTACTACGTATTTATTATTTTTGGTAGTGTAAAAAAGTAATTGTACAACTGGATATCGGCAGCTGCAGCCGGCGACGGCGGCGGTGGCGGTGTCCGGGCTCGGCCAGCAGGAACTGGGCGGCGTCGCGCACCGCATCATACTGCAGCCGCAGCACCCTGCGCTCTACACCATACACCACTGATACTCGCCCGCACCACCCTACCCGCACACTAGAACATTCTAGAATTATCTAGAATACATTTGCCAGAAATAGAAATATAGGTATATCAGCTGCAGCGCGGTATCATACTACTATCCCAGCACTCCGCATTGTACACTATACTATTTACTCGATTCTAGAATATAATTTATATTGAATTCAAGAATTTTAAATATAAGATTGAAAATGTAATGAACAGATCCGAATCTACACTTCGGTATCAGATTTTTTTATCATCTTTTTCCGAACGTCACTTAATTTCAAACATGTACAGCCTTGGCCAAAAGTATTTGCCACCTTAGAAAATTACAATTAACTAAAACATACTTAATATTTGGACGGAGAAAAATAACCATGTGTTTAAATTACCTTTAATTCTAAAATTATTGTACATTAATATTTCGTATTGAAACCCTTAGCATTAATTACAGCATTTATTTTTATAGGCAAAGAGGAAATTAATTTTTACATTTTTCTAGAATGCCATAATTCTGGCACTCTATGTCTATGTATATGTATATGAAAGTTCCACTCCTGTACCAAACAATTCTTTCAAGTTTCTTTGGAAGTAGTCGAATGTTCCGTTTATTAAGCGCTTTAAAATCGACCATAAATGTTCGATAGGGTTAAGATCCGGTGACTGAGGGGGCCAACTTAGAAGCTCTATACCATTTTTCAAACCAACTCAAAGTGGTTCTGGACTTATGGCATGGGGCATTGTCCTGTTGGAAACGGACGCCAGCAAGGTTCGTATCATCGATCATTACATCCAATGAGGATTATTGCAGCACTTCAATATAATTTTTCGAATTCATTCGGCTTTCACTCACGACCACTTCCAATTCCTGAGGTAGACATACAGCCGCAGACCATAACACTGCCTCCGCCGTGTTTTACAGTTTTACATTCCGGTATGAATTCTTCATCAACTCTGTGTCTCACGTAGGTAGGTGGCACCTGCAGTGCCAAATACCTGAAATTAAATAAGATTTTTGAAAATACGTCTGTCAATGAACTATTAACTTCAATACATCTCAAACATTTTTTATTAATGTTTCTTGTATACAACGAAGGGTAAAGGACAAACCTGGTTCACTTAGTCCCCGCGTGTAGGTTTTTTGTACGCGCTCTTGTTCTATCTTCAAATTATCCAACACATTTGTTGATTTGCTTAAGTATCACTGTATGTTGCGCGGAGATCGCGGCTGATTGAATAATTCGCAACCGGCGGAGATTTTTCGTGATCTTGGCGGAACTTGATCAGCTCGACACGCAGTTGGATTATAGACTGATTTTGTCCATCTACTCCCCAATGTGATCCCAGATTTGATAGGGAATATGGATAGGGAAGGAGGGTAGGAGGATATTGCGTTCGGAAATATTTAATGCATATACAAATATTTACCAATGTTTAATCATTTAAATGGCATACCTCAAAATTGGATTCATCCAACCAAGCAATATCCGCCCAATCTTTCTTGGAGTAATGTTGATGCTCTAAACACTACTGCAAACGTAATTTCTTGTTCTACCCAGACAACCATAGCTGCTTCCTTGTCTTGCAACTCTTGAGCCCAGCATCGTGGAGCCTGCTTCTAGCAGTTCTAGCACAAATTTTTGCCTCAGCGTCTCGCTTAGTTCAGCAGCAAATTCAGATGTTTTCTTACGATTTTTCAAAGAACTTGAACATGAATTGTCTGTCTTATCTTGCAGATATAATTTTGTTCCTTCCACTTGGTGTCAAGTTTTTGTATCTTGTGGTCATCTTGTACAGATAAATCTGTACAAGATTTAACATCTTGTACAGATAAATCTGTACAAGGTATATCTTACGGCAGCGATTCCTAAAGTGAGTTCTGCGAAACCTAGGGATTCTGTAAACAATTCACCAGGGTTCCGCGAAATTATTTACACAGTGAAACAATTTAATTTTTCACATTAAAAATTAAAGGAAACTATAAAGTGACAATGAAATACTTTTAAAATAATTCTAATAAAAACTTTTGTTCTTATTCAGTGTTTTTGATTTGTAATCGCTTCCATAAATAAAAGTTATATGATGGGCGTTCCGTTATCTTGAAAGTTTAGGAACCTTCTTCCTTACGATACTATGAGGACATTTCATAATCTTGGCAATTTTACTTTTATTTTTGCCTTCGTTAGACAATTACTGGGTTTCTAGTCGTTCCTTGTTATTTAATTCACGGCGATTAGGCATTTTTCTAGTTTTTTTATAAACTGCCTCACGCAAAACAACAACCAATTTACAATAATTTGTCGACAATTATTCACACATAGTGTGTATGAATTGTAGTAAACTATTTCCCTAAAATTGTACCTGAAGATGAGTCACCTCTATTGTGTTTATAGTTTTATGACATGCTGCGTTGTTTTGATTGGCTCATTTTAGTCTTTAGACGTGTACTATGTGATAATAGACCCAGTACGGGGGGGGGAAGGGATTGTTAGTAATGAGATTTAACAGCCCCATTGCTAGCAATACAGGTATATCAGGTCGACCTCCACGCGGTTCTCCCTGGAAACCACAGTGGTTATTTTTTGTTCAATTAGTCACTATGGGCCAATTGACCTGCCTTCATCCTCACCTGTCACCCTACACTGGTACCCCGCCAGCGTATACCGATAGTGCAGATAGGGTTACCGTTCCATCTTCACTCATTAAAAAAAAATAGACCCAGTACAGGTCAATAGATAAGAAATTTCTAAGGATTTTAAGGATAGGCAAATACTTTTGCTCAAGGCTATATATTGATTAGATTTAAAATTGTTTAATGTAAAAAGATGTATTGAAAATAACTAGTTTGCGAGTGAAATTGTGATTCTTAGTAAGGAGACCTTTTAAATTACACAAGTGCATATTAAAAATATATATATATATATATATATATATATATATATATATATATATATATATATATATATATATATATATATATATATATATATATATATATATATATATATATGAACGATATATAACTGAATTTTGAAAATTATTTATTTATGAAACTTTAATTACACATAGAATGTGTAAATTTGCGGACTTAACACCATATAATTATTTATTACAATTTCACTAATATTCTTCATTGCTTAAAGCTTTTTTGCATTTTTTACATTGACTCCAACAAATTATGTATAATTTTATTCTACAAGATCAAATTTAATAGAAGTGGCATTTGCAAATAACACTGTACGCATGTCATTTATTCCTATATAATGTGTATTTTAGTCAACAGTTTTGTGTTTATATAGGTGTTACTATATTATAAAATTAATCTGTTACAGTGGCTTGGCTTTTCATACATTTCAATTTTTACAACTGGAAAATAATACCTAAAAACTATAGGTTAGAAAACGACAAAAGTAACTAGTATGGAGCGTTTAGCTATCAAGTTTTTAAAGTTTCTTGTTTTGTGATCCATGTACTTGCTAATAATTTTTACTTCAGCTTGTAACATAACGATCCTGAAGATATTTCATAGAGTAAATACAACACATATTAATTTATAAAGCTATTATTAAACTTTTGTATTTATAACATTGCATAGTTTAGGAATATGAGGGGAAAGGGATTGTTAGTAATGGGGGTCTAACACCTCCATTGCTAGCAATGTACCCTATCAGGTCGGTACCCTTATTATCCACACGGTTCCCCCTGAAAACCATCGTGGAATTAATCACGATGGGCTGACTGACCTGCTTTCATCCACACCTATCACCTCTCATCTGCCCTGCCAATGTATACCAATAGCGCAGGCAGGGTTACCATTGTATTTTCACACATTAAAAAGTTTAGGAATATTGTAATGAAATCCATTTTAATTTCTATACTGTATTTATGATTCAAATTTAAAATATCCATATTAGTCATTGTAACCGAATTAATAGTAATAAATTTAAAATAGGCAATATCTGGAGACTATAACGAAGATGTGTGAGAAGCCACGCTCTTTAAGTATATCTTACCAAGCCAATTAGTAATGATTAAGAAAGATTTATTTTCGTTGTCTGTAGATTGTAGTTAACAATTTTTTGTTGTGTACAATATTTTTATAAACAATAAATTTGATTGAAATACTTACCGTTTTGTATTCATTTTCACCCATTAAAAATTATATTTGTGAATCTCGTCTGTTACGTTACTACTATTAAATAGCAAGATTTAAAATTGAGAAGACTATATTCTGAAAGCTGTGGTTGAACAAAGAAAACGTGACAATAAACACTTCAAATTGAGGAAGTCATGAGTAATTAAATAAAACTGCAAATTACTAAAAATAATCATATATTACAAATTAAACTAGCTACTAAATTAAATCAATTAAATCTTACTCGAGTTATAATGAATTATAATTAAATGCATTTCATTAATAAATCATACCGTTTAAATACGAACAAATAAATCACAAAGAACAAATATAGAACACACTATAAACGCAGTGAACAAATATAATCTTAATGAAATAGTTGACAATCACAATAAACAGACGCTGACATACCGGTACAATTATTATTATGGTTACATTCAGCGAATAAAGTTTTAAATAAAGAAGAATTTCATTTTGCGCTCTCATAATGTACGCTAAAGGCCCGCCTTTATACCAATATTTCCGTAGCCAGCTGTGGGATGTCAATTTATTATTATCTAAGTTTACGAGAAGCATATCAAGCGTCGCCTCTTATGAAGGTGCATTCACTGCGTTTCAACAAAACTCGCATTCCAGACATGAGTTTGTATGAAAACAAAGAAGATAAGAAGCACCTTATAAATATTAAAACTAAAACTCGCGTATTCATTTATAAAAGCTACTGCTAAGGGCCCTTATAAGGCTAGAAGAAAACAAGAAAAAAAGAAAACTATTCGACTAAATTTTACTTACATTATAGTAGAGTATAACTCGATCTTTTAAATGTATTCAAAATATTCATTTATGAAATCATAATAAAGCTACATTCACATAGCTCCGAGATAGGAACTTGAGCTCCAATCCACGTAAGGACAGTATACATTTATTACACACATAAATACAGAGACGGTATGTATGTACTTGTGCATTTTAATGTATAATGCGAATTAGGTTGCGTATGTCATACTCAAAGATGTATGAAGGGTGCTTTAATGATATATATATATACAAATATAATAAACGTAATGTAAGAAAAAAAAACATTGAACAAGGCTACATTAGGGTATAGGACACTAAAACTAAGGCTATTCCATTTTGACAACATTGCGAAAAATAATTTAGCAAAATTTAGTCGATAGTATACACCACACAGTAACATTTCAGTACAAATACCATATTTACAATACTCAAAGGCCACAGGTTACATATAAAATTCTTTTGTATAATGCCAGTCACTTCTCGATGCTTAAACTATTCTATTTAAAATATATTTTAAGTCATTACTATATTTATAATTTTGATCAGCTTGTGATTGAAAATGGAATCTCAGACAGCACCAAAGAGATTCGATATAGTGAAAAAATATTGATATTAACTATTGGAATGACTACATATGGGCTTCTATCTTTTGATGAACATATTTTTGACACAAAGAATCGAATTGGACACTAGATATGTTTTAAAAATTCTTCGTATATATATATAGTATATAGTCACCCAAGCAATAGTAACCCTTGTGCATCAATCATAAGATTCTCTTCGCCTCATTTCAATTAACAAAGCAGTCTTACTATTGCCTAAATGTTCTAGCTTCGAAGATACACATAAGTTTTGTTGAGGTTTATTATCTCATTTGATCATTTCGAAGCAATCACTAACTAAATCATGTCTATAAAGTAGAATACAATCAATATCTGTAAAAAATATGAATATTGTAGGTTTTAATCAGTATTTGATATAATTGCAAGAAAATTGTGTGATTATGTGAATTAATTTCAATGTCTTAGAATTTTAATGTAAATTATTTTCAGGAACATTATATAGAATAATTTGTCTATTTTTAACAAAACCTACATTCCCTTGCATTTTAATATTTATTATAATGAGAACAAATAAGCAAGCCATATGTAAATATCAGTCCCTGACACAATCTTTTGCATCATAGTTTAATATGGAATATTGCCTTAATAAAATCAATTCTTTTCACATCCGACAAATTACAATAACGATATACATTCTATATTGGCGACTATATGAGCAAATTTTATGGCAGCTTATATGCAGACTTATATACTAGAAATTTTTGGAGTCTGACTAACAAATGGCTTGTTTGCAATTGTAAGTCATTGGATATTGGACTACTATGCGCGCAACTCACGTAAACGTTGGTTTTTGAATCTATTCAATATTCTATCTTAAATCATAATATCAGACATAAAAGAGGGCGGCAACTACAACACATAAATATTGTTGCAAAATTGTTGTCGGTTCAAATATATGTCCAAAGAATCGCTTGGAGCAATTATTTTTTATAATAAGAATGTTTGTACCTGCCCATACGATTACCAGTCGTTCACACACATTTGTCATTGATATTTAGCTATAAATTCATATATTACGAATAGACTTTCACAAATAAATTAGAATCGTGACATTATGAATTGTCAAATCACCGATCTAACCAATATAATGCATGTAGATTCTGTAAAATTGAGTTTAGCAGTTTAACACAAGACATATATAGACCCAAGTGCTCTCAATCGAGTACACACTCAACAATCAACATACATCAGCTACTTAAAGTATAGAAACACTAATTGTGGATTGAAAAACGAAAAAAGCTGTAATCGTGAAATTTTACACAGATTCGTCTTTTTAATAATTTTTCGCGAACATGAGTGTGTGAGTAATGAAAACTGCATTTTGAATGGGCGAATCATATAAAATCAATATTAAAAATACTTATAATTAAGTTTACTTCAATAAAAAAGTATTATTAAGTTTTTTTTTTTTTTTAACTAAAAGAGATTTGTATGAATTCACGATTCATGTATGTGTGAAAGTCTTACTGTCCTGATATGGAATAAAGTGTAGACTCAAGACTTAATAACTAAGTGGTCAGTCGGGACGTGTGTATTGACTAAACGCACTGCGCGGTACCGTCGGAGTCTGGCGAGTCCTCCGATACGTAGCAGATGTAGGCCGAGTCAATAGTCAGCCCGGACGGTAGCTTCACGCCACGGAAGTATCGGTGACGACGAGCATCCTTCGCGGATATACGCTTCACTGGATCGTATATTAACATCTTCTGTAGGAGATCCATTCCAACTTCGTCCAGGTTTTGTACCTGTAAAGATACATTTATTGCTTTACTTGCTATTAGTTATAAACAAATGCAAGAGACACAGCATTATTTACATCGTCATAATTTTCGCTCAATTTGTCAGTTTTAAAAATCAAAGAAGTGCGATCTGCAAACAATACTATGCCACATATATCCTGCATGGCAAAAACATTTATTTAACTAAAAATAGGAATGACCCCAGAATAGATCCTTCAGGTACACCCATTTGCACAAGTGATCCATTAAATATAATGTTATTTAATTCTTTTTTAATCCTGTTTGATATATATGATTTAATTAAATTTAAAGCATTGGTCTTTGACACCATAAAATGCTAGTTTTTCAGCAATATATCATGATCTACACATTCGAAAGCCTTAGACAATTCACAAACAAACACCAATAGCATCTAGTGTTGGCAGTCACAGCAATATCTATTATATATATATATATATTGTTATGCTATCAGTTATGCAATATACACTATCAAAAAGAAGAACCTGCTCCTAATGAATATAGATATGTGACTGTATCCAAATGTATGGGAGATATTACAATGGGTGGTCTACAATGTCCAGAAGAACTCAATATATGCATATCAGATATTACTCATGTCTATATACGAGTCCTGTCGTGATCACGTCATGAATCATCAGCAATAAAGAAGCAGATATGTAGGTATTTACCTGTAAAATCTTTTTTATCGCGAGTCCTGATTGTGTATTTAAAATATGTGTAAACAACGCGAAAGTTTAAAATTAACTACCCATCTCTACTACTTACATGGTTGTGGAGATTAAATGTATTCCAGTTAGGGAAGGTGGGTTTGTAGTCGGGCAGAGAAGACACACCTGGCCAGATCTCCTCTGTAGGGGTGCGTAGCATCCTGGAAAATAATTTTTATACCTTTAACAAGTTTACTTTTATTTATATGCATGTATAGAATACATCATACATTTAAGTGAACAACAAACTCCAGTGCCGTTTTTAAATTGTGTATGTTAGTTTTTTAGTATTAAGTAATATCACTGCCATATCTAACCTTTAAAATTGAAACAAAGTTTAGACATGAAGGTAAAAATAGATAAGACCATGATGGCCCATGAAGACAATGTATAAAATTATATCTAGATTATATGGAACCCACATATAAGATTCCTATATCTAGCAGAATTATTTATGCTGGGCATTAATAAATTAGAAAAGGTGTTGTCTTCACATTAGAAAATAATATTTACCTGAAGATGCGGAAGAGTTGATCAATCTCCGAGTCCCCTTGGAACAGGGGTTTTTTTGATGACATTTCAGAAAATATGCAGCCCACAGACCAAATGTCTATAGGGCATGAATATCTGGAAACAAATAACCAATATGTATGTTAAAACAATAGTTATTTACTCTTCTCTACCCTAATAAAGGAAATTTGTTTATTTTTTTTAATATTGTCCACCATTCCCTTATAATCATGATAAATTGTACAAATAAGTTATCTTAATTTTGCAGCATTTGCAGATTTTGAAATTTGGAATGTAGCATCAAATCATCCTCTATGAGTTTCTAGGCTCGGCATTCAATAAAATTAAGTGAAGTCAGGTACTTGGCAGAGCTGTACCAAAGGTGACAGCAGTGGATGCTTGATGCACAGGGCATTATGGAGTTGTAGTAGTTGTTTCTATATAAAGTTCCACCTAACCTTAAAGAGGATATTAGCGGTAATAAACACAGAGATCAACATGATCCCAATTCACTCACCTTTGACTACCTAGTAGTACTTCTGGTGCTCTATACCAGAGAGTGACCACTTCATGAGTGTACACACGAACTGGTACACCAAATGCACGACCCAGTCCAAAATCAGCTACCTGTCAAACAAATTGCCACTTTGATTTTCTATAAACACTATTATATATTGAACATTAAAAGAAAAATCAAAAGGAAAACATTAAAATAGAAATTTAAAAGTTTAAAAATTTAAGACTAAATAATATGCCATAAATAACAAAGACATTCTATGTACAAAAATTTCATTCAAATTGAATCAGATATTTAAGATTGAGTACTAAACATTGAAATAGATTTATAAATGTTCACTATGGAGAATATATGCATACAATCTATTGAATTCTACTATGGTATAATTTTTACTAATATTATAAATGTAAATAATGATATATAAAAATAAATAAATAAAAAATGTAAATTTTTTGAGGTCTGTTACTCAATCACTTTTAAATAGCTGTATGAATTTGAATGAAATATGATAAACAGGCAGATTATATCTTAATTCATTAATTTATTCAAATACATTAATTATAGTTAATAGTTAACATGCTGTATTAATGTATGTTTAATACCTTAATAATACCAGTCTTATCTATAAGCAAGTTCTGAGGTTTGAGATCTCTATGCAGGATACGTCGCTGATGGCAATACAGTATTGCATTGTTTATCTGATACAAGTAGCTCTTCACCACCGCTGGGTCCATAAACTGATCAAATAAAACATGTATCTGTTAAGTGTTTGTTTGCTAGCAGAGCATTTTTGTAATAATAAATGAGAAATATTGAAATTTGTCATATTGTTTTTGAAAATTGACAGATAATTTGAAAGTTACCACAGATTAGTCATCTTTATACTATTAAAGGCTTTTAATACCTATTCTGTTTATAATTGGTTATAACCACTGATAAAGATAGAGGTAGATGATATAAGTATCTCAGGTTATACAAAAACTATGTCACTAATAAAGTATTGGCCTTGATATTACAAAATACATTATTGATAGCAAATTCCTATTTAATAAATACATGTTATGTTGTTTTGTTAATTCACTAAAATTTTACAATTTTATCTAAAAATTATGTGAATTTAGGTGTAAAGATTTTAATTTAAAGTGAAAATGTGATATGCAATTAATTTATAAAGATTTATATTTTACCTTCCCCGAACCCAGGGAATCCATGTATTTCTTCAGATCCATAGAGAGAAATTCAAAAATAAGATAAAGGCGGGACTCTTCCATTAGAACATCTTCTAGTTTTACAATGTTCGGATGGTTCAATTCCTTCAGCAATGATATTTCTCTATAAATGAACAAAATTGGAAAAATTTAGCTATTTAGTAGGTTATTGTTTGTTTAATCCAAATATTAAAGTCAATAGAGTAAAAAGAATTGACAACAATATAAAATGAAGCTGTTAAAAAGAAAACAAACCTTATAGCCGTTGACGGTATGCCTTCATCTTCAGATTCCAAACGAATTTTTTTCATGGCTACAAATTGACCTGTGATTTTATTTTTACCTTTGTACACTACACCGTAGGTACCTTCACCGATTTTCTCAATTTTGAGAAAATCATCCATCTTGTAGTGTGGAATCTTGATATTATTTGAAGTAAAATGCGATGTAAACGACACTTGAAGACTACCGCGTGCCAACTAAAATAATTAATGACGTTGAACTTAAAAATACATCGGTATCAATAATGTTGAAATGATCAGCAGTTAATAACTGGGTCGACTTGTAGTTTTAAAATAAAAATGTTTCTATATTACAAAATTAAACAAATTCTCGGTTATTGTTTCTTGAGATAACGTCTTTCAAACGAAAATTTTTTAAAATTTTCTAATTGTCATTTAACATGTCATTGTCAAGTATTTTTTTCAGAATTTTTCCGTTTTGGAATCTATGACTAAATTAATTGCGACCAGTTACCACGAAATAGATCATTAGTGCGAGTAAATATAATTTTTACTATCTATTATTACCCTAAATAAAACAATAAAAATATTCAAACGTAATTAAATACGATGACAATGGTCACATGAGTAAAGCTCTTATCAACGAGATTAAACCACGATTACTGTCCTATAAGTAGCAAACTAAGAACAATGTATTCTATTTAGAAATCTTTGGTAGTAGGGTATATTTTGTCCATGCTCGATTAACTGTTTATGGATTTGAAGTTATTGAATTAAAATCCGTTGACGATAGTTATAGGTTAAAGAGAGTATCTGATATTCTCGTTCTATGACGAAGGCAGATACACACTGCCGCGCAATTATACAATTTGACATTGACTATGACAGTATACTTCTATTCATATTATTAAGTCACAGAACAGATTAGAGAGGGAGTTTTAAATTTGTTTTTATTCAAGTAAATTTAGGTTGATCAATTATTTCTGTAATTTAATTTAAATACTGTATAAAGAGGTAATGACTGATTTCTCATTGTGATTAGAAGATAACCGATTCTCAAGTGTCTGTGCAAGTAGCTTTGCAACAGATGATTTTTTTGTTGTAATTATTTAACGTACCATATATTATTATTCTGAGATAATAAACATCACGTGTTGATCACGATGTAATTGATAAGTTTCGTGATGTGTAATTGACCAATGTCGATAAAATTTGGGCAAATTATCTGACTTTGTTTTGAAAGAGATCTTAGATTTTTTAATTGATAATAAAATTAATACTGTAGTAAACACTGATTTATCGCTTTTATTTTAAAATTCAAGAAAAATGGTTGTGAAAGCGCCTGCCGTTAAACTTTCCAGTGGATATGAAATGCCTATTGTTGGTCTTGGCACATATGCAGTAAGTTTCTTTGTTTTATTCTTCAAAATATCATTTATACTATTACATGATTAGGGGACAGCGCATCTTCATACACTGACCCATATGGTTTGTTTCTAACAGATATATTAGTGTAATATACAGAATGAAAACTAACCTTATTCACAAAACTTAATAAATTCTCCTCTTAGTAATGTATACTACACTACTTGGCCAGCGTAAGTAAACAGTGTAGAAATATTTATTAAATAACCTAAATTAGCAAAGCAATTTAATTTATATTTTCTATTTTTTTACTATTTTTTATTATGGTTATGTAAGCTGCCCAAAAATAAATATTCTCTGATTGTGATCCATGCTCATGGGAATGTCATGAGTCATGTTATGATATTATTTTTTATAGCGTAATGCAGAACCAGGGCAAGTTCGCCAGGCTGTTGAATGGGCAATTGAAGCTGGCTACCGTCATATAGATACTGCAGCAATCTATCATAATGAGGAACAAGTAGGAGAGGGCATATCTAATAAAATTAAACAAGGAGTGGTTACCAGAGAAGAACTATTTGTTACTACAAAGGTAAATGTATCTTAATTCATTATTTTTAAACTTTATTCAGGGCAAGTATTGGAATATTTGTCAACTGATAGAATTACTGTAATGCAACTCTATAAAATCCTTTCTGACTTCATAATGAATAACCATATTATTATAGGCTTATGTCCAGCAGTGGACGGATAATGGCTGAAATAATGATGATGATGATGATGATGATGAATCATATTAAACTATAAATTTCATCCTTCTTATTTTGTATCTATATTTTTTTTTATCCTTTTTCTACTCTCCTGTGTCCTTGTTCCCAAATTATGGCAATTTTGATTCTCGTTGATTTCCTCATTTTTATATTTGGAAATGGCTAATAGCAACCTAAAAAGCTAAAACAAGAAAAAAAAAAGAAAAATACGCCTAACCTACATAGGAGAGATGTATAATAATAATAATTTATTTTTTATGACCAAGTCACAGAAAAACCACAGTTTTCCCCAGTAAAATTATGTTTATGATATTGATAGTTTATAATTTCACGAACCTTAAGTCATGCTTATAATAATATTTTTTATTTCAAGCTCTGGAATGATAAGCATGCTGAAGCAGATGTACTGCCTGCATTGCAGGAATCCTTGTCTAAACTCAAGCTGACGTATGTTGACTTGTATCTCATACATTGGCCAGTATCTGTCAATGTAAGTATGAGTATAGATTGATACATTACCTAGATAAAAGTACAGCATGTTTAGGCCTGATCAACACTTGTATTATATGTACATTCAAGGGAAAGAAAGCTTTTTTTAATGGTTAAAAATGGAATGGTAGCCCCTCCTGTGCTATTAGTATACATTGGCAAGGGCCTAATAAGAGATTATACATGAAGATGAAGGCAGGTCAGTTAATCTATTGTGACAAATTTCCTAAGAATGAACCACGATGGTTTCCAATGGGAACAGTATGAAAGTCGACTTGATAGCAATAGCTGTTAGATTTGATTAATAACAATCACTTTTCTCCCGAGGTAGAAAGGTTCTCAAGTGGCAATCCTGAGTAAGAATGGAATATGTGGTGACCACCACATAATGGAGTGGTCATTTTGTGTGTTGCAGTGAATTGATGGATGTGGTTACCTCAAAAGCATATTTTCTGTTGGAATGTGAAGAGTCTAAGTATGAGTAATTAATTATTTCTTTTTTTAAAATGTCTATATTCTATGTTGTTCCCATAATTATGTTTGATAAATATACAAACGTAACAATGCACATAATTTTATTTTAAAGGAAAAAAGTGAAGATACAGAAATAGATTACATTGAGACATGGAGGGGCATGGAGAATGTTGTAAAATTGGGTCTCGCTAGGTCCATCGGGGTGTCCAACTTTAATAAGGAGCAACTGACTCGCATTTTGAGTGTCGCTCAAATTAAACCTGCTGTTCATCAGTTCGAGGTAAATTGGTTTAATAATATATATTTTTTTACTAAATAGATATGTACATAGTAAATAATTTTGGCATATCTAGCAATGGTGTTTTGTGCTTGTTCATATCATGGTCATTAGTTTTTTTTTTTTTTTTATTATTTTAAGGGCTTTTACCTTCTTCAGGTATATCAGGTTAGTAAACTAAAAATTCGGCATATTTTTTCAATGTCAAATCATACTATATATTTTATTTCCAGATTAGTCCAACTTTGACGCAGCACGATTTAGTGAATTTTTGTATACAATCCTCTATAGCTCCAGTCGCGTACACGCCGCTCGGTCTTCTATCTGACGCCAGGCCAGAATTTACTGGCAAGGACGTAATCAAAACTGATCCCAAGTTGGGTGAATTGGCTCAGAGATATGGCAAATCTAGAGCGCAGGTTGCCTTGAGATATCTAGTAAGTATATATTTGTGTAATATTATTCAACCCTTGCTTATAAGTAAGCATGGAAATTGTTACTTTATTTAATTCATTATCATTTAGTGATATTATTTTTACTCGCAGTGATATCACCAGTGACAAATGATAACTTTGATTTGCGTTCGCAATGACTGAATATCGCATTCGCTGCTATTTGCTATGTTAATTGAAATATGAATTATTATTATTAAGATAAGAGCGAGCGAATAGAGACTGATGCAGTATGATAGTCTCTATTCGTTTGCTTTGTACAGCTCAATTGGTCATCTGCTGCGATTTCTTTTAATACTTATTGAGGACAGAATAATAATAATTTATATATTTAATTTATAATTACGAATAAATCCGAACGCAGCGACTATCAGCGATTACATTCAAAGTAATTTTAGCATTCTATATGAAACGACTAAACTCTTAACTGGAGTAATGTATGATTTCGCGTAGACATATTCGAAAATAGATATCTAACCGATATCGGCAATATCGAAATAGGTGATGACCTTATCCCCGTCACAAATATCCAGAGGAATCCAATATATAGATATCGGATCGGTATCCATATCATCCATGTCTACTACATTGATTTTCCTAGTTTTCAATCGACGCGTATGAAGTAACTGGAAAAAAGTTAGTTAATGTGTATTTTTTTATGTGTAATAATATTTTTCCAGATTCAACGTGGCATTACGGTGATTCCTAAATCTTTCACCAAGTCACGGATAGAGGATAATTTGAATTTGTTCGACTTCAAACTCAGCCAAGAAGATGTAGATATAGTTGACGGTTACAATTTGAATTTGAGATGTGTTCCTGCACTCACAATGGCTAAATTAAAAAATTTCGCTTTTTAAATTTATTAAAAAATATTAAGCTAATATGTCTATATTGTATATTTGTTGATGAAATATTTTTATACATAATAATAGAATAAAGAAATTTAGCATATATTTGTATTTATTTTTTATTTGCGACTTTTGTTACTTGCCCATTTCTTAGTCTCAGAGTTCGTAGGTGTTCGTTTAGGTAGTTCTTTTTTCCGTTACTGCAATATCATCAAAATAGAGAGCAACATTTGGGATATTATTATTACAGATTAGTATCTAGTAATTTTTCTAAATAATGTTAAAAAATAATGCTTTTGTAATACAGAATGACATTCAGTTGTATTGGAAACTAGCTGACCCCGCGAACCTTGTACCGCCTAACCACAGACAATTGGGGGGAAAGGGATTGTTAGTAATGGAGACTGAGAATCTCATTGCTAGCAATATACCCAACCAGGTCGACCTCCTCGCGATTCTCCCTGGAAACTATCATGGTTAGTTCCTGATGAATTCATCATGATGGGCTAACTGGCCTGTTTTCATTCTCATCTATCACCCTTCACTGGTGCTCCGCCAGCGTATCCCGTTAGTGCAGGCGAGGTTACCATACCATTTTCACCCATCAAAAAAAAAAACGTTATTCAATTGTTGTCTTCCCGGAATCTCTCTACTAACACTTGAACTTTATGGTATGGTATTAAAGTTCAAATTGACTTTTAATTATTATTACGAATCGTTTGTATGAAAGTATAGAAAAGTTTTGTTCTTAGACTTTTTAAGACAATTAAAAAAAAATTTTCTCCGTAAGAACCATCCTCGTACTTCAAGGAATATTCTAAAAAAAGAATTAGCGAGATTGGTATAGGTGTTCTCGAGATTTGCGCTTAGCAACACATTCAGCGATTCATTTTTATTATTGGAAATATTATCATTATTAGGTGTTTCTTTTAATTCGGGCGCTATTTCAAATTACATGCATGCAACCTTCAAATTAATTTTGGAGAATATATTACCATTTGCAACTCGTTGTCTTAACTGATCTAAAAATACTGCAGGATGTAGGTGTGTTATCAGCTCAGCGTTAATTGTAACACAATAGTCAACGCAGTAAGGTTTGTTTGTTTGTAACACTTTATTATTATGTACAGTAAAGTCTTAAATTATAGGAAATTCTTATGTCTTAAATTACAGAATTCTTTCATTCCATTTCTTCCAATCGGCCTTTAAATCTCTGATAGAAAAATTTGTCTTTTTTTATGTAACTTAGACTGGCAAACAAGCTGACGGCCCACCTGATGGAAAGTGGTAACGGTCGCCTATAGACATTAGCAGTACTATGGACATAACAAAGTATACTGTTTCGCCCGTGATACCTCCATGCGTTTCCATTTCTGAGGACTCGGGTATTATTCCTCTGTACCCTGTAAATTCACTGCCATAACCCAACTTTCAAACCGAAACACAGCCATGTAAACACGACTGCTTCACGGTAGAAACACGAATGGGACAGTGGTGCCTAAGCGAACGACTTTTGTACAAATGTCCTTTTGGTGAAATGTGTCTATTAAGTTTAACACGTTCATGTTTGAGGGCGACCATGTGTATTTTTCTTTGGTTTAAATCCTTAATGAACATGGATAGCTACACAACACTAGACCAATCGCCTTGTGGTCCGGCATAGAATAGACCACCCAGTGGCGTAACTATACCATTTAGGGCCTGTGGCAAATTCCCACACTGATGGGGCCCTATCAGTAAATATTCCCAAAAATACAACCAAATTGAAAAACCTCTTTTTTAAATTGGGTTGTATTTTTGGGAATACAAAAACCTTTTTTTTGTAGTCGGTTGAAAATTGTAACCAGGTGACGTCTGTACATGGAAGATATTTATATTTAATATTTTTTAGAAGTTTTGTTTTTGTCTGTCTGTATGTTTGTTACGGTATCACGTAAAACTACTGCACTAAATGAAATGTAGTTTTCACAGTTGTATATCTGAAGATCAAACTTAATAACCGGTGTATGTTTTGTCTTGATACCTCATCTAGAATTGTTCTATTTAATTGGTTTTTCTACTTCTGAAATCCACGTGTACGAAGTAGCGGGCAAAAAGCTAATAAAGTATACATACATTTGTACGTGACATATTATTTTTATTGACCAAATATACACACAGTGGTTATTGTTTTCTTAATATCTATGCAATGAGGTTGTAATACTTTACAATTTTATTATATTACAGTTTCTGTAATGTAATAAAATTGTAAAGTTCGGGTCCGTGTGTTCCGACATAGAATAGGCCACTCCTTCCTTTCCCGTGAGTGTTGTAACAGGCGACTAAGGGAATTTAGTGGTAGAGGGATGGGCAGCAGCATCTGTCTTAAAACATCTCTAAAAGCCTAATTGCGGTTGCTAATCCGCCTGCCAAGCGTAGCAATTACTGGCAAAATTTCCCTTATGGGGTAGGCTTATGTTCAGGAGTGAGTAGTTAACGGTTGAAATGATGATGATGATATGTATATGTTAACTAGATTAAATCATAATTCGTCACGCTTGCGCATGCGCATGCCCGTTTGATATAAAAGTCTAACGTTTATAATTCATGTGTATATGGCCATCATAGTAGTAGGTATAAAAAGAGATATTTGTTATTTAATCAGATTTAAATGGCTGAACAGATTTGAATGAAATTATATGTAGTATATAGTTTATACGTAGATTATGTACTAACTTAATACATAGAACATAGTATTGGTTCACACGGGCAAAGTTGCGGGATGTGGCTAGTAATAATAATAAAATTAAAAAAAAAAACAAAATTCATTGCTGAAGAGACACGTGTAACGATTGTCACAGTGCACTCGTACGTGTACGGAAATGCTTTGTCTTTTTCTTGCAAATGACAAAAGACGCGTGCGCGATCAAGTCAAATAATTGGGTATTTGTTTCTTTTCAAAATTCAGGTATTGCATGGTAATTTTCCACATTATCGATAAATGTTGTTACTCTTTTACAATATGATAATGAGTAAATGTATAATTACAATTAAATACAGCTGAACAAATTTGCATCCACTCTGACATTGTACATATTGTTAATACTGAGTTACAGTTGTATCTTAAAATTCTAGAACAATGGTTGTTAAAGCGCCTACCGTTAAACTTTCTAGCGGATATGAAATGCCTATTGTTGGTCTTGGTACATATGCAGTAAGTTTCTTTGTTTTATTTTTCAAAATATTATTTATTAGTATACGATTACATAATTAGGGGATAACGTGTCTTCATACACTGGCCCATATGGTTTGTTTCAAACAGATAATATATCTAGTATAATATACAGAATGAAAACTAACTTTCTTATTCACAAAACTTAATTAATTTAAAAGAAAGTGACTAAACACTTCAATAGTTTAAATAAGTTTGTAGGAGATCAATTTTTTTTCTAAATAAGGGGGTAAGTCTTTAGCTGCACTACTAGAACAGTATTTATGGTATTCATTATCTGTGGTTGTACGTAATCTTTTTGTAAAACGTAAAACTAAGGATCTGTCCATGTTGTACAGGCTGAACCAAAATCGATAGTATCCTTTTAAAATAGTCTTCTACAAGTGAAATTGAACATTTTTAATTTCAAATTTTCAAAATTTCTATTCTATTTTATAGCAGTTATTCCTAAAATGGATACTGCGGAACCTTGGGCTTTTGTAGAAAATTTATCAGGCGTCCGCGAAATTATTTATTTTTGGCTGTTTAATAATACCATAGTTAAGTATAAATAATAATTATTATGAAATAGTGCAAAATATGTAATGAGAAGAACAAACTAAAGTTCCATCCCATCCATCGGGATAAGTGATGGTTTTCCATTTTGCATTTTTCAAGGCACTTTCTTTAAAATTGCTTAGTTTCATTGATATAAAATATTGCTAAAGTTGTTAAAACTATGCTAAAAATTTCATCTGCATAAAACACTACATATTATATTGTCTGTGACTATACCACCTAGCGAATTTAAATAAATGAAGAGGGAACTATACCCAAAATCGGGTGTTACTTATTCTGGAAGAAGAAATTCTGGAATTTCTTTCTGGAATTCCGAAAGAATATATTTCAAATTATGTGAAAATAAATTATTATTACTATGGTATGGATTTTATAGCGTAAAGCAGAACCAGGCCAAGTTCGACAGGCCGTTGAATGGGCTATCGAGGCTGGCTACCGTCATATAGACACGGCAACAATATACCGCAACGAGGGCGAAGTAGGAGAGGCTATAGCCAATAAAATCAAACAGGGTTTGATCACCAGAGAAGAACTATTTATTACTACAAAGGTAGGTGTAGATATCTTAGTTAATTATTTTTACAAATTTTTGTTAAATTTGTAATGAATGTTACTTTATGAGTCGCTTGCGTTGGTTTATAGTTGTAAACCAATTGTTTTAGCGTTCAACATTAGATTAACAGTTGATAATGTAATGTTGAACGCTAAAACAATAAAATTTGTAAGTTTTTTTATTTCTTAAAATCAAAATTTAAATTCTACAGTAAAATTAAACACAGACATTAAGATAGTGTCTTCTCACCGACTTTACTGAAATTATTCATAGGTACACCTTTAGTTTCCGTAACAATAGAATATGCAACAGGGCAGCGATTCCTAAAGTGGGTTTTGTGAAAATTTGGGATTCCGTAAAAAAGTCGCCAGGGTTCCACGAAATTATTTATACAGTGAAAAACCATAAAAATACTTAAATAATAGTTACATTTGTGATGCAGCTAGGTTATATTATTACATTATGTGCACAGCTTGAGTAATTTATGTAAAATAGTTTGCAATAGTGTGCAATTTACATAAACATAAAAAAAACATAATACATAAGATGCTATATAAATATATAAAAGAATGTTTATTCAGTTACACCACTGAAAGAATATTATCAGTTGGTAATTAATACAATAAGCTATGGTCGGTAAATTTTCAACCCCTCTTTAAAGTTATTATGCTTGACTCCCTAACGCTATAGGGCGCTACCTACCGATTACGTAGATTAGATAACTCAAAAAGGTTTCTACGTTTACCAATTGGTTATTTATTCTTTGTATTTAAGACTTAGCAACATGATCTCTGACCTTAGCTTTAGCCTCTGAAGAATGAATGGATAAAAAAAAATGCATTAAAAAGTTATTTTTGTCGAGGTCACAAAAATCTCTATCGTTCTTTTTTAAAAGAAATTTTAGGAGTTTAGAAAGTTATGATTCTATATCTAAATAGAGATTCTCTATCTAAATAGAGATTCTCTATCTATATAGATATAAGGAATATGTAATAATTTTTATTATTTCTAGATATTACAATTTTCATCTTCAATAATCTTTTTTATTTTAAGCTCTGGAATGATAAGCATGCTGAAGCTGATGTGCTGCCAACGTTGCAGGAGTCCCTGTCTAAATTAAAGCTGAGTTATATTGATTTGTATCTCATACATTGGCCAGTTTCCATTAATGTAAGTAAGATACAGTGCCTAAACATTGAACAGTAGTTTAGGGCTGATCAAGATTTGAATGGTAGGAACACGCATGAGTTATTACTGACAAAAGAGTTCTCGTATCGCAACCCCGTGTAGATAAAGTCAGTGTGGGGATCACTATCTTATGGGGTAGCAAACTCAAATGTTGTGAGAAGTTGATGGATATAGGAGGTTCAAATATTATAATAAGGCCGGCCTTACCGGACACCTCTAAGTGAGTTTATGATGCCCTCTCCCCTGACGACGAAAAAAGCAAGAACGTCATCTTTTACTGGAGTGCCCTGGGTAAAATATTGACGACGCCCGAGCCTTTCTCTGACGACGAAAATTTGAGTGATGATTGGCGTTGTTCATTCCTATTTGGCCCCCCGACCCCGTGCGTTGTATGGTCGACTCCCAACCTAAAGACCTAAAGGGAGAAGGGATTGTTAGTTATGAGGACTAGCAGCCCCATTAAAAATATACTTTGTCGAGTCTACCTTAACGGGGTTGGGGAAAAGGGAGTTTTAGTAAAGAGTACCAGCCCCATTGCTAGTAATATACCCTATCAGGTCGATCTCCACACAGTTCCCCCTGGAGTTCGTCGTGGTTAATTATTGTTGAATTCGTTACGATGAGCTTACTGACATGTTTTCATCCTCACCTATCAGCCCTCGTTGGCGCCCCGCAGGTATACCGATAGCGCAGGTGGAGTAGTAACTCCATTTTCATTTATTAAAAAAACGGGAATTAAACGAACTGTGTTTGTGTTTTCCGACAATTGTTTCGACTTCATCAAATGCACATAATTTTAAAGGAAAAAGGCGAAGATGCGGAAATAGATTACATCGAGACGTGGAGGGGTATGGAGAATATTGTAAAGTTGGGTCTCGCTAGGTCCATCGGGGTGTCCAATTTCAATAAGGAGCAACTGACTCGCATTTTGAGTGTCGCTCAAATTAAACCTGCTGTTCATCAGTTCGAGGTAAGTAAAGGGTATCTAGGGTCTATTTTTATATGTATTTCGCATTATCAATGTCTATTGCTGGTCATAAGCCTGCCCTTATTGAGAGATTTTTCCTGTAGTAGCCATGCTATTTGGTATATTAATACATAATAACAAATATACTTACATTGCTCTATGAAAAAGGTACTTGAACTGTGAGTGCACCGATAAACGAAGATATGTTTCTGAGATACCACACACCGACCCGTTTCATTGATACCTACCCTGCATCTATCCTAGTATTATAAAGAGGAAACATTTGATTTTTTGTTTGTAATGGATAAACTCAAATATTACTTAATCTTTACAAAGTCTTTCCCCTATAGAAAGCTATATTATTAGCGAGATATATTTTCGATTATTCTATTTACCCAACCGAAGCTGTGCCGAATTTTGTTCGCAACAAGTAGGTTTTTACTCCGCTAAGAAAAATGCTAGCATCAATCGTAACTACATTAAAATGGGATTAACATGCGAGTAAACGGTTGCAAATTGTGATAATCGATTTAGAATATAATTATTTAGTAGCCGCGAAGATATTTATACGAATTGAGAACTTATTTCTTTCGAATGTTACATAGAAAGACGTGCTAATTATTACTACATAAGTAGGTATTTCGTATTAGGTTGGCATCCGATGTTTATTTTATAAGTAGGTACTTACACTCCTCATAATCTAACTGCCCCCATATACAAGTGGAAAACGAATCTATCGATAGAACCGTGGCTGTTAAAGTTTACGTACGAAAAAATAAGACACCAGATATTGCCATCTCATTTTATCTCGTGAAGTATCACTAGCAATACCAATAGTTTATTTGCTACTTGTTTACATATTTTTTAATACACTTTACAGCATATAATTTTTGCAAGTTTGCTGAAAGAAAACTCTTATAACGTTAAGCTTTTTTTTTTAAATATTATTCTCATGTCATGATTAACTACCTGCTTTTTCTGAACAAGAAAATAAAATTAATCATACATTAAAATTTATAATTACAGATTAATCCAACTTTAACTCAGCACGACTTAGTGAATTATGTTAATCAATATTCTATAGTATCAGTCGCGTACACGCCTCTCGGCCTGCTATCTAATGCCAGACCGGAGTTTGCCGGCAAGGACGTGATCAAAACTGATCCCAAGTTGGGCGAACTGGCTCAAAGATATGGCAAAACTAGAGCACAGATCGCTTTGAGATATCTAGTGAGTATATATATGTGTAAAAATTTGTAATCATTCTCTTTATTTGATCCATTATCAATGAGCATTTTGCATGAAATAACATTAATTAAATATTTTTTTCTTAATAATTTTGTAATTCCAGATTCAACGTGGTATTACGGTGATTCCTAAATCTTTCACCAAATCACGAATAGAGGATAATTTGAATTTGTTCGACTTCGAACTCAGCCAAGAAGATATGGATGTAGTTGACAGTTACAATTTGAATTTCAGATGCGTTCCTTCGCTCCCGATGGCTAAATTAAAAAACTACCCTTTTTAAATTAATTACAAATAACTCGTGTCTCATTTATATATACTTAATAATTATATATGATACTTTTTAATAACGATAATACATTATAACTTCTCAATGGAACTTCTAGATTTATATAAATGATTATATCTATATTGTATATTTTGTATTGAGATATTTTTTATATGTAATTAAAGAATAAAGGGATTTATTGAATATTTATTTGCATTTAACATGTACTTTTGTTGTGATGTCTATTATCTGATTATTTAAAAATTTTATGTAATAAGTACTAGCTTTTACTCGCGATTTCGTCCGCGTGATCAGGATATGTTCATCGATAATCAGTAGCCTATATAATATCGTAGCGATTGATTAAGATGCTAAGAGGTAAGAAATTAACAAATTAACTTTCACATTTATAATATTAATAAGAATTAGTAAGATTATAGTGGAATCTTAATAATTTAATAACAGAGATCTTATATGTATATGATATATGAATAATGAAATGAAACCAGTGTGTTTACCATAATTTGACCGTTTTATTCAATCAAAAACAATAAATAAATACAATATCAACATTCAACACAAAAAATAAAAATGGAGTACGTAAATACATTGTAATAACTAAACAGTATATTTGAAGGAAACCAAAATGTCCACCGTGGAATGTCCGTTAAGATCTCTCAAGATCTTTACAAAATGCATAACAAGACTCATATATTGTTTTTTAAACTTAAGAGATCTTTATTGGGATCGATAAAAGTGGTGTATAAAAAAAAAATAAGTTATTTGTAAAAGTCATAAAAAAACTCGAGGTACGAGTCTACGTTGGAAAGTAATATATTGTAGTTAGTACACTGCATTCATCAATTTGCCGATGTGTATACATTTTAAAATGTAAACTTTCAGTAAAAATAATATCAATATAATATAATAAAAGAAGAAAATGGATATAAAAAGATTTCGATGTTTTCAACATATACATTCTTGTAAAATTTGTAATTAAGTGATAATTATACATAAATAATTGTTTATCTGCTGTTATAACCTAATTGTCACCATACTTACTTGGTCACTATAGCCGATACTCAGTCGTTTTTTTTTTTTATTAAAAAAGAAAAAAAGAATGACAGCTCTTGGTTTTAACCGCGAAAGCGTATCATAGATAAAAATACAATGACAATTATTAGCTTATTTTCTGGGACTGTTATCCAAGCCCATTAAACATTTTTCCTTTGTAAAATATTTTATGACTTCCATACCAATATGAGAGTTTTTAGGCGGGTAACAAGCCCACAGCCCATATGATGGTAAATGGTTACAAATGGCCTATAGAAATCTGTAATAGACAAGTTATATCGGTACGAGAGGCCATAAAATCATTAAAAATAAATAAAGTCTGGTTTCAGTTTTGACCTCATTCTAAAACAAACCATGATAGCATACAAATATTATATGTCAAGAATTCTTTTGAAGAATAGCAAAACATAATAGAAAGTACTTCGTACAGTCAACTAAGTTAAAATACAACACCTATAAAAAAATCTATGCAATTAAACAACGAAATAGTAGCTTTTTGTTTTACGAATTCTCGTCATTTTACGTTAAACATGTTTAAAAACATAAAAATAAACTGTACAAAATACTATCACCACAATGCGTCGTACTTCACAATATGAGTAAAATAGTAAAAGAAAATATGAAAATAAATACATTCTTAACAATACAAAAACAACTACACTTACGAATGTAAGGTGTCCTATAGAAATATACTCTTTCGATGTTACAAAACACTTATATTCGTTCTACTTAACGTCTAAACTCAAGCGCGGCTCAAGCATATAATTTGTACAGCTATATTGTATACAAGACTATTGTCTATGATTAGAAAACTTTAGGGTTTGTCTTTGACTACTTCCACAGATAGTTGAATACGTCCATGATACTGTCGTAGATAGTGAATGTGATTGCTACATCGAATACTACCCTACTGAGTCGCGGCACGGTACCTTTGTAGAAGGCTAATGGTCCCTCTTGTTTCCAAGTCTTGATAAAGCAGTCTAGTGTGTTTTTGTACCTGGCAGCTTCGAGCCCTTGCATTCGGGTCTTGACTACATCTATCGGTGTGTTACCGAACACTGATGCGGCACCTGGAGCATATACATTTATATTATATTTTACGTTTATAATCTCCATTCTAGATTGAATTAGTCAGCGACATTAGCCGATTGTTGTGGTGAATGTAACATATGGAATATGGATAAATTTGTTCGCATTTACATAAAAGAAACTTCTGATAAAGGAAAACTCTGTTGTTTTTTTGCCACTAAAGAACTGTGATTACATGGATGTCTTTTAGGTTGATATGACGATGGAGGTCGCTTTAACCCTTCTTTGTATGACTTTTTTTATTGGTGAAATAAATCAAGGTGATATAATTCATGATCAAAATTAAAGGAAAAATAGTTAAAAAAAAATTACTGCTATTTTTTTTTCTGCAATAGATATTAAAAAGGTATCCAGAGATGATCAATATAAAGTGAACTTGTTCCTTTAAATAATTTTTAGGCATTCAATGTTATAATGGAAATTTCCACCATTATGCAAAGAAGGGTTAACAGGGAATGTTGCTAGCTATAAAGGTTATTAACAATCTCTTCATTCCCCAATTAGAGGGTAATAGAGTTTTAGCGTGGATATGAGTATGTACCTGCAACACCGCCGAACAGCCCTACAATATATTTAGGCACAGGCTTGTCCTTATCCCCTCCCTTATACCAGTCGCGCAGAGACTCCATCACGAAGAATCTGATCGCTTGGTTGCTGCCTTGCTTCATTATTGTTGCCGTAACACCCTTGTACACACCGCCTAAACCTGGAAACAGCAATAATAATATTTTATTTAATAACAAACAATAACAAATTATTTGTCACATATTTTATTATTATTTATTCATCACTGCCCTTAAACGGTTTGGGTTTTTACCTTATGGTTAACTGGTAGAGAATACTATAGGGCATTAAGTTCGCCATTTGTATAAATTTGATTGTGCAATAATAAATATTTTCTTTTTTTTTGTGTTATATAATACAAAAAAGTAGGTTCAGTCTGAACTAAGCAAAATAGCCAGTACCATCTCTGATACAGGAGGCATAAGATTGCTTAAACTATATGTTATACATATATAGGATATAGACAATGGTTTTATTTTTCAGAAATTGGCCTGTCAGCTTGTTTTCGACAGAAACAGGTCATCGGACGTTAGTATCTTGAGTTATTTCATGCATGCGGTAGCCAAAACGTATCTATCGACAGATTCGGTTGTAACTTGTTTACACTATTGTAATAAAACTATAACTTTTCCTATCCACCTTATAATTTCTATGCATATTATTAGTTTCTGTAAAATTAAGAGATACAATAACATTAAGAGGTATAAAAGTACTTCAACTATAACATACCTTCTTCCCTAACGATAGTCCCTACACCGTGGAAGAAACCTTTGAACCTCGGATTCTCTGTTCTCATATCGTTAATGAACTTGACTTTGACCGTCTCCATGGGGGTCACGGCGAAGACTGCCTCGGCCACACCAGCGGCCAATCCGCACGCCAGTTTCCCTGTGTTCGTTAGTGTACCATTCTCTGTCACCATATATAATTTCGCTTGTTCGAATACTCCGAATCTGGAAAGAAAATAGTGACATATTATTTCAACGTAATGGCGATGTTAGACGTTTTAAACAAACTTATTAAGTAAGGGACAAAATTAGAGAATACACCGCGCTATCTTTTTTTATGTAGATACCTTAGGCAAACAAGCTGACAACCCTCCTGATAGGGGGGAAAGGGATTGTTGGCAATGGAGTTTGACAGCCCTATTGCTAGCAATATTAGGTCGACCTTTACGTGGTTCCCCCTGGAAACCATCGTGAACAATTCTTGTTGAATTCGTCATGATGGGCTAACTGACCTACTTCATCCTCACCTATCATCCTTCACTTGTGGCCCGTCGCTGTATACCGGATAGCGCGGGTGGGGTTACTATTCCATTATCACAAATAAAAAGAAAGAAAATCTACCTGATAGAAAATGGGGGCTATGTGTTCCTTATGAGAAACCGTTACTTTTTTTTAATGAAATTTGAGAGGTTACGCAAACATTGCAAGTTTCATACAGGACTTATTAATTACTATTTATTTCTAGCCATGGGATTGTATATAATTGTTATAAAACAATCATGAATATAATGGCTTACAAGAAGTACAGGCCAATTAGAAATGCAAATGGACACTGGATCAACTAATAGGTCTTCGAGTTTCAGTACAATTGTCATTTGTAATGTTATATTGTAATATGAAGCCAATATGCTCTCGGCAGCGAAATTACTGACGTCAGGGCTTGAGTGTTGCGTAGTTAGCTACATATGTACCACTTACACACACACGCATGAAGTGAACCTTATTTAATATAACAGTGTATAAAATAAACAAAATAAAACGATGTGTTAATTCATTGTGTTATTTAATGATATTATTTTTTATATGATTTAAATTTTAATAGATAAATTAAAAAAAAAGATTGTTTATTAAATAAACGTTCGTATTACAAATATAAACAAGTAAAAAAAAAAAACGAATTAAAAAGATTTATATTTATATACATTAGAGATGAGAAAATATTTATTAGAGATGAGACTGCCTTTGTACGTTATTTTTAAAATACAATAATAAATAAAAAAAAAAAAATTAGAATACACTGGAAAATTTCATTTATGAAGTTATTTTTGTATGCAATTTAGAATGACAAACAAATTAAAGCAAAAAATAAAATAGGTACCTATAATTATGTACTAAGATATTAGGTATAACGTAAATAAGGTGGTATTTTCCCTATTAAAGTCACCGTTTACCTATTTTTCGTATGTGCGTCACGTTACGTTAATGGATTAGTAGGCATTTAATGTATGCACACAAAATGTTTCCTTGATCTAATAAACTAGTTGAGAGAAAATTTTACAAAGGTTTTTTGTATTTATTTTATTATTTTTTTAATAAATTTATTGTAAATAACAAGAAATAATCATTGTAAAAAAATAGCGTTGAGTCAGTGTATTTATGTGTGTTCCTTTGTAAAACACATCTTATATTGTCCAAAATCTCCAATTAAAAGACTCTAAAATATAAAAGATATAAGAGATAGAGACAAATGTGTATTCGTATGTGTGTTATTTGTAACATCGATTAACATAACATATATTTATTCACTTAATACTTAGATAAAATATATAGAGAAATGCGTTTTGAAAATAAATATAATTTTCAATTGTTTAAAAGTTTGAATTTTGTTTTTTGATCCCTTAAGATTATTTGATACAAAACTTTAATACATTCTATTACATTGTTTACGTAGGTTTTAAGTTTCTTTTTTCCATTTTGTTACACAAAAAAGAGAAGTATGAGATTTTTTGTAAGCACCATTAAGTAGTTCCTGTTACTAACAGCTCCCTCCCCCTCCTCGTCCGTCCGTGCCAGAATATAAGTTATCAAAAATACTTTAATCTAAGTTTACTTGAATAAATTGGTTTTTTTTTTGCCCATTAAAAGTTTTTTATTCTGTAGGCTGCATAATAATTCTATGTCCAGTATAGTGGACGTCTTGCGGCTGAGATGACGATGATGACTTTTAAACCCAAAACACCCGGTTTTTACCCACCAGACTTTAAACCCACCCAGGTGGATTGCCCATCTCTAGGTATAACTTACTGGGTTCAGAATGTTGTCAACTAATGAGAAGAATTCATAATAAATTCAACAGTTACTCATTTCAACCTGATTTAATTGAATATTCTTTATTGCACTAAAACATACAGTAATAATAATTACATTCTGTACATGTAGGTACAATAGGATAAATAGATAAACACTCCGATTGTCATCTTTGTTTTTATCGCAAAGATGGCCGTCAACGAAAAGCACGTTATCATAACTATTTATCAGCCATAGCTCACTATACATTCGCGTGAGGGTCAACTTTGTTCGTGCCTCAATTTAAATAGTATTTTTACTTTATCATGTTTCAAGTAACTTCACCAATTTGACAATTTGGAACTGAATTCTTTTTTCAATCGCTAGAATTTATGCTCGTATTCGTTGTAATTAATTACCCACAATTAAAGTTCAACGGTCATGCTTATGTTTATATTTTAATTTTTATATTAATATTTGTAAATATTGAACTTTATTGGTATCCTAAAATTGATATATTCCGACGTTTGACTATACAGTAACTTGTGGAATTAAATTAACTAAACAGTTTTTCGTTGATTTGATTAGATTCTTTTATACATCTTTAATCTACAAACAAGCTGACAGATTATTTAGTAGAAAATGAGTAAATCTGTAGTGGATAATACGAAAGTTGCAGGTGTCTGCGACTTTAAGAGTCTCATACCTCTTATAGTCCTAAGTAACAATCTATAGATACACGCATACTTCCATATTCATAAGATAAAACGAGATAGCAACATTCGGGATTTTGGTCTTTTTCATGCACGTTATAACGAAAATATATCTATCTTTAGATAGAATAATAAAGTAGTTTACCACTTATTAAATATTTAGCATGTAGATAGGAAAGAGATAGGATACTTTCATTCCCGGATACGCGGACGAAGTCGCGGGCAGACCTTTTTTAGGATATAGTATACTATGTACTAATCTAGGGTTACGGTCCATCTGTATAATAAATTTTATCATCCGTTTAAACCTTGACTCAGTTAAATAGTAATGTCCAAACATTATGATAAACTTTCACATCAACAAGAAGTAGAAGACAGCTTGAACATTTACATAATTTATCTTTAAAATATGATAGCATAAGACCCACGATAACCTGTGGTTTTGCAGTTCTATCTCTGTCATCCTGTATACATTTTGATGCAATATGGAATGGCAAACAAGCAGACGGCCCACCTGATGGAAATAAAGTACATCGCTCATATGAAAAGCATTATGGACATACAAATAATTTCAAAACGAGTTGCACATATAAGAGTTTAATTGTGGCAACCGGTTAATTTTATTTAAAAATTAAAATACTGAAATTGGTTTTGATAAAATTTCTATGGGCCAATTTTTAAGTATATCTTTTTCGATAAAAAAGAAATCCAAATCAGTTTATAATTAACGACGTTAAAAGGTAACAAACATAAAATAATACAACAGAATCTCCCTCTTTTTGAAGTCGGTTGAAAAAAAACTGTGGTGATTACATTACTACTAATATTACAAAGAACAAAGATGTTATGCCTTCATACCCTGTAATTTTACTGCCATATCCCTCCACCTATCAGTCCGAAATAGAAGCCATGCAAATTTAGCTACTCAACGGCAGAAACATGATAAAGACAGAGGTACCCAGAGGTAGCAGATAACTTCTATACAGTCTCTCTCTGGTAAAATATTATATCATTGAAAATGTGTGACTGTTTTTTTTTTGAACGGTGAAAATGGTATGGTAACCCCGCCTGCGCTAACGGGATACGCTGGCGGAGCACTAGTGAAGGGTGATAGATGAGAATGAAAACAGGCCAGTTAGCCCATCATGAAGAATTCATCAGGAATTAACCACGATAGTTTCCAGAGAGAACCGCGAGGAGGTCGACCTGGTTGGGTATATTGTTAGCAATGGGATTCTCAGTCTCCATAACTAACAATCCCTTTCCTCCCAACGTATGACTGTTAAGTATCTAATTTTAAAACTTTTTAAAATAAATATCATCAAATGTGTCGGACAGGGAAGAAAAGGATTAGTAGTGATGGGGACTAAAAGCCCCATTGCTAGTAATACTAGGTTAACCCCCAATTCCCTCTTGAAACCATCGTGGTTAATTCTTGACGAATTCGTCACGACGGGCTAACTAATCTGCCCATCTATATACCGATAGTTCAGGCGGGAATACCTTTCCATTCTCACCAATAAAAAAAAATATAATAAGGATACTAGATTATAGACGAATAAAAATTTTTCAATAGATAAGATTAATGTTTATAGATGCATTATTTTCAGATGGCAAGAGTCCAAATGACGATTTATCATGTCATCGGTGTTAGATAACTCGTAGTCGGAAATTATATTTGAAAACAACCGAATATTTTTTTTTATATTTAACTTCAGAAATATTTAATTTGAATCATTTTGCACACCACAGATATAGAAAGAAGACGTAAAAATGATAGTATAAGAAATGATTTATTACTTAAAACATATTAAATGAAGCGATAATTATGTACTGAATAGCAATAATATTTTTATTGGACCCATAAAACACTGGATATTGATACAGGTTTTAAAAAAAAGTAATATGTTGTAAACAATTCTGTTTCATTTACATAACAAGCCACATATTTTCCAAAGAGTAAAAAAAAAATATCACTCGGTATAAGAAGCTATTGGTTGCGTATGAATATAACTCAATATAGATTGCACGCCAGAAGAAAATAAGGTGAAATACTGAGTACGGAGACAGTGCTGGTAGAATTTTTAAAGTATTGGACTTTGATAAGGCTTATTAAGTAGACAAGGCTTTTGGATTCCGGTGTAGATAAAAAAGAAAGAGAGATAAAATGTGACAAATTGTTTTGCGGTGTTAATGTAACCAAAATCTTATTTTGTTTATGTATACAAATTGAACGTTACGTTCATTGCTACCGATTCGATGGTAAACAGTTTCTGACTAAAATTGTTTAAATTTTGTATATCTATATTTATCTGTGACATAACACTTGAATGATAACAGTGAAGTGTTTAATCCGATAGTATCGAGATAAAGTCACTAAAGACCACGAATGCTCATTTCGCAATGTCACATAATATTTTATTGTTAAGTATAAGAAATTACGCTGTCTTTAGACTTTAGACGGCCTTGGACTTGATAATAAATCAGGGTTTACGGATGGACAGTTTTTTTGGAGCGGACAAGGTTCAAGGTGCTAGATAGAAAGTGGAGCGAAGAATTTGAGTTGAAGGACGGACAAAGATAAAGAAGGACTTTGCAAAGCAATGTACAAGTTTTTAATTTGTGAAAATGGAGCAGCAATGCCTCCTGCAGTATCAGTTTACGTTGGCGAGGTACTAGTGAGGAATGGTAGATGAGAATGAAATCAGAATCATTAGTCCATCGTGATAAATCCATCAGGAATTAATCGTTGCTAATCCTAATCTAAAGACGGCGACATCGTCACAAATTCGTGTGAGAGTGTTACTCTCTCTGATGTACGAGTATGTAGAGACCTTAAGGTCTCCTGACCTTTAAAGGTCATTTAAGGTCTTTTTTCCTCCAGTTGTAAACTCATTAAAAGTATATCAGCGGATCTAGCAGTAAGCTGGTAATATTTGTCGTGTGAGCGATGGTAGGTATCATTAGTGAAGGCTTATAGTTTTTGTGCATTATAAATCCTAGGGATACTCAATTCAATTTATTTATTGCATTCTACAATATTATTATGAAAAATGTTAATAATTAATAAAGTATATTGTAGACCCTGTCGGGCACAGCAATTAGAAGAGAAGAGGGCGTCGTTTTTTAAATTTTCACAAAGACTTCAATATTTAAATAATTCAATTTCATTAATTTAATTAATATCTAATTAAAATCCAAATTAAGTATTTTAACGAATTTTTTATTTCCCTATGTTTGTGTTTGTATTGTCAAATTTGTGGACTGCTTAATTAATGTATTTGTCGGACAATGTCACCTATATTTTAGGTATTAAATCAGTATTATTTTAAACATAATGTTTATTTTAGTAAAGGTCAGCGGTCGACATTTGACTTTAATCTAATCAAGATTTTAGAATAACAATAACAAGCACATTTCTTTCATATTACTTAACTTCCATATTATTTATTATTGTTCTATTTTATTGGACTGTTTCTATGTCACATGTGAAAGAAGCTTCTTTTTTTTTTATGTGAATGATCCAAGGTTTAGGTAATAACAGTTACGCAATTATGAGTTATACGAGCGATAATAACCGGTATATTGTTAGTTATTAGGAAGCAAATAAGCTGAACTAAAGCACAAATATAATTTTTGCTCGGAGCTTGCTGCTAAATGCGGCATTTTCATCTGTAAGACTTAGTAGAAATTTGTACGTACCTGACAGCTGATTTAGGTATTGATCCATATAATAATACACTGAGACCTCTATATAACCCGAAGAATCCATGGCCTTTCACCGTTTTCTTAACGCAGTCGAAAATGCCCGTGTATTTCTTAGTGCCACCTAGAATGATAATATTCACATTAGAAGATCCTTACCAATAATACAAAAGTGTAAGTATTTTTTTATGCAACTTCGAATGGCAAACAAGCTGATGGCCCACCTTATGGAAAATGGTAACCGTCACCTATAGACACGAGCAGTACCATGGACGGGGGGGAAGGGATTGTTAGTGATGGAGACTGAGAATCCCATTGCTAGCAATATACCCAACCAGGTCGACCTCCTCGCGGTTCCCCCTGGAAACTATCATGGTTAATTTCTGATGAATTTATCATGATGGGCCAACTGGCCTGTTTTCATTCTCATCTATCACCCTTCATTGGTGCTCCGCCAGCGTATCCCGTTGGCGCGGGCGGTGTTGTCATGCCATTTTCATCCATCAAAAAAAGAGTACCATGGACATAACAGAGTAAATTGTTTCGTCCATGATACCCCGCATGCGTTGCTATTCCTTAGGACTAATGTGTTATTCTTCTGCCCCTGTAAATTCACTACCATATCCAGCCTTTCAAACCAGGGGGGAAAGGAATTGTTCTTAATGCGGACTATCAGTCCCATTGCTTGCAAATATACCCTATCAAGTCGACCTTCACATGGTCCCTCCTGAAAACCATCGTGCTCAATTTCAGGTGTATTCATCAAGGAGGGCTAACTGACCTGCCCTTTCATCTCACCTATCATCCCTCACTGATGCCCCGCCAGCGTATTCCGTTAACGCAGGCGGGGTTACCATTCCATTATCATACCATCCAAAACCTTTCCATTCAAATCGAAACACAACCATGCAAATGTAAATGGTTCACGGTAGAAACACGAATGGGACAGAGGTACCCAAGCAAACGACTATTGTACAAAGTCTCTACCTTTGGTAAGTAAGTTTGTTTCTTATCTCTTACTGCTTCTACAGCTTGAATAATAATTAGGTAATTTGGCACACATCTCCAGTACATGTGTTAATCCTAACCAGTATAGGGCATAGGTTACTTTTTATCGCGGTCAATGAACATATCCCGATCACGCGGTCGATGTTTCGGGTAAAACCTAATTTTATTTGTTATAAAAATGACATAACGAAAAAAAATTAAATAATCATAAGATAGGTAATACGCGAATAGGTCACAAATGTTTATCATATTATAATTGTCTTAGGGCTATCACGTGAGGTCTCTGTTTACTGTGATCACTTCATGAAATCACCTGAGTGACTATAGTCGATTTACTATTAATTACAACAATGAATGTAAATAAATAGTTATCGTTTATTTTTTTTATTTTCTATCACGTCTTAAGACTGTAATTTGCATACGTATACATAGTATTCGAGATGTTGATTGGGGAAGGACATAAACCAGTTTAATTGTATGCTAAGTTGTAGGCATAGCAAGTACAAAGGTCATTTTAGTTTGGCTCTTGGGCCCATATAGACTCAAACTTTCATCTTAAAACTAAACATATACGTACTATTTGGAATGAAAAACGACATAGACTACTTTTTATCTTAATTAATTAATAAGTCTCGATCAGACGGACAGAGTTATCATACTATATTGTATCAGCCATTAACTGTCCACTGCTGAATATAGCTTTCCACATAAAGGGTTTGTCAGTAGTTACCACGTTTGGCAACCGCAGTTTAGCTTTTGGTGATGTTTTAAGAGGGACCTTGCTGCGTTTCTTCTACCATAAACTTCCTTAGTCGCCATTTACGACATCTAGGGGTAAGGTAAGGGTGGCCTAGTCTATACAGGGACCAACAAGGCATCATACAATATACTGTGCTTGCTACAATAGTACCTTGCATGTATTTTCATGAAGAGAGTTTTATCACATTGTATTAACTTCTTAACTGTCAAAACAATATTACTACAAGATAATGGTGTTACCACGAATGTATATTCGTTTTTTGGCTTAGATCCTCCAAATCTGTATTAATTATGGGAGAATGAATGCAGTTTTCATTAGAGGTGAGACTTCGTACAAAGTCTTTTACACGAGTACCTCTATACTCGGAAATGTGTGCGTGATTATGTTGTAATTTTAAAGGTGTAATAGTGCAGTGATATATCTGATTGGGTACGCATACACAAGGACCACGCATATACATAAGAATGGTAACACTAAGGTGCGCCATGGTGTTCAGTGCAGTGTATTGTTGTGCGCATAGTTCATGTTTGTAGGCGATTACTATTTCAAATTACTTTGCAATTCTATGATGTATAAAAATAAACACTAATAAGTATGTAAGGATAGTTAAGATGACGATGTAAATTGTTAATGTAAATTTACTATCTAAAAGCCAAGAAACCGTTTCAGTTCAACTATAGTGCAAATTGTAGTGGTGATACAACACGTAGCGGACGTTTATTTAGCAACATCTGTGTACTTATATTATGTACATATAAGGTACAGTCTACAATTCGGCGATAAACATGATAACCATGAAAATAAAACAAACATTGTTTTAAGAACAGTGACAGCTAGATTTTTCCTTCATGGTAAACGTAACAACCCATTACCGTTCTACTAGCGGGTCAAACAAGATAATTTCTTAGAAAGGAAAATATTTTCCTGGAGCGGCAAAATAACTTAATCCGGCCCTGAGTATCAGAATTAAAGATGGAAAATTAAATTCGACCCGTAAATTTATGAATAACCTTAGTATAACTTTTTGATAATTAAAAACTAATTTATAACGAGACCATGACCCTAACATTAATCACGAGAAATGAGACTGATATAAAAAAATTAAGATATTTAATCTCTGCTCAGTTGACAACTGTTATTTGAACAACACATACATCTATTTATACTTTTTTTATCTCTTTGTACATAGGTTTAATTTGGAGCAAATCCTTAAACTTGAGTAATTTTGTTATATCTGATAACTATATTAATGTGCTTGATAAATATAAATTATTAAATTACGTGTTACTAAATAGGTGTAGATATTTATTTAAATTACATATCTGCTAATTTAGTTATTTATAAAATTTTGTGATGTTACTGAATAAACTTTATTGATTTTTCATTGTTTACAAGGTTTGATACCTCTTTTTGTAGTCAAATTACTCCACTCCTGATGCTATATTAATTTGTTGATTGAAGATGACACTTTTTTAACTGACTTCAAAAAGAAGCAGGGTGTCAACTTGGTTTCCTTTTATTTTTTTATGTTTGTTACCTCATAACTCCATCAGTTGTAAACCAATTTGGTAAATTAAGATTTTGTCTGAAAGGATATACTTACAGATTAGTCCTAATATGTCCTAAATATATAATATTATGAAATAAAACGTGCTACATATTGAGCCTACCCACATTAGTACACTTTATTAAACAAAGTATAAAAGTATCCATTTAAAATATATATGACAGGTTCCATAGAAATTTTATCAAAATCAGTTCAGTAACTTAGTTTTTAAATCAAAACAACTGGTTTTGACAGAAATGAAGTTTTTTTTATGGAACACAATTTAATTTATGCAGATCAAAATCCCGCTTGTTGTAAAGAAAAATCTGTCTGCGTGAAAAGTGTATCTTGTTATGTTACCAAGTTATGTATAGTTATTTTACATTGCAAAATAACTTGCAATTTAAAGTAATAACAGTGAGATTACTAGTTAATATTCATTTTGCAATATTTGAAATAAGATTCTTTTTTTTTTTTTTTCAGAATAAAATCTACTTGTAATTATAGTTCTAATGACCAGTCAGTCATAGCATACTCAAGATAAATAAAGTCAAGATTCCTTTTAAATTGTATGAAATGTGATATTTAAAAAAAAATTATAAGATTCTCTAGATTTCAATGCATGGCTTCATTCATTTACTGGGACAAAAAGAAGTCTATGTCCTTGTTTATCCCAAACTATATGTATATAGCAAATTTAAAGAAAATTGGTTGAACTATTATTAATGTGCCAAATGGTAATAAACAATTTGACTAACTTTAACATTTATAGTATTTACACGTCCACACAAACTTTTGCTTTTACAATAGTAGTAAATAGGATGAAATAGTCAAAATTTATTTGAAGGAAATCTATTATTACTTCTTTTGAGGAAGCAGGAGAGTGTATTTGTTTATTGGTTTAGGTCCTTCAAATCGGTAGTGAACATGGGAGGGTCAATGCAATTTTCATTAGAGGTGAGATTTTTCACTCCTATCCACTCAAAGGTTGCTGGAACAGAACTCTTAAAGAGTAAAGGTTGGCTGTTGTACATCTTCATTTAATATAAATTATAACAATGTAATTTTTGTGTACAATAAAGTATAAACAAACAAAAATATAAAATAGGTAATACTTTAGTATTAATATAAACCTACGTGGTTTCTAAATGCTAATGGAACATAAATTCTGTAACTTGTATTTTTATTGATAATAAAAAAAAAAAAACTTATTAGAATATTATTATTATACAGTTTGTTTATAAAATCTTTATTGTATTGTGGATAGGTATTAAATTAAGGTATACCTAATTCTTATAAGTATCATTAAATGGAAACAGCAAAAGGAATTTGTTTATAAAATATTTTTTTTAGATCCTTTGGATCTTGATAACGAACCTTGCATAGAAAACATGTATGCTTACATTATAAGCCGAGTGCAAAGTCCAAAAATTGGCTATTTTATGTGCCTCAAGCACAAAACCTGTCTCGAAAACAAATAAGTAAGTATGCAATTAGTATACTTGTTAAGCACATTCTAATTGGAAAATAAATATTCCAAATTACATAGTCTGCACTGAAACCTTACAAGTGTTAAATTGATGGAGTCGTAGATTCACAAAACTAATACGAGTATCGTGAGAGATATCATTGACGTAAGTAAATATTATTTTTAGAAAAAAACGAAAATAGTTCTGTTAGAAAATAGACCGCAATAAAATTATATAAAAGCAACGACCATCGGAATAAAATATAGTTTAATGCACTAACCTTTCTCGTCCAATTGCAGTTGTGTTTTTACATATTCGGTAGGGAATGTGATACAAATTTCAATGCCTCCAGTGATACCGCCAGCCACAACTCCTTTCAAACCAACCGATCCTGAGCCCCCTGCCGCAGCCGCTGCACCTGTTTCTGTCATCCATGGTCTTTGGAATGGATTTTTGAAGTTTCCAGGCTTTGTAGACATGATAATAATTAAAACACACTTAGTATAAGTGCTACCGGCCGAGATGTATTCATCCAACAAACTCTAAATTCTAACTGATTGAATGGTGAATGAATGAAATAATGAAATTTGAAAATGAATGATGAGTGAGTAGAAACAAAATTGTAAATTAAAATGATTCATTGACAAATAACAATTGTCATTTTATTAGCGATAACTAGCCGAATTTTTATTAAATATTCGGCTAAGTTTGGAGTAAAAGCTGGCTAAATAGCCAGCTTTTACTCTAAACTTACTTTCAATCGTGACTACTCTTTGTATAGCCGCTGGGTATCGGTATAGATACCCATCGCTACATTTTATAAGCATAATAAATTTATAAATTACACTTGCTAATTTAGTTCATATTATGCTACCTTAAATTATAATACTACATAAAAATCGCAAACAATTGCTAAATATGAATCCAGTCATTTGAGTTTGTAGTTTTGCCGCAAAAAAGCCACTAAAATTTCGACTAATTCGATTAGGTTTATAGATTTAAATTTCTTAAGTGGAGGAAATTGGAAGACAGAAAGTTGCCTACTGATCAAGTATTATATTTACAAATTATTTACAGGGAACTAGTTAATATTTAGACTGACTTTAATATTTGTAAGCAGTATAAATTTATCAGTCGTCCATTGAAGCGTTTGTATTATTATTTATAATAATAGAAATTGTTACTTAGCAATTTTATTGCCTTGCGTGAAATTATAAATACGCCTCTCAGTTAATATTAAACCTATACTGTACTGTTGTGTTATATAAATATACGCTAATTTAAATAAAATCGCACTTGGTTGTGTGATTATAATGCTTGATAGGGTCATAAAGAGAGAGGACTACTATGTTACTGCACTAGTCAATTTAAAGATTACGCTGTATGGCTTAGTTCCTTTGCCTTCTACATAGTGGGAAAAATTAACAATAACCCAGCCACGCCATTTTGTTTGTCATTTTGACTTTTGACAGCATTTAAGAATTAGAAAAATTCAACTTTAGTTTAAATGCACAGGTTAAATGAAATAAAATTGTTGTCGTTTATTAGTATGAACTAACAATTTTATTCACATTTTAGAATAATTATTTTGAATAGAAAAACATAAATTATATCAAAATGGCTTTAAGAACTTACGGCGATAAGCCGATTAGTTTTCAAATAGAAGAAGGAGGAGAATTTTATTGCGTGGGATCAGAGGTAAATTCTGTTCTGTTGTTTATCCTTATATATATACCATTAATTGCTTTTCCTAAATATGATTTAATATAATACTGATATATAAAACAGGTGTTTGTTGTAAATATATGTTGATTTATAATTTAATCAATTTAGTATTCAATCTGCCCCTAAGGGTACCTAATGACCCATTTTGCTAATTAATTTTCTTTTTTTAAACTTTATCAATGCAGGGAATAATAATACTATCCTAATATATTATCAAGATATAATATATTGGTTATTTTGAAAACTATTTCTAGGAAAAAGTTGCGAATAATATAATCACTTATTAATTGTTAGAGTTGAGAAAAAAAATGGTACTATTATTTATTATACCTTAAGTGATCATTTTGATGAAATGATGACATCTTTAGCTGTTTGCAATATTTTATAAATGCATTCTTGTTCCTTAGTAATTTTGACTTATAAAGTTTTGTCTGAGCTTTTTATTGTTGTTATAAATTCAACCCTATTTTTAGGTGGGTAATTACCTGCGTCTGTTCCGTGGATCCCTTTACAAGAAGTACCCTGGCATGGCCAGGAGGACCCTCACCAATGAAGAGAGGAAACGATTAATTGACAATGGGCTCGGTCCACATGTGTTGTCCAGTTCTGTATCATTGCTGAAGGCCTCTGAAGTTGAAGATATTATAGAGGGGAATGATGACAAGTATGTTATTTTTAACAATTAATTATGACTTCATCAATGCTATTGAAACATATTTTTCTTAGTAATTGGATAAATAACTCATGGAAAACTCCAGTGATAAGCTAAATTAATTCAAGTAATGGCTGTAGGTTTGCTCTATGCCATGTTGGATTTTAATATGCTCAGGGAGTTGAGTCAAGTGTTATGTACATCACAGTGACTACCCATAATCCCCATAATACTTTTATAATTATGAGCATATTAATTTTAAGTAAATTTGTAGTCAGGGACTAATTTAGTGTCTAGTATTTTACAAAGAAAATTTTGATATGACAGATACAAAGCAGTGTCAGTGAGCCAAGAGTTAGCCACACCAAGAGAAAGTAAAAGTAAGAAGCCTCACAACCCATCATGGCTTCCTGTTATGCCGAATTCTTCACATTTAGATGCTGTACCCCAAGCTACACCTATTAGTAGATCTAGGGTGCATAATAAAAAGGTAAGTTATAATGTTGGTTACTTTAAAAATATGCCCATACAATCTATTTTGTTTATTGATTATATACTATTGTAGATTAGCTACATGAATTAGGATAAAAGGTGTTCTATGTATACATTATCACCAAATTTTGTTAAAATCCTTTCCAAATTTTTACATCTATTATTATTAAATAATATTTTTATATAACTAACAATTATCATGCTAGGATTGTACACTAAATGTGTCAAATAATAAAAAAAATGTACAAAAGTCATATGCATGGGTACCTTTGCCCCATTCATGTTTCTACCATCAAGTTGCTGTGTTTAAAACTGTACAGCAGTGAAATTACAGATTACAAAGCAACATTATAGTTTTAATGAATAATAATGTATCAGTGACACACATCATATTTTGTGATGTGTATGATATATATTGGTGGTGCAGTTCAAACAAAAAATCCATTGATAATATATAGTTTAGGCAAAATCAATGATAATCTCTTCTAAGATAACCTCAGCCTGTTGAAATTTTGTGTCTGCCTTTTGAAATGTTAGTGCTAATGTTCCTTTATTTCTTCTCTATTTAAGGTCCGCACATTCCCTCTTTGTTTTGACGATACGGACATGACAGCTATGTTGGAGAATGCGTCCCAGAAGCAGGTACTAGTGCCAATTCGACTTGACATGGAGATAGAAGGCCAGAAGTTGAGGGACACATTTACCTGGAATAAAAATGGTACATAGTGAATCTTATTTATATGCTACAGGAATCTGTATTTGTTTAATTATGTCAGAAATATGTAATCAATGTTTGCTACATATATTTTTATCATTGGTGCTATTTCCTAAAAAATATTTTTTGGTTCCTTATGCACAAGGTGTAATATACCTTTACCCTTGTTTGAAGATAGAGTTATTGTTGGTTATTTAGCAATCTGCAAGTTCATCCATCTAATCTAAACATTATTTTAAAAGAATGAAAGAAGGAGGTAACAAACAAATAAGCAAGCAAACAATCAAACAAATTCACTTTCGTATGTATATTGTTAGTAAGTATTCATTTTCAGAATCAATAATTACACCAGAACAGTTTGCTGAAGTGTTGTGTGATGATCTTGAGCTCAACACAAATACGTTCATTCCTGCCATAGCATCATCAATACGTCAACAAATAGACGCTTTTCCGAGCGAACCACCTGCTATATTGGAGGAACAAACCGACCAGAGGGTGGTCATTAAACTGAATATACATGTTGGAAATACATCACTCGTGGATCAGGTATTTATTTAAATTTAAATAATTTGCTGGGTAGTACTTGCATAGAATAGGCCACTACTTGCTTTCCTTTGGGTATTATAAGAAGCGACTAAGGAAACTTAATGTTAGAGGGATGCCAGTAGCATCCCTCTTAAAACATCGAAGGGATATGGCGTGAATTTAGTGGGTACAGAAGAATAACACCTGAGGAATGGCAACACATGGGGGGTGTCATGGGCGAAACAGTATACTCTGTTATGTCCATGGTACTGCTCATGTCTATAGGCGACGGTTATCACTTCCCATCAGGTGGACCGCCAGCTTGTTTGCCATTCTAAGTTGTATAAAAAAAAATCTTTAAAAGTCTTACTGCGGTTGCCAACCCGTCTGCTAAGTGTGGCAACTACTAATAAAACTCCCTTTATGGGAAAAAGGCATATATTCAGTACTGGACAGTTAACGGCTGAAAGGATTAATATGTTACAAAAGGACATATAATTAATTAATTTTCTCGAGATTTAATAGATTGAAGTATAATAAAAGGATATTAATCAATAAATAAAAAATTTAAAAACAATAAAGTATTTGCAACCTTTGCTTCACCGACGAGAATCAGTTATCCCATGTTCCCGTGAATGTTGGGGATTTTAATTAAATGTCTATGTCACCTAGGATGCTATAAACTTGTAACTGTGTTAGTAATTTAATCGAGTAATGTACTAGCTGAACAGGTAAACGTTATTTTGTTTTATTCCACCACTTACTGTGTCTATTTTTTCTTATTGGGATAAAAACTATCCTACTTCAAGTTGCATCAAACAATATACGTTGTTGACACATATTTTAAATACACTTAACGTAACATGATTCCAGGTAACTAGTACCTCATCATCTTCTTACCCTTAACCCGATTATTATATGGGGCCAGTGAAATATGTTTATTTCTTCCATTCTTCTCTATTCGTAGTCATTTCGGCATTCATTCCCTTTTAGGTTTCTTTTTAGTTTTTACTCTGCCCTTATTCATTCATACTTAATATCCTTATTGCAGGTAAATAGTACCTACATATAAAATTTTTATTGTTGACGCTTCGACGTGTATTACACCATTGTGTGGTCACGACAGGAGTGATAGGACTGCAGTCACTTTAAAGTGACGGATAATATACGGACGGACGGACGCATACAGTATCGGGACTTAAGTCCCGATACTGTATTCATGTACCTTTGGTTAGATAAACAATAGATGTTAATTTTTTTTATTAAAATTAGTACTAATCTAATATTATAATTATAATATATATCTTCGTTTAAGGTGGAATGGGACATGTCAGAAAAAGAGAATAATCCAGAACAGTTTGCGATGAAACTGTGTGCGGAACTTGGATTGGGGGGCGAGTTCGTTACGGGCATCGCGTACAGCGTGCGCGGACAACTCGGCTGGCATCAGCGGACGTACGCCTTCAGCGAGGCACCCCTGCCCGTTGTTGAGGTAAACATTTATGGATCATACAAAATTTGAGACATTTATTTATTTAGGCATATTAGCATATATATGTATATAGATATATACATTAATAACACATACATTTAAAAATGAAATACGATGTTAGCATCGATTATAAACATGTACAACTTTGATATAATACATTGACACAAAAAGAGGTTTATAGATATAAAACATAAAAAAAAAATTGTGTAACTTTAATAGGTTTTATTCAGACTGTACTAAAATCTATCTATCTTGAGTATTGTCTCTCATTGTCTTGGGATTTAAATTCTTGGAAGACAAGGTATGGCAAAATGGGATATTGTGAAAATGACCGACGTTTGCAAAGGCATTATTATTCTGAACCTTAGAGTTCGGCAAAAATGTGATGTGCATCACAGTGTGTTCTGTATATTTATGATGCAATGCTGCAACATTGCAACATGTAGAGATTTTTCGTAAGTATAATTAGAGCCGACTAAAGGAACTTAATGGCTGAAGGATGGGGAGCAGTGTCCTTTGAAAACGTCCCCAAAGCTTAACTGCGGTTTCCAACCCGCCTGCCAAGCAAGGATAGCCAGAGGCATTTGTCGACTGTTATTGTTTGGTCCCTCCTGGAGACCACAGTGTTGAATTCCAGGTGTATTCGTTACGATGGGCTAATTGACCTGACTTTTCATTCTCATCTTTTATCCCTCACTGGTACGCCTCCAGCGTATACCGTTAGCACAGACGGGGTTACTATTCATACATAAAAAAAACGTAGTACTTGACATGTCCAAATTTAACAGTCTGTCCTTTATGTTTAATAAAATAAAAATTACAGTACGACTTAGCAGAAGCTAAAGTACATATAAAATCTATTCTTCTATAGGTACCATCTTCTGTCAGAAGTTGGCAATTGTCACAACTATGTTAATTTTTTCATAGACATCCAAAAATGGACCTGATGTCGTTTTAAACCTTTTAGGTTTTTAAACAAGAAGTCTGTCTGGCTTTCAAAGACTTTAAAACTTCCTTTAGAAGTTTCAGAAGACTGTATTGTAAAATTCCATTGCAGACACCCTACCGCCAGCCGTCTGAGGCAGAACAGTGGGCGCCTCACCTGGAGACGCTTACCAATGCCGAAATGGAGAAGAAGATTCGAGATCAGGACCGGAACACGAGACGTATGCGACGTCTCGCCAACACTACGCCTGGTTGGTAAACTGATATACAACTCATTATAGACTGTTTTAATAGAACATAAAGAAAAGTTTACCAAATACTGATAAAAACTAGCTCTTACCTGCGCTTTGTGTGTGTGACCGGGATATTGTTACTGACCGGAACAGAAAATAGCCTGTATTTATTTATTCTTTATTGTACAATAACAATTTGTACAAGTGGCGAGCCTAATGCCTTATTGCATTCTTTACCAGCTAACCATTTGGTAAAAACAGAAAGCTAAATATAAATCCTTCTCCATTCCATGTAGTATGTGAGTATCGAATTTCATAGGGCTTAGTTAAGCCTTTACGACAGTATAAGGTAACAAACTCACTTATATATTTATAATTTTAGTAAGGATCCATAGAAACGTTATTTAAATGAAATGGTTAACAAATGCGATCAATTAATCAATTTTTAATTTGAACTTTGCCCAGTAATGGGACAACGCGCATTAATAATAGATTGATTTATACTGCTGTTGTACTAGTCGGTTCAATTCATTGTTTGTTTATGTTTTCATTAGGTTCTTTTGAAATAAACTATTATACACTCCTGTCACGATCTTACCCATAGATATGAATGTGTATAGATGTCGCAATTGTATTTATTTATTTCGTTTACTTTCGTTTTCCTTAAATAAAAACTCCTAAGTGCTTGGTTTGTTTTTAACTTAGTTTCTATTTTCGCGTTTCTGGTTGAAATTCTGTAATATTTTTTCTTCTTTCAATACGGCTATGAGATTTTGTTTTACAGTGTTTGTTTTGTAATCTATTTAATTACGAGGATAAATTAGTTTTGGAGCCAGACTATACGGTCTAAATGCCGGCTGTTGTAATAACAATATAATATTAAAACATAGAATAGATGTAGATCATTAAATGTTAATTTATCGTGACAGATGTTAATCATGATAGATCGTTTAGATCATCTAAAAAGACTGTAATGGTAGGAGGTGTTATACCACACCGGCAACACACAAGCAATTCCTCTCGTGTTGCAGTTGTTCATAGGCGACGGTAGCCGCTTTCTATTGCTCTTTTAGGTCGCTAACAATAAAAAAAAAATTTGATGCAGTTATTTTACTATTCTCGTATATTTAATTTTGCTCTGATAAGATCGTGAAGGAGTTGTAAGTTTAATAACTCTTTATTTCAAATATGACAGTATGGATGAATGATGATAAAACGACGGGACGACTTTAATACTTATGACTAAATAGCATCTTTTGTTTTAAAGATTTTCCAATTACCTATTTGTTAAAGTTTTTTTATATTAGATATCTCATAGCGCCATCTAGACCGAAACTCAGCAGAGCATGAACAATGGGTAAAAAATTGCTACCTCTAAATCCGTCAGATATCATGGTGTGTTACTCGTTCCGTCGTATTTGAAATAGAGTATAAACTGTCATTGAATTTCAACACGTTGCTGATACCCGGAGTGTAATACGTGACTTGTATACACAATGTTTGCGTCTTAACAGCGGTTCATGAAAGAATTCCCTTAGGGTATTATGTATTGACTGCGAACATGCACGAGTTCTTGTACAGTACTTTTCGTTCTTTTATTCTTTTACTTCTGCTTGATAAACTTTTTCATTGCACATGAATATCTGCGAGTCTTAAATATCTGCGAGCTAGAAATTGAACTTAATGACGTTGACATAAGGTTATATTTTCCAAGTCAAATTTTTGGTGGCAACACAGAAAATACTCAAAAAATGGCAATAAACACACTCTATTACTATATTTAAATATAATTTTTCACCCAGGGTATTTTTCAAAAATAGTAGAAAATATGATAGAGCCTTCAGTCAATTTGGAAACTTACCAAGGCTGTTCGATGGAAACTCGAAATATAGTAAATATTTTCTCTTTGTTAAACTTGATTACCTTGATGGTCGAATTTAAGAGTATTTATACTGAAGAAACGTAACGGCTACATTCAATTTTCAAAAATAATTTTTAATATTTCTGAAAGATTATCGAAATAGTAGATTTCTATTTCCTTTAAATACTAAATATAAAATAACACATGAATTATAATAAGTAACCATTTGGTGACTGTTTAAAGTTTCCAAATACTTTTTTTTTACCATCAAATTTTAAAATGTCAGGAAAGTTTATTACGAACTTGATTACATGGTTAATATTTTAATAAACCTAAATAAAGTCATAAGAACAATTAGATTTTAAACGTTAGTATTAAATTTTCATCGAAAATAAAGTAGAATTGTGTTTGAATTTTGACATGTTTTACAGACATTGTTAGTGTCTAATGGATAAACCCTTTTACGCCGTCTAGGAACGTTACAATTTTGAGTATGATAAATGAAATCAATACAGCTTCAATTCATTGCAATGTCAATAGACAATTTGGAATTTAAGAAGAACAGATCGTGACCCAAAATGTGACATTCATAGACAACGTTTGCATTATTTATTGTACACTGTGACAATAAAAAAAATAGTTTTGTAGGTGATGGATGGATAGAGATAGCTCAACAGGCAATTTTTAGCACTTTTTTTTTATAGGCAGAAAGTATTTCCATGAAAAAGAATGTATTGAATATTCTAAACTTTATACGAATATTAAATTAAGTAAGTAAATTGTAGTTTAAAAGAAAAAAATAGATTATTCATGATTAGATTTAAAAAGGTGAGGGAACAGAGCGTCGCGTAGACATACGGTCGCTAGGGCGTGTATCTATAAGGAATATGGTTTAGAAGCAGTTACGATATCGCAGTGGTTCAGTTCTATGCATTAAATATTTCTTCAATACCATAAAGTCAACAATCGTCCCCAAATGGATCATCAATGGACTAGCTGAGTATCGAAATATATTGCCGATATAAGGATAGCGGCCAGTAGCCTTCCTTAAGCAATAATCGTAAAGTACAATACGGGAATATAAAGTTACTGTTTCTAATATTTATCAATAGGGATATGTATTAATTATACGTTTATTATAACTTATTCATTTATTACATGAAAGCTATACGTTTATAGTACTCGTGTATTTTAAATCTTAAGGTTTATAGGTATTTCATTGGTTAGTTTGTAATTCGAACCTAATTCTAACGTTAATAGAATAGATTATAGAATGACTCAAAAATGTTTATTTTTTTCTTTTTCTTCTTAACAACAATACCGTACATTAGTTGATGTTGTTGTTGATTAGAAGCAAAATTAAGAAAAAAAAATGTTCATCCGTAGATTTGTTACATATTATTATAGATAAGATCAGTATTTTTTTTTTCATTTTGATGATATATAATACCTTTTTTGAGGTTTTTAGGGCCGGGGTGATAGTAACTAAAGTAGTGGGATTAGATTGACTTTTTTAATGTCAAAGGTACTTAAAATTTAGTAAATAATTATGAACCGGTTAATTTAGTTGCTTAGTGTTGTTTTTAAATATGTATAATAATTTAAGAATGTTACTTAATTGTATTAGTTTTATCGCTCTTCACAATTTTTAGTCAATCAAGTTTTATGTTATTTTTTTTTTAATTTATTGCAATATTTTTATTAAAAGGAATTGTCACAAGATGTTTAACATACGCTTACAATTTTTGCTAAAAATAATTTCCATGTGTTTTAATTTATATAATTTTAATTTATTAATATATTAGAGTATGATTTTTAAGATTAATTAAAAACAATTAAAAATAATGTTGCCTTTCACAAGTACAATTTTAATATAATAAGTGTATAAATTTAAGGAAAAGTTGCATGAAAAATGTTGTAAATAATTACACTGACAATTAATAAAAAAGACTGTCAATAATGGTGTGACAATACAATAATATTTTTTCGTGCAGTTTTACACATTTACTATATGTATTTTAAAACGTAAGTGGACTGTTAAAATTCTATCACATTAAAAGGATTTTTTCCAAAAAAATTTTGTTTTATTTAATAATCGTTTAATAATCGAGACTAACCAATTATTCATATTTGACTTGCAATGGGTGATTAAATTGACACAATCTGCTTACCATTATAAGTTTAGTTTTGACATATAGCACTACTGTCTGTGATATTTCATATAGTATTTGATAAGGTGTTCTTAAAATGCCATGTTTTGCCAAAAACAATTTAATTTCTTTTATATTTATCAATGTTTCTCTGTCATTTAAGCATATATGTAATATTTTAGCATGATACAACGTATCCGACGTTTCTTTTGACTATATTCTTAATTCATCTAGAATTAAGAATGTTATAAAAATAAATTATTATGTTAAGCAAAAGTCAATTATTGGCACATATGGAATGTCAAAATAGTATTGCTATATATAAAAATATCATCCATGTAGATTGATTAGGCATAGAGTTGATTTAATATTTTCTGGTGACAGATGTGTCGATGAGTCGCGCTGTGAACCGGCTGATCCGTGCTGATGAAGCCATGTTCCAAACAACGCCAGAAAAGAGGAGGAAAAAGATTTAATCACCCAACGTCAAGTTGTCGCTACCTGCCGAAAGACAGAAGCCAGTTCCATTTAGTTATAAAAATATGACGACATTTTGATTTATTTCTATGCATCAGCATGTACATAACATGCTGAATTAGTTTGATAGATACAAACCTATCAATGGAACTCGTTGAACTAATAAAATGAATAATATACGTGCATTGATAGTTTAAAAGTATACTTACGTATTTTATATTTTAGGTCACGCGTTGTAGAAGCCAGATAAATTACATAGAGATTGCCCAACAAATTTAAATGTTAAATTTTATCAAATTTTGATTTGATTAGAATTTTATCTTTACCTCATTGTTTTTGGGGTGGATGGAGAGAAACGAAGGAAAGTACATATGATCTGCTTATTTTTAATTAAATGTATTATCAATATAATTCCAAAAAAATAAAACCTAGATTATAAGCAAAATATAGTAAGAAGTAATTATGTGAGATTAAGTTTGTAAAGAAGAGATATTTCCAGACAAGACAGACAAGAAAATAAACACACCTTGAATACTAAGAGATACAAAATCTCTTAGTATCCGAGGTGACTTTATTTTCCAATTATTTTACAGTGGGAGTGAATACTTTCTCCATGGCATCATAGGAATTTATTAGTTTCTTAGAAGGCCATAAAAATATTGTAATAAAAACAATGCCACTGTTTATCGTGTTATAAACTACTCGGTTAAAGATTTGCGTTCGATCGTTGGTAAAATTTAAGTGAATTGGTAAATATAATATATATTTAAGATTCCTAAATGCAGGGTGATAATTTTAAAACGTATTCAATGAAGAACATTCCCTTCATAATTTGAGATTAATTACATTTATTTTGGTTCGTTAATGTTCAAACAAATTGGTCTCAATATGTGAGAGTGGCAATTGTCAATGTTTAGAAAGTTGATATTGTTAATTATTATTATATTGCAAATATTATATATATATATATATATATATATATATATATATATATATATATATATATATATATATATATATGTTTTAGTCTTTTTCCATTTGTGGTAGGTCAATACTTAAGGAACTCAATGTACTGCTATTATGACACATTTTGCTTACATCGCACTGTGCTACAGATACTCTTGTTTTGACCTATTCAGAATTGTGCCGAAGTCGACGAGATCGACTATTATACACTCGTCTAGCCACTTTTATGAAATCTTTTTTACTCAAGTTTAATTAAAAATAAGTTATTTCGAAAAAAAGAAACTCATTTCTATTATATAGATACGAATTTTTTCTGTGATGCTTTTTACACATTGTAAGTTAACTGATTAAGTTTTATCTCGAATTGGCCACGCTTTAATTGGATAAAGTGCCAGTGTCATATCATACTGTAGATTTACTTTTTTTTTTAGTTTTTTTTAAATATTTTTTTGTGTCATGTCGATTTCTTTCAGCTCTCATTTCTAGGTATAAAATACAGGCATTATAAAGCCGATAATAAAGACATTTATGTGAAAGATGTTGGTTTTATTTTTAAACCATAATAAATAAATAAGTTACCATAAGGTTCTACTGCGATTTTTCATTATTATAATAGAGAAGAGGTGTATTACATACAAAAAAAAAAACTCAAGAACAGATAAGTTAGCCTTAATTCAGTTAAAATTAAGCAATGGTTTCTGATTATTTTAAGGTAGAGAATTTCCCTTCAATATAGCCCATCAGGTCGACTTTCTCGCGGTTTCCCCTGAAAACCATCGTGATTAATTTTTGTTGAGTCGTCACAATGAGTTAAATGACCTTGTTTCACCCTCATTTAACTAATTAGCACTCATTGGTGTTCCTACTGGTATACCGATAGCACGGGTGGAGTTGCCATACCATCATCATTCACTAAGACAGTGTATATGGCTGTGCTACTAATTCCCATTACTAACAATCCCTTCCCCCTAATATAATACGTGATTTGTACGGTGTTAATGGGAATTCTGATCTTTTCAAGTTCAAATAATCTTTATTCAAATATACTTGTTTACTTTTAAATCTTTATTTTTTTTAAATGTACTGCAGGGTTCAAACAGATGTTATATATTGAAAAGAGCCCGCAAGAAACTCTACAGTTATTTTTTTAAATCTATGTTAATATATATTTATTATAAGTACATATATCATCATGGTCGTTAAAAAGCCCCTGCACGATCGACTAACACCATTGGAGTTTGTCATTCAAGTAATTTTTATTAGGTACAACTTTGTGTTAGCCCAATATATTTATATCGAGTAAGTTATATTTGGATAAAATATATAGATAGGTACTTTATCTTGGGCAATGTCCCGTAGACCATAAAATGTGTACAAAGACCCTACATTTGCAAGTTTAGAAATTCCAACTGTATTCTGGGGCGGCCAGCGTCGCAGCGGTATTGTAACTTTACTGCCAAGTCTGATTTCAGGTTCCTTTTACGGTTGCTATTTTGGGCAACGGGCCAATTCTGTCTGCAATTGTGCAAAATTACTAGTTGTAGTACAAAATATCAGCGGTGTCACAACAATACATACGTGCGTTGTATTCTGAAGGGCAAACCCTTAGATTATATAGAGTGTCTCCATAGAAATGCTTCGAGAAAAACGGGTCATGTTTTTTATACAATTTTGCGTGATAAATAGTTGTGATTCCTTTATAACTTCTATATTTATCTTGTCTTATAATAACTGCATATTTGTCCTGCGTAAACACTCATTTTATTTATTAAATAATACGTCAAGATACATTTTATGCGTAAGCATACAGAATACTGATAAAAAAAACGAGTCAGCTAATTTGATAATTAGCTGAGAAAAACTGACCCGTTTCTGAGGTTCGATGCTCTATCTATATAATCTAAGGGTAAACCTATGAGATAAATATCCTGGTAGAACCGACACTCTCGTCAATTTTTATTATAATAACTTTGTTGGCGCGTTGATGGTTCGTGCCCTATTTAAGAGTTAAATCAGTCGGACAGTTCCATTTGTTTCTACCAACGTTTCCCTTTTGGGTGGTAGGAGTGAATTTTTTTCCCCTTGTCCCTACCATTGTGCGACGAGTATGGATAAATGAATTACTGCCAGCAACAGACATTGCGGTGAGAGCGTGCATCTCACTTATTCGCACGTTTTTTTTATTCAATTAAGAATGACAAATAAGCTGACGGCCCACTTGATGGAAAGTGGTAATGGTCTATAGATATGAACATCGCGTAATATTCTGTGATACATATGGTACCCCTGAAGCGTTCATAACATATATTATTGATGGCTTTGGTGTTATGCTTCTGTATTTTGTAATTTCCCTCTTATCATCATTATATCATTTAACTGTTCATTGCTGAACATAACCCTCTTCCTAGGAGGATTTTACTGGTAGTTGCAACGCTTGGTAGGCGGATTGGCAATTATACAAGTATAACTGATTCACAGCAGTAACACGAGAGTTACCTAACCTGACTACTTCGGGGGGAAAGGGATTGTTAGTAATGGAGGCTGAGAATCCCATTGCTAGCAATATACCCAACCAGGTCGACCTCCTCGCGGTTCCCCCTGGATACTATTATGGTTAATTCCTGATGAATTCATCATGATGGGCTAACTGGCCTGTTTTCATTCTCATCTCTCACCCTTCACTGGTGCTCCGCCAGCGTAACCCGTTAGCGCAGGCGGGGTTACCATACCATTTTCACCCACCAAAAAAAAAAACCTGACTACTTCTGTACAGCCTTCATTTGGAAACTAAAATAAGAAGGTCCATTTTTAAATCCTATATCAACTCAATCTTTTGCCAATGACAATTTTGTACTGCACTTGTGAAACAACAATTGGGAATTAGATTATAGGATCAGGTCGCAAACATTTGCATTGACA